CCCCCCCCCCCCCCCCCCCCCCCCCCCCCCCCCCCCCCCCCCCCTTTTGTCTCTTTCTTTTTTTTTTGTCTCTTTTTTCCAAGACTTTCCCAACTAAACATTACCTACCTACCTACCCTATCTATATCTATGTTTAGCGATATAGTATAGGAACCTGGGCATGAGAGAGGTGAGAGGAGGGGGGGGAGATATTTGTATATATATATATATGTATATATGCGTGTATGTATCTGTTGGATGGATAGAAGGAAGGTAGGTAGGTATTAGTTTTTTGAGTAATATAGTAGATAAACAAGATTTGGATTGGATAGCTGTTGGTGCGTGGAATGAGAATATGAATAGGGGGGATTAAGTAAGTAGGTACGCTATCTGTTTTGTTTTTTTATTTAAAGTCTAAGAGGTAGAAGGGGTTGGAATGGGGGGTTAGTTTTGTGGAATGCTTTGGGGTCGTGGGGTGGGGGTATATTAGAATTATTTGTGTTAGAAGAAGGGGAAGGAGTGAAATTTGTTCATATGATGTGGAGATATTATAGTGAGTCGCCTGGGGAAGGAGGGAGTGAAATAGTTCAATTTCAGTAGACTTTTTGCTCCCATGATCGGTACTTTGAGTTAATCTTCAACTCATCCAGTTAATAATGGTCCGATGCGAAGTGCATCAGGCTGTAGATGCCCGGACACATGCCATCTAAGAAATGATTCCTCTCATATCAAGCCATATAGCGTTAAGATCACTTAATCCTGGCCCCCAGACTCCCCGTACTCAAGAACCCCCTATTCCCCATCGGACCCCTCCAAGCCAAGCTCAGGATCCCAAAGATAACCCTCCCATCCACCGGCTCCTGGCCCCTCCCCTCCTCATCCAGAACCTCTTCAACAATAAAGCAAACCTGCTGCACATCTCCGGGCATCAGCACCGGCTTCTCCATCTCCTCTCCTTCCCGCAGAACTTCCCAATTGATCCCCTGGCTCTTGAACCCTTCATTCGTCTCCAGGATTACGATTTCTAGGGTTATGATTTCTTCGCCCGTGTTCTCGAGCTGTGCTTCTAGCGCCCATTTCCTGCCCGTCTTCTTCCCTTCTTTCTTTTCTAGGGATGAAGCAGGTGCCGGGGGTAGGATCCCGGATTTCGTGCGCACGACCATACACCCTTTACACACGAATTGGTATAATTTCCTAAACGTCCTCACGCGCCCGCTCGTGGGAGTCGTTTCGGTATACGTGACCGTGACGGCCAAAACATGGGCCCCCTCTTCTTTCAAATCAAAGCTCACGACTTTCTGGAGTGATTGTCCGGGCTCTAGATCCACGCCTTTTCTCTTTTCCGCGCCCTTTTCCGGGTCCTCTTCCTCGGATGCCGCGCCCTCGCTGGGCTCGGGTCCTAAGATAAGTGGGATGGCGGTGGGTGAGGATGGGATCTTCATCTCGGCTTCGATTCGCACATTGGTGATGCTCTTGGGTGCGGTGGACCCGGGGAGCAATTCATTGTTTGCGCAGAGCGTGCAGGAGAATGTCTCTCCCACATAAGCGGAGCCGAAGGCGGGAGGAAGAGTGAGCAGTGGAGAGAGGATGAAGGGGTCGGGTTGTGAAGAGGGATAGGCAAGAGAGGCGGATGGAGGGGGGTATATGGCGGGTGAGTTGGTGGGCGAGGGGGAGGGCGTGGGGAGTGGATGTTGGATTGAGAGGGAGGGACGGGAGAGTCTGCGCGAGATGATTAGTTACTTGCATATCTCTGGGGAACCTCGAGGATTTGTTTACCGGAGCACCTTTAAAGAAACAGAATGAGGTTCTTTAGGCCCGTCAATAGTTGAACCAGTGCGCTGATGCGCCATTGTGTCCGTTCGTCAAGCCATGTATTGTGAATAAGTCGGGGAGAGTGAAGTCGCATCTGATGTCCCGCAGGATTCTGCCACTCACCGCCTTCTTATCGTGTCAGCTAGGGACTTGGGTACTTTGGGTACTTTGTGGGAAATCTTTTCAGAACATTCTACCAATCCCCGCTCCCAAGGAGGGTCAGGATGTCAAAGTGTGGACAGGAGGCAAAGGCACAGGTGGAGGGCCTGCCCCTGAAGAGGGCGGACGGCATGATTCTGGTGATGGATACGCCGAAAGGTCCTGACTAAGTGACCCTGCCCATTTCTTACCCCGTCGGTTGCGAAGCAACAAGAGATACTTTCCAGACGTTGCAATTCAACTGACGGAAATTTTCTACAGGTCGAGGTGTATTTGCAAGTAGAGATATCCCTGCCCACACAGTACTCGAAGTGTCACCAGTATTGGTCTTGGACCCGATTCAGAATGCGGATCATGTCTGTAAGACAGAGCTCTACAATTATACCTAGTAAGCCACCCGATGGTGCCCCGGAATCCTAGCAAGCCCTGACATATCGCCAACCCAGCAATTGGCCGTACACTCCGTCCGATAAGGTCCAATCCCACGACTCGCCCAAATTACCAACCACAACGCAGGCCGTCGTGTTTGGCCTCGGAAGCATGTTCAACCACTCCAATCTCCGGCAAAATGTAGGCTGGGAACGCGATTTCAAGAATCGTCTGATCACATACACGGCATTACGGGAAATCAAAGCAGGAGAGGAGCTGTGCATTTCGTATGGACCACGTCTCACGTTCAAGGACACAGAGGAAGCGGAAGCAGAACGGGACTCTGATGAATGGTCGGACTTTCAAAAAATAATCGACTTGATTGACTGAGTTTTTGTCCCGGCCGGGATAGTATCCACGCCTTATGCCAGAGACCTTGTCTATTGTACAAGAGTGAGGTATCCTGCGCGATTTTGACCGCCTGATAGATGAAAAAGCAAGCGTATGCCAGTAAGGATGATGGATCAAAAAAAAAGAAAGGAACGAATACAGACCAATATCCATTGTCTCAATCATACGCCAGGAGGCGGCGGAACCTATAGGCGTTAGTGTCTTGAACAGTCTGGCTTTTGCCCTAGCTTACATTGTTGTAGCCGGTTCCAGGTGGTGATCCTGAAGGTGGCGGTGGTGGGTTTTCGCTGGGTGGTGGTGGAGGGGCAGATCCAGGAGCACCAGGCGGGGGAGATTGTTGTTGCGCAGCCGCAGCCGCCATATACTGTTGGTAGTACTGCACGTAGGCCGCATATCCACCTATATAATGTTACTACGTTGCAAGCCTATTGCTCGACTTCGTAACTTACCGTAGGCCGCGTACGGGTCGGCGCCACCTGCAGCGCCGTAGTATTGTGCATATTGAGCAGCATAATCGCTTGCTGAGGTGGGACTGCCTGCACCAGGTGCAGTGGTTGGGCTCATGACACTACCAGGGGTGTTGGGAGCGGGAGAATTGCTGTACCCTCCGTAGCCATAAGGAGTTGATCTGTCAGGGGCACGATCTCCGTAGCCTCTCTCACCACCGTATCCAGTGCTTTGAGCTCCATATCCACGCTGGGGAGGGGGTCTGTTCTTGAATTCTTCGTATTGCTCCCTGACATTCTTTAAGAGATCAAGGCAAAGCTCCTTTGCCTTCTGGACTTCGTTCGGATCAGGTCCCCTAGTAGAATTAGTAGAGCTCCATACCAGTTGTCATAAATACTCACGCAACATGAAGGTACATAGGCTCGTCACTCTCTCGATTAGTGGCATGCTCCAGGAATCCAGAGCCGCGTCCTTTGATTTGAACACGGCATCTAGTCTCCTGTTGAATATGCTTGACATATTGCCCACCATGACCGACAACCTGAGCACGAAGATTAAAGCCGGGAAGCGGTTCGAAATCGATAGGGATCTTCTCTTCAGGCCATTTGCGCTATTCAGAATATCAGTATGGGCACCCTCCTCTAAAATAAGCGACACCTACTCTACCAAATTCATCTCGCTCGACTTGTTCTGGCTCTCTCCTACGGAAACGTCTCTCATCAACTAGATTGGGTAGTTCCTGTTTCATAAGCTCCTCAATCTTCGCAACGGCTTGCTCGAGGCCTTGTTTCGTCGTGCTCGTTACATGAAGGTAGAGAGGTGGATTCTAATTTCATTAGTGCACTCCTTCCCAATCAAGCAAAATGTGATAACTTACCGAAGGCGTAGCCATGCTCTTATCGGGGAGGTAGCTTCCACGCGTTGTGACATCTTTAAAAGTCAACATTTGCACTCTATAAAAAGTAAATTGTAGGTAATAGCGTACCAGCACCGGTTTCTTCTTTAATCTAGATGTCACGCAGCGGGAGTCAGCAGATGCCAATGATGGGTTGCAACGGTTGCTATCGCGCTTCAGGTAAGCTTGAAAGTCCTCACACAAGAAGAGCGGTGTTTACTAAGGTAGGAGAGAACAAAAGGGGATGTTGGTTATGATACGAGACTTTGTGGGAGGGAAGCCTGATATATCAGTGGAAAGCTAACACAAGGAGCATTTACCATCTTTTGTGTAGAGCCTTTGGTCAGTGTGTAACGGTTGCGCAGATCGTTAACCTCGATGTCGCGGATGTAGTCGCCATCCGCAATATACATCTCACCATTGACCGTGGTTGTGCTATTGCCTGTCGCAGAAGGTGCTGGTGAAGCAGACTTCCCTGCAGGACTCAAGGTTGATCGGATAGGAGGAACATCGACATGTTGGATACCCTTCTTAGCTTGGATCTGGGCATTGATTTTGGCCGCGGCAGCAGCTGCGAGATTGTTAGCCTCGTCACGGAAATTGGAATGTTTATCCTCACCTGCTGCAGCAGCAGGATCAATACTAGCTGGTCGCGAAGTCTCTGTACTAGGACTGCCTGACGCTCGTCCAAGAGGACTTCTGCTCCGTCTCGATTCGGATTTTCTGGCTGGAGGTGACCGCGATCGCCGATCAAATCTTGAAACTCTCTTTGGCTCCGGCTCAGTCTGATCGAAGCGCGAGCGCTTTGCCGTCCGTCGCTCTGTATCATCCATCTCGAATATGTGTGCACCTGTACGACAAATGCGGTGCGTCCGGTTCACAAACCACCGGCGCGGATCAGGACAAAAGTGGAGGTGGAAGACTCTTTGTGCTGAGGCTGAAAGACACAGGGTTTATTAAGAGCGCTGCAACTGTAGTCGGATCTCGCTTGCGACTTTTTTGCGGAGAAGGCTAAAGGACTTCCGCACCGATGTTTTTCCGGCCGCGCGGCTATAGGCGGTAATAAGTTTATCTCGCCTGCACCTGACTCACTGACCCAACTTAAATTCCATCGTCTCGATCTTGTCACTCAAGAGAGAGAGTGAGAGGAAGGGCGGTTTCACCCATATTGACCAGAAGTTGTCAATACTTCTTCTCACAATGGCTTCTCGCAGAGCAGTTCTCTCTCTGCCGCTCCGAGCGAGGCCATGCACACAAACACTCTCCGTTTATCGGCATCTGCAGCAAAGGCCTGAATCAACATCCTCTTCCACCGCAGCACTGGCATACAAGGCCCTCCACCGCCGCATCTCACCTCTCCCAACCTCAGATGCGCCTCCGGCCTGGTCAGCACAAGCAGCCGTCTCCAACATCCTCTACGAGACTCCCTCTCCCTCAGTCACACCCCCCAAGCGCCATGTCCTGAACTGCCTCGTGCAAAATGAGCCCGGAGTCTTATCTCGTGTGTCCGGGATCTTGGCAGCTCGGGGTTTCAACATCGACTCTTTGGTCGTCTGCAACACCGAGGTTGAGGATCTCTCCCGCATGACCATTGTGCTTTCTGGCCAGGACGGAGTCGTTGAGCAAGCACGCCGCCAACTCGAAGACTTGGTCCCCGTCTGGGCTGTCCTGGACTACACCGACGCGCCATTGGTGCAGCGTGAACTCCTGCTCGCCAAGATCAACATCCTCGGCCCTGAGTACTTCGAAGAATTACTGGCACATCACAGGGAAATTACCGCAGGTGGCGGAGAGGAATTGGAAGGCCATGAAGAATGGGCCGCGAAACAAGCGGAGACAAAGGATTTCCACCCGAGCAAGCTGGTCGCCAGTCAGGCATTGAGACATAAGCATGAGCATCTGAAATCCATTACGTATTTCACGCATCAGTTCGGAGGGAAGGTGCTGGATATCAGTACGAATAGCTGTACTGTAGAGGTGTAAGTTTTTCCCTTTTTCCCCTCCACATTCCTAGAATCGGAGTTCTTATTTGATCCACAGATCGGCAAAGCCAACCAGGATCGACTCCTTCATGAAGCTAATTGCTCCCTTCGGTATCCTCGAATCGGCTCGAACAGGTCTGATGGCTCTGCCGCGCTCGCCTCTCTACGGTCCCGACGACCAAGAGATCTTGAAAGAAGCTGATGACGTTGTTGACGCTAGCACCCTGCCCCCGGGATAAATATGTCGCTAATGTGGAAAATGGTTGTTTCTTCAATGGAATGGGGTTGGCGGTTTTCAATAATCAAGGTGTTCTCTGGCTGTAAAACGGGGAGAATGGATTAAAACTCTGACTTCTGCTTCTATGTATATTGTATATGGATAGCAATTCCCATTCCACGCCGTGAGCCAGCAACGCCAATTTCGTGTCATTACCCATACCCGCCTCCTATCGCTCATTGAACAAAGAACCTGAATGTCAAAGTGTAACAGTAGCGCCAATTCCTGAACCGATATACCATACCGTCTCACTCCATTGCCCAAGTCTAACGCCAAATGTCCCATTCGCGTCTAGTTTTAAAGTGCCTCCAAGAGCATTTTTAACCGCTTCATAGCCAACAGAGCCGAAAGACCAATCCACTGGCAATTTCGGGGTTTGGCTAGATCCAGGGGGAACCTTGAATGGGAGATCATAGATAATCTTCCCCACTGGTTCAGTGTGATTGTAGAAAGCAGTAGCATCGATTGTTTCGATGTAGATAGTGCTATACTGCATAGGCGAAAAGAGTATGAACTGCGCACTAGAGGAGAACAAATGGAATGTAGCGTCCTCAATGAAATGAGGCTTGCCATCGTCATCATCATCATGTTCGCCGCCTGGGCCAGGTGTTGATAGTCTGGGGGAAGGTAACGTGATTGCGAATTTAGAGAGCGCTTTGCCTAGCTCTGGCTGATGGGGAATAGAGTTTTCGTGTGTTTGAAAAGTCAGAGTAGTGTTGAAGCCAGAAATGTACTGCGATAACAATTCGCGGCCTATCTTAGCCGCTTTATTTCCGCCAAAGCTGGTTGGATCCCAAGTGGCCTCAACCAGGACGTCGGTATTATTGCCTAGAGTTAAATTGACGTTTCTGACTGTTGCATCACCGATGATGGATCCGTTATTGAGAATGTGGATGTTGAAGTAAGGGATGTGTGCTGTATATTCCGTCGGATTGGTAAAATTGATGCGTGCTTGGAGGTTCAAGGAGGTTGTGCTAGTGCTCAGGACTCTAAGGCCGCTGACCTTTGGCTTGAGATCAGCAATGTCGCCGCCCTTAGAGATAGCTGCAATATCGTCAGTTTCGGTGAGGGACGAGCTGACCAAGTAAGTAAAAACGGCAGCCTAACGTTTCACAGGAACGACCCCCTCTGCAGGCATGTCTTTGATGACGAGTTTCCCAAGGACCGTGGAAATTTCAGCGTCAACAAGCGCCGCTATCTTCAACATAACGGCTTTCCCCCCAAACAAATAGTCTTGCAGAACATCAGTAAAAACATCCTCATCTGTGATATCTAATGGTGCATTCTCGATCTTCGATTGGACCTTCAGTGCCGCGTTTCCCCCTTCCTTCGACTCTAGTCGTTCCGATTCGGCTGGTTGCCACTTTTTGAGATTGAGGACTCCAAGTTGCTGCTCTTTGTAGAAAACATTGGCAGTGGCACGTACTCTAGTAACTTTAAGGTCAAAATTCATTTCCTTTGGCACTGCAGCTATCACAACGATGTTGCCTGATATTTTGGGATTGGAATCTTCAGGGTCTGCTAATGGACTAGGCAGGCTGAAATGCGCATCGGTCAGTGAGAAATTCTTGATGAGGTTGTTAAATGTCCGTCCCGGAAATGGAACTGGCACTGTGACACTGGCCATAATTGCTGCAATCCATTCAGGGGTATCTGGAGACGGCATGCTTGAGCCGCGTACGTAGATAGTCGTGGCATTGCCGTGGATGTAATCACCAAGCAACAGATCTAGAGGTGAGGAGTGGGAGTTTGGACAGGTCTGGAGTAAAGACTTGGGTATTTCCTGGACAATACCTCCAACGCCAACTATAACGTCCGAGTAAGGTTCGATATTTATGATATCTGTTGTGGCATCGGCAAGACGAATGTGTGGTTCATCCGTCCCGCAATTCGGAACCAGAATGTCGAAGCTGAGGGGTGGGATTGTCAGTCTGATGGGATAGCTGTTCGACACTGTCAGGGACACATCTGCAGCCATGCCACGATGGGCAGGCGGTGAAACAGGGACCTCTCGGAAGTTCATCCGTGTAATATTATAGTTAGGAATTGATGGTATATCGTTGCCTTGATACAGCATTAGCCAAATGTTCACTGTAAGTGCCATGGTTCCCAAGCAGGGGAGTTCCATTCATCAAACTAGTGATTTTTCTCCAAAATACAAGGAGGCAAAGGAACGGTAGAGGGATTGACCTTCAAAAGTGAGTGATTCTGAGAATTCTTGAGACCCAAGGGAAAGCAGTCCCGACTTCAGGTCCACACTAGCTTTCCCCGTGATTCGGACTTTATCAAGACGGCCTTCGAGCCAGTCATTAGCCACTCGTCGAATGTCTTCCATATCCCCAGGCTCCAATGCCGTAAGAAAATCAATGGCATTGTTATGTCCATTCCGTATGTCGACAGCAATTCGTGGCACAGCTGCCGTGCCAATCAAGACATTCCCGTATTCCGGCAGGTAGACCTGGATTGTTGATGGCTTGGTCTCCACCTCACGAGCGACCCAGGTACCAAAACGTCCAATATTCCGCACAGCATTGTTCTTGACCCTCGACGCATCCATCCGGAAAACTGCCTGTACTCTCGCTGTGACCCCGGTAGAGGTAAAGTTATGTATTGATAGCTTTGTTGGTTCGACGACAAGGGACTGTTTGGCATACTCCTCGATGGCCGCCGGTGCAAAGAATCCACCCGCGATGATTGATAGCATGACAAGTCCAAGCACACCAACCGCAATGAAAGTTGGCCATCGTCGGTCGCCTTTCGTAGGTTTAATTGACGAGCCTTGACCATTCTGTATTGATCGTAATGATGTGGCCGCTGGAGAAGGTATTCTGCGCCGCTCATCCTCGTCCTCATCTTCTGTAGAATTGTATCGAGGAGCACTGTCTGTTCGCGATAATAAAGGCGTATTTTCGTGGGATTCGTCCGAGTTGCGTGACTGTGTTGATGGCGGCCGTTCTGAGCCGCCAAGCAGCGCTGCTGCTTCTGGGTCGTCCGTCATTGTCACAGCTGGCCGCACCAGGACGGAGGAGGGTGACGCCCAGGGCGATGAGAGTTGTAAGGATGAGGTATTGTTAGGTTGGTCGGTGATGAAGGCCAGAAGCAGCTGGCGAGCCTGGAACGCGACGCTGGAGAGGTTGTGAAGGTTAGGTTGGCTTTCTGACCTATACGCACCTTATCATAGGCAGGTATTATAAGGTAGCTCCAGGCCACGCTACGCGAAGCGGGGTGATTGGCGCCGATGACCTCGTCCCTGCTCCCCTGCTGCTGTGCATGGCCCGTCAATTGGACGGTGAGTCAAAAATCTATAGCCATATATATTATATATACTTTTTCACCCATTGTCGCCTTTGCTTTCTCGTTTTGACCTTACAGGATTGAGGATTCTCTGCACAAAGGTATTCTTAGCTATTTCCAAGTCTTTCTTACAGTATTTCACTTGGAGTGTTCTTCCAATTGTTTTGTCTACGACCGATTCTCTCGTCCTCTTTCTAATTGACCTAATTGACAGACCTTCAAGATGCCACCCACTTCCACTCTACGACCCGCTCGAACAGCACTCCAATGTCTATCCAAAGCGCCAAAACGCTGCTACTCCTCGCCTTCAACACCTCCGACCTCTCCATTCGCGCCACGACATCTCCTCTCCATCGCAGATCTCACACCCGCTGAATTCACCACTCTCGTCCGAAATGCCTCGTCCCACAAAACATCCATAAAGTCTGGGTCGATTCCCAAGAGCCTGCTAGGAAGCTTGAGTGGCCAAACGATAGCTATGATGTTCAACAAACGCTCCACGCGAACTCGAGTCTCCACCGAAGCCGCCGTAGCAACAATGGGCGGCCATCCTATGTTCTTGGGGAAGGATGATATCCAGCTAGGAGTCAATGAAACGCTATACGACACCTCGGTGGTGATTTCAAGCATGACGTCCTGTATGGTTGCGCGAGTAGGACCGCACTCCGATGTTGCGGATCTTGCGAAGCATTCCAGCGTGCCAGTAATCAACGCCCTATCCAATGATTACCATCCTCTGCAAACCATCGCCGACTTCCTCACCATCTATGAAGCATTCCCATCGTCGTCCCCTCGCATCTTATCTGGGGTACCGAGTCTTGGTTTGGAAGGAATGAAAATTGCGTGGATTGGAGACTCGAATAATGTTTTGTTTGACCTTGCGATCGGTGCAGTGAAGTTGGGTGTTGATATCTCGGTCGCCAGTCCCAAAGGCTATGAAATTCCCCAACGCATGCGGGAGGTTATACTTTCTGCAGCTGAAGGCGTCACGAGCCCGGGAAAGCTGACTGAAACGAATGTGCCGGAAGAAGCAATCAAAGACGCTGATATTCTAGTAACGGATACGTGGGTGTCGATGGGGCAGGAGGAAGAATCGGCCAAGAGACTGAAGGCTTTTGCTGGATACCAGATTACGAATGATTTGGCGAAGAGGGGTGGTGCGAAGCACAACTGGAAATTCATGCATTGTCTACCAAGACACCCAGAAGAAGTTGCAGACGAGGTGTTTTACAGTCCCAGGAGCTTGGTATTTACCGAGGCGGAGAATAGGCTTTGGGCTGCTATTTGTAAGGTCTTCTTTATCTCCCCGAAGATACATCTACTAACATCTTGCAGCTGCTCTGGAGGCATTTGTGGTAAACAAAGGAAAGATCGCTTAGATGGATGACAGGTCCTGGGTAACAAATATAATAAGTAAACCAAGTGACAATCTCTCGATCTCGTGTTATACGAAGAGCTGTATGGGTCTATATCGCATATTCAGGAGGCCCTTACAGATGTATATTATGAAATACTCGTAATTCCAAGGAAGCTGCAAGCATCCCTCCGCTTCAGTTGCGAGACCCCCCGAGAACTTTTCTCACTCAGACTTATTCATTATTTCGGCAGCTTTTCAAGTCCTCATGAGATTGGTTTTCAAATCCTTCGATGCCGGTTTCACGACCAACCTCCAGCGTCTGGCTCGCTGCTCGAAACGATTCGAGTCTGAAGTGACATTGATGCACAGAAAACACGTACATGCGCATACCAATGATCAAGAACTGTCAAAGCAACACATCACAGCATCAGTAGACCACATCCTAGAGCTCGCAGCGAATGCCACATCTGCTTATCAAGGTCAGTTTAACTACACATCAACCTGATTCAGCTAACCACTATCCAATTTAGATGAGCGTGCTTCGATCTTGAGCTGGCTTTGCCCGGATAACTTTTCTGGACCTTTCCATAGCGCATCTACAGATGTAAATACAGAGCTGGATTGAATACCAGATAGTATCGCAGACATCTTCAATATAGTGGGAAATTCGAATTCAATGGAGCATCCCTCTCTGTGGCTGGAGTTGATAATCGATCCCCTTGAATAAAATTGGACAAATACTGGCTGTCTCCACTTGTGATAAACAATAACTTCAAGCGGCACACATCTTGCTGCTTGAGAAGGCAGTTGAAAAAGAAGAGGACAGAATCATTTGCACTACCGACCTCACTAAGATATTCACAATTTTGGAAGGCCCAAATATTGGACTTGGAACTGAAGCTTCTGAAACTCCTTTCAAGCGACCGCTCAAAATTGACAATGCCTGTTAGATCCAGAGGTACTATGCCATCCTCATCTTCAGGCGGGAATAGCTGTGGAAGAAAAAATGACCAATGAGAGGAAATCCCTTTGGGCCAAGGGCGTCAATAATGTAGATGAGATCTGTGGCCAAATATCACTCCATGGTGAGGGCAACGAACCGTCTAGGAGACAATGGGTCATTCTAGGTATACTCGGCGCATCGTCAGCCATCAATCAGCAAATTGAACTTGTATGTGAAAGAGACGGAGGAAAGCCAAAGATGTGAACGTGGTAACAAAGGGAGTAGCCGTTCACGTGACAATAACCTTATATCTGAATCTGAGATTAGTCATTTCTTCCAGATGCTCTTAGGTAGAATTAGTGGCTGAGAACCCTCAACAAACACACCAGCAAACAATCCAAGCCCGCGTAGCTCAATCGGTAGAGCGTCAGACTCTTACTTAAGAATCTCTTCAGTTCAATCTGAAGGCTGCGGGTTCGACCCCCGCCGTGGGCTCAATTCCCACTGGCTTGCTTGGAATAATCTTTTTGCTTCTTTTTTTTTTCTCACCCTCAACTCTCCCCTTCCTTTTACTTAGAATAGAATACCCCATTCCCCCTTTTCGCGTGTTCCTTTACAGGTATGCGCATCATAGCGGTGTTCCCAACCTTAGGTGAGTATTCTGGAGGGTTTAAGTTCAATTTCTCCACAACCACCTAGTTTTTTGCACGTTCTGCTTTTGTTTCTTTTGTATTGTACGTTCAACGTTGCCCTGTGAGCCTGCTGGGCCCAAAGCAGGTTGCTGTGAAATTCCAAGATGAGGTTAGGAGGCCGGTCTCAACCTTGGTACCAGCAAACTAAATCACTTCAGCCCTTACTTACCAGCCCTTATCAACAACCTCGATGGTTTTCATGAAATTTCACATTTTCTTTTATCATTTTGTGTTTTCGTTTTTGGTTTTCTCTGTTGCAATCAACAACAGTACGCACAAACGTTTTGCTCTTCGTCCGACTTTGTTCTCCTTCATAAAGCAGCAGGCCAGTTATCCTGCTTGGCTTGCTGCCACAGGTCTCTTCTGTATTCGAAGATTGGCCATCTTGAGATAAGATGTGGTCCAGAGAAATATTCCGTTGCTTTGTGATTCTCATCGCCGCTGAGGCCCAGCTTGGTTTTGCCGGCCCCGCAGGCTATGTTACACTTATTAACGCAACCCCTTATGACTGGAAGCTGACCTCCATACGCCAATATCAAATGGAATATGGGTTTCCAAGTATCATTACTGCAGGTGAGTAGACTCGAAGTTGGATTTTGATCACTAAAGACGTATCTAACTTTTGCATAGGAACTTGCCATGAGCAGTATATCGAGTTCAGAAAAGACGTCCCGGGTGACGTTGCAGAGGCCGTCTATTCTCTCGTCAATGCTCCCAGTATTGCTTCTTTCAGCATTCAAGCTAGACATCAAGGTCATGGGCAGGTCGTAGTCCAATACCGCGACACCTTGTCGTCCCTCAACAATCCAGTAGGATCCAGGATCGACCTTGGCTTCGAACCAAATGGCGTATCATTATTTGTTCTCTCCGGGTCAGGAATCGGCTCCCCATTTGTCTCTAGCAATCCCCCGACGGACTGGATGCAACAAACCTTCGCATTCATCGGTTCGAAGAGCTTGAGAGAGATTGCCTTACCTGCTAGTCATAATGCTGGCATGAGCCGACTCACCGGTTACTATGGCGGAATTGAGCACAACACCCTCACTCAGTCTGTGGGTATCTACCGGCAAGCTGAGAATGGCGCTCGCCATTTCGACATCCGCGCTGTCTATCGCCATGGAAAATTTTACACCGGTCACTTCTCTAAGTTCCTTGGCAGTAACGTTGGCGGAACTGGGGTGAATATCGTCGACATTGTACATGACCTCAACCGCTTCACCAGCGTCTTTCCCGGAGAACTTATCATCTTGGATATCAGTCACGACATGAACATGGATAGAAATTCTCGACACTTTACTCCATTGGAATGGCACAGGCTCTATCAAGTCTTAGACGGACTGGTGGATCTATGGGTGCCTCCGTCTCCCAACCTGCCGGACGACTTATCAACTCTCCCGCTTTCATTCTTTATTACACCCGGCTCAAGATCTGCCATTATCATCCGGCTCCCTGATCGGGCACCCCTACCTCTGCCACAGCAAGAATTCGCTGCACCTAGTGTTCAACCATGGGGGATAAGCAGCGACGAGGGCGATGAATTATCATTCAAGGGAGAGCCACCGACCTTTATCCCAAGAATCCTGCACCACACAGCCTTCATTCACGAATACGACCTACCCATAACAGGCTCCTACTCCAACACCGAGAAGCCGGATTATCTATCCAATGACCAAATCCGCAAGCTGAACCAGCTTCGCCCCTCGCCCCAGGACCCCATATTCATGAGCGTTTGGACTCTCACTGAACGCTGGCTACACATGTTAAACGTCGCCAACCCCGCGCACTCGATCATCGGCGGCGCAGCTGCTGCTCAGCGGGCCCTATTCCGAAACCTCTGGCACGCGCTATCCAAGACCACCTACCCAAACCTAATCCAAGTCGATGACATCCACGACAAACAAGTATTAGCACTGGCTATAGCCATCAACAACCACTTCGCCAACCCCATCACATCACCTCCAGCCCGCCGCGATACAATTCCCGGCCCTGACGCCAAGCCGGCTGCGCAGAAATGCTCCTGGTTCGACGCGTGGGCGCACTGGTGGAACTTCTACCCCGCGGACGAATGCCACGATCCCCGAATCTTCAGGAACATGGCCAAGAATGCTCAAGAGCTCGCTAAACAATGGGCGGCGAAAGCGAGGGCGGATGAGGAGGCGAGGATGAGAAAACAGGCGGCTCAGAAGGCTGTAAAGAAGAAGAAGACTTTTTCTGCCAACGGAACGCGGAAAGCTCCCGCGAACTGTCTTGCTGGGAACGTCAGAAATACCACGGCACGGCTGCGGGCTAGAGCGGGTTGTGTCCAGTTTGATTGATGGGCTTTGATACTGTGTTACTAGCAGTGGCTTTTATAACTGGGACGGGTGTTATGTACCTCTTGGGCTGAACTGGATTGGAGTTTTTTATAGCCGCTGTACGGTATTACATATCTCATGGTGTTGATATTGGAATGTATATATTTAGTCTTAAAAAAGGAACAGGGGGTGGGGGGGATGTCTGTGTCCATTTATATTACTATGTAGAGGTCTGCGACGGAGATGCTTGAGGAAAGATCTGGATTTGCTTAGTACCATGGCATCGCGCTCTCTATCGGACTTAGCTGGACAACTAAAAATTGGTTTCCGTACAGTATCCTAAGGAGAGAGACGGCGTGAGGGCCAAGGAAGAAGGGGCTGCACAGTCGTCCAAAAAGATTTATTTCCAATATAATTTAGAAGTAGCTAGGGGGGATCTATTGTTTTGCGCCGAAACACCATGCCATGCTCATCGAGTCTCATGCTCTATAAACCATACCCAATTATATGAATGTACAAGGGATCAAATCATGTCTGGTTTCAACATCGTTATCAGTTAATGCTCATTATAGAAACATCCAACTGAGCACCACCAGTACAAGACCAAACGTCGCGCTCCGCCCTGCAGTTTCCAACTTCATGGAACCGCTAGTCGGGAGACCGCAGCAGGTCCGGTTATACGTGACGTTGTTGTACATCGCTGCTACCTCGAAGACGGAGCCGTTTCCAACGTTGTAGTAATCTACGTTGAGGAACTTGGGGGGGAACCCCCACATATTCTCGCAATTCTGAGTTGAGCTGCCCAGAGATCCATAACCAGTAATATTATTGGTGATGTTCAATAATGGGAAATTCGGCACTAAAAGGCTGTTTCCCAAGATGTTGATATCATAGTTAAGGTTGTGGTTCATGAGGTACATGCGATTTTTCGCATCTTGCGGGGAGAGGTTTGGTGGACGTTGGACAGTGCAGGGGAATGAGCGGTCCGTGGGATCAAAGGGCGTCTCCCACATCTGAGAGAATTCGTCCATTATCCACGGCACCGAAGTTTGGTTTGCTTGGTAGTCCATAAAAAAGAGGACTCGCTTGCCAGTCAGGATGAATTGGGAGAGAGTTGGCCAGTCATCGATTCCCATGGGGATCTTGGGAGGTGTGTACGCAAACTTTACCAGCCCGGTCTGCTGGAGGAAAGGTACAAATTGTTCAACGGGCTTATAGTCCCCATTTCCAATCAAAATTGTGACAACGTCAAAGGGATGACTTGAAACCCAGTTATATACCAACCCTAGATACTCAGTGATAGGGCCGGCATCGAGCACATCGCAAGATGTGTGGCAGAAGTGTGGGACACTGCCATTGAAGTGTACCTGCCCCTGCAAAAGACGAATTCCGTCGTTGAGTTGCGCCGTAACGCTGAGATCTTGATTGGCAGCTGCATTGCCAGATTTAATGAAGGGGGAGTTGTGTGCAGAAACCTCGGTAATGTTGCCGTATTTCCGCGTGCAGAATTGAGGGTAGTTATTGCAAGTCGCCGACGGAGCAGGTTGGGTAGAGGTAGAGGAAGTGGAATTCAGGGTCACGGTGGAAGTTGCGGAGAATGAACCCGAGAGAAGCAATTGTGAGGTTGTTGGAGCTGTTGTCGAGGAGGTTACATTGCTGGTTGTCTCCTCAGTGCTATAGCCAAAAATCGTTGTTGACCCCAGAGTTGTAGTCTCTGTTGTTGACCCGCTGGTGATTGTAGAAAGGATCGCGGACGTTGTGATTGCAGAGGACGAAGTCGTGAACTCAATGGTGATGGTCGAGGAGTAGGATATATAGCTTCCTGTAGGAGTTGCTGGCTCAGAAAGCCCACTGGTCGGGACCGTTGAGCTACTGCCTGAACTTGACCCCGAACTCGAACCCGAAGTTGAGGCTGAACTTGATGTAGTCGAAGTCGAGCCTCCCCCCAGAATCAAATCTGAAGTTGCCTGGGCATTTGCGGCGACGGCAAAGAGGCTGGCATATGGAAGGAGACGTGTGTACAGCATGACTGCGGTGGTGGTATGAGCGTCGCAGAGTCTCGACGATATCGAGAACGACCACCTCCGCAACACCAGTCAAGGCTCAGGCAGCGGGATGGGCAGAGAAGTTTTGATGATAGAGCCAAGAAAATTGCATGTAGAGCGAGCGGCTATGACGTTGGAGAAGTCGACAGACCGACCCGGCACGTTTAGGCCCCTGTACTGCTTTGTCTTGCCTTAGGTGCTCCCGCGTTGTAGCCAGGGTCCAGGGTGCTATCCTTTGTACATATGCAGTTGTGCAGTTAAGCAAAGATGAGCGTAGTCGTAGTCGTAGTCTCGGACAACCTGCTCTATGTTAGGATTGCCCTTCGCAATACAGAGCTTAAGCCTATTGCGGTCGCAACACCAAGGGCTTGAACGGAGGAAGTAATAGACTCACAAGTAGTGCTGACACGGTGCTCTGAAGCAAGAAGCAGTACGCGTCCCCAAGGATGCTGCTGCTAGTTACCGTATCAACCAATGTCTGCACCGCAGAGACGTTGAATGTCAAAGCTGCCCCTGACAACTCCGTGTTGTATGCCCAAGCACCGAATAGCTGCACTGCCTCCCGACAGGGAAGACTCACCTGAACCGCCCAAGGTCTAAAGACTCTAAAGTTCAACGAGTGGAGCCGCTATATCAAAAGGCGTTTGCGTTGGCCTGGAAGCAGACAAACCACTAAAGACCAAAGTGCTAATAGCGCCGGCAATGCTGCGAACATGGCTGGCCAAGATCCGGAGACGCGCAAGTTACCAGACATGGGTCCAAGTTCCCAAACCTGCCTACCGGGCACCACCGTAAGTGATGTACCGATCGATTATCGATGATGTCGATAGCTGCAAAACTATGCTACGCACCCTTTTTCCCTGTTGATAACCTTGATATGTTTGGTACGTTATTCCACTGCGCCCTATACTCCAGAGGACTGTTGAGCTGGTCGTCCTGTCGAGTCGTCGTTCATTGTCCCGGCCGCTGAATCCCCGCCGCCCACGGCTTCCGCAGTGGCTTCTTCATAGCCCAGACAGTTCGCCCGCCATGGCTCTCCCAACCCTCAGGTCCCTCGCCGCTCGAAGACAGGCAAAGAAAGAGGAGAGCGATGGTGGAGTCCCAAGCCAAGCCGACTCGGAGAAATCACAGCGGATTCTGTCTCCCCCGCGCAGCGTCGATATCAGGGCGGCCACCGCAACACGACGAAATGCCATCTTTATAGCATGCGCTTTCTTCTGGGTCTCAGTCATCTTCCTAATCCTCGTCCGTATATCCCTCCCCTAGAGAACGAAACTTTCATGCTGATGAGGCCTGCAGACCATCATCGGCAACATCAATAACGACCCTGTCATTCGCCGGACCTACTTCTACAAACTCGACCTGACCAACATCATTCCTGCCTCTGCCGGCGACATCACTCTTGCGAGTTCCCTTGCACGTTCCCTAGGTCTTCACGATTTTTACCAGGTCGGCCTGTGGAACTTCTGCGAGGGCTACAACAGTGAAGGCATTACACATTGCTCGACTCCACGCTCGCTCTATTGGTTCAACCCGGTCCAGGTCTTGCTCAACGAACTCTTGTCTGGCGCCACAATCGCTCTCCCCGCCGAGATCACCAGCATCCTGAATCTAATCAGGATTGCAAGCCATGTTATGTTCGGCTTCTTCTTGACCGGCATCTGCATGAACTTTGTTTCGATTTTCATTACGCCTATTGTGCTCTATTCCCGATGGTGGAGTCTTCCGATCGTAATATGGACATTCATCGCTGCTCTTCTAACCGTTGCGGCGACCATCATTGCGACAGTCATGGCCCTCATCTTCAAAAATGTCGTCACAGGTCAGCCGGGCCTGAATATAGGGGCGTCAGTAGGGACGGTTATGTTCGCCTTCATGTGGCTTTCTGCGTCTTGTACTATCCTTGGCTTCGCTATCCATCTCTGCCTCTCCTGCTGCGGGGCAAGCAGGAGAGATATTCGAACTGGCAGGAAGAAGGGGAACAAAGCCGCGTATCCGCACGAGGTCACGGAGAAGAAGGATCACCCTATAGGGAAAATGTTCAAAATACCAAAGTTTGGGAGGAGGAAGAATGCTGCTGAAGCTGTATAAGAGATATTAGGGGGTACAAGTTATATGACACATTGGCATGAACTACATGTATAGACGGGAAGGCATATTGGGCGGCGTTGACAGACGGCTGGATAGCGATTTTTCTTTTGGCATTGAAGCGCTTTACACACATACCATATATACCTATTTCATTGAGTACTTTCATAGAGTTAACAGACAAAAATGAAGAAGTTGAATCAGATAAGTCATACATTCCTACCAGTCTAGGGACTGTAGTTCGGACAAATCCGCTCGTTTCATTTGATATGCACCTCGCTTTGCTTTATGTCTTAGGGGATATTGAGTTTATACTTCACTTCATCTATGATATACTTAAGATGCATCATTCAGCATTCTGTATATAAAACCGTGAAGCCGTGAAGCAAGAATTTACTAAAATACTGTCCTTGGCCCAGACGGTCTATATATCCACGTCCCCAATCCAATCCATATTCAAAGCAGTCTAAGAGCAACCCATAAGGGGAAAGATCAGAATAAGATGTGCATAGTTTTTCAAGCCAATCTCTTGGGCCTTTCCACTGACGGTCTCACCTTAGGTTTGCTAGTTTTTCACCTAAGCATATCACTCTCCTTCTCTTTCAGCCTCGCGTATTAACCGAGGTCTCAGCCTCTCCTCGACGCGTCCGTCGCGTATCCCTAAGACTCCTGGAGTCCTACCCCATCATCCCATAACCATAACTATGAATGGCACTCAAGATCCCCAGCATTCTCAAACTCAGCGACTTGCGTTGCCTGTCAGTAAAATGCGGTCTGCCAACCTCCGGCACAAAACCCATCCTTACGCAGCGTCTTCACGATGCAATCAGCAGCGTCCCCAGGGCTCCCAAACGAACCCGAGTCCTTAGCATCGACATGGGGATCCGGAATCTAGCTTACTGCGTCCTGGATGTGCCATGCAAAGGTAGTGCTGCAGCAGCATCCTCGCCCTCAATTCCATCCATGCATGCCTGGCAGCGCCTCGCGGTCTCGACGTCTTCCCCCGGAGAGAAGGAGGCATTCGACCCCGCGACCCTGTCGACCATTGCTTATGACCTTGTCCGCCAGCGTCTACTCCCTCAGATGCCCACGCATATCCTGATTGAGCGCCAGCGCTTCCGGTCTATGGGCTCTAAGCACATACTCGAATGGACGGTCCGCGTTAACATGCTTGAGGCAATCCTATATGGCGTGCTGGGCGCATTGAAGGCGGAAGGGGTTTGGGAGGGCGAGGTGGTGGGCGTCCCGCCGGGGAAGGTTGGCCCGTTTTGGCTGAGCGAGGAACCGGATGGGGAGGCTGGGGAGTGGAGGAAGGAAAGGAAGGGGAAGAATGCGAAGAGTAAAAATAAGGGAATCAAGATCGATTTTGTGAGAGGGTGGCTGGAGAATCGGAAGATGGTAAGTCTTGGGAATGAGGAGGTGGAGGCTATGGCGAAACTTTATATGGAGAAGTGGGATAGAACCCCGGGAGGTAGAAGACTTAAGACGAAAGTTGATGAGGAAGGGCAGGTTCGCAAGTTGGACGATTTGGCGGATTGCTTGTTACAGGGCATGGCGTGGATACAATGGCAGGAGAATAAGAGGATGGCTCTGAAGCATGGGGTGGAGTCTCTTCTAGTCTTCTAGATCAACGAGATGTATATACAGTAGGATATAGCCGCCCTCCAAGGGTCCAGAGTCTAAGGTAGAGTCCGTCCTCCCCAATCTTTAAAATCCAAAATGGGTTAGAGGCCGTTTTAGCCAGGAATCCCAAAACGGGATAACCCTTGTTCAACTTTGATCATATCACGTGAGATGGAGCTGTTCCAGGTTCTGATGTCATTTATTGAAGTCACGTGCTACATCATCCATCAACACCTCGAGGGTGCTTTATCTTCTATTTTGTTGCACATCGCATGAACGCTTACGTCGAGAGTGTTGAACGTTTGGTTCGACGTCGGTGTGATTAGCATCATGTGATACTGGGCCCGTGATACAAGAGAAGCTTTGTTGCACATCGCGATCGGCGGGAGTGTCAACGCTGGTTTTGATGGCTGTGAGATTAGCATCACGTGAATTATACTCAAGTACAGGTAAGGTAGGGAAAAGAATAGCAGCTATTCATTTTATCATTTCTCTTAAGTTATTGATTTGAAGGACTGTGTCTTGTTGTCCCCAACAACCCGAAGCATCAGGCAATGCCAGTTGGATCAAAATTGAACATGAAACTGTAACCCCCTCCTTATCAGCCACCAGTTGCCTCCCTATAGAAAGAGATACTCCTATTTGCGCCAGCAGTAGCAAACGCCTCACTCCTCCCTGTCTTCGGTAACCATTTCACACACCATAATGTCTTGTCCGTCTCACTGTGAGTAGCGACGCAATTCCGCGTATCGATAGACCAGACCTTGACCTTCCCATCAAACGCACCGCTGAGAAGATACTCGCCAGTATCACTCCAGTCCACTGAGAATATCCATGCTGAATGTCCTGTAAGATTTGCAACTTGTTCGCCGTGCTGTACATCATACAAAGCAATGACCCGCGAATCTCCAGCTGCTGCTAGACGAGTACCAGCCGGTGAGAACGCCACAGTCCGCACTGGCTTCACCAGCCCTAGTCTTATCAGCTCTGCCATATTCAAGAGTTGTTGGGATCAACGTACCTGGCAATGAGTAAAGCATCCTTCCCGTCTCGTTATTGAACACGTAGACGCCACCATTCTCGTGTCCACTCGCCGTAAACCTCCCATCCCTACTCATATCAATACACATGCCGAAGCTACCCTTTGTCTCAAATTCCCGAATCTTCTTGCGCCCATCCACTAAGTCCCAAACGTTTATTCTTCCATCATATGTAGTGCTAGCCATGTATTGTCCATCCTCGCTGAGGGCAATAGCCCAGATTTCCCCGGCGTTGTTCCCATCCACGACCTTCCCTTCCTCGAACCACTCCCCTGACTCAGAAATACTCCATATCTTCACTTCGCCGCCAAACCCAGCGCTGGCTGCGTAGCGTCCGTTGCGGGAAGTTACGATGTGGTGGCAGCCGAGTTTGTGTGCGCCGGTGATGGTTTGCGCGAGAGGGACATCGGTGGAGGTTGTAGAGTGTACTTTTATGGAGGAGGCGCCCGATGCAGAGAGGATCTGAGTAGGCGTTACAGCCAGGGAGAAGATGTCGGTGATGTGGGCTGGTGGGATGTTAGCTTTGGTAGCGATGGAGGGGTAGATTGGAGATTTACCATCGTCAATGGTGTGCGTTGTGAGATACTGTTTAGACTAGAGGGTGTCAGTACTTGTCATTTAGGAGAAGGTAAATGTCTACCATTGTCACTGACTCATTTTATGACCTTTGAGGGTGGTTCTTAGAGGATCGCGTCCCTTGATGTTGAGGAGCTGTTTTGAACCAGAAGCTCGCTTGTGTGGTCTAGAGACTTGAGATCTTGCAACAATCAGCTCCTTCCCCCTGTGTCCGGCATTTCTACAGCACGCAGGTTCATATTGTCATTTTGCGAGTTATGCTTTCCTTAAAAGAAAATAAAAGCTTGAGAATGCCATATTTCCACAACAGACCCTCCTCGTGTGGCTGCCTCGATGGCTGTCCGTCGAATATCGGGGTAAGTTGACATACATTTCATACTGGCTTGCGGGAGTAGCCAAGATAGCATGGTCGAAAGCCTGTGGGATTGCAAATCCCTTAACTAACAGGAAATCGTGGCGAGCGATGCAGGTACCTACCCCGTTTACAGAGCTCTTCCGCTGTTGAGGTGTTGGCCCACGTTACTCCCATGATGTGAAATACAGAGGCTCAGCGCCAGAATTGAAAATAAGGTTGCTCCCAACACCTGGAGGCATGTTTTTAACTAATTAGAGATATCCCGAATTGTTACGTTTTCCCATGGTCCTCTCAAGGCAGCTAGCTACCTCTGGTCCTATCGTCCAGTGAGATATCACGAATGCTGAAGCAAGGCTACCGCCCGTAGACCCAACCATCTAACGATGTCGTCACAGTTTGACAGTCCAACATCTGGTATTGCTTGTATGGTGATATCGAAAATAGTGTTTCCCATTCAGTATACAGTTTTGTACAAGTCTCCAGCTGCTATCGCCATGTCCTCCTGACCTTCCATGGGAATCCCAAACGCCCCAATATGCTATGCAATACCACTATTCTCTCCACAAAGATCAGAAAGCTTCCTAAATTACTGATCAACTGGCTTCTCGGCTGTCATCTGCTTCTCAGTTGTCGTCTTCGATTCGTTTTCCTTGAACATGTCCTTTATTTCTGCGGCAAAGTTAGCGACGATTGGGATATCGCGTCAACGAAGCTCACCCTTCACGCAGTATGGGCACAGTAAATGCGCCCTTTTAACATGCCCGCAGGCAGAACATTTATTCAACGCTGTTACGTCCTTCAATCCCTTTCCAGCCATTTGCCGATGCCTCTTCTTCATATGAGAAGTCTTCTTCTTGGGGACAGCCCGGAGAATGGACTCCCAAATCCCTTCTAGTAATCCCGGAACATTGAGATGTATAGCCGAAGGAATTGCGAATGCGAATGACGGCAGAAGTGGATGAGAAAGTTGCCGCGAGTATAGGGTCGTAAATCTTGATGTCTTCGAGACCGTTGAACCAGATAATCGAGGGAGGAAGGACGAGAGAATCGAACGCGTTGTCACATGAGAGGCAGCCATCTTGACCCGTAATGGCTGTTGGGAGACTCGGAGACTCGTGACAGAAGGATTGAAAGCCAATCTATCAATTATTTATTCGAACCGTCGTCGAGCTTCTGAGTTTGAAGCATTTCGGAAACTTCCTTAGCGGCCGACTTGCCTATCTACGCTAAGTCGATTGGGACTAGTGAATCCTACCCCTTTTGCGAACGCGACACCTATTTTGTGGAGGAAGTGAGCCCCCTTCTAAATCTCAATTTCGACATCTTCTCTCCAATATCCCATCGACTGCCAATTCCTCGCTCCCAGCTATACACAGAACGATCTTGAGCCTAACTAGACACTATCGCAACAATGGCAACTGTCCAAGACAGAAACGCTCCCCAACAGTCGGTGTACCCCCGAAGCCATGTCGGTTTTGACAGCATCACATCGCAAATTGAGCGCAAGCTCTTGAAGCGCGGTTTCCAATTCAATATCATCTGTGTTGGTAAGTGTGATCCGTCATGATATGGAGGTGTTAGAACCTCTTCCAGCGCATTTACTGAGTGTATGCATCAGGACAAACTGGGCTCGGAAAGTCAACTCTCATCAACACCATCTTCGCGTCGCACCTGATCGACTCGAAGGGAAGACTCACTCCCGATGAGCCAGTACGCACTACAACCGAGATCCAGACTGTTTCCCACATCATTGAGGAGAACGGTGTCCGTCTGCGGTTGAACATTGTCGATACCCCTGGCTATGGCGACCAAGTCAACAACGACAGATGCTGGGACCCAATTGTCAAATATATCAAGGATCAGCACTCAGCCTACCTCCGAAAGGAACTTACTGCCCAGAGAGAACGATACATCCAAGATACCCGCATCCACTGCTGCCTTTTCTTCATCCAGCCCTCAGGCCACGCGCTGAAGCCAATTGATATTGTTGTCTTGAAGAAGCTATCGGATGTTGTCAACGTTGTCCCAGTCATTGCTAAGTCCGATTCTCTGACACTCGAGGAGCGAAGTGCTTTCAAGGAGCGCATAAAGGAGGAGTTTGCCTTCCACAACTTGAAGATGTTCCCATACGACAATGATGAATTCGATGAGGAAGAGCGTGCTTTGAATGCTCAAATTAAGGTTGGTGCAACACGTCAAAAGTCATATCTTTTTTCTAACTCCATCTGTAGAACATTATCCCATTTGCAGTCGTTGGATCAGAGAAATCAATCATTGTTGGTGGCAAGCAAGTCCGTGGCCGCCAAAACCGATGGGGAGTTATAAACGTCGAGGACGAGACCCATTGCGAATTTGTCTATCTCCGAAACTTCCTCACCCGCACCCATCTCCAAGATCTCATCGAGACCACATCTCAAATCCACTACGAGACCTTCCGTGCCAAGCAATTGCTGGCGCTTAAGGAGAGCAGTGCAGCTGGAGGACATGCTGGCAGCCGACCGATTAGTCCTTCAGCCGACCGTGAATTGAGCAGAAATTCTCAGAGAGTGACGATGAACGGTTATTAGGATAGTATGGATGTGTGGCTGGTGTTTCGAATGAGGGTGGTTGCTCATGATGGCAAGATGATATCCGTGCAAAAGCGACTTTTTTGATTTCCTTTGACTCAAGTAGGCCAAGCAGAGCTATAAGTGGCCGCTTAAACTGGGCTTTCCTTTGTCACTCCGAATTCCCCATTTTCACCTTGCTTAATTAGCCTTTTCTAATGTCGAGAATTCATTTCAATAGCAGTAAGCTCTACATTACTAATGACACGGTGTGTACTGAGATACGTAGCTTGAGATTACTTTGATCTCTCTTATCTATATTCACGTTTGCTCGGAGACATTTACTTACTGCTCGCTCTATATATACAATATATAAATAACCCTCTCTTGGTATCAGCGTAACCTGTCAGCAGTATTCAAAACTTTTGAGTCCCCACCTCCCAAATGCAATGTAAAGCTTCCAAACTCCCCTCGTCGCAGCCCCCTGACCCTGCACACTACTCCTTAGCCCCATTTCTCTAAGCCCTCTCCTTGTAGATAAAAGCCTCAAGTTCCGAATACGCCTTCTCGAGATCATCATTGACAATAATCAAGTCATGAACCCCCGGGGTCTTCGAGTACTCCATCTCGTTCTTGGCCTGCGCCAGACGTTTCTGTATGCTCTCTTCCTTTTCCGTGCCGCGGCCTCGCAGGCGCGCTTCTAAGATCTCCATTGAGGGGGGTGCGATGAAGACGTAGCGTGCGTTGAGGGTGGACTTCTTGATTTGTTTCACGCCCTGTTGGTTGTCTCCTGTCAGCTGGCTGGCCACTTCAATCGCCCAATATCCTATCCGTCCTGCATAACTTGCGCCATCCAATAACCCCGCTAAGTGGAAATGGGGAGAGAGAGATCACAAACCTCCATCTCAATGTCTAGAACGACGACCTTCCCGCTCGCTGTCAGATTCGCAATGGTCATCTTGGAAGTGCCATAGCGGTTCCCTCCAAACTTAGCATGCTACCATGATGTTAGCACCATAATCGACAACTCGTCGCATCCACCCTCTGATCTGCGTTGATATGGAGAGAAATGGGTGTATAAGGGAGGGGTGAAGCACCTCCACAAACTTCTCCTCCTCAATCATCTTCTCAAACTCCTCCATCGTGATGTAGTAGTAGTCGACATCGCGCGTCTCGCCAGGGCGCGGATCGCGCGTCGTGTGCGACACAGATGTTGCGAATGTGTTGGGCCGACGCTCCAGAAGGAGCTTGTACAGCGTCCCCTTCCCTACCCCGCTGGGTCCGCTGATCACGACCGGTCGGTTGTCGCTTGGTGCTGCCCGCTGGTCAATAATGGGGTTTGCTTTGTGGGGTGGAAGGGGGAGAAAGAAGGGCGGGGCTGCGGATAGGGGGCCTTGAGGGGACTTACCTGCTGCCATTGTGTATGCGCGATACAATGTACGGAAGCGTGAAGCTCGTGGGAGGATTCGAGGAGAGGAGAGCAGTGGCCGAAGAGAGAACATGTACGGTTGGTTGTCTTAGGCGTGAGTCCAGGACATATAATTGTCGGGGATCGAGAACCCTGTGGGGGCTAGCTTAAGTTATTTTTAAATTGCTTCAATTTATCGGCCCCCCTTATCGCTTCACGATTTCCCCTAAAATTTTGCACGAAACCTACCTGCCTTACATAGCTAGGTACCTACCTATACCGTATATACTCTAGGTATTAATGGATCACGTCTTTTATCATTATGCGTTCTAGAGATTTATTGTTGTGATCTGTCCGATTCTCATTGCGGTGCTATAGACAAAAAAAAAAAAGCTATGCTTTCCATTCACCTGAACCCATCCTCGTGCCTGAACGCCATCCGTGTGCCTGAACTCCTTAACCGTCCGACATGCTTCGTAAGGAGGGGGTATTTAAAATGAAACCTCTAAACGCAGTATCATGCTCACTTGCTCTACACAGATTCCAGTTTTCTAAAACCGCGTTAAGTTGCTCACTTCGCTGTATCTTGATGACGCTGGATATTCATGCGCTATCGTGCCTGCGTTGTGATATGGGTGTAAAGCAGTTGGTGGGCGTTGGATATCTGGCACAACTGGCGAGCTTCTCGATTCCCACTTCTGAAACTGCTCTGGGTCATTTGAAACTGGCTTAGAGATATGCGACAGCCGGATAGGAAACTTCAGGCCAAATCTCGACTTTCGTCGCTCCTCGCTAGTGCTGTTGTATGTAGGGAGCACAGGGGATGCTGCACGACGGGAGCCGCTGGACAAACTGAAGGTCTTGGTGCGTGGTTCTGTGGGTATTGCTGCACCGTGACTTCGGACTTGGCGACCAGTGATTCCTTGTTTGGAGTCACAGAATACGAAGGTCTAGATAATTGTTAGCAAATGACTTGGGTAAAGGGGAGAGATTACTCACGGCAATGATATTGAACAGACCCATCAGGGATGATAGGATACCTGAAGCGATGACGATGCGCCACAATGGTAATCCTAAGCTCTGAACGCTCGTAGCACTTTTGTTCAAATTGCCCAGAATATTGAAGCCCAGGACGATCATAGCCATTCCAAGAAAGACAAAGCCGGAATTAATGGAGAGCAGTGGCCAGTTGCGCGCATAGTACGATTTGAAGAGGTTGAGCTCGGAGACGATGAGGAAAATTCCTATCGTACTGGTGATGAAGTGGGATACCCCATCAAAGAAGAAGAACTACAAACTTGTTAGCAATGTACAGGTGATGTGAGAGATTGGATTAGGGAGTCCATACATTTGAGGTCTGAACGGTTCTGACGAGCATAACCCAACTTGCTATCACAACTGTGATGAGGGAGATTATATTGAGTACTCGAAGGACGTTCAAGATGATGTAGCCTGGGCCACGCAGTTTGGAATCTGGCTTCATGTTGAACATTTTCATGGTGTATTGAACGAAGCTTTGAAACTAGGAGCTTGTAAGTAAGTTGCTTCAAGTTCTTGGGAGCCTAGAAGACTTACAAAAAGTTATTGTGTGTGGGGTGATTGGACTGCCTGCAGTAGAAGTAACTCGAAGTCGATTCGATGAAGTTTGAAGTGCTTTGAAAAATAGTGTAGATGGAAATTTTATGAAGATTATTAGAATAGAAGAGAAAGATCGAAGCGAAATGATTATATAGACAGTACACTGTTATTGAGGTTGTCCAAACCTCATTGTCGTGTGAAATCACAATGAACGGAGTAAAGGGACAATGGGAAGTATAAGAATAAGGACAATAAGACGCACTCGTTTCCGAGGCCGAATTGTGACCATCTATATTAAACCACCGTGCAGTGAATACTTCTTTGTTCTTCAAACTTAGTGTGAGTCTTGTTCTTTCAGAGCTGCACGCTGATCCAATCGTATTCCTATCAAAGGATTGTCTTTGACCTGACGGAAGGGGAAGAAGGGGTTCTGAGGGGACAACAATTGCAGTCGCGCGAAAATAACTCAATGCCGCCTGGAACTACTCGAGGCTCATATTCTGGGGGCTATCTGGGTACGCCGGACATCTGGTACTGCTCAGGTCCCCGCGCGGATGAAGACTTGGGCGATAACTATCATCCGGAACCAGATCATCTCTTCAACCCCTATCAGATCTGTAACGGGCGCTTGCAAGGCAGGGCTCTACTTCTGGATGATGCATGTCTCGATGTTTTGCAGTCAAAAAATGTAGATAGGCGATTGGGCGAAGGCGCTTAAAACCTTTCGTTTCAACTTTCAAGTCCGTTGTCCCCTATGATATTCCGCTCCGGGCTGCCAGGTAGAACTGTGCGAGGACTGCTCAACGTGGTATTGCACGAGATATACAAGCACAATCATTGGCCGAGCTGTCTTCCACCATTGGTGACCGTGAACTCATGAAGAACCTACCTTGAATTGTAAAAGATGTTTCGAGTTACGGACCGTTTTGAATTCCCGGGGGGGGCTGTTTCAAGAGGAGGATGTATCTGCCATACTCAACTTTCTGCCTCAGGCTCCAACGGCTCGGCGGGACAACAGACATCTAGCCTCTTCTATCTATTTTTGGCACATATGATCTTTTTCAGCCTCGAAGCAAAAGACTGGCCACGCAGGCAAAGAACTCTTCCGAATCTCATCCAAAGAATCGCGCACGCTTCGCAATCATTCAAGATGGCTAGGGGAAACCAGAGGGACAAAGCTCGTGAGGCGACTCAGAAGAAACTGGCTGAGCAGGTTAGTAAAGCCCATTAGAGCCGGCTGCTGTGGGAGCCTTCCAGAAGTTGTGCTAATGGCCATCGACGTTTGCAGAAGAAAGCCAACACCATGTCCGGCCCTGAGATGCAGCGCGAGAAGGAGAGGGTTGCTCAAAGGATGAGAGAGAAGCAGGCTGCCGGTATGTCTACGGAACTGGGCTGCCTTGTCCTCCATGAGCTAGTCATGCTGACAAAATTCTAGCTGATGCGAAGAAGGCTGCTGAAGCTCTTGCAGCGAAGAAGAAATAGATGATATCGACACCACACCGAAGACTCCAACGAGTAACGAGACGGAATGCCAAGCAGCGACGGAGTTTTCGGTCAAGGTTAACGATGAATACGAGCATAGGTAGCGTGGTTATAAGGTGTTTAGAATGGGTCGTTTTCCAATTGATATCCTACAAATTTACATCTCTTGTCATTTACTATGTTGATATGTCATATGTCCCGGAGGAGTCAAGTGGGCTGTATATGTGCGTACACTACTTCCCTTGGGTAAATGCAGCTCGCTGCATCTATCTAGGCCTTTAGGTCAGCGTAGTGCGCTTCTCCCTACAAATGAATCTCTATGACTATATCCTACACTACCAAATAAGTGCCTAGCATTGGAGTAAGGTGGTCAGTACCATTTTCAGTTCTAGGCTGTTTATGACCCAAGAGTCGATAGCATGTTAGCCTCCTTCACCAAATTATGCTAAATCAAAGTACGGTGTGCTTACTTCTATCATCCTCTGTCAGTCTACCTATTTCGTACTGCCCCTTATTTCTGAAGATCTCCAAACCATGAAACTACATTGCATATCAAGTCTTCTCAATCTTCATGTCCGGGGTATCTCAAGCAAAGACAGGGTTTGATCTGGATCGGTAGGGATTCTTGCCAAAATCTGTTTTATGGCAGTAAAGGGAATGCAAATTTGCACCAGGTGGAGACAGTGTTGATGCGAATTCGAAGAGGCATCCCGACAGCCGGGCTCTTATGCGCCGGAACCCGGTCAGCAAGCATTCGCAGAGTTCTCGCTCACGGATCAGTTAAGTAAAGATACTCTTATGCTTATTTTCCAAGTACAAGGGTCAGGGTATCTTTCACCTAGATTCTGATTTATCATATTGGAGTTTCGATGACACCACTGGGCTCAGACAATATTTGAGAGCATGCAAACATTGATGGATATTTTTGCTGTCTATCTAAGCCAGTGCAAGAAAAGAAAATTAAAAACGCCAGAACCGTATGCGATAACGGTGTCCATTCGACTATTAAAGCGCATCCCCAATACGATCCAGTCATATATACCTCACAGGCAGCGAAATTCCGGTGTCAAGCCTCTCAACGGCGACACTCATGCCTGGTGCTACTTTACAAAAGAGATACCACTTGCCACTAGAGGCTTTAGGACTCGAGAGCAGCCATTGGCATCGCACCTGTCTTTATGTCAGGAAGGTTGGGGTTTATAGCATGGAAAACACTAACCTGACATGCCGCCAAATGCACCAACACCTTGGACAGCAGCGTTTGGGAATGCGGCCGTACCGCAAAGGCAGGAGCATTCGCAAGCACCAGCACCGTTGAGGGTGCCTGAACCTGAGACCATAGATCCAGAGCTGGATCCAGAAGACATTGATCCAGAGCTGGAGCTTGCGGCGGAAGAAGTAACTGCTGGGGGTGGGGCAGCGACTGAACTTGTTGATCCTCCAGTAATGGCAGATGCGGACCCAGTTCCATTTTGGGCAATGGCCATTTGCTGGAACATGGCCTGGGTTTTATTCGCCGTGGGGTTGATCGAGAAGGTCATTCCCTTTCCGCAGTGGCCCTTTTGTTTGCAGTAGAACCCTATCGAGTGTTAGCTGGTGACCTTGTGGGCGAAGTAGGATTCTTACAGATTGGAGTGGCCACAGTGACTTGCATGGCCATTTGCGGCGGTGGTGAGACCGAGTTGTTGATGTTGGGAATAAAGCCGGAATCTACACCACCGGCAAGCTTCTCGCAAGGTGTGTTGAAAGCAGATTGTGTGACCGTATGATTTGCCGATTCGAACGTGAAGATGACCATATCCCCAACTGCAGCCTCGATGGTGTCCGGGGTATAAACGAGACCGGCAGTACCACCGACGGTGACCTTCTTGAAGTCAGTACACGCCTCTTTCTTATCCCAAAAGACTCACACTATGTGTTGCTTTGGCTGCGGATGTGCCCGAAGCATCCGTGACGGTCACTGTGTTGGTCACAGTCGACGTAGCTGCTCCACCTCCCTCGTTGACCCAGATGACAATGATCTCGTCCACAGATGAGCCGGAAGACTTGCTGTTTCCTCCCTTTCCATTGCTGATAGAGATACCGGTTTCTAGTTCCACTGCTCCTCGCTCAACCAGGTCTGCTTGGAGAGTACCGGCCAACGCCAATGGCGCAGCACAGAGTGTGGCAACAGCAGAGAATCTCATGGTGATCTATATATTAGAGAATTGGAATAGGTATCGTATGGAAATGACGGGGACGACGGCCGCACTGCGGTATAGCTAGACTAGCAGAGATATCTTAAGACGGCTTGGCGGTAAAGATCGTAAAACTGAAGCGTGGAGAATATAGCGAGGGCCTGCTCGAGATGGTAAAGAGACAAAAGCACAACTGAAGAGAATGAAGGTGAAGATGTGCGCGGCAAGATAGACGAAGGGGATGAGAAGAGAAATGTGGACTTGGGGAACATAGGGTATTAAATGAAGCATGAAATTAGACGTAAGGCCTGGTCGACAATCCCTCATGGTATCTACAGCAGACAGTCCTGGTGTGAAACCATGAAACAGCTTCAATATGGGCTTGAGGAACTCCTCGTCTGGTGTTATTCTTGCGAGGCGTCGCATTCTACCCGGGGTGCAGGGCGCGGGGGATTCTACGGATTCGCTTATCCTGGGAATGCTGGAGCACGGGGCGTGCTGTGGTCGATGTGTTTGACAAGCGACAGTTCTCGACGTTGCTTGTTTGAAGAGCCGTGCCAGAACCGTCTCACCCAGAAAATCATGGTCACCGAGGACATGGGGACACGACGGCGCTACGTCTCGGGAGGGGGTTTGGATGATCTGCTCGTGACGGGAGAGGCTGGACGCTATTCGGAGAGCATCATGTTGCTGAGATCTCATCTAACCGGCGAGGACGACAGCCGTTTGAGGCGTTGGAGAACGAGGAAGAGGCCTGAGCACCGAGGATATGTAGCTTCCTTGCGAATTTTACTTCACACAGACCCTTCTAGTTCAATGACGGGTTCAAATATTTCTTATTGCGATGAAAACGTAGGTATCTTCATCGGCTACCGAAGGCAGCGTACGACCAGATAGAGAGCAAAATGGAGGCCGAGTACTATACGTAGCCTCACAGTCTGACCTGGAAACGGTACGGCTTTTGTTCAGTGTTCTGTTTCCTGTGGTCCGGAGGTACCACGTGCTTTTGGCACTGCCAAACAAGGTATTGCAGTGCCGCAGCAGCTCGGACGTGCGCTCGGGAGGCCCATTATCAGATGGCCAAAACTATCTCTGTGACAGATTTACGGTTAGAGTCAAACATGGCGGTTCTATCTCCTCATGCATCATGCTTGCTTGCTAGCCGCTCCTTGTTGCTGGCCCTCGTAGAGACCGGTGTAATAGCCAGCGTAGTACCACGACATTAGCAAATTCTTCAAGCTCTCGTCATGCACTGTATCCATCAAGGCCCACATTAGCCCATGATCCAGGGACATCTTGAAGCTTCCGTTTGTCTCACCTTGACCGATAAGATGTTTTGGCAGTGCTGGGCCCTTTGGTGGCACACTATCAGACGCTTGATTTGAGACGGCATGCCGACTGTTCTCAACCTAAAGAAAGATAAGGTTCAGTGCCGCGAAGGAGAATTTCCAAGATCTCTGAACAGTAGGTACTCACTCGAGGCCCATCATCAGGTGGAACTGCAGTAGGATCAGCCGTTCCTCCAGATAAGCTCTTCTTGGCATGCGGATCAGGGACCTGCTGGTCACTGGCCTCCCCTTCCTCATGCTCCGCCTCCTCACGACTAAGAAGATCAGCTTTCTGCTCCACTTGAGGGATGCGGGACTAACTCTCTATCACTCTGGTTCTCGGCTTCCTTCAGTACATCTTCGACCTTTTCGCCTCGAGCATGTATGCTATGATAGTACTTTCTGAATATTAGCTAGGGTCCAGATGATGTATTCGATGCATTTACCTTATATTCCTCCAGAGCCTCATTCCAAGAGTCAACGAGGAGAGAATCATCCCATATCTCTGTATGTGACATATCGTTGGAGGCCATTGTTGGACGAGGGTTGGCGGTTGCTGAAATGCAAGATTGGGGAGGCAAGCGAAATTCTGGGAGGCTTCCAAGTCATGTGCAGGCAACATATCATGATCTCTCAGCCCATCTCCTCTTTTTCCCATCTAACAGGACAAAACTAATCATTCTTATTCCCGTCCAACTCCTCATATCGTCATGGCTCTCCCAACAGCAAGTTTTATTTAGTGTCACGTGACTCGTATCAATGTGAAGAAGACGGTTTCTACCTACCTTACCTACCTAGTGGATTCGAAGCGGCATAATTCAAAATGACTTGTCTATGGAAAGTAAAGACCTTATCTAAGATCTAGTAGAGTTATTGGTCTAGTACCAGCGCTTGGAAGGGTTCAGCGGTACAACTGTCAAAGGTATCTCTACTCCGCATATCTACAACTAAACCCATCGTTCGGAAAGTGAAGACAGCAAGCATACCTACCTATGTAAGGTACCTTACTCCATTAACGATTCCGGCCATGAGAAATCCCTTAACATAGATGATCGCAAAAGTACTCGTCCCTCAGATTGTAAAGCCATCCAACCGTTCTGTCAGTTCTGACAACTCCCCTGCCAGTTTTTGATTCTTCGTCTTCGAGACACTCTTCCCAACCATATACATTGACTCACATTGGTGCTTTCCACCAACTATCAGATTTTCGGTTGCTGCCCACAGTTAATTCAAAAAGAGATACGTTACTTTCTTCAATTACTTGGCCGGGACAAGAAAGAAACTAAGGTAGCCATCATGTCCAGGCAATGCACGGGACTTAATGCTGAAGAGTGAAACGAGGAATTAGAAGTACGCATGGAAATGAACTCAAATTTGAAAGAACAGGTGACAACGGGCCTAAGTCATCGACAAGAAAGAAACATGAACCTCAGACAGTTCGAGCAACAATAATAAGATGGAATCTCTGATCGTAGGTAGGTTGTGGTTCGTAGCTCGTCCTCACCAATCTCGGCTAAGCTGTATACTCCGTAGTGCGGGCCAAATTGAAAGCGGTGAGGCCTGGCAATTCTTCGCCCGCTTGCAAAAAAGTTCTTGGTCAAAAACTCCAACCTCGCAAAATTCAATTGCATATCCCAACTGATTTCTACCACAATGGCCAAAGAAGTCCAGTCTAAGAAGCGCAAGGGTATGCTTCCTGGTCTTCTATTTCTGTTTCAGCAACTATGCAATCAAAAGCCGTGCTAATATCTTACCGCAGCCTCCGTGCCTGAAGCAGAAGCGGCCCAGCTGAAAAAGGTCAAGAAATTGACAACTGAGACTGCAAAAGCTCCAGAAAAGAAGCGCAAGGGTAATTGACACTTCAGCATCTCTTATTTTACCCATATATTAACAAGGTCAACAGCAACTGAAGATGCTACTCCTGTTGCGGTCAAGAAGACCAAGAAACCGAAGCCAGTTACCGCGGACGAGCCCGCATCAAAGCCTGAAAAGAAGGACACTGCAGAAGCTGTAGCTGCAAAGCCCCAAAAAGCCTCCAAAGATACCACGAGTGCGGCGGCAAAAGTCAACGGCGCTAAGGACAAGACTGAGGCCAAGCCAAAGGAGGCCAAAGAATCAAAGCCCACAAAAGATATCTCTTCGGACAACAAAGATGATGAGGAGTCTGGAGCTAGCGACGACGACAGCGATTCCGAAATCGATGACCAGACGGTGGCCCTACTGAAAGGCTTTGAGAGTGACGGTGATGAAGAGGATGCCCAGAGAGAGGAAGGTTTACCTGAAGGCAAAGAAGTTCCAAAGGTCCCCGAATTGTCCAAGAAAAACAAGAAGGCCATCAAGCGCGCTGCAGAGTCTGGAGAGCCCGAGAAGCCCGGAGTGATATATGTTGGTCACATACCCCATGGTTTTTACGAACACGAAATGAGAGCGTACTTCGAGCAGTTTGGAAACATCCTGCAACTCCGCCTATCTCGAAACCGAAAGACCGGTGCTAGCAAGCATTATGCCTTTATCAAGTTTGAGTCCGCCAGTGTTGCTGATATCGTTGCAAAGACGATGGACAACTACCTACTCTTCAACCATATCCTCAAGGTCAAGTTGATTCCAGATGAGCAGGTTCCCGCAGACTTGTTCAAGGGTGCCAACAAGCGATTCAAGAAGATTCCATGGAACAAGATAGCCGGTCGAAAGTTGGCGCAAGGTGCTTCTGAGGCAACATGGGAGAAGCGTATTGAGAAGGAGGAAAAGAGGCGAGCAGAAAAGGCCGAGAAGATGAAGAAACTTGGCTATGAGTTTGATGCTCCGAAGATCAAGTCTGCCCAGAACGTTGCGAAGAAGACTGAGCCTGCCTTAGTATTGAACGTAGAGGAGGATGAGACGAAGGCCATCGAAGCTGCTCCAGTTGTGGAAGAGTCAAGCAAACCTGAGAAGAAGGAGAAGAAATCCAAGGCTATCAAAGACACGGAAGCGGTTGGTGAGAGTTCTTCTGCTCCCATTGAAGAGCCAAGCAAACCGGAGAAAAAGGAAAAGAAAGAGAAGAAGAGCAAGAAGAGCGAGTCTGCTGCCGCTACTGAAACCCCCGCAACATCAACTGCTGATGTCCCTGAGAAGAAGCTGAAAACCAAGAAGTCTAGGACTTCTTTGGCTGACGCAACTACTGTCGGTGGCGATGCTTCACAGGAGAAGACAAAGAAATCCAAGAAAAACAAGGCCTAGACTGATGCTTGAACCTGGGAAGGGTTTGCGAATGTGTTTTAGTGGTGCAAATGGCGTTGAAAAGATATTGGCTTTGAAGAAGGACTTTTCATTCATATTGATATTTGTACGCAAAATTAGCTCCATCCAGAGAATATCGACACCGGGAGGAGTAGTAGCATCATTGCAATACATATGAAGAGAAAGCTGTGCATTTTTGGTTTCTTCGTTAGATTAAGGTAATTCATAATTCCGGTTCGTATTAGCATTGCAAAAGCACTGATTCTAGGTCCAATCCCCCAAAAACATATACATCATACAGCACCCGTTAGAGGATACTGCTTGCTCATCACAGAAGCACCTTCGATGCTACGCTGAGTAACCATGCCGCATCTTGCCATCCCCCAGCATCGTCATCTCTAAGAGGAGGCATTCGATCTTCGATAGGCGGATTCGTAATGTCATTAAGGTTCCTTTTCGAGGCCCTCGAGGAAAGTTCTGAATCCTCAGCCTTTCCATCCGACATATCAGCCTCTGTCTCTTCACCATCTTCATCAACAGCAAACAAACTCCATCCTAGCATTTTCCCGACCCAACCCCCCAGCCCGAGATTACTTGCACGGGCCAGTTTCCTGACGAGATCTTCATCCTCCTTTGCCTCTCTCTCGTCTTCAAATCCTTCGTCCTCAACATCCACAAAGTCTGGTTCAGCCACGAACTCCTCTTGAGAAAAGTAGTGCTGGTCAAAATACCCTTCCCTTTCTCCAGCTAGGGGGGTGGCCAATTGAACCCTGCTTCCTCTCCTACTATTCACCCGGCTACCGAATCGGCTCAATGGACGGCTCCCAGTCCCGGTAGCGGGTTCAAAACTCAAACTCCTCCTTGCTGTTAAGGGCGAATACTCATCATCAGCATCAGCGCCGGCCGCACTACCCCTTCTGCTGGACAGTTCCCTATCCCTTGCAAGTTCTCGTTCCAATTCCTCTTCGTCTTCATCCCGTTGTCCAGTTAAACTGGTGGAACTAGCTCTTGAAACAAGCCAGGCCTGACCTTTCGATTCTCTTGTCGAAGATGCAATTGCCGTACCAGCTCGGAGAAGCCAATCCACGTCACTCCGGTTTTTAGCAGTAAGATGGCCTAAGCCATCTCTTGTGCCTCCTCTTCGTAAGTTTATTCCGCCAGGTGTTGTAGTGCCGGACCGGTGCCGACTGGCCAGCAATTGGGTGCTCGATTTGCTCTTTGTGAGACCTGCATTTGAATTCCTCTGAAGAGACACGCGCGACGATGATCGGGACAGTATGGATGGTGTTGTTGGCGCAGACCGGCCCTCGATATATGATACGTGATAGCCAGTTTCCGGAACGGCGTCATGATCTGATAGAGGAAGCCGAGAGGTTAATGGGGCGAGAGTAAGATGATTGAGATTCAGTGAGGAGCGGTTATTATGGCGAGAGTGTGGAGAGTGTTGATTATATGCTACATCCATGATATCTAAATGATTGACTTCTTTGTTTCAGAGAATGGGGAGAGAACGTAGGTATGGAGGTGAGATGAGGGGACGGAATCTGGGGAAAGGCGTCTACTCTTTTAGCGTACGGTATTCTTGCAGTAGCGAGAAATCGCTTGAACAAATTTCCTCGTGAAAATCGACAAGGATTTGATACGGCTCCAACAAAAATATGATATTGAGGTACGGAGCACATCCTCTAAGACTGTGAAGATGCGCAATCTCAGAAATGTTCGATACGATGGATGGTCTCTTCCTACCCAGTTTCGGGAGAGATCTGTGACGGCGGCGACTTGGGATCTCGCCAATGACTCTGTTCTCTGTACCCTTGGGCCAACCGAGAACGATGCTCTCATAGAGCTCGTGCGGGTTGATGCCAGATCAAAGTCACAGTACGACCCATCTCTACTTCTATAAACTTTTATTAATTGCGTCTTTAGGAAGCATACAGTTCTTGCATCATGGGATGCACCATGCCCAAACGCTGATCTGTCCTGTGATGAGGTTCTCAGCCTCCATTATTTTGGAGACAGTCTGACAGCATGTCTCGTTCTGGCTGGCGGCGATATTATCGTTGTGAGAGAGGAACCCATGCCAGGTGAGGATCGAATTGAGATCATGGGATCAGTCGATGCTGGCATCACAGCGGCGGTATGGTCACCTGATGAGGAACTGCTCGCAATTACAACGAAAGCGGACACAGTGGTGTTCATGAGTCGGAGCTTTGAAGGCATTACAGATGTCTCCATGACTCCCGAGGACTTAAAAGCCTCGAATCATGTTTCCGTCGGCTGGGGTAAAAAGGAGACCCAATTCAAAGGCAAAGGGGCCAAAGCCTTGCGAGATCCTACCATGCCTGAAAAAATAGATGAGGGCGTCCTCAGTCCTAACGATGATTCAAGAGTCAGCATCTCTTGGAGAGGAGATGGAGCATATCTTGCTATATCGACCATCGAGGGAGGAGCTAGGAGAATTATTCGAGTCTACTCCAGAGAGGGTATCTTGGACAGTGTCAGTGAACCTGTCGACGGACTTGAGGGCACTATCAGCTGGAGACCCGCTGGTAATCTCATAGCTGGGATCCAACGCCTTGAAAATCGCGTTGATGTTGTTTTCTTCGAGCGGAATGGCCTCCGCCATGGTCAATTCAGCCTACGACTTACCCCTGAGCAAATGGCCCTTTCTGAACAACACATCAGACTTTCGTGGAACTCGGATTCAACAGTCCTAGCGGTTATAATGTCTGATTGTACTCAATTGTGGACTATGGGTAATTATCACTGGTACCTTAAACAAGAGATCAAAACCAACACTGCTCCCTTGTTACCATGTAACCCCATAATCTGGCATCCGGAGAAGCCATTACTGCTCGTAACTGCGGCATCGAGTAAGTACTAAGCTCATACGCTTGTTCAAATCTAATTAATGTTACAGATTCTATCAATGTTGTGGAGTATGTCTTCACGACGGCTCGCGGTTCAACAACACCTCCACACGATCATGGACTAGTCGCTGTGATAGACGGCCAATCAATAAAAGTGACGCCTTTCATGGCAGCGAACATACCTCCTCCTATGGCATTACACGAGATTACAGTTAATTCAAATGCAGCAGATGTTGCTTTCAATGGGGATTCATCAATCGCTGTCTTACACCAACAAGGCATTTCATTGTTTGAATATAAAAATGTCTCGGCGTCCGGTTCACCTCCAACGTTGAATGGGCGTTACACCTTCGAGAAAACCGAGTCTCCTGAGGGTTTCTACCAGCAGATTTCCTTTTCGCAAAACAACGAGATACTGGTGTTGCAGCAGTATAAAGGTGACTCTGTCATCAGACGATATGGTTTCAATGAGGATTCAGGTAGAATGGAGGAGAAGCTCCAGGACAGTCCTACTTCGACGATTTCGTTATTATCGACTTTTAACGAGGGTGGTTTGATTCAACCATTCGTACAGGACATGTCAGGAAGCTTGTACAGCCTTGGGTCTGGAGTCCACTCACAGCTCCAATGCAGATTTCCTATGAACCTGCCCTGGGTTGAGATAGCTCCACGTGACGATTCTCACATAGCGTTTGGAATGTCTGCAAATGGCCACCTGTATGCAAATACACGTCTCCTGGTCAAGAATTGTACCTCCTTCCTCGTCACGCCTGCCCATCTTATATTCACGACAACAAGTCATCTTATCAAATTTGTACACATCACGGATGTTGACAGTATGTGAGCTTCTTCCAGAGCCCCTTGATGCCATGCTGACTCCCCAAAGGTTTAGAGGTCCCACCAGATGATCCAGAGATAGACGAGAGATGCCGCAGCATTGAGCGTGGAGCTCGACTTGTTACTGCCATGCCCACATCTGCTAATCTCGTGTTGCAAATGCCTCGGGGCAATGTTGAGACTATCTACCCCCGTGCGATGGTTGTTGCCGGTATACGCAAGCTTATCAAGGAGAAGAATTACAGGAAGGCCTTCACGAATTGTAGGACTCAAAGAGTTGATATGAATATCTTATATGACCACGCACCCGAACAGTTTCTGGCAAATGTGCCTCTGTTCATAGATCAAGTCAAGAAGATCACCTACATTGATCTGTTCCTTTCCTCCCTTAGGTACGTTGAGCAGATCTCGCCGCAATATTATAGACTAACGTGTTACTTCAGGGAAGAAGATGTTACCCAGACCATGTATAAGGAAACTAGGGTTCTGCCAGGACGTGAAAGTGGCGTCCCCCACCCCAATGGCACGAATAGTGCAAATCAACAAAATGCCGACCCCGTCAACACCTCCAACTCCAAGGTCAATCGAATCTGCGATGCTTTTCTAGACGTACTGAAAACACGAACTGCTACAAACCTCCAAAATATTATCACGGCGAATGTGTGCAAATCACCACCTGCACTCGAGGACGGATTGCTCGTCGTCGCCAAGCTGATGAAAGAGGATAGTGCTATGGCTGATAAGGCTGTAGAGCATATCTGCTTCCTTGCAGATGTCAACAAGCTCTACGAGAATGCACTCGGACTGTACGACCTTGATCTCGCCCTTCTCGTAGCGCAGCAGTCCCAAAAGGACCCCAGAGAATATCTACCATTCATGCAGAAATTGCAAGAAATGCCCGAGCTCCGCCGACGATTCAGCATCGATGACTTCCTCGCTCGGCATACGAAAGCCTTGGGCCATCTCCACGCCCTTGATGCCTTCTCCGAAGTCGTAGCATATACCCAAAAACACTCTCTCTACCATTCTGCTCTAGCGCTCTACCGTTATAACCCGACTCAGCACGATACACTTACCGAGCTATATGCCCAATATCTCGAATCCAAATCTAACTTCAAAGAAGCCGCTCTGGCCTATGAATCGCTCTCCAATTACGTCAAGGCAACATCCTGTTATCTATCCTCTGGGCCATCCCAATGGCGCGAGACACTCTTCAGCGCACTCTCTCAGACCCCGCCCCTGTCAGGCGCTCCCCTCATCGACCTCGCAACCTCTCTCTACGACGCCCTAATCGAAAGCAAAGACTACTTCGCCGCAGGCACCATCCAGCTCGATTACCTCTCCTCAATTGAGAACGCAGCTAGAACCTTCTGCAAAGGATATTTCTTCGCCGACGCAATGCATCTCGTAGCCTTGAAGCAGAAGCCCGAGTTGCTCGAGAGCGTGATCGACCCCGGTCTAGCTGAAGCCCTGGCGTCTTCTACAGAGTTGCTAGCTGAGTGCAAAGCCCAGCTCCTGGCACAAGTCCCGCGGATTCGGGAATTGCGCATCAAGGCTCTTGCTGACCCGTTGGCGTTCTATGAGGGCGAGAGAGGAGGTGATGGCGATGTGCCGGACGATGTCAGTGTAGCGGCCAGCTCGAGGGTGAGTACAAATCGGAGTTTGTTCACTAGGTATACGGGGAAGGGAAGTCAGGGGCAGAGTATAGGGACGGCGGGGACAGGCGTCAGTAGAGCGACGAGTAAGAACAGGCGGAGGGAAGAGAGGAAGAGAGCTAGAGGGAAGAAGGGCAGTGTGTATGAGGAGGAGTATCTGGTTGCTAGTGTGGGGAGATTGATTGAGAGGGTGGAGAGTGTGAGAGGAGAAGTGGGCAGATTGGTGACTGGTTTGGTGAGGAGAGGAATGTGGGAACGTGCTAGGGCTGTTGAAGGGGGTTTGGCCGAGGTGGTATCTATGTGCCAGGCCTGCATCCCTGAGGTCTTTGGCACGAATGAGCCTCCGCAGGCTGAGGTATCGGGCGAGGAGAACGCATACCGACCTGTTGGGGGAGATGCCGTTCTCCAGGAAAGCATCGAGGCTGCGAGCAAACGCAAAGAGCCACCTCACGTCGCAGCATTTGAGAAGCTCACTTTGCTAGGCACATAGGAATAGTTTATACAATACAGATCTCGAATCAAGAAGAGATAGTCTGGTGCGCGTATCGTACGCATCTTGCAACGCCTTCAATGCCCATATGCAGTACATGCCCAATCCAGATATTATACACATCATGCTACAGCGGCGACAGCGGCACCCTCCTGTGACACTCCAGCTGCGTCGAGAGCCAGTTGCTTCTTCTGGGCGATAACCCGCCCGATTCTCTCCAACATCTGTGGTGTCAACTTGCCTTTGCCCTTCGCCTTCTTCTTCCGTCTTTCCTTTCTATTCAAGTCCTGCAGAGGTGTTCTCATCAGTTTTTCTTGTTTCTTCTTTTCTTCCTTCTCACGATCCTCCTGCATCTTCGCCTCTATGTACTCTGGGTCATGTCTAGTTCTGAATTTCGAGTATTTGTTCCTCAACTCGTCAATAACAGTCGACGGCATCGGGGGTCTCAACAATGTCGGCACAAAGCTGCGGACTTCGACATCCAACCGCAGCGTATCACAGTCGTAGTCTTTGTGTTCTTTGGGAGTCTGTTTCGGCCAGGGAATTGAGATGTTCAGTCCGGGGATTACACGTTTCCAGTATGTAGCTTTTGTCTCCCGATCGTGGTAGAAAGAGGTGTTGACGAGCTTCTTGATGATTACGTCTCGGGTCTCGCCAGTTTCGGCATCGGTGAGCGGATAGACGAGGCGGACGGAGGTCAAGGGGACAGGTTGCTCGATGGAGCGGACAGGGCGTTTGTCTGCTTCTTCGGCGGTGATCATCCATTGAGGGACTGCCACATCGACCTGGCAGGCACATGTTAATTTTGCCGACTCGGACAAGTTCAAGTACTGCTCACCATGTTCAGCCCTTCAACAGTGCAAGTTCCCCTCCTTGCATCCGTCGAGGTAATCTTCCCGATCTTTCCTTTATCCCTTCCTTCCAGCAAGACCACTCTATCACCGGCAACGATGTTCAGGTACCGTCCGCCGACATCCTTCAAAACCTCATCCCTCTTCCTAATATCCAGCGGTTGTCCTCTCGTCCGCTGCGAGATGATGGTTCCGTACGTATCCTTAGCATCTCCGACATCTCTCTTTGGCGCCAGCGGACCCAATTCCCAATCCTCCCTCTGAGCTAGCCTGGCGGCCTTGATCTGTGAGCTCTCATCCTTGCGGACAAAGTTTGTTTCTTCCCGGGTGATCTTGGCCCATTCTCTCGTTGCCTTGTCCTTTCGTTTCGCGAGGCGTCGGGCAGCCTGCTTCTCTGCCAGAATAGTACGCCGGATTACCTTCTGCATGGTCGCAGAGGGGTTGGGGGGAAGGGCAATTGATGAGAGGGAGGTATAGGGACTCCGTAGGTGGTAAGGCCTCGCCGGGTGCTTTTTTTCTGAGGCTAGCGGAGTGGAGCACGTGACCCCGGATTACTGCGCCTGCGAAGTCCGTAGTGAATCAGTTGATAGGAGTTTCAGGGGGGGGTTTTCGTCAAGGGGGGGGCGAGACAAGAAGATCTAGAATCGAGGGTACGCAATTCAGGCCGGGGATTGTCGTTGTGCTATTTGATCACAGCGGTGCAAAATGTACATGGTCGTATAAGATATATGAAGATGCAATCCGCGTGTGGAGTCGAGGGTCCTTGGTTCTCTGCTGCTACTTGCTACTGGTGCTGACAAGAATCCAACCGGCATACTAGCGGTCGACCGCCAGTGACATCCAACTGCTCAGCTGTGCAAGGGCGGAGTTGATCTACAAGACGTATGTAAGGTAGCCAGTGTCTTGCCCTTGATGCTTGCTCAACACCGTAGCTACAGGCACTCAAACGAGACAACTGGAATGCCGTCGAGAGAGCGTTGATGGAACTGGAAGAGACCTATCTCTGGTTGAAATTCCTTTTGATAACAACAATCACAATCATTACGAAGCTCTGTAGATGTACACTGTACATACATATCCTTATACGGCCATTCCCTGTAGACAAAAGAAACGCCACAGCGCCCGCCGCGACGGGGGACTATGGAAGCCTCAGGCAGCAACACTACTACCACCTACGACCTACTGTGCTTCCCCGTCCTCTGTGTCTCTCTGCTCGTTCTTCTTCCCCAACAACCAACTCCTCTTGACCTTCCCCCCCTTCATCTTCAACACTCTCTCGCCTGAGCTTCTTCAGATACCTCAGCGTCCAGCATTCTTCTTCAGCCAGTCGCTTTCTCCCCCCTCCCCCCCCATCACTCCTCTGTCAAGATGGCGGAAATCCGTCGAAAGCTTGTCATTGTAGGCGATGGTGCCTGCGGTAAGACGTGCTTGTTGATGTAAGTATCCATCATCTCATCCATCATCGCTGCGTTCTGCCCGGCGAGGCTTATCTAGAGATGTGGGCTCAACTAACCGTTCTGCAGTGTTTTCTCCAAGGGCACATTCCCAGAGGTAAGGCTCCAACCTATCCTTCCATCATGATTATGCGAAACCCGGCGCCGCATCCCATCCCACAACATCCCATCAGACAGCCTCACGATAACTTCTCTGCAACCGCGAGATGGAACCTCGCTTTTGAATCGGATACCAAACTAATCACCGGGAGCGCATAGGTCTATGTCCCCACTGTCTTCGAGAACTACGTTGCCGATGTCGAGGTCGATGGAAAGCATGTCGAGCTGGCTCTATGGGATACGGCTGGCCAAGAAGATTACGACCGTCTCAGGCCTCTCTCGTACCCCGATTCGCATGTTATCCTGATCTGCTTTGCTGTTGATTCCCCCGACTCGCTCGATAACGTCCAGGAGAAGGTATGATCCCCCCAATACCTCTTAAATCCGACGCGCGAGATAAGAAGCTGTCTGACACGTACCCAATTTTAGTGGATCTCCGAAGTTCTTCACTTCTGCAACGGTCTCCCCATCATCCTCGTCGGTTGCAAGAAGGACCTGCGTTACGACCAGAAGACCATCGAGGAGCTTCACAAGACCAGCCAGAAGCCCGTTACTCCCGAGCAGGTAAGAATGCATCGCTCCTGGCTTCAGATCCAGGCCAAGAACCCACGAGTCATGAAACAGCAAGGCGGTCAGCCTCCTTCAATACAGATACTGACATTCATATGCAGGGTGAGGAGGTTTGCAAGAAGATTGGCGCTCACAAGTACCTCGAGTGTTCAGCAAAGACCAACGAGGGTGTCCGTGAGGTTTTCGAGCATGCCACACGTGCAGCTCTCATGACCAAGAAGGGGGGCCGATCGAGCCGTTCACGTGGTGGTTGCGTTGTCCTGTAAAGCTACTATTATCGACCTCTTTTCCCAATGCGATAGGGTTCTCTGTTACCGGACATAGCTCCCCTCAGGGTGATACGGGGTGCCAGGATGAGATATGTGCTTGCAGACGTTGTGCATGGCTTCTCTTTTGGCATTGATCTCTCTTGTCCTGATCAACTCGTGGAACAAACCCAACCCTCGCATAACTCACTCGCAGACAAAACGACCTGCCACTCTTCCTCTCTCGGTTCTGAAATATCTTGGCATGGGGGGTTTCTCACTGTGCTGCGCAATTTTCTTTTTCGTGTTTGTTTCTGCAAGATCTTTGTCTGTCTCGTATTTCTCTCGTTCCTGCGCTAAGAGTGGATCTGAATCATAAGGCTATGCTACGACTTCTGCTGCGATGTCTCTTCCTTGGGCATATTGTCATTATGGGCAGGCTGGGAGAAGATATGCGCATTTTTGTACTGTGTAATAGCAATAGGCGTAGTTTATCAAGAGATGTTTTCGAGAACTGGTACCTACCTAGTCTGCTACATCCCAACCACGTGTAGACATGAAGATTTGGATATGCTTACGCTCCTGTCAAGGATTGGAGACTACAATGGCTGGCTATTTCAATTCACTTATCCAGGTATCACTCGCCTGGTAGTTGTCTTTGGACCTGAGGATCACATGATAACTCCCCTTCCCATGGAATTTATTTACCTACCTATTCACTTTCAATCCTTCCGCGTTGTTTTGGATTTCCACTTTGTTCCTCAGCAGAGAGATCGTCCCTCTGATAATCAGTCACTCTTCGACATTCTTGAGGCTGTCTCGCGACTCGACCCGCCCTGTTCCTTGTTACTACCATACCTACGGCAAAAGGTTGAGGAAGTTCCGTCAATCAATAAGTAAGTCGTCTTGAGATCGTCTTTTTGCGTATATCTCCGAATTCCACTTGCCCTGCCTTCTCCAAATACCTGTGCTGATCATAAACGTATCTAGAGAATCCCAAGACTTCGATCATCCAGATAACACGAGCTCAGTAGTAAGTCAGCTCCATAGATCCATCCCTATTCATACTCTAGAACTACCTACTAACCTATCTCCAGAAGTCAAACACGTCGTTGTCAAGATGTGCAGCGAAACCAAGCAGCGTTATACGTGTGGTTGCTACGTGATGCTGATCCATGTATGCGCCGAACGTAAGGATACTCCTCCCACGAATTTTCTCTCCTCCGCTCGATCTTGAGGAGTCTTATTATATCTCCTCCTTCCATATTTCATTTGCTTGAGAGAGTGGAGATCTAGTTTTTTCTCAGCAACCATTGTTGCAACAAGCACACGACCGCGGCCTCCTCCCCCCACCAGAACCATCCTATAATGTACATTCGATACTAACTCGAGGATCCAATAGACATTGAACATACCCGCAAGCAGACTGATGAGGAGCCCTGCCCCGACCTCGTCAAACAGGATGTGTTGTGCCGCCAGCCAGGTTGTCCTCCCGGACGGTGCGCATCGCGCCAGAACACCTTCTGGACATTCGAGAAGTTGACCAGCAACCTCTTCGGGTGCGAGAAGAAGAAGGAGCGGCTGCAGAAAGAAAGAAGAGAGCAGCAGCAGGAAGAATCCAACATCATGGCGGCGGCGACCGACACCGACACACCGCGTGCCACGAAGAGGAGCAGAGCCCAGGAACGACAACTCATCAAAGAAGAAGGAGATGCAGACTTTGCTGATGAATACTACCCCCCGTTCGCAACCCCTCTCTCTCCCTCTCCCCTTACCTTATCCTTCTCTAAGGTACTGCGAACCTGACTGACTAATCTCCCCGATCAGAGAGTCAGCTCACAGGAGCGAATCTCCCACATCCCCCCCATCCCACAGCGTTATCAAGCAGGAATGTCCGTACTGCGAGTCCCGCAGCTTCAAGAACGGCTACTGCGACGACTGCGGCGAGTCCGTCGACGACCCAGCCCTCGATGTTCTGAACCAATACCCCGCGACCATCTGCTTCCATCCGGATATCAAAGACGGTGTGTGCCAGTTCGACGAGGACGGCGTCTGCGTTAACTGTGGCGGTTCGCAGCAGACTCGGACTGCTGCTGCTGGACTCGATGCACGCTCTGATTTCACAGATACGCAAGTGGTGGTGGATCCGAATTTTTGTGCTCATGTGAGCATTAGGGAGGGCGTTTGTGAGACTTGTGGTGTGGCTGTGGATAGCGAGTGTTTGAACAAGGCGTGCTTGAGCCCGAAGATCAAAGATGGCGTTTGTTATAATTGTGGGCATGTCACGGGCTTTGATTATATGGCTGGAGAAGAGGCTGAGGATGATGCTGAGATGGAGGAGAGGGGTGTTTGATTGTTGTTGGGAAGTGATGGGATTCTTTATTTTGAGCTGGCCCGGGGGGAGGGGCGTCGCTGTTTTACTTGAGCGCAAGCAAGGAAGGACATTGTATATGTTCGGCATACAATGAGGGCTTGATAGTGACTCTCCCTCATTGTATATCAGCAAGCCTCATTCATAGGAAAATCAACCCAATTGACTGAAATCTAAAAATCAAGCTTCCAAGCTGAATCAATCGTATATGCTTTAGAAGAGAAGAAGCTACCTCTTTACTTAATATAAAAAATCTAAAGCTTGGTGGTAATGATGATATACAAGAAAGACGATTGATTATATATACATAATCCACTCACTCAGTGGTAGGTAGTAGTACGGAGAAGGACTGACGACTCGACTCGATTCGGGGCCCTACCTAAGGTACTTGTATTTCTCATTAAGTATTTAGACAGACAAACAAAAAGGATAACACACCGTAACCTTTCCTTTCCTTTCCTTCGTAACAGTGGTAATAAGGATGGACTTTTAGGAGATTATTATTATTATTACCTATTTCTTTTGTATGAGAGTGACGTGAAGAAGGATGATTCGTTTTATGAAAGATGGTGATTAAGGTAAGCAAGGCTGTAATAGGATACTATAGTTTATCCAGGACGGTGATTAAGGGAGTGTGGTAAAAGGAACGAACGAGACGAGTGAAGAGAGGCAGGCAGGCAGGCAAGATAGCAGAAGACAAGGGAGGTTCTCTCGGACGAAGATACGGGTCTGGAACACTTTAGGAACATTTGTATGGCTGTTAATTCATTTTCATATCTTTTATACGCTAAGATGATATTCTATTTCATGTTCGACATTGCGAGACGCCGCCCTCATTCCGTATCGTTTTCGCTATAGCTTGCACCAAACTGATGCCCATGACTAGGAAGCCGAACGCCACGCAAATCACCGCAGGAATAGTCTTCCAACTCCTGGTACTTAGCTTGATGTAGCATAGCGGCGGCAAGATATACGCCAGGGCACAGGCACTCGTGGCCCCGATCAGCTCGAAGACGGCGCCCAGATCGCAAGTAATGACACTTAGTGTCATGGCACTGACTACCAGACTGGTCGAGAATATCAGGTGCAGGTTCATGTTGAACGGTTCTCCCGGGAACCAATAGTTGAACATGACTTCTCTGCAAACAAATGCCTCGAGAGGGAGGGTAGTGAGCATGTTTAGCCCAAAACAGAGGCGTGCGATGTTAACCATGGTGTTGTCGGAAGGGAAGTTGTTGAGTACGTTTCCCTCTGTGAGGGAACCGAAAGTTAGGAAGCCCGCGAGGGCCATAAGAAGACAGGCCACCATAGATATGGAGGTACTGTAGTGGGTTACTTTGGCGAAGCGGTCGATAGTGGGCGTCTTGAGAGAGCCGTATATGAGAAGAGAGTTATGGTGGCAGACGAATGCTTTATGATGTTAGAGCTGAGATGAAAAGGGACAATGGGAAAGACGAACCGAAAGAGATGACACCAACGGCCTGGAAGATGCCTGTATTGATGGTCAAGAGAGGGAGGCTAAAAGTGCCCTTCGAAGATGCTGGAACGAAGAAACCTTGTGTGACGACCGTTATTAAGATGATCACCATACTGATCAAAGCCAAGGTACTGGCTTTAGCCAACTACTTCCGTCAGCTACATTTAAACCCCGAATCAAGATCTCTTCTTTACCTTTGCAATATCTCTATAGAGACTCAGGGGGTAACTGACTCCCAAAATAAAAACAACAATCACAGCTCTCCGATCGGCCAACAGACCCAAAACCGGCATATCCTCCAGACCAGGCCAGATCGCGGCCAGAACATGTGGTATAGAGTCCCCAACTATGATTCCAAACGCCACCATCCCACCAAATGCAAAAGCCCACTGAGCAACGGAAATAGCAATCAAGCCCGTCTTTCCAAAACAATGTTGTACCGTGCCCTGAAAACTGTTACTCCCGCTCAGCTTACTGTTGATAACAATAAGGCGGATGGTCCAGTCCACAGTGATCGTGAGGACAATGAGCAAAATGATGCCCGTGACGAGACCAGCTTGGCGGAATGCGTAAGGTTGCCCAATTATACCGGCCCCAATGATAGAATTGGCCATATTCATGAAGGCAGACCGCAGCCCGGACCTTGGGCGCTGGCGCTCCCGTTCAGCCCACTCATGTACATCGTTGCCCCAGGGGCTAGCAGCCAATGTAACGGAGGGAGCTTCGATGTCTGTGAGGAGGGGCACGATGTTCTGAGGACGAGCTTCGCGGCGGCCCGAGAGGGGTGGTTCGTTGTACGGAGGAGGAGAGCTGTCACTAGCATCGTCGTTGTTTAGGGATGGAGGTAGGTCGAATCGCACACGATTGGGAGTTCGTGGGGTGTGAGGCTCTGTTGGTGGTGAGCTTGCACCGGGGTAGACGACGATATCTTCATCGTCGGACGAATTGCCCGAGAGGAGACCTCTATCTTCCTCGTTTGTAGGATCATCTGAATGCCCACCATCCCTCCGTAGGCTGCTGGTTCTGGCCTTGGCCATTCTTCTATCGTGGAAGCATTCTGCTTGGGGCGTTAGGATTGGAGTGAAGCGTACACGGTGGTCTCCAGGTGTTGATACGGGCCTTGTTCGCTTACGCGGAAGCTGATCCTTACTATTAATATCCCTGCCAAGACAAGGATCTGGTTCGAGGATCATGGTTTACTTTGGCTTCACGCAGAATTCACTCAAGTCACTCAAGCATTTGTTTAAGTGTTTCGTTGCAAAGTTTTGTGGCCGATTATTGTGTATGAGACCTTGTAGAATAGACATCAACGGCCTTGGACAATTCCTCCTGGTATGCAGGTCTTTGCCTGCTCCCAAATTCGCCCATGCAAATGCTTAGTATTACAAACAGTGAGTGTGAAAAGGTCTCTGAAGAAAAAAGCACGAGAGAGCCTTGTACGCTGGGGTAAATCCTAGATTCGGACCTCCATAGAAAGGTGCACCACCTCATGCAGTCAGACTTCTCAGATTGAGAGCCAAGGACAAAACAAAGGGCATGTGCAATATGCTTTCACATGAGCTCAGCTATTGTGAAAAGAATGGGTATCATAGAGCTTCGCAATTCAGCATGTCGTGATCGAAAACGGTGTGAAGGACCACGAAGATGCCACGCATCTTGTTGTTGAGTACCAGCTTCTGAAGAACATTCAACTGAAGGTGCGGAGCGAATCTCGAGCATGTCGGACACGCTGCGAAGAATTTGCTAGGTTCCGACTGACATTCAAAGGAAGACGACGAGCAAAAGTGAGGCCAGGGCGACAGAGAATAAGCCGGTGTCGAGGCGTGCGGCGCTCGATTTACTTGAGGGCGAGGCTGTCGAAGAAGAAGTCGCAGCGGCTGGTTGTCCGGAAGAAGAGACAGTCTGCTGACTGTTCAAGCCAGGAGATCCAGTCGTGGTGCTTGTGGCCGTGCCGGTTTGTGAGGCTGAGGTACTAGATGCAGAGCCTGCGGACCCTCCGTTAGAGCTGGTTTCAGAGACTGGGGTGGTAGAGCTAGAAACTGGGGTTGTAGAGCTAGACACTGAGGTGGTAGAGCCAGAAACTGAGGCGGCGGAGCTAGAAACCAGAGCACTACTCGTAGTACTCGACGAACTAGAAACCAGAGCACTACTTGCAGTACTCGACGAACTAGACGATAGGGAATTTGACCCACCGGTAGATGTTGTCGCCGAAGAGGAGACGGAGGAAGAGGAGGAAGAGGAGGAAGTTGCCTTCTCTGCAAGTCCTATTATCTGGTAAGTTACAGGCCTAGGGAGATTGATATCGAACTAGCACTCACCAACTCTGTTCTCGTCTATGTCGAACAAGACATATACGTTCTTCAAGAACGTGTCTCCCAAGAGCCAACCACCTTCAACCACAGGCATCCCGTAAATGTTGCTAGTGCAAACACCATTTCTCGACGGGCCAACCCAATCCTCAGAGGCGATGGAGTATGTGACGCCAGAAAAGGTAATGGTTATGGGATCCGTGGTTGAACAGGGTACGGTGTAAGTTGCGCCGTCTTTACCAACTGATGAACCAGGGATAAGAGCATGGAAAGCCTCGGCGTCCTCTTGTGGGGCGAAGATGTAGGAGGTGCCAGTGTCAATATAGCCCAAACGGCCTGAGACTGTACTCTGCTTGTCCCCCAACCCAATATTGTCCATCGGAATAGCCCAGTCGGCCTCGGCGTTTGTGGAGACAGGGGTGTAGGAGAGGCTACCGCTGAACTTGGAAGTATCCGGGGCGCCAAAGTTGATCTCCCCGGTGTTGGGTCCATCTGAGTTGCGGTTAAGGCTCATTCCAAACACGTTTGATTTCAATGAGTTCGAGGCGACGAGGGTTTGGATAAAGTTAGGCTGACCGTCGGTCTGCATCTGCGACAGACCCAGGATACCATCCATGGGATAGTTGTTGAAATCATTGCTAGTTTGGTTGGCAATCCCAAGAGTCATTGTGAGCTTCATGCCTGCAAAGGAGATCGTGTCGTTCGCAAGCAATCCGCTCACTTGCCCCGTACCGTACCCAATGCTGAAAGAGCCACCAGGCAAGAGGTCGTAAGTCTTCGAGTCGGTTGGTCCAAAGGTATTGTGGTTTTTACAGGCAGGCGATGTGCACATGGATCCCATGAGCCAAGAAGTCCCGGCACCGGTGTCTAAGAGCATGTAACGCGGGGTGTTCTCAGATCCAACAAGGACCTGGGCGAAGTAGGAGAAATCGGTACCATCCTGGTTGATTCCTGCGCTGTTTGTCTGTGATGGAGTAGCAGCTGAGACGACAGGATAGTGGTTATCTCTCTTGTTGACCTGCGCGACCTCTGAGGTGACCGGCGTTCCACGGCTGTATTTACGGGCTAGACCATCAGCAAGATGGCGGACCTGGGCAGCATGAGATTCGCCCGTCTGTTTCAATGATTAGCAAGGCTTCGAGAGGGCTCTCTTCACATCAATCACCTTTGGCAATCGTTGCTCCAACTTCAGAGTAGTAACACCACCTTCGACGCCCGGTGCTTCGATAGCGCGCTCAGAGATACAATCCTGGCCTTGGACACATCCGTAGTTCGGATACCACGGATAGAAAGCCGCGGCCAGCTGGCACAGGCCCAGGAGAGCAATGCTCGCCTTCATGGTCAACACGGTAAGTGGTATCGATCAGAAGGTTGTATGGAGGCGGGCAAGCATGAAGAGAGAGGTAGGAGGTAGGAGGTGGGCGGGGATTCGTAAAGGTTGGTGGGGGATGGTTCGAGGTGGCTGGGAAAGATCTTTTGACAGATCTATGGAGGGGTGCTGAGGGTGATGGGGGAGAGTTGAATGGAGGTGGAAGATGGTGAGAGATTTGTGTTCCGACGTGGACTCTCCAGGTTGAGTAGGCCAAGGTTAAGGCTTGGAATTCTTTGTCGAAAGAAACTCGAAAAGGTCAACCTGATAAGCCAGGCCGTCGAAAGCAACCAGATCTACCAACTATCGTGAGGCATGCAGAGAGAGAGGGTTCTCCCGGATGAGGTCAAGCCAGGCCTTTTTCGAATCGGGGAGCTCGCGGGGGAGGGGAGGCGGCGGTGGCTTGTTCGAAATGGTGAGGCGAGTACCAGACTCGTGGGGTGGTTGGGGTATTAAGATTACTATCGCGGACACATATAAAGAGGGACAATATACAGAGCGGGAGTCGAAGACAGTGAAGTCGTCGACACCGGCTCGAATGCAAGAAACTCTGTACTTTCGTACAAAGGAATTGGTATGGATGGGTGGGGACGTCGTAGGGTTTCCGGGTGTCGGCGCGAAAATGCGGAAAAGGGATCAAAGAACGAGGCGAAAGGGGCCAATGCAAACAAGTTTTTCCGGGTCGTTGGAAAAAAAAGAATGCACGGGGCAAATGATGGAAGAGACTGTAGAGAATGCGAAGGAGGAAGAGGAGAGGGAGGAGAGGAGGAGGAGGAGGAGGTGGTGGTGGTGGAGGATAGAAGAGTGAGTGAGGATAGGAGAGAGAGGAAGTCGGATATCCTCAGGACTCAAGACAGCCGCAGACCCCCAAGCCAGCGCCAGGAACGGACGGGACCCTAAGCCTATCACGGTAAGATACGCGGCTTCATCAGGCAAGGCGGCTCTTTAGATCCCTCACCCCTGTAACTACTGCACGGGCCATGGCAGGGGTGGCGGGGGACTTGACTCGGTCCGGAATAGCCGCTTTCGCCTGTGTTGCTACTGGATGACGATTGCTCCCCTCTCTCTCTCTCTGTAAGGTATCTCGTGTTTTTGTTTCTCCCTTTCCGCAAATACTATCCTTAGGTCTTGGCCCTCTCCATGGTAACCAGCCGGGCAACAACTCTGTGTGCCCATACTCTGCTCAATAGTTTGCCACAATCGACAAACGACTGACGATCAACCATCTATCTATCTTCCTTTGATCTTGACTCCTGGTCTGCTCCACAAGCCAAAAGCAGACGTTCTGCCAGGGGGGCAACGGCAGCTCCTCCACAACTTACGCCGGACAAGGCGCCATGATTGGATAGCCCCCATCTAACACCCTGGACATCTGCTTCCCTGACCACTTGGCGGCATCGGCGTCTGACGTTTGTTTGTGCGGCAGCGCCCAGCGCCCCCCTTTCTCCCGGAGATCCAGAGCGCTGTGGAGCGTGCTACTACAGAGGATAACGCAAGGAATCAAGTCATACATCATCCGCTTAACATCCTGAAACCTCCAAACGTTGACACTACTTCGGCACCTTCACCTCTCGCTGCTTGTTGCTGCGGTGAAGCCCACCTGCCGACCTGCGCAACTACTAACGGCCATCTGGCGCCGAGGGAGAGAGAGAGCGGGAAACAGGTACCCTGATCCCGCCGGATTGTGATCGTCGAATTCTGAAGATACCAAATTCCAACCCACAACCGCATACATACTTCGTATGTCATTGATAACCGTAAGAATCGAATTGAACATGGTCGATGGCATTCTGGGCTATGTCACATACCGTATGGGGCAATGTGGCTTTGTCCAAGTACGGGGTATCATCTGTATCTCCCGGGATACAGATAACTCTCTCACCCAAAACAGCCACCTCCGGAGAGCCGAGACGCCGCCTTTCCGGCTGCACCGTCTCGCTTCGGGAGGGATCCAGGGAATGGTCCAGTAGGGAATAAGTATTGCAAAAGACCAGAATACAAATCCTACGGCGATCGCCAGTCCTTGGCAGAGAGTCTTGGGCTGTTTCAAAACATGGCATCCCGGGCACTGTCGTACATACAGCATGCGGCATGCAGGCCTCGATCAGCTCTCGACATTCGAGACGAGACGTTACATTCCTCTTTCCACCAAAACCCCGGATTCTATCTAGATTCTCACCGATCTTCTTGTTGAAGAGCATGGTGGAGATACGACGAAGTCTGGCTGTTCTGAAATTTGATCGTTGACCAATCTCCGACCGCTGAGCCCCTGCAATCCCACCCCGTCTTCCATATCGGGCCTTCTACGAAGTTTATACAGGACCTCCACGAAGTCTTCGCATATCTATAACAGTAGAGTCCAGTTCCAAGGGGGCGGGCAATGCTTGATACAGGACCTCTATACGAGAGATAGAGCTCCTGAAACTATCTACTTTGCGTCTGGTAATCATGCACTGCTCTCATCACTCGGGGCCTAACAAAACCGGAAAGCTTTGAACTTGTCTTTACTCACTGCGTTCGCCTCCCCCTATTAGTCCCCCCTCACTGCACACGTATGTCTATATCGTCATGTGGCAAACTGGTCCCGCGGAACTTGATTATAGTGAGTGGTTCATTATTAGCTATCAGCTGCAGGCACCAAGGAAAACCATCCATCCATACCCCGATCTTGACCTCCGCTCAAGCTTCTTTCAAGAAAAACCATACCTAGGTAGTAACCATCCCAAAATCCTCGAAAAATAAAAGCAGCTTCAGGATATATATCAGAAATAACCGCCCGGGTCTTGCTGTAGCTGTTTTAATTACAAGGTGTAGATATATATTGCTGTGGGGTTCGGGATATGTTGAGATGGTGTGGCTGGTCATGTTTGGTAGAAAACAAAGTTAGTTACGGCCAAACTTGACTTTGACTTGCTGATATGTTGTATGGCTGGATTGGGATTTTGATTGAAGATGATACGTCTATGCAATTATAGATAGGAGGTTTTAACGTGGGGAGATATACCTTGGTTGAGATTGAGGTTTTGATGGTATATTTTGGGGTTATTTTTCGCGGGGAGAAGGGGGGGGGGAAACAGGAGCTGGACGTTTTACTTAAGGAGACGACGTGGAAAGCTGGTGCTACAGCTTTTAAAATAAACGCTCCTAATCAAGTCCATCCATCACGTCCAATGACGGACTTTTGCAAAGTGCCCTTCCATTTCTCTAGTATACATTACGAGTCTATTTCCCCCTATCCCCTACCGGACACTGTCAGTTATCGAAAGTACTTATATCCACATCCTCTACCCTCCACATATACCACATGAATACGCTTCTGGTCGCAAGTCAGTAGAGAGGCCTCAATTTCGATACCGGGGACTTACCTATACGGTTTGAATTTATCCGCAATCTGTTGCATCTCCTTCTCGCTCATGTATTTCCACTTACCACCCTTCCCATTCTTCAGCTTATTGACGTCGCGGCCCATCAAGGCGGCCATTCCGCGCTGGACGCCTAGATCTCCAGTCGAGAAGATATCCATCCGCTTTAAGCCGAAGCAGGCGAACATCTCCACGCTCCATTTTCCCAAGCCTCGCACTTTGATCAGTTGGTCTAGCACTTCGTCGTACGAGGCTGAGAAGAGCATCGATGTGCTTAGCTCGCCGCTGTGGAACTTTTCAGCTAATCCGAGCACGTACTCGGCCTTCCGCTGCGAGAGCCCAGCTGTCCGGAGCACTTCGATCGAGCTGTCACAGACTTGCGATGGGGTGGGGAAGACGTGAAGGCTTGGATCTTCGATGTCTGGATTGAAGAGCGCCACGAATTTCGCTTTGATGGACTTTGCAGCTGCTCCTGAGACCTATCTTTTTGTGAGCATTGTGAAGCATATCAACCCCTAGCAGTTGTGCCTGAAGGGTCGAGGACGGTTGGGAAATTGAAGAGCTTTCACCTACCTGCTGAGATATTATCCCGCTCACTAAGCTATTGAAAGGATCAATCTCCTCGGCCAGTCCCTCTGGAGAAAAGACACGGCAAGGATGTCGGTCAATTATGGGCTTCAACTTAGGCTCTACTTTGATGAGATGTGCCAGAGCTTCATCAAGAATGTTTCCTGTAGTAGTCTTGAACTTGGGTACCTTCGATGGCGAAACTTGGTCCAAGGCTTTATTCGTCACTACACGACGAGTCTCGGGGGATATCAATGGCGCATTTGTGCCATCAGGGACCGCTAGTCGGTTGACTGCTGGGGGAGGAGTGCCATCTTTGACACCTGGAGAGCTGCAGGGCTCAGACATCAACCCCACAGCGGCTGGAGTGGGCGTAACTGGGGGGATTGTCGATTTTGCTGCTCGTTTTCTCTTGGGGGTAGATGGACCTGCATCCTTCCCATTTGATTGGGGCTCTTCCTCTTCCGTGGTGATATTCTTTCGTTTCCGGTTGGTATTCGCAAGCTCGGGCGCATATGATCCATTTAGGATACCTTCCTTGATTACTGGTAAAGCTGCGCTCAAACGAGCTGATCTCCTTGAGGCCATCGTCGACTCTCTTGAGGTATTCGATGGGCGTGAGACGTTCCTTACTTCAGTGCTCTACCTAAGAACGAGGGGCCGCGGCAGCCTAATTGGTAGGGAGAGAATAGTTGCCGCGTCTTGATCTCTTTAGGAGATTAGACCTGTCTCCCTATAAATCTGCGGGCCAGATAGATGAAATATAAACATATGAACCTGACCGCAGCAACTCCATAGCTCGATTCATTTTTGGTCGGCTAAGGGAGGTTATTCACGTCGTCGCGTTCCATTGTCACATGACTGCAACCTCCTTTCCCAATTTCCATGATCGTGATTTGACGAAGGATCCAAGCCTGGACCTACCTGGGAATACGAACGTTAACGTCAACATCAACATCAACAACAATCATTGTATTGCCGCGTCTAGATGCACTTATCCCCCTTCATATTGGATAAGAACAGACCAGATAGTTGACATTTGGGAGCACCGATTGCAGTCTCCTATTTGCCTTGACTCGATCAAATTGACCGGTCTGGAGAAAGGAGAACAACGAACGTTCCAGCCTCGCTAAGAGAATCTTGGCGTCGATTTCTAAATACGTTGCTCCATCGCGCATCCAGGTTTCCTGACGTTGATCAACCTCCTTACAGCTCGCGATCGAGTTCGCATTCCCCCATCGACAATCCTTACGACGGCGCGTCGTCCGCTACCCGTCGAACTGACAGCATACCTTACACTGGTGGTGCCCTGGCCACGGGCGTCTCGTCCGACATGCTACTCCCTAAGGGCGGCATTACTTGGAAGTCTGCAAAGGCAAATTTACCGCCGGCGAGAGCGATATGGGTATTCCTAACTCGAACGCGATTCTTGCTCCTGTTAGCAGTGACAGGGATACTCTTATTGCTATGGAGGGGGCTCAGCACATCGGCATCGGAGATGCAAAGGTTAGAGAGCCCCGAAAGACAATTGCTTGACACCCGTTGTACGGACCGCAGCTGATGATCGATGTCGCAGATTCTACTGTTGGGGACCTTCGAAACCGCCAATGCAGATGACACCGAATGAGGCGGTGGATTGGAACGCGCACCTACAAACGCCTGTGATCTTCAATCACCACGAGCCCCTGGTGGTAAATTCCTCTACCATCAAGCATGTGGACCTCAACCCCATACAATCTACCCCCAAGGCGGTATCGAATGAGGAACGGGTCTTGATATTGACCCCTTTGAGAGACGCCGCGGCATACCTACCTAAATACTTCGACCTACTTGTTGACCTGACTTACCCTCACCACTTAATAGATCTTGGATTTTTGGTCGGCGACTCGTCAGACGACACGCTCGCGGTTCTCTCGGCCGAGCTCAACAGGATACAGAAGCAAGCAGACAATATTCCATTCAACAGCGTGCTGATCGTGGAGAAGGATTTTGGCGCCGTCGTTGGTCAGACTGTGGAGGAGCGACACGGTTTCGAGGCACAGGCTCCAAGAAGGAAGATGATGGCTCGTGCCAGAAACTATCTGCTTTCTGCGGCATTGAAGCCAGAACACTCCTGGGTCTATTGGAGAGATTCGGATATCGTAGACAGTCCGAAGAAGATCCTCGAGGACTTCGTCGCACACGACAGGGATATCATTGTTCCCAGTATGTGGCACAATGCTCACATCTGAACTATTTCGCTGACAGAACTAGATGTATGGTTCCACCGCTACAAAGATGGAAAAGATATTGAGGGCCGATGTGAGTTAAGATAGGCCAATTTCCGCACGAAGAAAATACTGACCTGTTCCAGTTGATTACAACTCTTGGATTGAATCGGATAAGGCTTTACGTCTAGCAGCGAGTCTCCCTAAGGATGAAATTATTGTAGAAGGTCAGATGAATAGCCGGCCATGATACTACAGAATCTAATGTTCGAAACAGGCTACAAGCAATACGACACTGGACGCACACACATGGCTACAATGGGTGACTGGCGGCATAACAAAGATGAGGAAATTCAGCTTGATGGAATCGGTGGAGTGAACATAGTTGTAAAGGCTGATGTTCACAGATCAGGTATGTGACACTTGCCGAAGGAATGTTCCCTGGGGGTGCTGACAAAATTGCAGGAATTAATTTCCCCTGTTACGCATTTGAAAATCAAGCAGAGACCGAAGGTTTCGCCAAGATGGCAAAAAGAGCAGGGTACGAGGTGATTGGCCTCCCCAATTATGTGGTATGGCACGAAGATACAGACGAGAAGCCGGGCAACGCGTAGGAGAAAGCCATTGTACGCAAAGTGCAGTCGACCATGTTTTCACGCATATACGGAGTTTAGTGAAGAGAAGCTTTGGACTGGGAGCAACATCGATGAGAGACAAGACGATCCCCTTCATTCGAGTCTTCGTCCCCAACTTCTTCTGGGATGGAATGGTTTGCCAGGAGTTTGACCAGGTTTCTGGAAGTCTTTCTGATCACAAGACTATGGGCAATGGGTACATGTCAATCGTCACTGTAATAGAATGAATTTTTTGTCTCGTTATGGAAGATGATAGGTAGCCAAGATGCCAGTGGCATAGATACCTTGGCGGAGGTCATGCGTTCATACTCCTGTATGGATAGGGATTGTGAGCAGTCGAATGTAATCATGTGGTCTCTTTTTTAATCTGGCGTTTTGCTTGCTTGGGCAATGTGGGGAGGCTCAAAATTACGCACATCATCAAGTCGCCTAGTCCAGGCCATCCCATGTTGAAAAATTGTGTCACTCCCTTATTCGCGCGACGGTCAAGCCAGTTCATCATCTTCCTGTATATAAGAATTCCCGGCATAATAGCATGGATTCACATATCGTCGGTTGAGATCATTGTGAAGTAGATATGCCGGCCGGCCGTACCGGTTGAAACCTGAGTGTGATGACACTGTACCTCGAACCAAATACCGTCGAAGAACAATGATAGAGAGAAGCCCTGTACTCCTGGCTTTCTTTGAAAACACCTTCTAAGGTCCTCAAACTCGTCAATATATATGTTGGATAGAAGGAACAGTACGCAGACAATACTGCATCCGACACATGATAAAGACATTCACAAACATTCGCACGATTTCTCGAATTGAGTCATCAATTGTATAGAGTACAAACCCCGGCACCTCCCTCTAAATCCTTCTAACACATCGCTACTACTTTGTACATGTGTACCGCTTCATCTCTACTTTCGCTTGATAGACAACGACTCCAAATCCGAGCGCTCTTTAGCCTCCGCCTCGATTTCCCTGATGATGGGCGACAGGTATGGGTAGTCCTGCAATCGAACAGATCAGTCGAGGCTCTCGTGCAGGAGATTGGAGAGCCTATACGTACCTCCTCGGGCTTGGTGTGCTGTTCCTTGGGAAGAAGCTGGTGCGCCAGTGAGGCCTGTAAATCGTCAGAGAGATACTCTCATACAGACAGACTGTACACTGATATATTGGCGTAGGTCGGTCCTACCTGGAAAGCTCGTCGCAGACGGAAGACGCGGTCGTATGCCTCCTTCTCGGGGAGACGCTTGAGCGCCAGCAGGACCGTCTCGTCTTCTTCGGAAATCAGGTCATCGGCTCTGCGAGGGCACAATTGTCAGAATCAGTGATGCTCGAGTGCACAGTAAACCAATGGGCCCGCATTTCCAGAGCAATGCTTTCGTCCGGGCCGGGAACAAATGGGCATACCTCAAGCCGAGCTTCCTGTACCCAGCGGCATTGCAGTACCAATTGGACAGCGGGGTCATGAAGTTCTTCAGCCATGGGCGCTTCACGATGAAGCTGGTAAAGGATGGTGCAGACATGTTGGGATCGCGAGGTCTATCGGATGTAAAGCTGGCAGTTCGAACACTTTGAGCTCACCTCATGGATGCCGTCGAGTTTGTCCCGAAAATCGACGGTTGCTTATGTAAGCACAGTCACGTGCCGGTGGTGGAAAGGAAGCAGCGAATATCGGGGACCCTTGGACGAGGATTACCTAGGTCCTAGGTTGGTCTGATTTCTGATATTGATTGCATTATTACGTTTTCCCCCACTCTGCAGAGGCACATGCTCGTGCTCCTGAATTGTTCCTCTCCAGTAAGGTACTTTACGGTAAACCCGACCCTTCTGGCCCGCATTCACTTCGAGGTTCTCTGTTCTTGAACAAAGGACTCTTGGGTTTTTCCAGTTCCGCACTACTTTCCCGTACTATCAAGCGTACCATTGAAACTTCTGGGTCCCGAACCACCCTCGCCCGCCCGCCGAACGTTCCTGGACAAAACCAACACACCACGTCCAGACTCGTTCTCCCTCTCTCCTACAACTCTTGGTGATCAGTGCGCAGTTGTCAATGGCCTGTGTCAACCGCTAGGTGCTGTGTCGCTGGCGGCTGCGTGGGATATTCCCCGCACACCGGGACACGAGATTGCAACGAACCGACAACAACAAGAAGCTTGCCCACCCGTGGAGGCGGCTTTTGGCTGAAGCACTGCTCTGATTGAAGCAGATAGGAATATTCTCCCGCCCAATCATCACCATGTCGCATGAACGCAGCCCGCCACCACCCCCCCGGACCGAGGGTTTTACCCCCTCGACATCCACCTCTCAACAGTTCGCGAAATCGCACTCGGCCTTGACGGGAGCGCATGTGCCTCTCACTCTCCTAGAACAGCTATGCGTGGGAAGGTCCGACTCGTCTTTTAATGCTCTGGCGGGAGCGGCGGGCGGGTTCACATCCGGCGTGGTTACTTGTCCACTGGATGTGATCAAGACAAAGTTACAGGCCCAAGGGGGCTTTAGAGCACAACAAGCACACAATGGTGAAACTCCGGCGAAGTTGGTGTATAGAGGAATGTTAGGTACGGCTAGAGTCATCTGGCTAGAAGATGGTATTCGAGGAATGTATCGAGGACTCGGTCCTATGATACTGGGCTACCTACCGACGTGGGCTGTCTGGTTTACGGTGTATGGGAGAGCGAAAAATTTCTTCTTTCAGTATCATGGTATGCGGGCGTAGCTTTTCTACAATTAAGGAGCACTGTGGCTAACTCTCTGTTCAGATAACCCAAACGTCGTCAATTTCTTGTCCTCCATTATAGCTGGAGGTTCCTCGACTATGGTCACCAACCCTATATGGGTCATCAAGACTCGTTTGATGTCACAAATCAGCAGCACATCCAAGAACGGACATCCGAAGACTCCCTGGCAGTACACATCGACCCTCGATGCTGCGAGAAAGATGTATAAAACCGAAGGAATCCTCTCTTTCTACTCCGGATTGACCCCGGCCCTCCTCGGTTTAACGCATGTCGCCGTACAGTTTCCGGCGTACGAATTTCTGAGGAGGAAGTTCACAGGTAAAGGGATGGGCGTGACAGCGGAAGGAGATACAAAGTCTCATTTCGCTGGCGTATTATCTGCAAGCGTGCTCAGCAAAATTTTGGCTAGCTCTGCTACATATCCTCACGAAGTTATTCGGACAAGGCTGCAGACACAGCAAAGATCGGCGCCATCAGCTTCTGTGGAATATGCCGCTTTTCGGGGCGGGCTCGAGGGATCGGAACACACGCCAGGGACAATCGTTACCAAGGCGAACGCAGTAACACCGCGGTATAGAGGAATTGTTACGACTTTCAAGACCATCTTGCGAGAAGAGGGGTGGCGAGCTTTCTATGCTGGTATGGGCACTAACATGATGCGAGCCGTGCCAGCAGCTGCAACGACCATGCTCACATATGAAATTATTATAAGACAACTCAATAGTGCCAGAGCGTCAGGGATGCAAAAGTCGACGACTGAATGGTGAAGCTTAAGTGGATTTGAGGGACAGGAGTACTGTGGATGATGCTTATAGACAGAGATCCTTAGGGTGTTTGGTCCGCCGCAAGTGTCGGCTTAGATGGCACGGGCAGATGGGAGATACTTTTGTATTCTACGGCTTTCCTTTTGGAGTCGGGCGTTTGGCCAAATTTAGTCAGGGCCATATTTGAAGCCATGAAACTCGGGCCTGTTGGTTCATGGGATATGTTACAGATCTTTCATAGCGCTTGTTGATTCCTGTTTTGACAGTCCCCTCAATAGGGCGTGTAGTATACAGGGAGACAGCCGCCAAGGCATTATTCCTCTCTAGACCCATCCTTCCGCTGGCCTTCTGGTGGTGTACATCTCCTGGGATCCATTTCCGCACCCGGAGCTACGTAGTCCCTCATATACGGCATATCCATGATGTCCAATGCAGCCCGCAACGAAACATTGAAACAATGCAATCTTTTTCAATCCTTGGCCTGACCCATATGTATCATTAAGAACTCTTTCCCTTCCCAACTCGCTCCTTTATTGCCCTCTCCTGCTCCGTCTCGGTGTGCCCCTCGCCGCCAACTTTCTCCTTCGCAAGTCCCACCAGCTGCTTGATGGGCCCTTGCTCAACCGGCGGCTCCAATTTGCCATGGCGTCTCAGATTCTCATTGTTCCAATTGATCTGTCCACCATCGGCCTCCCTATGCTTCTGCGCATTGCGTTTCGCGGCTTGGATGCTGGTTCTGGTATAGACGAACAAGAGACCGGCCATGGTGAATGCCGCCAGAGGGGCAACAATTGTCTGCTCTGAAATCAGCAACTTTCCAGAAAGAAAGACTCTGCAAGGGGTTTAAAATCCTACCCTCGAATTGACATTGAATTTCGGTGGCATTTCCGCGGGTTGGTTGCTTTTACATCTTTGTGCTTCCAGAGAAGCTGTTGCTGCTGTAGGTAGCTCGTGTACGGGGAAAGTCATGCGATCTGGCAGGGATTCCGGAGCCGACATCATCGCGAGGCGGCCGAGATCTGCAACATTTTTCCAAATCTGCCACGTTCCACCTGGGCGCCATTCTCGAGCAACGACGGGCGAAACGATGACCTTATAAACACGCAGCCCAGTCGCCTGGGTTCTCGTTTCCTGCTCGATGATGAAGGGCCTCGATCTCGCCGCCGCCGCACTGGGGAGGTCCAATCCCTGGACCTGTAGGAGATGCTTGCGGCAAGCTCAGGGGCAATTAAGGAGTTTAAAGCAGACCAAGCGATATTCCACGAGGCCGAGTGGAATCCCGAGCCCGAAGAGAAGAGGGAGGGTTTGGGTTGCTGCTACGGCGGGGGTCTTGGGCGTGGGTGCGATCGCGTTCCCCGATGAGCTGAAGCATGCATATGGAGCTGTTCAGAGATCCGGGTCGGTGGTCACCGGGTTGGCTGTATGTATAAATGAGTAAGAGTTCTATCACTGAGTCTGTAGGACCTAGGGGCTGATATTCCTTGCGCTGCAGTTATCGGGTTACGCTGAAACGAATGGAGAAGATAGAAGATGAGGAAGAACAGAACAGGATGTTGAAGGCTTGCCACCAGAGATGCGCAGACCGGACGCTGAAAGTGCTTGAAAAGAATGGCAGTATATTCATAAAACTCGGGCAACATCTGGTACATTTGGTCTGATTGTTGGGTTTTGAAGGGAGTTGCTAATTATCACGCAGAGCGTTATGAATTACCTTCTACCAATCGAATGGACTTCTACTTTCATACCTCTCCAGGACAAATGCCCTCGTTCGTCCTTTGAATCCATAGAAGAGATGTTTATCAAGGATACGGGTATGCCACTTTCAGAATATTTCTCTGAATTCGACCACGAGCCTATAGGGGCTGCATCACTGGCCCAAGTTCATTTGGCAACGGTCAAGGAGACCGGACAAAGGGTGGCCGTGAAGGTTCAGCATCCGTCTTTGGCTGAATGGACAAAACTAGACATGGCATTGACCAGCTTCACATTCTCGACCTTGAAGAAGTTCTTTCCGGAGTATGATCTCGAGTGGCTCTCGGATGAAGTCGAAATGTCTCTCCCTCAAGAATTGGATTTTACACGGGAGGGACGAAATGCTCTCAGAATAACAGAATATTTCTCCCATATTCCAGAAGCACCATTGGTAATTCCCGAAGTTATCTGGGCAAAGCAGCGGATCCTCGTTATGGAAAACGTGTCTGGTCATCGACTGGATGACCTCGAGTACCTAGATTCTAACGGTATAGATCGAGATGAGGTTTCCGCAGCTTTAGCTCACATCTTCAATGAGATGATATTTGGCAAGAATGCACCTTTGCACTGTGATCCGCACGGTGGCAACATAGCAATACGGAAGAATAACCACAGACGAGGATGCAATTTCGACATAATACTCTACGACCACGGCCTATACCGAGACATTCCCCTTGACCTTCGTCGCTCCTATGCCAAGCTCTGGCTAGCAGTCATCGACGCTGACGAACCGCGCATGCGCAAGTACGCCAAGGAGGTAGCCGGCATCTCCGACGAGCAATTCCCCCTCTTCGCATCCGCCATCACGGGCCGGGACTACAGCGTGCTCAAGAAATCCGTCACTATAGCAAGGACAGAAGAGGAGAAACAGGCTATGAACCAGGCTCTTGGGGATGGCATGCTCCTGCAACTAGTCCAGCTCCTAGGCCAAGTCCCGAGAGTCGTCCTGCTGATCTTGAAGACGAACGACCTAACCCGGAATCTCGATGAGAATCTCCACACGAGGCAAGGCCCCGTGCGAACCTTCCTCATCTTAGCGCGATACTGCGCTCGCACCGTGTTCGAGGAGCAAGTTGAGTATCTCAAGGCCCGTGGCAGTCTACTGCTGCCCAGGAATATGTTGGGCCTGCTAGAAGCTTGGTTCGGCTACTTCAGAGTAGAAGCGAAACTAGAGGCCTTTGAGCTCTGGCTGGGCTTGAAGAGAGCTGTAGGATTATCATGATTTTCGATTTCGAGTACCTTATCTACCTATAGACGAATATGCATTTTTGGCTTCTTCTTGCCCACGCGCATCCATAGATATTATAGACGCATAATCTATCTAGCCTTCGGGATTAGTGCACATGAATTAACAGAAATAAATCTATTCTTTTCCCCCTTACTAACAACATCATCTTCATTTTTATATATTAAAGTCCTTTCTAGGACTCCTACCTAATATCGTATCTACAGAGTGAGCAAAAGTAAGAGAGATAGATGAATGATCGAGAGTATTCTAATACTCTTTCCTTGAACACCTTACATACATACCTACCTTATAGGTTAGAACATAGAACCAGCAACAAATGATAGTTAATCCTTCTATGTGAGCAAAACTGCTCTCACGCACAGAAAAGAAGGAAGGTATTTCAACTCAGCTACACAATCCGGTAGATATAGAGACGGCCGGTTGGTGTAGTTGGTTATCACGTTTGCTTAACACGCAAAAGGTCCTGGGATCGAACCCCAGACTGGTCATTGGCTTATAAACTCTCTTTTTTTTTTTTTTTCCTTTTTTTTTTTAGCCGCCACCTCCCCACCCCCCCTTTTTCTTTTTTCTTTTTCCGGACGGGTTACGAGATCCTTTCTTCTTTTAGTTTTTTGGTCTCGCTAAGCTAGGGGAATTATTCCGCCTATGAAGGAGAGAGGGGCATATATATATCTCAATATATTTCACCTTTGTTAGTCTACGACCCAGTATCATCTCTTAATTCATTCAGAGGTACGAAAGATCACCGATTTTAAACTTGCAAGAATCATGAGGATCGGAAAATTATCGATTTGCATTTCTTCATTCATTGTACCCTTACACCTTTAGGAATGACCGGCTCGCTCCCAGCAAGCTATGCAACACGACCTATACGTTGTACGCCTATGAAAATGCAAGAACAAAAGAGAGACCCTATCATTCGTGCGATCGTGGACCCATTTTCTGATAAAGTTATCATTCTCGTCATGACCAGTTTATATCCCCACTTGGGGGCCGCATTCTCCGTCTGGGGTTCAGCTGGGGGGCCGTCCCTCCAGAGGCTGGTGATGCAGCTGACCTCGATTCATCCCGAAGCCTCATTCCACTCTCTCTTTGCAGGGACGATGCTTCATCCCTAATTCTCATTCCACTTTCCCTTTGGAGGGACGATGGGTCATCCCTGAGTCCGGGAGTGGCTATGCCATGCGAGGAGTGTGTTGGGCGATGTACAGATGCCCTTGGAAGACGGTTCTTGCTCCCTGATGTTTCGCTTGCAAGCTCTGCACTTGTCCTTCGCATCATCCCCTGTAGACTTTCTCGACTTTTTGGTCGATAATGTAATGCTTCCCCATAACTTGAAGGCACTGCCATCCTTCTAGGAGTCACACTGCCATCGATAAACGCTGAAGATGTCGATGGTCGGCTTCCATGGGTCGGGGTCATTGGCGCCGATGCGCTCTGGTGTATAGACGGAGGCGTATATGAGTTATTGCGTCTTGAAGACTGGGGTCGTCCACCACTTGCAATCTCTTGCTCCTTTTCGAGATGGGCTTTTACTAGCTCGCTCGCCATATTTCTCACTAATACTGCGTTGTCGGTCTCCGCAAGACGCTGAACAGCCTCGAAGAGGCTGTGACTCCAGATGCTGTCTGATATTTCCTGGCTCGGGTCGCATATACTGCGAACAATACGCAGGAGATTCAATCGTACTACAGCCTTCTTGTTGTTGAGCTTCTGGAGGATGCCAGTAAACATGTCAGGTCGGGCTAGAGAGGCAGCGACTGGCGAACTCAATCTCAGAAGCTTCTGTAAAGGCTCCAGAAGGTTGTAATCGAATGCGCTGGCCCTCGGTGCATTGAAGCACTGCACTATTGCCTCCGTAAAATTACCCTCGAGAAGATATTTCTCGACTTTAGCAGTCTCTTCTTGAAGCCTAATCAAACCGTTAGTAAGCTATGTCAATACCAGGAGAGCTGCTTTACCATATGAAAATAGCATCCAACGCTGTGACCTGCCAATACTGATCTTCCAGTAATGATACATAAAATTGCAACCCTTTGTTTTGCCAAAGATATTTCCTGGCGACCTTGCCAGAATGTGCCATGTCGCACAAGATTGGCAGGGCGAACTCCTTAGGGGGTCTTTTGGTTTTCATTATACGCTGAAGCAGTGGAATTATGCCATTGGTGGCAGCATCTTCTTGTCGCACCTTGCTTAGCCTGCACAGGTTGTACATGGTATTCAAAACCTGGTTGGAGATCTCGCGGAAATGTGTCGACGCCTTTTTCATGTTGTAATTCAACAGATCGATCAGAAGTTCAATTGCATTCGCTGAATGCAAATTGTCTAAGGTCGTCGACAACATGGACAGGTTCTTGATGAATTTAAGCATTGTGATCTGGTGTACTGGCGTCATGCGTTTGAGGTTCTTTAGGACGCCTAGGAATAATTAGAAACGTCCTCCACTCATGATATATAACTTACGTTTTAGTACGACTCGGTCTGCTACAACTTCCTTCACATAGTTTTCGGCCTGTGAGAAGAGGTAGAAGATATTGACAATGCGGCCTTCAACGAGTTCGGAAAGCTTATCCTTCTTCTCGTCAAGGACCCGATCCAGAACAAGAACTAATGGAGATAAGATTTTGCTTCTGGAAAGGATGCGACAGAAGTCATTCTTTGGCGTTGGTCCCTATCTGTTGTTAGCGATATTTAAAGATATGATTTTCCTGGTTCCATACTTGGAGCTCGAACACATTCCAGATACCGTTGACGCCAATGAGGACAAGATCTCTTGCTTCATCATAATCTTCGTCCAAAAACTCAACTAGCACGTTAAGTCCACCAGCGCTGACAAACATCTGAAGTGTTAGTGTGGATGTTTGATACATCTGTCGCACGAATGCTGCAGCCTCTAGTCTGATCTCATTCGAGTATTGCCTGGCAGCAAACTTCGTAATGATTGGAATGCCTCCGACGAAGCACAAATTTTCTTGTATTTCAACATCGTCCATGATGATCTTACAAGTGTTAGATTGGGTGGGAATCGATTTTGATACGAAGTACTTACTGTATTAACGACCTTCAAGAGCCGCAATATTGTAGTTTGGCGAGTCTTGACTGTACAAGGCTCAAGGATCTCGAGGATTGGGAGCATTCCATGAGCGCTTATGATAAGGCCTTTTGCTTCCTCGGATTCGAATAAAAGATCAAGCTTGGTTTCATTAGATATGCATAGAGAAAGTCAAAACACCAGGGACTTACCAGTTGTCCGGACCGATCCTCCAGAACATCCTCTTCTTCTCTTACCTTTAGTGAGCTCACTAAGCTCTCAACTAGGGTACATAGCCTGGCATGCTTATCTCGGGCAATATTGGCCTGCAGGTCCATCTCATCAAATCCTTGTTCCAACGAGGCAAAAGGATCGTCCTCGTCATCCTCATCACCAAGCCAAGAGTTATTTGAGAGTTTAGAATGCAGCATGAGAGCTCCAACACCGTCCTCAGAACCACGATCACTCTCATCCCTATCAATGCTAATATCTTCATTACCAAAGATGTCAGAGAAATCTTCATCATCTTCGCCCTCTGCGTATCGCTGTATCTCTACAGAAGATCTGGTTCGCCGCACAGATTGTTCCTGAATGTTAGGGTGGGGTGCAGGGCTTCTTCTATCACTTCCATGACCAGTGATCATAGGGGGCTGCGCAGAACGTGTGAGATCTGAAGGATGAAATAATTTCGGCGAAAGCGCATCGTCCTATTATTGATCAATCAGTCTCTGACGTTCATAACCAAACAAAGAGCCACGGACCTTGATGATGTTAAGTCGCCGGTCAAAAACGCTATCATTGTCCACAAATAGGTCTGAAAAGTCCTCCACTGATTGCTCACGATACATACTAGTTGGTCTTGATGGCAGAACAAATCTTGCTTCCGCTTGAGCTTTCGCAGGGGATTTTTGGCGTGGAGGTGCAGTATATGACGCCTTCCTTCCAGTACTTTTCGGTGCCACGGCTGCTTTGGGATTCTGCGTGGTCACGGGGGTTTTTGCTCGGTATGGCCGAATAGTCTCAAGCTCATGGCCTTCAGATTCCGCGCTCCGAAGAGGGCCCTTGATAGTCATAAGATCACCCTCGAAGTTGGTGTCCCAGTTGTCACTCTCCGCATTCGAATTATCAAAAGAGGCGAATGCCTTAAGGCGATCTGAAGACAGCATTCCTCCGAAGTTGTCATGCGGTTTGAACTGTGGAAGATGGAGCGCGCTTGATGATATAGATGAAGCAAAGTCATCGTCCCAATTATCGTCGCCTGATCTTGTCAATATTCATCCATTCTGATTGCGAAATATCACGCACCTATGCTTTCTGGAGACCGGAATGCCTCAGCGGTATTCTTCGGCTTTGCCAAAGAGAGAGGCCCTTTGGCTGGAGTGAGCAGACCAGCGCTTGCTTGATCATTTTGCATACTGCGGAGAGGCGGATCTCGTCTCATGGGACTACCATGGTTCGACCGTGTTGAAGCACGAAATGATATTGTACCATTAGGTGATTTGAGGGCCTCATTCCACTGCTTTACCTCCTCGACGGCTTCGTTAAAATTGGCGGGCGGTTTCGCTACAGGAGCGTCGGTACGTCGAGAGCCTACAATCCATGCATGTTTGAGCAGTTTCCGGGCCGAAACCCTCAGATTGGGATCTTTTTGAAAGCATTGCATGAGAAAATCTCGGGCGGCCTATATAATATTAGCTATCATGGATGGGGCTCTAGAAGTATGACCTACCGGCGAAACACCTTCTGGCAACGGTGGATGGTCATCGTTGACGATAGCAAAGAGCGCTGGCATAGGGGCCAACTTATGATACGGCGGTTTACCCTCCAGCAATTCAATGACCGTACACCCCAAACTCCAGATATCTGATGCAGATGTTGCTCCGGATAACTGGATGATCTCTGGTGCCATCCAATAGGGAGTTCCTACAACTTGTGCTTCTTTATCGGCCCCCGCCAACGTGCTCGTGGATACCCCAAAATCTGCGAGTTTGACCTTGCCATCCTTTGTCGTGAGAATGTTTGCACCCTTTATGTCTCGGTGGATAACACCCTGATCGTGGAGATACTGGAGTCCTTGGAGAACCTGGGTCATGTAGATACCGACCAGGTTTTCGGGGAATTTGCCATAGCTTTTGCATATTGAATGCAGTGAACCGTTCTCGCAGTACCTAGTGGCGGTCAGCAGATATTCTGTTTCGAACGGGTATGGGAAGCCAACTCTAATATGATACTCAAACATTCGGAGGATTTGACGAAACCTAGATATTTGACGATATTCTCGTGCTACGGTGTGTCAGTCAACACACCAAATCAAGCCACAAGATAGCCGTTACTCACGTTGAGATTCTTCAGCAGGTCAATTTCCGCCTAGATACTCGTCAGCCCCGAATTCCATTATCGTTGGAGCCCTAATACCTCTATCATCCGCAGCTCGCTTCTCGGAAGGTCCCCAAGCTTGATCTGCTTGATAGCTACGGCCTCTCCCGTCCCCAAATTCAGAGCCTTGTAAACTGACCCGAAAGCACCCTTTCCTAGACAGTCTCCAAGAACCTATTCCTGTATCAGCAAGAGTAGCCAGACCTTCGGGCGAGAGCGAGAGCGAACGTACATAGTCCTTGAGTTCAGGAACTTGAACGGCTTTCTCTCTCCCCACTCTGGCTTCCTTCCTCGGTGTGCCTGGTATCCTCTCCGCTCTGCCATGTCCGTTGGCAGCCCCCGATCTGCCATTGGGTTGTCGGTCCGACGAGGGAGCATAGGGGACCATGGCCGTCGTTTTCGGGCCTAGAAATGGGTGGGGGTTCAGGGAACGGAGAGAGGATGTCGAGTAGTCTGGCAGATGGAGGATCGCATCCCAAACATAGAGACTCGCGTCTTGTTGGCAGATCCTCGTTTCACGTCGCGGTATCGTGGTATCGCGGGGTTATGGGACTATGACCCAGGTTGCGTATATGGGCCCTGACCCTGGCAGCGCGAGCACGCGAGTTGTTGACCTTGACCATTCACTACTGTTGATACTCCGCCAGTAAATACTGGATGAATGGCTCGCATGCCACGTTCTCTGCCGAGGAAATTCGTGCAGGAATGGCCGCTCCTTGAATGATGAAGGTCGGGAGCCGCAAGGGAAATTGGAAATGGCGCAAAATGGCAAACAAGCGTTGCATGGATTCACCTGCATGTAAGGCTGAGGGCGGCTTCGGGTCAACAAAATCGACCTTGCGATGGTCTCGACGGTGTAGGGCCCGCTTTCATTTTTGCGCGTCAATCCCAGCAGTTAATCACCTTTTCTTTTCTTCGCATTGGTCAATCACAAATTCATGAGATTGGGAATGCTGTTGGAGAACTCTTGCATGTTGACAGCAGAGCGGCATAGGACTGGCTGTCTACCTAGGTACATATCTTCCCCCCTTGCTCTCAGCCTTAACCCCCTGACTCCGCAGCTACCAGTTCCCTCACACAAAGAGCCCTTGCAGTCAGCGAGGACAATCAGGAACTTAGGCTCCATAGATCCGTGGCATCATTGATTGGAAAGCGGTGCATCATAAAAGCGACCCACTACAAGGGCCCCAAATCAAGCAAGTACTCACAGCAGCAACATCAATCTCAAAGCAGACCAGAAAACAACGCTTGGATTCTTTTGGATAATATCAGCACAGGCTTAAAGTACAGTACAAAGTGGTATCACAAGGCAATCGTTGTTATCGGACCTTTAACCGCATTAACTTTTTTTCCCTCATCAATCCCTCAACTCGTAGGCTCGCGTCGCAGACCAGCCATTCTCCACCACTCTTCCGGTATGTCGTCTCGCTCTGCAAGACGTGAAATAATCCGCTGCATTCCTCCTAAGTGCTCTGTGTCTTCTGTACTAGTACGACCTGGTCGTGCTGTTGCAACATCTGCCCATGATAACCTGAAAGGGCGAATAATCCTCATTGTACCGAGGTTTGCGCCATGCAGTTCGAATATATCTTCCTCCTCCTCTTCGGTATTCGATCCCGAGTCTGATATATCACAATCACGAAGGGCAGAAGGATCGTCTACGGGTGCCAAACTCGGTATAGACGGACTGGCAGGTCCCGGGTCCGAGTCGGCAGAGCCCGAGACTGCAGCCGCTGCGGCAGACGCAGAGGCAAAGGAAGATCCCGCGCTTGGTGGCTGAGGGTCGGGCGTAATACTCGTGAGAAGGGTATCCCATGCATTTACGCCATCCGGACTTAGGCTACGGTCTCGGTCGCCAAGTCCATCCAGACGTTGTTGGCGGAGAAAACGGCGTGATCTCTCAAAATGGCTTGATACCCGGGTAAGAGCCTGAATTCTCTCTGATAACGTTGGTCTTGCCGATCGCTAGGGAATTAGTTAGTAAGGTCTTTCCGGTATGTTGTTGTTGAGACAATAACCTCGAGCGACCGTCCATACGCAAGGGAAGGAGATATTAGAGGGCAATTGAAATATCCACACTTACATCAGATGTATTTGGTGCTTCTCGCACTGTGAAATCATGCCTCTCTAGAGAAGGCCTGCCAAAGGTCATTGAAGCTTCAAGGTCTTGTAGTGTCAGCTGACGAGAAGGCGAAAGCGTAGGCGTTAATGATGCAGGGCGAGGAGAATCCGTGCCCACCCGGGCGATCAACGCGATATCAGTCTCGGTATAAGGGGGTGTAGGTGCTGTCCGCCGTCGCGCAAGTCTTTGAAGATTTCTTCGAATCTCGTGTATTCGTAGTACCTCCCTTTGTGCCTCTGGAGATAACGCAACAGGGTGGTAGTCTCTGGACTCGGGAGCAGGGGGCAGTAATGGCCCATCAGCTTCCATGTTGGTTGTATGTTGACGCTCGAAGCTCAGTGTGTCGCGCAATCTCATCCGTTCATCGTCAAACATGCGCGGACCTGGCGCTTGAGAGGACGCGACAGGAGGTATTCCGGATTCGTGTGGAGGCGACGTGCGTTGGCCTTCCCAGACCTCATAATCCCCATTGCCATTGAAACCAGTGACCAAACCCAGCATTCGCCTTCTTCGCGTCTCGGCCGCCAGGCGCGCGTGAGGACCGCGGACAGTGCGCTGCCGTCGAATTGAAGATCGCGGACCTGATGTGACCTTCTCTGCTGCTTTGGATGCCGCATCAGGCTCGGTAGGCACAACAAATATTCTGGCGACCCGATTAGTACTACACGCAAACGAAGCAGCAAGGGAAGCTGGGCAGGCCGAGGACTTACGGTAGACCCATTTCAAGAGACGAAAGGATTTGATCGAGTCGCAAACACAAGACGGAAACTTCTTAGATTATCCAGGGTCGCGCAGTGACTTCTTATATCTTCCAGAATCGCGCGACAACGAAAGAGATGCTTCTGATAGATTTTCTGATGATTTTTTGATTCTTGTCGTGATAAACGGATTGTTGTTGCGCAACAGCGCGGGCCAGTAGGTGTCGATCGAAAGTGAAGGGGACGGGTAAGCGAAGCTCGGCAAGATCTAAATAGAAATAAGCGCTCCGTAGATCCCACTAGTGGACCAGCATTTGACCACCAAGACCCCTGTTTAAAAAGTCGAGAGGCTGTCAGGCCCGTCCGCCACACCAGAGCTACCTATTTCACGTTCAGCTTGCTCACAACCACAAGGAATGGCCACAATCATGTATCTATCTACCTATCTATTGGCGCAAGTCTCCTACTAATCAATGTCCTGTTTGCTAGCTGGAAAAGACCTCCCTGAAAGATGATTGAGCTTGGACTGGCGCGCATCAGCCGCTTGCTCAGCTACACACCTCAGCCATGGAAAGCAATACATGTCGCTGGCACCAATGGTAAGGGAAGCATATGCGCCTACTTGTCTGCTATGCTCCACGCAAGTGGCGTACAATGCGGCCGGTTTACCTCTCCACATCTGATTGATCGTTGGGACTGCATCACGGTCAATGAGCAACCCGTGCAAGAGTCTCTTTTCCTCGAAGCGGAAAAGCTGACGGCAGAGAGAAATCAAAAGGATGGAATTGGGGCAACAGAATTTGAGCTACTTACGGCTACCGCTTTTGAGGTATTCGCCAGGGAAAAAATCGAAATGGGGGTCATAGAGGTTGGACTAGGCGGTCGATTAGATGCTACAAACACTTTGCAGAACAAAGCTGTGACTGTCATCTCAAAGATTGGTTTGGATCATCAATCTGTTCTGGGGAACACAATTGAAGAGATTACGCGACAAAAGGCAGGCATCATGAGACCAGGCGTTCCTTGTGTTTTGGACAGGAGCAACCCACCCCCTGTTCAGGCAGTCGTCAAAGAACACGCAAGAGAAATTGGAACAGATGTGATACTCAGTTCAACTGAGTCGTCTTTCTTCCATGGGCTCTCAGAAAAGGATTTCCAGCCTCATCAATGGGAGAACCTAGCTTGCGCCTACACAGCCTTTCAGCTGGCATACCCGAAGTCGGAATCTTCTCAACATCGCCTCATACCCGCTATCAAAAATATCAATTGGCCAGGACGCTTGCAGACTGTAAGTATCACAGGTGTCACAGGTCGTCAAGAGACGGTCCTTCTTGACGGCGCACATAATGTCCAGTCTGCGGAGGTTCTAGGTTCATATGTGAATGAAAAGCTGCGCAAAGCAGGCAGAGTGACTTGGATCCTTGCAGCTTCACAAGGAAAGGAGCTTGAAGGGATCTTGAAGCCCTTGCTACGTCCGGATGATAGTGTGGCCGCTGTTCAGTTTGGACCTGTTGATGGGATGCCCTGGGTTCAAGCTATGGCTCCTCAGGAGATTCTTGGCGTAGCATCAGCATCTGGCATTGATGCTACTCAACTGCACAATTCTGGTTCCGATATATTGGGTGCATTACGTTGGGCAACTGCTGTTGCTGAAGGAGGGCCTATTGTCATTGCTGGTAGCCTATATCTTGTTTCTGATGTCTTGCGTCTTTTGAGAGACGCTGATCAGTTGAAAGCCTAATTATTAGAACAATAAACTCCTCATGATACCCTAGTCAACTGTTTCCTTGCAGTTTGCTTGTTCTTTTTTGCTACTATATGTATTGCACTGCTATGTTGATTATTTTCACCTAGAAGGATCACCGGTCTTTTACAATTTACCTCTACGCAAAAGAAAAAGATCAACCTCTCTCCAAAGCTTTTTCAGTCCTCTCTAAGCAAGCCCAGACTCTAGACGGAACAAGTCTCTTTTCTTCCTCTAAAAAGATCCTATATTCCACACTGCCTTTCAATCAGCCAGCCATGTGATACAGCTGCTTGCTAATGCGACTTTCCAAATTCTGGAATCTCTAATACGCATTCTGCGATTCTCGAAACATACAAGCGGCCGGTTGGTGTAGTTGGTTATCACGTTTGCTTAACACGCAAAAGGTCCTGGGATCGAACCCCAGACTGGTCATTGGCCTAGTTTCCTTTTTTTTCCTCTAATTTTTTATTCTTCTCTTTTTTTCCCGTGCGGCAGTTGGGCAACCCAGAGCTTCTAATCACCACCTTCACACTTTTCCAAAACTCAAGAAAATTCACATACATACATACTAAAGTAACAGTGCCTGTTCTTTTTTCACTTCTTTCTTCTTTTCCTTGTCCTAGAAAAAAATAACAAGTGAAAAAAAGAACGTAAAGTGAAGCGACAACCCCTCCCGGTTAATTTTCGCTTGAGGTCAAACTCAGGGGTCTCGCTTCGCAACGACAATGAATAAGGGGTCTGTCTTGTACAAGAGACTACAGCATAACTGTTCTGACCTATATTGATCTTGGGATTTAGAGTAGGGGACGCTGTAATGTTGGCTAAGAATAGATATAAGGTCAGCAGCAGACATAGAGGGAGTTAGGGGACATTTGCTGCACTTCAATTATCAATCTGTATCTATCTTCTTGGTTTCGGATTGTTGATGTCGGGTTATATATTGTTCAGATTGTTGATGTCGGGTTATATATTGTTCAGATTGTTGAAGTCGGGTTATATATTGTTCAGATTGTTGATGTCGGGTTATATATTGTTCAGATTGTTGAAGTCGGGTTATATCTCAGCTTCTAGATGTACACAAAGCCTGCACCACCTCTTGAGCTCCTTGATATTGTCTTGTTCTGCACAACACCACTCCCATCCTGAAGCACTTTGAGCAGTCTTGTAGCAAAGGCCAAAAGACATAGAAGCGGAACCAGAACCGTGGTAGGAAGAGAGCTCTCGATCAAGAGCTCTCTCCATCACCTAGAGCACAAGGTACTTCCCTTCTCGTTCCTCTGCTCGTAGATTCGAAGTCTACGTGTGTGCCTCGATACCTGAGTATCACTTGATTAGTCGTGACAGGTTGTTTATAATCCTAAACGGGTTAGGAGAGAGCATCCACAACGAGAAGGAATATTTAAGGACATCTTCCTCACCTCCGGATCCAGTCCTCTTCCTCCACCAACCATCCCCACCATCCAGGTCAGTAACCCACCCACATACAGTCCTCAGCAGGAGGGGCTTCCGGAGAATAACGAAGACTGACTCAGTAACTTAGATCCAGTCAGACAATTGACTGGCACCGTTATTGTCTCCATCTTGATAATTCTCTTTCTTCCAACCCAAAACAGCTGCCTCAGATCCATACCAAGTAAGTTGATCCCACCTCAAGGACACACACTCTCTTTCAAAGAACAATAAGCACAATTGTCTTTATATCACGCGCAGCCTCTTCTTCCCCTAACAAAGCCCCGAGTACGCGTTTCTGACTTTGAGAGCTCTAGATCCGCGATTCACCACAGCCACACCAAGATCTTCGCGCGCAGTCAGTCTTCAAGTCTCAACAGCCAAAATGACCGCGCCAAACTTGGGACCAGTCAATCTTGCCACCCCTGCGGGCCTCGTGCGCAACCGTAACTACAACACCCTCGAGCAGATGCCAAAGCTTCGTGACCCACAATGGGCCAAAAGAGATAAGTCCGATATTCTTGACAGCCGTCGCGACAACATGGAGGCGGCCTTGATTACTAGCCGGGGAGTTGTGCAGTTGAATAGGTGCGCGCAATGCGTGATTAAAGGTGGCACTTTCACCGAGTGCGTGGTAGTCCCAGGCATGTATAATGGCAGTTGTGGAAACTGCAAATTTAACGTCGAAGGTGGTTACTGTACTTTCGCCAGTAAGTCCATGGAGATTCCTTGAAAGGGGCACTTGCGCTGACATGGCAATCTTCCACAGATGGTAATGTTCTCACGGCCAAGGCGCTGAAGAGACTGGGCACAGCGGCGGACAGGGCTGCGGTGACTTTGGCAAATGTCCAAATCATAACGAACAATGGAGTGGGGCAGATGCAACAGGGCGCCGTCACTGTTATGAGTGATCAGGGCCCCATCATTCTTCAGGGTCTCATGACTGCGACTGCCCAGGGCACAGAGAATCATGGAAACGGAGAAATCGCTGGCTTCGGCCTTCCTCACAACAACGCCGGCCTTCCTTACAACAACGCCGGCTTTCCTCACAACAACGCCGGCCTTCCTCACAACAACGCCGGCATTCCTCGCAACAACGCCAACGATGGAGAGCACGAGCAGGATGACCAAATTTATGGACCGACTGCATACCACGAGCAACATCATCATGCTTCGCACCAGCATGACCATGGTGTACCACCTTTCCCTGAGCAGCTTGCGTACCAGGAAGGTATCGAAGCTTTCTCTGCTGACCAAAGTGGCCATGACAAGATTACAGCCCCATACCATGGTGTCGATCATGAAAGCCAATCAACCACTGGGTACTATCACCATGATGATTCTCTCCAAAACAAGGATGAGGTGAATCCCATCTCATGTCCCGTTCGTTTCTCTTCTAATAGTGGTTTCCAGTTTTTGAATCAGGACGTTGCTGAGGGAGATGGAGTTATTCCCCTTAAAATCGAGACTGCCGAGAATAGCGTTTTCCAAGGTGAGAGTGGTCTTCAAGGCCACCACGCGAATGCTCTTCAAGGCCACCACGCGAATGCTCTTCAAGGCCACCACGCGAATGCTCTTCAAGGCCACCAAGCGAATGCTCTTCAAGACCACCACGCGAATGCTCTTCCGCATATTCACGATGGAACTAATGCACTCCAGAGTGTTGGTTTCTCCCATCATGGGCTCCAGAATCCTTACCAGGAGTATACTGCCTCAGATGAATATGAAGAACTATTCCGCGACGTGGATGGCCTCTTCGAATATCATGGCGATGTTCTTCCCTTTGGCGGTGTGCATAGCGAGGATAATGCTCCCCAGAGCGAGGTTTTCCACGATGGCAGTGGACCCCAGCATGGTGATGAGAATAACAGGGATGGAGCTCATCGTAACGATGGCGAGAATGACGAGGGAGCTATTTGATGTTCTTCCCCTGGTAATGTTCATCACGAGGATGATGTTTCCCAGAGAGACGTTTTCTAGGATTGGTGGCAAACTCCAGGGTGCCGATGCGGATAACAAGGATGGCTTCTTACAATGATGTACGAGTATGACGGTAATAAGAAGCTCAGGGTAGGGCCTGAAGCTTTCGGACGGGTGATATTCGCAGCTGTTCTTCTGCGACAGTTACTGACAATGTGATCTGTTTTCCATTATGGTGATTCTTGAATGCTTATTACCGGTGAAGGAAGCCATGAGACACTAGATCAATCACAGGATCGGCACAAGGGGATATGGGGGGAAGAAAACTGACGAGAAATCATGTTTCATTGTCTCCAGGAGAATTGGCACTTCGTCATCACGCCTCGAGATCGCACCTAACTTGATGAATAAAAGATATTTACATGGCCAACGCCTCTCTATTGCCCCTTCTATTGAAATGTCCGGCATGGGTAGCTAGGGTATCATATTAGCAAGTGCTCTTTCCATCTCATAATAACGTTTCTACTCACTGCTCAGGATAAGCGTTCTCAGGGGTCAAGTGGTACTTATCGGCACCAGCCTTCAAGTTCGCACCGCTGGGCAAAGGAGGCAGACCATCCTTCCCGAAGCTCTCCAACACTCCTCCCTTGCCTCCATTAAAGTAAGCAGCCAAACCAGTCTCTCCTTGCTGTTTCACCTCCACTAATTCCTTCGTTCCAGCCTCACCGATCAGCTCCTTCTTTGGTGCACTTTGGCTTCCGAGGCTGAGCAGGCCAACAACGTCGCCCTGAGATACGACTGAGAGACGGGGATAGGCGCGTCGTGCATCGCGCTTCCAGTATGGGTTCTCGGCGATGTCACCTGCGGGAATAGTGACAGGATCGATGAATGAAAACGGTTCGTTCGAGCCGGGGGGTGGGTTACGGAATTGAGGGTTCAATGGGACACCATTAGAGCGGTTTGGGTCGACCGCGAAGGCTCGTCGAATCTTCTCCCAGATCCCAGTGGACTGAACGGTGTATTTCTGTTGATTGCGATTAGCTTGTGGTAGTTCCATATGCTCGGGGAAGATTGATCAGGGTGGAGAGGCGCATAGTATGCAAGTAGCAATGGAGGGCACCATACCTTGCTGACGGGGATGACCCTGCTACCAGCTTGGACAGCCTTTGCTGCCTTTTGCGACGACATGTTGACCTTCGGTCGTGCAGCGAGTGCTCAATTGACTTGTTGTGTAGTTGAACAAGCTCGAGTTCAAGCAGCAGATGTTTTGAGGTGTCGTCGGAGACTCGGAGGCGCGGCCGCGGTTTATCCGCAGTTTATCCGGATACGGGAACCATGATGCCCTAAATCATTGCTCCCCTACGGTTTGATTTCACATTCTGGATTGCATTGCTACGATGATGATATTGCATATGGACTAGTGGTGTTTCCTTGTGCGCTGATAGCCGCCATGCAGGAGTACCTTTCCGGAAGTCCAATGGCGCCCTGACAGAAAGGCGCTGCTCTGGAAACGCTGCTCGCTCTAATGTACGGAGTCTGCTTCAAGAAGATACGGCATTATCAAAGTGACTTTAATTACTGCCAAATACAGGGAAGGAAAATAACCTGGAAACCCATGAGTATAAACTATACACTATTTGAATGCAGACCTATCCAGTCATTCCGCAAAAAGAGCATTTCATAAGTGCCGCCGCCTTCCGACCATTTTCCATACCCATTTTGATCCTCAGCATGCATGCACGAACACCACTGTATTGAGCTGCTTTTGACACCTTTTAAACTTCAGCAGGCTTTTCCTCATTGCTATCAATCTTCTCGGCGGTATCAGCAACTTGAGCTGCCACATCAGCCTGGGCGATATCCTCTTTGGCGGTAGTCTCAGCTACATTGGCGCCATTGGCAGTGTCTTCCGTCTTGGGTTCTTCAACAGCTGGATCAGTTGCTGTAGTTCCATCGCTAACAAGCTTCTTGACGACATCGACTGTACCTCCGGGAGAACCTGCCTGGGCAGCAAGGACCTTTCCGGACTTATCAACAACGAAGACTCCACGGGTGGTACCGTTGGGCTGCTTCTTCAAGCCGATCGCAGAGATGAGGGTCAAACTGGGATCGCAAAGAAGAGGATAGGGGAGCTTCTGCTTCTCCTTGAAAGTAGTGTTGCTCTTTGGCGAGTCCTTTGAGAGACCATAGATGGCAAAGCCGGTGGAGGTGAGATCGGTGTAGGCGTCGCGGAAATTACATACTTGAGTGGTACCTGAGATCGATCAGTGTTAGAAGGACATGTGCATCGTTGAAATCATCGCGACGCGAAACTACATACAGCCTGGAGTAGATGCCTTGGGATAGGTGAACAGAACTACCCCTCCCTTGCTCTCATCGACGAGCGACTTGAGTGTCGTCTTCGTACCATCGTTGGTCTCGATCTCGCCGCCAAATCCTTCGAGGTCGATTGTGTCTCCCACCGCGATCTTGGATGCGCCTGACGCGCCGGATGCGCCGTTGGTCTTAGCTTCCTTTGCGCGGCTGGAGACAGCTTGCTTGACCTTTGCGGCGGCCTTTGCAACTGGTTCCTTCTTCTTTGCAGGCGGAGCTGCAACAGGCTCAGTCGCGGGCGCCTTGCGCTTTCTCAACTCGGGGGCCATGATGTGCGCTTTCCTGGGACCTCTAGTTGACCACCAAAACGGGGAATGCGCTCTCAGAGATGGGGAAGCTTGGGGGAGTGCTGTTGCGCGATTGAGGCCTGTGATTGGCGCAAATAAGGGTTCGGCGATATGCGGCTATGGAGAGGATGCTTGATGTGATATGGCTCTTGAGTCGCGCGCGGCAACAATAGAGGTTTCTTGGTCGAGCGCGCAAAGGGAGTCAGTGGGGAGAGGATTTCAGGATTTCAGGAGGAAGGGAGGATGGACGTTGGATTATAAGCTGGATGGTCTACTAAAAGGCACCGCACTGTAAGGTAAGGTAAGTAATCTCCTCCTACTCCGTAGTCATACTCCAGGCTACGCAGAACTGAACCAGGGGGCTTGCTGGCGCACAGCACTCAGTATCATATGCCTGGACATGCAGCACAGCCAGCTACTCCGTAAAGGGTTCAGCAAATGATAGGTCTATCAAGAGGCACGAATTGGCAGGTTTGTGCACCCAACGGTCCCAACCCCATCCAAGCGAGCATCAGTCAGCCGGGGGGAGAGGCAGGCCAGGAGATGGGGGAGTTATCCGCAGGCTGGAGGAGGCTAGGACGGGATGTGGAAAGCAACAGCGGAAGGGAGATGCCATGAACGAGCAGGAAGATGCTTGAGGTAGGTAATGTACCTAGCCATAGCCAATACCTTAGCCTAAGGTACATATCAGTTGCTCAAGCTGCCTCTTGGGTTATTAAGGTAAGGTATTCGAGGTAGACGTGAAGTTGTCCTGGCTACTGTAGTGGCAATGGAACCGTTCCGATCAACCGGCCAGAAAGATCACGTGTACGGGAAAGGGGAAGGGGAAGGGAAAAGGATCCGGGGAAAAGGGAATGAGAGGGGAGGGGAGAAGTATTTGCGGAGTAAGGTAAGATATAGAGGGCGAATCAGGTGGTGCGGAATCCGATGGCAATGATCAACTCTTCTCGTTCAGTTCTCTCACCGTGAATAATGAGAGTGAGAGACATTGTAGACAATAATAGACAACTATAGACACGCATCGAAGCTCGATAGCTGAGTAATCGCCGGCACGACCGACGATGAATCGTGAAAGCCGCAGAGAAACCCGGGATATCATTCGTCCGTATCTCTCCCGTGACCCCGTCACCGTATTCCGTGCTTGGTGTCACAAGGGGGCGGGTCCGGCAGAAAAATCGCTTCTCCGATATTTGACGGCCCGGCTCCTTATCGAATACTCACATCTCCTCTCCACTTACAATCATCTACAACTCACTACCTACAACTCGTTTCTAAGGTCTTTTCTGCGCTTTTTGTGGTCATTCACTCAGCCATCAGTCTGACTTGTACACTACCAATATCCACTCTGATTATAATCCGTACTTCTATCACCCGTTAGAGTCCACAATCTCCGTGCGCCGCAGCGTCGAAAAATTCAAAAATTCTTGACTAGTACTTCAAGCACGCGACCATCATGAAGGTCTTTGCAAACGAATGTACCTTCGATTACTCCTGGGAGGAGGTGTCGACTGCAAATTGGAGAAAGTACTGCCCATGGAACGAAAAATCTACCCACGTAATCGCCGTCGACACTCTATCGCGACATGTTGATCCTGCGACAGGAATAGTATGTCATCGTTCTATCTCCACCGTCATTTGCTAAGATACTGACTCCCATCAGTTACGCACTGAGCGTCTCATAACCTGCAAACAAAGCGCCCCCAAATGGGTGAACTCGCTTCTCGGAGGCCTCGACACCTCCTATGTTTTCGAGACTTCCTACGTTGATCCGGTGTCGAAAAAAGTCACCATGACCTCGTCGAACATGACATTCTCAAATATCCTAAACGTACGAGAGACAGTTGTCTATAAACCACTCGACGCTACTCGAACGCAGTTTGTACAAGACGCGAAGATTACAGCTTTGTGTGGTGGATGGCAGAAGGTTAAGAACGCCGTGGAGGAGGCCACCGTGACCAGATTTTCCGAAAACGCCCGCAAAGGAAAGGAAGGGTTCGAGGCTGTTCTTGCGATGAGCCGGAGAGTCTTCAGTGAAGAGAAACAGAAGGAGCAAGCCTCCGGCACGATGACGGCATAGACGGACGGATGGAGATTTGAGGATCCAGCGATACATGAACGATTAGACACGATTCATCTTTCGATTAGCGTTGCTATTTTTTAGAGCGATCAGCGGCATTGTGTTTGGGAGTGGGCATACAAAAGTTTGGAGTTTCTAGGCATTCCGGAGAGATACAGGTTCCGGTGGCGTTCTGGTCGTGGGAAAGTTCAATTCACACGAGAATAGAGGGGGCTCTGAATCTGAGCTGTACATCTATCTGCCCGCTTCGTCGGCAGATGCAAGTATAACGCAAGGGCTATTGAGAGCTGTGTGTGAATGGATAGATGGGACAAATCCTCACTTAAATCTCCCAATCCTGTATTACAAGATTCGTCAGATCCTGATCACTACTAAACCGCTGATTATCTTGCTCCAAAAAACAATCGAGTATTATGTGTCATTACACTGTCTTCAATCACTGACTGGTATCAATGTCCTCTTTGTCCGCAGGCTTTATAGATCTAGCCTCGCAACGGCCCTTATAGTCGTTGACTGTCTTCCTGAAATCCTCATTAAGCTTCCCCTTCAGCACCTCATCCGCAACCTCCCCTGCCTCTTTATATCTCCCGAAGAAGTACAATTCTTCAATAGCATGTAGGATTGTCTGAGACTCCGGTTTCGAGGGGTTATCTACAGGAAGCTTGAGCGTCTTCCAAATCTTTCAAAGCATAAGCCTTTCATCCCTTGATTCAGACAATATGCAATTAGATTAGACTTACTTCTCCTAGTTCATTCTTTGGCTTCCATTCCTGCCTCTGCTTTTCGAAGTCCGCCTCAGACTGGAAGTCTCGAGGGACTTTGTCTGATTCATCGACTGATTCATCAGAACTGATTTCGATGTCGAAAAGCCCTCCCGCTTCGTCTTCCATTTGGTCCCCTGTCCAATCCTTCCTCCACAGTTCTTTGACGCTTCCCGACTCCACTCTTTGGTTGTTGGTTTCGAGTTTCCAGACCCTGGCTGAAGTCTCGTCGCAAAAGCTTCGGTTTTGATGTCACTTCGCATCCAGAGGGGATTCTCGCTACTCCGTAGTGCGGGGTCCCGCGTAACGTCAAGGTCTCCTCGAACTTTCATCCAAGTTTCCAAAGCAGCAATATGGAGGATCAGGTAAACCGACTGGTCGAGAAGACCTGGGGTAAATCCCGAAACCCAGCAGTCTAGTTCATGACTGATAGCACAGTCCAGCAAAATTCCAATCAATTCCCTCGTCTGAGCGCTTCTTGATTGCGGTTTCTGGAATCCCAGGTTCTGGTACTTTACCCCTCTTTTTCTACTGGATATATAATTCTAATAGGAAATTACTAGGCAAAACAACTTTGGCTTCGACGGTTACCAAGCGCCTGAATGCTCTCTATTCTGGCCTCCATGGCAAGACATCCACACCTCCCATCGCGGGCTTCGTGCCCATGGACGGCTACCACTTGACCCGAGCCCAGCTCTCCGCGATGCCAGATCCCAAGCACGCACATGATCGCCGCGGTGCAGAATTCACATTTGACGGCGACGCCTTTGTGGCCCTGGTGCGACGGGTCCGCGAGCCCCTAACACCCGAATCCCAGACCCTCTACGCACCGTCGTTCGACCACGCGGTCAAAGACCCCGTCCAAGACGACATACCCATCGAGCCTACGACGCGGATCCTCGTGTTTGAAGGGAATTATCTGAGTTTGGATAAGGAGCCCTGGAGGACGGCGGCGGAGCTTATGGATGAGCTTTGGTTCGTGGATGTGGATTTCGAGACGGCGAGGAAGAGATTGGTCCCTAGGCACGTGAAGGCGGGAATTGCGCCGACTGAGGAGGAGGCGGATAAGAGGGTTAGGGAAAATGATTTGGTTAATGGGGAGGAGATTGTAAATAAGAGGTTGGAGGTGCATGAGGTGATCGTTAGTACGGACGATGAGGGGTGGAAGCCGGAGGCTCAGTGAGGGAATGATTAACGAAATGAGACGTAGAGAGACGTAGAGAGACATAGAGAGAAGCAAATTAAATCATAGACACGATAGTCAGTTTATTGGCCTTCCATTCAGCTCGGTACCTTGCATTTACGAATAATGTGGGAAGGCTTTTTAGGTTGCTGTCAGTCGCATGATAGGAGGCGATTGAATCAACGTCCATGGCTTGGTGAAACTCCAATTTGACGATGGTGATAATGATGCAGTTGCAACAGCGGTCCCTCCCTTCTTTTCACTATCTAGTCGCAAGGGCGGATAGTTATCCATTCATTTAACGCTATCCATAATAAGGGATGGGAAAACCCAACGATCACCGCTCTGTAATGAAGTACCGCCCTCTGGACTCTCAGAACCAAAATATCTTTTTCATCTGTCCAATTGATGGATTTAAGTATACCACTGATTTCAGGCAATAGCCTCCAGGGAGAGGATGCTCGAGCCCCGCCTTCTAATTCTTGAAACGGATAATAATTATGGATCTCGACCATATGCACATCGATTCCGGGGTTCTTGAGCGCTCCCGTTCTCCGCTTCAAGCTCTAACTGGAGCGTTATAGACTAACTCACATCTTGGAGTATGCTATCGGCGGTCCGTTCTCTGATATTGATAGATGGCTGAGATGGCGATTTTGATGTTATGCATCGACAACACTAGCCAACTGTATCTGTAACTGCAATTGCCGGTCAGGAGATAGGGCAAAATGATATATTGGATGTCGAAAGGCGTACCAGCTACCCATAGTATTTAATGTCTCGCATTTAAAACACTAACATCTTCAATACTGCCGTCCTTACTGCTCGCGGTCGCCTCTCCCCTAGCTTCGCCAGCCATCCTTTCAATAAGCTTGGCTTTTACATGGGCCCTCTTCAAACGGTCATCGAAATCCGACACCGCTTCCTCCGTGTTCTCTGTGGAGAGGCTCTCCGATTCCGCTAAAGCATACAATATCTTGACATGCTTTGCGAGCCTTGCATTGGCTGGGAGATTTGAGAGCTTGAGACCGGAGGCGGCGAGATGGCTATCTGATTGAGGGTTGCTTTCTGGCCCTGTGGCGGTCTTGCTTTGGGGACGAGGGGTGCGGTTTGCCCAGACGAGTGCTTTCCCGTGGAGTCGTCCGCTTTCGACGTACTTTTCGAACCCCTTTTCAAGCCCGAAGGTTCGCCCTTCAATCTGGCCTGCTTTGATTCCATCCGCCAATCCTTGCTGGTAACCCTCATCGTAAAACTGTTCTTCTAGGCCCAAAACCTCATCAAAAGTACCAGAGGCCATTTTGGATCGGTGGCGAGGGTCTAGCAGATGAGTTTAGGATTTTGCTCTCCAGTAGAAGAAGTTGAAAAATGGGTTTCGAATTGGTGAGATAAATTGGGGCGGACACGTGACAGGCAGGATATCTTTATACCTATGTCAGAGACCTTGAAATATATAAACTAATCAAGCCATGCGTATAAGGACCATGCAGAACGGCACGAGCGGTTGAGTAATAGACCTGTTCTGTCCATCCCAGAGCAAAGGGACGGGTACTGATTTCATCTTGAGCTCAGCCTTGTTGGTGGGCAGCCCTCTCGCTAAAGAATGTCGCAGCCTCGCCGGGAAAAGCGTGACTCATGCCCCACTCCCAAATACCTCGCAAAAAGCTGCCCCTCCACAATCCTTACACCATCACGCAATGGCATCCCCAAAGATCATCCTGCCCGAGAAGGGCAAGCAGAACATCCTCATCACCAGCGCATTGCCATATGTAAACAATGTGCCTCACCTTGGCAATGTTGTTGGAAGTGTTCTGAGTGCCGATGTCTTCGCGAGATACAGCAAGTTGAGGGGCAGGCCTACACTCTTCATCTGCGGAACGGATGAGTATGGTACCGCCACCGAAACGAAGGCTCTCGAGACGGGACAGACGCCGCGAGAGTTGTGTGACGAATTCCACAAGAAGCATAAAGATGTCTACGATTGGTTCGAGGTTGCCTTTGACTACTTCGGCCGAACAACAACAGACCAGCAGACGGTCATTGCCCAAGATATGTTCTTGAAGCTCTACAAGAACGGATACATGGAGGAGCGCACAACCACCCAGCCCTATTGTGAAAAGCACGAGTCGTTTCTGGCTGACCGTTTTGTCGAGGGCACGTGTCCCAAGTGCCAATACGATGATGCACGAGGCGATCAATGCGACAAGTGCGGCGCTCTGCTTGACCCATTTGAGCTCATCAACCCTCACTGCAAGATAGATGGCGCAACACCCGTTCCACGAGACACAACCCACATCTTTTTGCGACTTGATAAAGCTCAACCGGCCATTGAAGAGTGGTTCGCCAAATCAAGCGTCGAAGGAGGCTGGCCACAAAACGGTATCAGTATCACAAGATCATGGCTTGATAAGGGTCTGGAGCCACGCAGTATTACGCGCGATCTCAAGTGGGGGACGCCAATTCCGCTGCCAGGATATGAGAAGAAGGTGTTGTATGTCTGGTTCGATGCCACTATCGGCTATCCCTCAATTACCGCGAACTACACGAAGGATTGGGAGCTATGGTGGCGAGACCCTGAGAATGTCAAGTTGTATCAATTCATGGGCAAGGATAACGTACCTTTCCACACCGTCATTTTCCCAGGTTCGCAGATGGGAACTGGAGACAAATGGACCATGCTCAACCATATCTCCACTACCGAATACCTGAACTACGAGAATGGCAAGTTCTCAAAGTCAAGAGGAGTCGGTGTCTTTGGAGACTCGGTCAAGGATACTGGTATTCCACCTTCGGTCTGGCGGTATTACTTGCTTGCAAACCGACCGGAGACTGGGGACACCCAATTCGAATGGAAATCCTTCATCGCCGCCAACAACAGCGAGCTTCTTGCCAATCTTGGTAACTTTGTCAACCGGGTGGTTAAGTTCGTGAATGCCAAGTTCGACGGTGTTATTCCAGACTATTCTCCCACCTACGAGGACGACTCTTTCGATTTCCCCAACTTCATCTCTGAGGTCAATGCTCTTCTCGCGGAATACAATGCCGATTTGGAGGCTGTGAGACTGCGTGCCGGTCTGAGGAAACTCATGGATATCTCCGGTAAAGGCAATATCCTCCTCGCTGGCCGTCTTGATAATGCCAACCTAGCCGAACACCCTGCCAGAACACATGCTATTATTGGTCTCGCACTGAACCTCGCATACCTTATTGCTTCTGTGTCTTCGCCATACATGCCGTCAACGGCGGCATCGATTGTTGAGCAGCTGAATGCCCCTCTGCAGAATATCCCAGACAAGTGGACCCCTGGCGCGCTGGCTGGCGGACACAAGATTGGCAAGGCTGCCTATCTCTTCAGCCGGATCGACGAGAAGAAAGAAGACGAATGGAGAAAGAGATATGGTGGAACGCAAGCTTCTCGCCTGGCGGATGAAGAAGCCAAAGCCAAGAAAGCAGCCGACAAAGCGAGGGATAAGGAACGCAAGAAGGCCAAGAAGGCTGCTGCAAAGGCTGGCGAGGCAACTCCACAGGAGCCCCAGAAGGTGGAACTTCCGTTTAGAGGTGCTGTGGCAGAAGAACAGGCCCCCCCGCCAGCTGCGGCTCTATAAAGTAGTTGACGGGTTGCCCTAGTGGTGTTTTTCGTATACCCCATCTTCGTCTTCTATCAAGCAATGAAGAAGGTGTATGCGCTCTGACGAGTTTCTTTTGTCAAGCTTTGGAGCAGGGGGTTGAAAAGAGGCTTCATGGATGGTTTTGCTGGGTCCGATTTCAACACGACAGCGGTTAGAGATGTGTGTAAGACGAGCTATGTGCCATTGATAGGTACCAATCTAGTTTAACGGTACATCTATACCTTCCATGACTTCTATGTGATTCAATGCAGCTCAAATGGCCATTCTCATACCTCCATTGGCGCAGACAACCTGCCCTGTACACCATAAACTATCGGGCGTGCATAACATCCCAACAATCCCTGCGATCTCCTCGGTGTACGCTGGTCTCCCACCAGCTATGGGCGCATCCTTGACCAAATCCTCATCATCAACCCCCGGTCTTACCTGCGACCCGGGAGTATGGCTGATCCATGGGGACAACGACTTTCTAAACTCTGCACTGTTGGCACCCCACATGTCTGTCTTCACAGGGCCGGGATTGATAGCATTAACCGTTGCCCTCTCGACCAACTCTCTAGCCCACGTCCTCGTCATAGCCTCCAAAGCCGCCTTCGTACCTCCATAAACCGTCTGGCCGGCAAAGCCCTCCGAACTACTCACCGAGCTGAGGTTCACAATGCGTCCGCTGCGATCATGGGGCAGGTAAGGCAAGGCGGCCTGCGTGAGCAGCATAGGGCCCAGGACATTAACGCGATACTGCCTCTCGTACTCGTCGACGGTGACATCCTGCAGCAGCTGATTGCCGTGCACGCCAGCGTTGTTGACCAGGATATCAATCTGGAACTTGCCGGTCTTGGGGTGCGAGAAGTGGTTCTTGGCCGTGCTGATCAGGTGGGCGGGCCCGGCGGCAACGCCCATGTCGGCTTGGATGACGAGGCAGGGCACGCCGTACTCCTTGCTGAGGGACTCGGAGAGCTCCTTGGCGATCTGGGAGGACTTGTCGGACGTGTAGTTGATGATCAGGGAGGCGCCCTTGGAGGCGAGGTTTTGGGCTATGGCGGCTCCGATTCCTGTGGGCTTTTTGTTAGATGCTGGCAAATAAATGGGGAGATGAGAAAGGTATTATCAACGGACCTCGAGAGGCGCCCGTTACGATGGCGAGTTTCCCTTCAAGGGGGCGATAACCTCGTGCCCCTCCAAGGTTGGTGGAGAGAGTCCGCGAGTGTGGGGGGCGCTCAGATGCCATTGTTGCTATTGCTATGGAGATAGATATCTGTTAATGAAACCTGACAAAAATCACTTTTGAGAAATGAAGAAGCTCGTAGATATGGTAACGAGGTACGGAGTTTAAAAAGGAATTATTAAGCAATCGAATTCAATCGATGATGCTGTGTCCGTTGTCCGTCCCAATATACCTGAGGACGTGCTGTACGGAGCAACATAACCCCGCCCTATGATAGCAGTTCAGGCGAGAGATAGCCCCACTTCCATTGTTGTACTAGCGCCCCAATCACTTTGAATTTCAATCAAGGGCGTGACAAACGACAGCCTTGCTCATACCTCTTGCAAGACCACAGGACGAGCGAGCCACGATGGATATCCGACTGCTGCAACCGTCTGACATACCGCATGTCCAACATGCCAACATTACCAACCTGCCAGAGAAGTAAAGGGGAACCCGTGCTTATGAATATCGCTGAGCAGCGTGCTAATAATCATTTGCAGCTATTTCATGAAATACTACCTCTACCATGCATTGTCCTGGCCCCAGCTTTCCTACGTAGCCGTCGACGTCTCGCGGCCTAAAAAAACCCCTTACGATTACCCGCGCATCGTAGGCTATGTACTGGCCAAGATGGAGGAGGATCCCCCGGACGGAGTGCAGCACGGTCACATTACCAGTCTCAGCGTGATGAGAACGCACCGACGGCTAGGAATCGCCGAGAAGTTGATGCGACAGGCTCGTAAGTTCCCTCCTCTTATTCTCCAGCCATACAAGATCCGGACTCGAGAGAGGCTGCTAACCGCGAGGAATGCGATAGAACGAGCAATGGTCGAAACTTTCGGCGCCCAATACGTCTCCCTCCATGTGCGTATGTCCAATAGCGCGGCTCTACATCTTTACCGCGATACCTTGGGGTTCGAACAGGAGAAGGTCGAGGCGAAGTACTACGCTGATGGCGAGGATGCGTACTCGATGAAGCTGGACCTTGGGTTCATCAGAGAGCAGATTGTGGACGAGGAGGACGACGCGGAGGATTTGGATGAGGGCGAACCGGTAGGCGAGCTGGGTAAGAAGGATGGGGAGAAAGAGTTAAATGGGAAGGGAGCCGGCAAGAAGAGAAAGGTCAAGGTCGGTAGAGGGCTGGGTGTTGGGGAGTTGGTGGAGAGGAATGAGAGCCAGAAAGCTTAGGTTTGTGCAAGAGGGTTTTTTTGGAAAACATCTGGGGAGTCTAAAAGTGGCGTGGATGGCAAGATATACATTCCGGTCACGAGAATAAAAACAAAGGTGCGCTATTTGCAAGAGCTTCAACCACCTATGCGTATTTCTTTGCTCGAGGGAACAATGAGGAGACCAATCTCCGTTGGGTAGTACCCAAAATTACTTTTCATACCCAGAATTACTTTTCATACCTACGAAATGAGTACTGGACCAAGGTATGTGACACCTGATGTATCTCACTCAGTCTCCATTCTAGTGTTTTGGAACTTGGAATGGAAACAGAGTGGGTTTTTTTTTAATATACTTCTACTATTCCATACTTTCATATGTCGTTGAGCGCATGCATGTACGAATTACAGTATTCAAGACATAGACGTTCGGGACTGAAATACTTGGAACAATATGTATTCATTGGCCAGTGACCACTAAACCACTAAATCACCATCTTTATACGAGTTAAGTGTACAGTTTGAAACCAGGTGGGCCAATCATTCACCCTTCTGCTCCGATGTCATTTCGATCGTGATGCCATTTACTCAAAAGGGTTGGTGTGGGTTCCCCACCACTAGTTGATCAGTTAGCCACTGTTTTGGTAAAGAGAGATCAGGACTCCTTACTGTGAGGAAGAGTGACAGTCCAACTGTCTCGAAGATACGGGCAAGCGCACCAACAGCGATGGTGTCAAGAGGTCGCTTCTCAGTAAAGATTTGAGCGATGAACTGAAAGGGTAGGGTAGTTAGTGACTAGCGTGCACAGAATTATACCAGGAAGACATACAGAAGGCGCTGAGCTGGCCATGAAGATCAAGGAGCCCAAGTATGCAGCACCCTTGTAGCTGAGTGTGCCGGTGGCATTGATGAGAGCACCAACACCATATGATTGGACGGCGCTACCGACGAGGGAAGTTCCCCATGCAGCAGCAGCAGAGGCAGCCTCCTTCGACTTCACGAATTCCTCCTTGGAGTTGGAAGCTTGGGCACGGTGGTAGGTGTCACCAAAGACCGGGCCGAGGACAGCGAGAGATGCTACGTGGTTGAAGACGGTACCCAATGCGATGGCAGAGGGCTTGACGGGTGGGAGGTCTGGGAGGAGAAAGTCAGCATGGATTTGTATTTGAATGTGTTGGCTTGTATGCGATGCGGAGATGATGCAGCTCAAGAGTTGACCCAAGAGAGCTGACGTCGAAGCCGAACAAAGCTGTCCACCGGGAATGGAGCCTGCAGAAGCTCAAGATGGAGAACACATACAGGAGAGAGACATGATTGCGACCGCACGAGGTTCTCTGAAGATGTTTCAGAGGGGTTCTTCGAGGATTTGGATTGATGCCAGGTTGATTGTGTTGATGTTGGAAAGGGGAGAACACGACGGAGGTTATAGATGGTTATATGGGATTCGGCTCGGCACTAGTCACGAGTCCCGGCAGGCAATTGGGGGTTGGCTGGGCCTGGACGGCGTCGAAATAAGAGATGATGACGTGCCACAGCTCCAGGTTCGAGGCAGGTCTTCAAGGAGACCAAGATGTGTTCCGGTCCTTGCGAACGCGAGTCATCTGTCGGCGAGATCCCGACTGTTTCTCCAGGAATTGAAGGGGCTATTCACAGTTATCATTATTATCATTATCATTGCCATCCGATCCTATCAATATCTTCACGCCTTGTCGAAGAGACAGCCATTGCCTAAGGGATTCATCATTCCCGTCAATTCCATTCGATATTGCCAAGAAATCAACTGAGGGGGTTTCTCCAGAATTAGCTCTACGTCATATGTGGCTGAAGCTCTCCGCTCCACTCCGCTCCACCACTTGGAAAGCGGGAGCCGCTATGATGGGCGCTAGACCGCATAGGGATCGACCTAGACCAGGTTGGTGATTGGCAAAAGAACGCAGTCGGCCTCACGTGACGCCAACGTGTCTCTTGCACATCAACGATCATCATCACGAAATCAGGGACGCCAACCTCGGTCTTCTCGGCATTCGGATAGATCCTGAGGAGAGATGTGTTTCTCCGTCTGTTAGGAAGTTCAATGGCCAGAAGATTAGGACCGCTGCGGCCGGAATATACGCCTTGGAGGAAATGCACACGGGGGCTGCTGCGGATAGGGTGTCTTGTGTAAGTAGGAGTAGCTTAACTACGTCCCAGCCAAGGTCTCTGTAAGATGAAACTCATTCCTTGTTTAGTCCCGTCTTGTTCCTTCTCACAATCGTTGTGTTCTTCTTGGTGATGATGGGGGAAGCAGAGACCCCCAAGTATATCAGATATAGTACGGTCACGGGCTTCTTCCAACAAGATGACCCTGCTACAGATGCAAGTACCTTTGACTACGTGAGTGCTTCAATTGCCCAAGCCTGTTGTTCATGCCTTGACCTTTTGCTTCTAGACAGCCACGAATTTTGGCTTGATCAACCGAGAATATAGTACAGATGCAGAGTATGATCCGGATCGTAAAAAGACTCAATGGCAGCGATTTGAGTTTCAAGTCTATCGACTCAATGAAGAGAGCGGACCTCAAGTCCAGTACAAAGTCCTCTATAGTTAGTTACTCTCCATTCTTCAGGAACATAAAACTGATCTCCACTAGTGGGCCGGCACGGGGAAGGCTATCACAATGCCGCTGAGTCCTACTACGGCACTCCAGCATGGGACGTTCGTAACCCCATCATGCACCTCAAACCGAGAGTACCTGACTCTCTCTAACCCCTCGCAGTGCTACTGGTCCACAAAAGACGGCAACGATACCGTGACCTGGGCCGACGCCCACCTCACACCGGCCGGCATCTTGCAAGCCCTCAAAGCCAACACCTTCTGGGCCCAAATGATCAGCACCCAGAAGATTCCCACGCCGGAATCCTACTACGCCAGTCCTCTCACGCGCTGTCTCCAAACCGCTTTCCACACCTTCTCCAACCTCAGCCTGCCTGCTGACCGTCCCTTCATCCCCCAGATCAAAGAGCTCTTCCGAGAAGAGATCGGAGTCCATACCTGCGATCGGCGAAGCAGCAAGTCTTACATTCAACAGCATTATCCGACCTGCACTTTCGAGGACGGCTTTGCTGAGGAGGATCCCTTGTGGACTCCTGATGTGAGGGAGACGGCGGATGCGCAAGATGCTAGGACTAAGACTGTGCTTGATGATGTTTTTGGCAATGATACGAACACGTATATCAGTATAAGCAGTCACTCGGGGGAGATTGCGTCGATCTTGAGAGGTATGTCTTCTTCTTCTTCTTCTTTTTAAGGGGCTGTGAGGTGGGCAAGGGGAACTGATAGGGACTAGTGATTGGGCACAGAACTTTCAGTTTAGGTACCGGCCAGGTGATTCCAGTTTTGGTGAGGGCAGAGACTGTTGATGGGACGGCACCATCAAGCTCAATAGCGCCATCTTCAACGGTGTCTACATGTACAGCGCCTCCGGCAACATCCACATTATGACCAAAAGTTTCCGAGTGAGATGAGATATCTAGTGGTATCTTGATGCTGCGAGATGTATTGTACATATTATAATACAGTCTACTTGGCCAAAAACTTCTGAAACGCTGTGTGCTCAATAGCAATATTCCCTACCGCCTTCAACTTCTTCCTCCCCTCCTTCTGCTTATCCAGCAACTTTCTCCGTCTTCCTATATCCGACGCATGCAGTTTCGCCAACACATCCTTTCTGAACGGCTTGATCGTCTCTCGAGCCACGATGCGTTTCCCTGCAGCTGCCTGGATGACAACCTCGAACATTTGCCGATCGACGTGTTCCTTGAACTTCGTCACCCATTGTCTCCCGATCTTTTCAACCTGGGATACGTGCACGACCCGAGCGACGGCATCTACAGGAACCTTGTTGACGAGTAGCTGCAGTTTGACGATGCTGCTGCGTCGGAATCCGGCATCCTCGTAATCCAGACTCGCGTATCCCTTGGTAGCACCTTTCAGTTTGCCAAAGAAATCATCAACGAGTTGAGCGAGGGGGATGTCGTATTTGAGAATGACCTGTGTGGCGGTGAAGAAGTTGAGCTCCTTCTGTTCGCCGCGGTTCGCCTCGCATAGTTCAATGACCTTTCCTAGGTATTCTTCTGGGAGAGTGATGGTTGCGGAGACGTAAGGCTCTTGTAGTTCCATGACACGCTGTCCTTGCGCATCCGTGTCAGGGAAATCGGCTGGATTCTGGATTATTTCTTCGCGGCCGTCCTTGTATATCACTTTGAAGGGTACGGTGGGCGGCGTGATGATGATGGTTGCGCCGTGTTCCTGCCGGAGACGGTCTTCAAAGACAGAACAATGGAGGGTACCTAGGAAACCCAATCTCCAACCTGCTCCTAGAGCTTCAGACGATTCCTTCTGGAGAGTGACGCTTCGGTCGTTGAGCACGATCTGGTTGATTGAGTCTTCCAGATGACCGTGATCGCTTTGATCTACGGGGAAGGCAGCGACGAAAACCATAGATTTTGGCTCTTCGAATCCGGGGTAGGGTTCAACTAGATGTTCGGATCCTACTGTGGTGTATGTGTCTCCGCTCAATGCCTCTTGACTCTTCTTCATGCCCGGATTGAAGTATATATACCCAACCTGACCGGCCCGGAGAGAACTCTGGGGCGTCTGGTCAGGATACATGATACCAACCTCACCGACATAGTATTTTTTCCCTGTTGCAAAGGACACAAGATGGTCTCCGGCCCGGACCTGCCCGTCAAAAATCCGAACCAAGAGTATGACTCCCTTGTAATTGTCGTACCAAGAATCCACAAGGAGGAGCCGGAGGGGCTTGGTGTAGTCGCCCACAGGATGTGGAACTTGTTTGATGACATTTGGAAGGATGGCTTCCACATTCAGTCCTGTCTTGGCAGAAACTAGAACTGCGTTTTCCGGTTCTAGTTCGAATGCGGTTTGCATTTGCTCTAAAGCTCGAGGAGCATCAGCCGAGGGCAGATCGATTTTGTTGATAACAGGCACAAGGACCAGTCCTTGGGAGAAAGCCAAGTAGAAATTGGCCACGGTTTGGGCTTGTACACCTTGACTTGCATCGACGAGAAGTAAGGCTCCTCCACAGCTTGCGTACGACCTTGAAACCTCTGCCCGGAAATCCACATGTCCGGGAGTATCGACCAGATGTAGCAGATAGTCCTCCCCATTGTGGTTGTAGATCATACTACACGTCTGCGCCTTGACAGTAATGCCCCTCTCCCTCTCCACATCCAGCTTATCCAGAATCTGCTTGTTCCCACCCGGCTCGATCGTCCCTGTAATCTCCAACAGTCGATCACTGAGCGTACTCTTTCCATGATCAACATGTGCCACTATACAGAAATTGCGAAATCGTTCGATTGGAATGGCTTTGATGCGGCGCTCAAGCTCCGAGACAACCTTTGAAGCCTGAGCACATCGTGTCACCGAGGTGGTGAAAGTGCGGCTTGATCCGAGGAATCGAGAAGCATATTGGCTTCTGATCGAGCTAGGGAGCCTCAGGAGCTGCAATGGACATCGCTGCATTTGAGGAACGGCGGTGGTGAAGTCTTGACTTTGATTTCCTGGAGATATCGAAATCTTCCAAAATGCGCCGGAGTTTGCCGTTTGGTCCCCGTCGCCGTAGTAACGCTGAAAGTCAACTTCGCTCTGGCTGAAAGCTTGCAACTTGAACACCAGAGGCGATTGGAATCCACAACTCAACCAAGATGTCTGGCGAACGAGAGAAAGATAAATCGAAGGTCCATAAGCTTTCCCTGAAAGGTACACACCCATCACACCATTCTTTCGAAGCAAAAACTAAGACCCCAGTCCAGGCTCAGCCAAATATGTCGCCGAATTCGTAAGCCCGCACACATTCAAACACAAATAAGAATCCTAGCTGACAAGTACAGTTCCAATACTCCATAAACACTATTCTGTAAGTTCTTAGGTCTGCCACATTTAGTTTAAACTCTCAAAAGCTAATGCCTTTCTAGGTTCCAACGAGGTGTTTACCCCGCGGAGGACTTCACACCGTATTGCCAACCCTCCCCTCCACGAAAACAAACCGCTTACAAGAGCCCTCAGAGTTAAGAAATATGGCCTCACAATGCTGGTCTCCTCCGATGATCAAGTCAAAGCGTACATCAAGAAAATAATGTCTCAGCTCAACTCATGGATGATCGGTGGCAAGATCTCGAAGCTCGTGGTCGTCATAACAAGTAAAGATACGGGCGAGCATGTGGAGCGATGGCAATTCGATGTACGCCCTCCCTCCTTCTCCATCTCTTATATCCGTATACACAGCTAATTGGACAATTATTACTAAAGGTCCAAATCTTTTCCAAATCCTCCAAGAAATCCTCATCCAGGAAGGCTACCGATAAAGAAAATGCCGGCCCGGACGACGCCCCCTCGCCCCCTGCAGCAGAGAAGACCGAAGCTGAGATCCAAGCCGAGATCCAGTCCATCTTCCGACAGATCACGGCTTCGGTGACTTTCTTGCCGCAGTTGGAAGGCGACTGCACGTTTAATGTCCTGGTGTACGCCGATGCGGATAGTGAGGTCCCCATGGAGTGGGGCGATAGCGATGCCAAGGAGATTAAGAATGGGGAGAAAGTCCAGTTGAGAAGTTTTAGTACGAATAATCACCGGGTTGATACTTTGGTTAGTTATAGGGTTGGCGAGTAGGAGGGGAGGGGAAAATCAATTCGGTATTGGGAGTTTGGGGTTGGGGTAATATCCTTTCGTGATGCTGGAATACTGTGGAACATAATGGTTTCTTTGGATGGCGTGAGGTTTCCTAGGATTAAGGCACTGTCCCTAGGTAATAGGCAGAATTGACTTCTTCGTTGCACATCACAGATCTGAACAAAAGTGAAAGTGGTGATATGTGAACATGGCTTGCTCCGGTGTAAAGTTGCATTCTTGCCTCGTTCTCCAGGAATAAATATCAGAATCCTTTTCAACAGTTTATATTCTTAGAAATCTTAAAACGCAGAGATTTCCTCTCCCAATAAGACGGAGCTTATATTATTATTCCGCATGATGCCAATACGTCTATCCTACACTCTTCCACCTGGTACCTATATCTGCCATATATACAGTACACCTAAATCCTCCTTTCCCGAGCTTCACGCCCATTCCACCGTTTTGGGGTCACTGGTCGACGCATCCTTATATTGTACCGGGACACTGACTGCTCTCTCCAGCTTCCATTCAAGGCCCCACGACTCTCTGTACAGATCAGAGCTTGCTAAACTTTTCCACTCCTTGTCACGCTCCCAGGCTTCCTCCAACAAATCAGCAAGGGGTTTCGCGGGCTCCCACTGTTGGAAAACTAAACATTCCTTGTCGAGACGCTCTGAGATAACGTCAACCCGTGTTGACACCTTGGAGGGGGATTTCTTAACAACAACCGGAAGGCTGCTAGTTATTTCGTCTCCTGCAACTGGCCCAGCAAGGGGCATTGGGCGTTCACTCAAATTACCATTGCCGAGAATGAAGAAACCTGCTTGCTGGTTCCACCTCTGATGTGAATTTGTGCCATGCTCTGTTTCCAAGCGGGCAGCCCGTACGCTTGACATAACGCGACTTCTCATTTTCCAAGTCGTTAGAGCATTCAAGCAAGCATATCTCCAAACCACCCTTGCAAGATTATAACTCCTCGAACGCCAGGCCAACTCGAATAAAATGTGATAGGTATCCTCATGTGGCACAAACCCAATAGATGGTGAGATACTTTTCATAACCTCAATGGCACCAGTCACATTCATTGAATGCCTGCAATGATTGAGGATCATACCAATGGACACATGGTCCGGTTTGACGAAACGAGAAGACATAACGTCTAGGAAGTCCCAGCTGCGGGAGACGAGACCACGCTCCCCCAGTGCATCCAGAATACGATTAGCACTGGAGACCGTGAGCCAGGACGTTCCGTAACGGGAATCCATGTGACGAAGAAACTCATCCTGGCTCTGGCCATTATCTAAGGAAGTCGAGATTTCTTGGGAAACAAGTTGTTCACAGACGGCCCTTATGGTTGCGATATGGCGCAGTAGCCCCCTCTCTCTCATTGCGGTAAGGATGTATAACTTGATGCGAAGGTCGGGAATTGCCATCATGAAAGCAATCCATGTTTTGTAGTTCGGGGAGATGCCTCGTCGCAGCATCAAATGAAGTATGAAGTGGAAATTGTGAAGGTCCTCAGATTTTGCCGCCCCCCTTAACATGATATTAAAGGTCTCTACCTCCGGTTGTATCTTCATCATCTCCATGTGAACAAAGAAAATTCTCGCATCTTCGATTTGGTTTGCCTTGATAAAGTATGCCATCGCCGTGTTGAATGCTTTTCGAGAGATTGAAGATCTACAGTCTGGGTCTTGGAAGACTTTCCGTAAAATGGCTATGACGGCCGAAACGTGAGTTTCTCCATCCTTGTATATCAATCGATGGATATGATTTGGCATCTCAACGGATGTCAGGTCGGTCACATAATCAGCGAAAGATTGTTGAGTCCATTCTGTCGGCCTCGGGACCTTGTCGGCTCTCACTGTCTGGATTCTGCGATGTCCCCCAGATTTAACGGTTCGAACTTTCGCATGTCGCCCGCCATCCGCTTCATTTGCTTTGTTGGACCGTACAGCATTTGTCTTAATGCCCGTAGGAGCAAGCCCCTTGTGTATAGTAGGCTTCAATTTAGTCTCTGGGGCAATCCGCAGAATATCTGCCGTCGTCTTTCGAATTGCGGTTGCAGATCCTGAGAGGAGAAAACTTCGATATTCCCCTGTCTCCGGATTTCGACCGTTGAGCTCGATCGAACAGCCGTATCTTTCCCCAATGTCCCACATGTTGGTATCCACTCCGTACAAGAACTTTCCTGCGGCGCTTTCAGGCACCACAACGTTGAGCGCTTGGTCAAGCCATTTTTCATTCTTCGGTGTATGGGTGGAAAGATCTGAAAGTATAACCCGCCAATCAGGGTCCCAAGACCTCATCTGCTCCCTTTTATAGGTTTGGTATGCCTTCTTAACAGAGCGTTCGCGAGCTGCATTCTGTCTGGCTTTTAAACTTGCTTGGTAGAGTCTGCGGATTATTGGGACGTTTGGCGTGAGTTCAGGGGTTCTTCCAACTCGATTCTTCGTAGGACCTGTCGTAATCTTCGTCGGCTGGGACGTGATGGGTCGAGCATCATCTTCTGTATTGTGAGCATTGTCTGCGCTGCTGGTGCCCGTGGACTCTCCATGGATCTCCTCATGTTTATTTTTACCGGAGCTGGGCTCTGTCGACTCCTTGCTGATAGCTGGTTGCAGAACCTGGGTACCAGGACCTGATGGAGTATCTGTATGTCGAACAGAGGGTGTCGACAGGTTGCGGTCCCCGTCGAAAGCTGGTCTGATGGATGCAGTTGAGTAATTTCTGATCCATTGAGGGTAGAGAAACAGTAGAGGTTCCCTGGGAGTCGAGGCGAGACTGGGAACGGCTGCGACCCTGCCCCTTTTTACAATGCGACTTCCCAGGGACATTCGTTATGATATCGTCATGTTTATGCCGCTTTGTTGTTGCAACTTGCGAGCTTATTTTTCCTCATTTCTTTCTTGGAAGCTTCAAAACCATTATCTCGGCATTTCCCGTATAGTCACGTGATATGGTTGTAACTTTAAACATGTCGCTTAAATAGGGGCTGGAAAAGGGGGGAAGACGAATCTACCATCTAACATCAGCCTTACGTCCTGGCACAGTCAAGAGAGGAGATTTATGTTGCACATCTGACCCCGCCAAATTTCTCACCTTTAAAAGCAGTCTGATTTTACAACGTATTCGTCAAGAGCAGAACTTTTGTTGCACATCTGACCTCGTCGATGTTCTCACCTTCAAAAAAGCCTTTTGATTTGGACACTCTATGATCATCTTAGCCGTAGTCTAATTCCAATCTCATGTTGGACACGAAGTATATTTGTATTATCTATGCCAATTTACCAGAGCAAACGCCATGTGGTCACAGCATACCCAGGTATCCACAAACGCCGTGCTAGGAATACCATTCCTTTGCCTTCCCTTTTCCCTTTTCGGAAGTTGAAAGGATCGCTGTCCCATTTCCTTCACCTTCAGCGCATTTGTCCATGCCAGGAATGTTCCGATTTGAAATCACATCCGTGGGACCGCTAAGGTCGAGACCTATCCACTTTTTATCCCAACCCTGAGCCTCATCAGCAGCACCTTTCGTGTCACCCTTCTGAGCCATGTCTTTGATGTCGCTCCAGAATTCGAGTTTCTTGACCTCCTCGTCGGCATGCTTCATTGCAGCTGCAAGGTTATCCAGCCTTCGCTGCTTGACGGACTTTTCCCCCTCTTTTGTTCCATTGTTCTTCAGCTCATCTGATGCCTCGTTGAAGATTTTGAGCAGATGAGCGTGTAAAAGTCTCCGAGAGGCTTGGAATATGAACATTCTCATAATATCGTGCATACGCTCCCGGAGGTAGTACAGCTCGTCACCACCGTGCTCTATAAAATTCTCAACGGCCTCCATTTTCTCTCTATCAATCCGGCAGAATCGCAGAGCTTGCATCAAGCTAGCAATGTCTTCGATAATCGCGACGACCTCGACCTCTATTTCACGCTTGGATAATTGCCCGAGACTATGCCTCTTCATCTGGCTTCCTGTCAAGGATGAAGCACGACTCCTAGCTCTTGATACTGCTGGGTATATTGTAAAGTAGTCCTCGTTGAACGTACGTGCGTCATGGCCCCGATAGCCGGTTTTCTTTTTCACTCGTTTTCGAATCCAGGCTCGTCGACGAACAAAAGAATTCCACCAGGCTGGACCATGCCATGAGAATAGTTTTGCAAAAGCAAATGAGTATTCCCATCCATCTTCATCCACCTCGGGTGTATGATTGACGTACCATTCCTTCCACGCCCATTCCCAAGACGGATCCGGCACCTGCGCATTCGTGATATCTGTGGCGCTCGTTTTATCAGCTATATTGGTCCACGGGGCGGGATCGCAAGCTCCGAGTGCTTTCGCGGAGAAGAGTGGTATCCCGCAGAGAAAGCATCCTCGCTGATTTTCAAAGAGGATATCTATCGCAGACTCGCGCTCCCTGAGATATTTATTCCTCTTGAATCTCTCCCTCGTGCGCCCCCTCTCTTCCGTCTCTGGAATTTCACCATCCTGCCTAGGCTCTTCTGGTTGTTCATCGTCTGACACCGCCCCTTCGTCCAAACGAGGATCCCGAAATCGAGAGTATTTCCGGCGTCGCAATTCTCCCCGTATTGATAGCTTCTTTGGCAAGGCACCGTCGCTATACCGGCGGCGTGGTAAAGGATCTGAAGCTGTCCCCAGGGAGGCAGGTGAAGACAAGGAAGCACGCCGTGCGCTGGCAGATCGATTTCGAAGAAGAGGGGCAACTGAGCTCGTATGGTCGACTAGCAGGATTTCGTGATCGTAATCTTTATCCTTCAGAGGTTTAGGCCGACGCAAAGAATGATGAAGAAGCGACATTTCCCTAAGAACGGGGTAGCATCGCTGCAAGCCACCGTTCCACGGGGCTGAAGCTGTTGAGGACTGGCAGAATGGAGGTTTGACGGGATAGATAACATAAAAGATGGTTTAACGGCAGCTTGAGGCAGGATATTTGGAAAGATACTCGCACTTTGCAGGCAGCACTGGTTCGAGGAGCATCCCAGGCTGGCTCGCCTCAGCTGTACTGAGCAAAATGTCTTGGCTTGAGGTTACCTATCGAAGGTGGGGCTCTGCTTCGTAGTCGCCGCTTCTCTCATCGATTGTTTCGCAATGGCTCTCTCATTCCCAGAGCTCCCTTCGTGCGTGTCGATGCGGGAAATGTAGGAAGTAAAATCCTGGATTTCAATGTCTCCTTTGGAGCTCGAGAATAACGGGAAAGCCGGAGATCCCCTCATAGCAAAGAAGCCATCGCAAGAAGACCATTTCGTCACAGGGCTATCGAAAGCACAGGGAAATGCGGGCACGGGAGCAGCTAGAGCCATCCTGGTCTAGCGGTGTGCGTTAGTGGTCTCTGGGGCGACCCCTGCTTGATGACGTACCGAAGTAGCTCGCACCTCCGTCTCGTATGTGTCTCGCCTTGCGCCTTGGAATCAAATCACTCGGCAATATGCGGGGAAAGCTCCCCTCCTATCCTGGTCACGCCGTCCTGATCACCACAACTATGCCCAGTCTCAGGCCAACCTCGTCGAATATGACATCAACCAATCAAATCATCAAACCATCCCTCATGCACTAATACTATTAATCCCGCCTCCCTCTCTCTCTCCTCAACGTCAGTCCATCCATCATCTACAATCAAAGTCAAAGGCAATAAGAGATATAAAGTGCTCATATCAAACCGACTGCATACAGTGCTCCTTAAATCACACTAAAATGGCCCAACCCAAGTCCAGGACTTCCCTCTACGTTGGTCTCGCCGCTGCGGGTGGTGTCGGTTACTACCTATACACGGCAGGAGGAAGCCCAAAGGTTGCGGAGAAGAAATTTCAAAGTACGTTATACCTATTAAACACATGTTAGAATACATGCTAATGTGTTGAATTCGTTCAGGCGATGTTGCTGAAGCTCAATCAAAGATCAAGTCGGAAATCCCAGGACGAGAGAACGAAGCAAAGAAGAATGGCGAGAAGTGGGCAGCTGAGGCCGGTGCCAAAATCGATAATGCTGTAAGTCTTTCTCTGTCTACTTCTATACCATCACTTGTATACCAGACCATTACTATGGCATATGATATTTTATTTCCTCACCTGTTCAAATCATGCCACTGTCTTCAGAAATATCACTAAACTCTCCTTAAACAGACCGACAAGGCTCGTGAGGAACTGTCAAAAGCCGAAGGTAAATTGGACCAATACCGCAAAGAGGCTGGTGCCAAGATCGATGAGACAGACAGGAAGATCGAGGAGGGTGTTTCAAAGACCAAGAGTGGAATCTCTAGCTGGTTTGGCGGGAAATAAGTTATCTATGTCAAGGGCAGACTGGGCATGAGTGGATGGTTCAATGATTCAACGAATTCGAATAATGGTTACAGTGGATGCAGATGTATAATACCAACCGATGCCCTCGGCTTACCTCTCTGAATCCAAGAATTGACCTACAGCTGGAATGAATCGTTAGATTTGCTTGATTGATCACACTGGTATTCTACAGCTTTTAATCGAAACAGATACTGTCTCAGAGCAAGAAAATCCCCGTAGCTAGGCAGGTTTCAATTGCATGATTAAATTGTCCAAATAAATACATAAATAACACACCCAAGAAGATGTAAGGAAACAAGTAGCTAAGGAAATACAAAAACACGCCTTCATGTAATACAAAATTCCCTCCCTATACACGTATGAAATCCATATCCGACACATTAATCATATCTCATTCAGTCATCACTTTCCAAAAACACTATCATACCGCATCATACCTCATACCAAGCAGTTGCACCAACGTATCGACAGGGAACTAAGCAAATACCTTCTTCAAGAAAGTTTTCAGAGGCGACTTATCCTTCTCCTTCTCTTTCTCCTTCAGATCCCTCGACCTTCTATGGCCATGGTCATGCTCTCTATGACCATGATGGCGTTCTCTCTCCCTCCTATTCTCTTCATCAGCGGCCCGTTCCTCCGCTTCTCTTCTCTTCCGTCTTTCTTCGCGTCGGATCCTCTTTTTCTCGTCGTCAATCTCCCTCTGTCGTCTCGCTTCTTCGGCTACCTCCTCCCTCGCAATAATCGCGTGTTTCTCCGCCTCTTTCCTGATTCTTCTAGCCTCCTTCTCCTCCTCCGTCCTATGTCTCTCCCTGTCGCTCTGGCTTCGATGTGAATGGGAGTGGTGATGAGTCGAATGCTTTCGATCCGCAAGTTGCCGCTTCTCACCATCCGTTGGGGAGCGTATCTTATCCATGGGAGGCAGCCTCACGCTTTTCTTGACAGTCTCCTTAATGTGCGGCTCGTCATTTACAACGAAGGGTGACTTGACAACACTTTCGCCTTGCTTTATATCGAGTAATCTGGGTCGCTTGTCGCCTTCATCTCTGGAGCGGCTGGACTTGGAGCTACGAGACACGGCATGGGAAGCCGTTTCGTCAGTCACAGCGCTTTCGGAAGAAGCGGCCTTGGCTCTTGCAGCTCGGCGTTCTTCTTTATGTTTGTCGTGTGCGGCTTGCTCTTCCGGCGTTCGATGCTTCTTTGTATGTGAACTGGTGCTCCCGGCACTGACACCGCTATCGTAGCGAACAGGTTTATGAGAATGCTCACTATCCCGGCGTTTTCGATGGGAATGCGAACGAGGGGTATCTACCGTTGAACTACTCTTACTTGAACTGTGATGACTCGAGCGAGAGGAGTGTTTTGAAGATCTATGTCCTTTAGAGTGCTTGTCGGATTTGGGTGATCGCGGAGCATCAAGAGATGCAGGCACTTCAGACACCTCTGGGAGAACTTCCTTATCGCGGGCTGACTCGACTGCAACGACCCCTGCTGCGGCGGCTGCTGCTGCTAGTGCGATTTCAGTAGTAGGAATTGAATCTTCAACAGGGAGGACACTTTCAACGTTCTCCTCGCTTTTCGACAGATCCTCCTCCCCCAATTCTTCATCTTGAGACGCCTCTAAGTCGGTGGCGACTGCCTTGTCAGTGGGCGTGGACTCGGGAATTGGTTCGCTCTCTTCAACAACAATCTCCTCCGCAGGGACCACTTCATCAGCAGGTTCCTCAGCAGCAGGTTCCTCAGCAGCAGGTTCCTCAGCAGCAGGTTCCTCAGCAGCAGGTTCCTCAGCAGCAGGTTCCTCAGCAGCAGGTTCCTCAGCAGCAGGTTCCTCAGCAAGAGCTTCCTCAGCAACAGCCTCTTCAGCAGGGGATTCCTTAGTTGCAGGAGCTTCATCAGCAGGTGTCTCTTCAGCAGGAGCTTCCTCGGCAACAGCCTCTTCAACAGGTTCTTCAGCAGGAGCTTCCTCGTCAGGAGCTTTCTCAGCAGAAGCTTCCTCAGTAGCAGGAGCTTCATCAGCAGGGGTCTCTTCAGCGGGAGCTTCCTCGGCAACAGCCTCTTCAACAGATTCCTCGGCAGGAGCTTTCTCAACAGGTTCTTCAGCAGGAGCTTCCTCAGCAGGTGTCTCCTCTTCGGCAGGTGTCGCCTCTTCGGCAGGCGTCTCCTCTTCAGCAGGAGCCTCTTCGGCGACCTCTTGAACGGCCGCATCCTCAGCAGGTGCCTCTTCAGCAGGAGCTTCATCAGCAGGGGCTTCCTCAGCAGGTGCCTCTTCAGCAGGAGCCTCTTCAGCAGGTGCGTCCTCAGCAGGTGCCTCTTCGGCAGGCGTCTCCTCTTCGGCAGGTTCTTCTTTGACGGCCGCATCCTCAGCAGGAGTATCTCCAGCAACCTCTTCAGCAGGAGCTTCCTCAGCAGGTGTCTCCTCTTCGGTAGCAGCCTCTTCGGTAGCAGCCTCTTCAGCGGGAGCGGCCTCTTCAGCAGGAGCCTCTTCGGTAGCAGCCTCTTCGGTAGCAGCCTCTTCAGCGGGAGCGGCCTCTTCTCCTGCTGAAGAGGCTCCTGTTGAAGAGGCTCCTGCTGAAGAGGCTCCTACTGAAGAGGCTGCTCCTGCTGAAGAGGCTGCTCCTGCTGAAGAGGCTCCTGCTGAAGAGGCTCCTGCTGAAGAGGCCGCTACCGAAGAGGCTGCTACCGAAGAGGCTGCTACCGAAGAGGCTCCTGCTGAAGAGGCTGCTACCGAAGAGGCTCCTGCTGAAGAAGCCGCTCCTGCTGAAGAGGCTCCTGCTGAAGAGGCTCCTGCTGAAGAGGCTGCTGCTGAAGAGGCTGCTACCGAAGAGGCTGCTACCGAAGAGGCTCCTGCTGCGGCCTCTTCAGCAGGAGCGGCCTCTTCAGCAGGAGCGGCCTCTTCAGCAGGAGCGGCCTCTTCTGTAGGTGCTGGCTCCGGTGTTGGTTCACCTTCTTGAGTAGCAGTTTCTTCGGTAGCAGCCTCTTCAGTAGCAGCCTCCTCGGTAGGTGCCGGCTCGGGGGTTGGGTCAGCAGGGGCCTCCCCATCGGTAGCTGTCTCAGCCGATCCATCAGTTCCTACGACAGCGTCGCTCTCAGCTGGATTGTCGCTGTCGGCAACTGCTTCATTTTCCTTGATTCCCTCGATAACTGCAGGTGGCTCATTATCAACAGGTGAAGGTTCGTCAATAGGAGCTGCTGAGGTCTCGTTCCCGGACTCGTCTGTCTTGGCATCCTCTTCGACTACCGGAGGAGGATCCTCTAGTGATTCACTGGCCGGGGTTGCCTCTTCGCTAGCTCCTTCAGACTTTGAAGCATCCTCAACAGGTGTTTCTTCGGCATGTTTGGCAGAGTCAACCTCCTCCAGTGCTGCACTCTCGACAGAAGAATTGATTGGCGGTGTATCATCGGTGGGTGCATCCTCCACGGGTGCATCCTCCACGGGTGCATCCTCCACGGGTGCATCCTCGGCGGGTGGTTCGTTCGTCTCAACGGACTCAGTGGGAGGTATAGGCTCGGAAGGTGATTCGTCTTCGACAGGAGTATCGCTCGGTATTTCTCGAGATTGCGGCGCGGGCTCTGAAGCCTCTTCAGTGGCTGCTGGGCCATCACCCTCGGGCTCTGAGGGTGGTGGTGTTGGCTCGCTAACGGTAGGTGGATTTTCATCCGTAGATTGGCCGGTCTCAGATGGGTCAGGCGTTGCAACTGAAACTGGGGTAGTTGCCGCCGCCCCCTTTTGTTTCCCACCCTTACCTTTCCCTTTCCCTTTGTTTTTCTTGTCTTTCTTGCCTTGTTTAGCAGGCTTCACTGGTTCTGGGGCCTCCTCGTCCTCCTCGTCCTTCTCAGCCTTCTCTTCTTGTTCAGCCTTGGCGGCCTTCTCTCTCAGAGCCTTCTCTTCCTCCTCAGCCTTGGCGGCCTTGGCAGCCTTCTCCCTCAGAGCCTTCTCTTTCTTGGATTCTTTTTTCTTGGCCTTCTTCCCCCCTGGCTTTGACTGGAACGGAGTTTCGACAGAAGCAGGATCAACCGATAGTCCCTCTTCCACCTCGGGCGGCGGAGCCTCTACAACTTCAGATTGTGCAGGCTGGGAGTTGTCATCTTCCGTAGGTTGTGAATCGCCCTTCTCCGCCTCGGTTTTATCTTCCTCCTCGTTTGTTTTGCCTCCATCAGTTATGCCTGTATTGACCTCCTCTTTCTCAACATCTGTACTGCTGGCCGGAGCCGGCTCACTTGGGCTATCTTCGACTATCTCGTCCTTCATTTTATCTCCAGCTTCAGGGTCGAGGTATTGTTCAGATTCGCCGGCTGAAACTGCATATTCAATTAGTTTCTTCGAAGACCATTGATGCATAACTACTAACTATTTCCCCCATCAGGATCCTCGGGCTTTTCCTTGCATGCTTCAAGAAGCTCTAGATCCTTTGAGGTACCAGTAAATGTCACGGGTTCTGTAAGCTGGGTAGTCTTAACAGCCCCCTGGAACGTCAGGGGTTCGGAGAATTGGGTGGTCTGTACATTGGACCATGTACCGTTAATGCTTGTCCGATATGGACAAAATGAAATGTTTTCCATACTGATGAAGGTATCTCTTCTAGAGACGGAGACGAGAGAACTTCGAGCGGGATGAATTGGGAATCCTTCTTATTCTCTTCGCCCATGACAACGGGTTTGGGTTGAATGCGGATTGCAAATGCCCGATTTTGGAGTGACAGAAGTCTGTAAAACCCAACACCGAGTGTAAAGCTCAACGTGGTTCGTTGTTTATGCTTGTGGACAGGAAGAAACGTGTTTGGGAATAGAATTTACTAATTCAGGAGATAATTGTGCTGCCTATATGAGATACCGTAGGTGAGAATTAAACAGCGATGGTCATCTCATTGGCAAAGAGGGCAAAGGAAATAAAGGAAGAGACTCAACATCACCGACGCCCCTGAGCGGGGAAACCCCCACGGCAGGATTACTCAACGTCCAAATGATCAGAATTGTGCTCAGGACCCATTGGATCGACATAATGGATAGGTGCCACGCTGCATGGTGTGGTACTGATAATTGATGCCACAGTGAGGGCATCCGCGAAATCGCAGAGGAAAATGCGGCCCAACGATGCATGCCAACACGCAAGAGGTTAACAGGCGGCATGCAATGGCCGAGTCTTGTGCTGGTTGGGATGGGGCTGGGATGCATAATATGGCCGCGGGAGACGTGGAAACTATTCGCCTTGCAGGAAACTAAGAGCTCGTTGGTTGAATATAAGTAAACGCATTTCCTACTGGTTCCTGAACTTTGCAAAGGGATGAATCCTTTGGTACTTCGTTCCGCTTTCCGCTGCCCGCCGTGTGTTCCGCATATAGGTGCACTGCAACGTGTTCGCCATCTATGCCTCGATGCCGAGAAGTGTACGTGAGCCAGTGAGAGCTGTTGGCTATGGCAGTGGGTCGCCAGTAATACCGTGGGTTAGAACACAAAAAAGGAAGATCAAGGATGTGACGTATGGCAAGCAAGGTACCTCCGCAACACCCTCTCCAATGTCGACGAGTTGTTCGGGCTGTAATCGTAGACGGTAGAGGTCTCTTTTACATTTTTAGTGGCGGGAGCACCCAGAAACCCTTGCTAGCGAGCCCCTTTGCGATTGAGACGAGAGTCACGAAACGTTGCTCAAAGATGCTTCCATCCACCAAGCTCTTTCAGGTATATCACTCCAGCTAGCACAGAGTAATTTACCTCTCACCACTCCCAAGTTGTGGAATGTTCGGGGACCTTGCGTTACATATCTACCTAATTGTACTATTGGCAGCCACACGTGACACAGACCTTTAGATGCATGTCATGACTAGGTAGGACAAGAGAGAATCTGTATCTTATGGACGAGAAACACGTATTCGGTATTCAGTTCAAGAATATTCGGTATTCAGTTCAAAAATATTCAGCAGGATCCTAAAACACCGGCTCCGAAAGCGGATCAGGAATCTCAAAGGCGCAACAACAATTCCAAAAGCAACCAGAACCCCTTACTAACACGCCGGTTCCACACACAACAGATGGGGTCTTATTATATCAAAGAACGCTATGACCAGTCCTCCATCGCAATCACATGGCCATCTCAGCCTGCAGTTTTCGGAGTTCTTCCTCCTCGTCATCCTCCTCGACCGCCGGCGCTTTGCCTTTGACTGAGGAACACGTTAGCAATGCATGGGCTGGAATAAAGGGCTTTAAAAACGTACTCTCTCCATTCGCAGCCGCAGGTAATCTATGGATCTCATCCGACACTGGAACAGTACCCGTTTTCAGCATCTTGTTGTCAAGTTGCTCTTGTTCAAGTTCAGCCAGCTCATCATCCAATTCTGATTCATCAACAGTCTCGCCAAGAGGGGCGCTTGTGATAGCCTGTGCGATTTCCTCGCCAAGTGCATGTTGTTCTCGAAGTTTCTCCCTGTAGTTGATATGTTAGTATCTAAATATCTTGAATCTTCATCCATAATAGGAAACATACATTGTCTCATCAACTTTATCGATGTTGAGCTGGCCATGTATTTGTGACATAGCCTGGCCTGCACGCTCCATTACTACAAGAGTCTCTCTATTAATGTTTGCGGCCTCGATGGAGTATATTTGTTGTTCCAGCGTGGCTATCTGTGCCGATGTCTGCTCAAGCGTGTGTTCGTGTTGCTTCTTCCGCCTCAGTGCGGCTCTTGCGGCTATCGTAAGTCAACGTCAGTAAAAATCCATACTTGAACTCCATTCAGATGCGTCTTCAGCCATTCCATCTCGAGGCTGGTGAGTGTGAAGATCTTAGGTACAGGATATGGACGTACCATTCTTATTGGTGCTGACGTTCTTCCTCGCTATCGCATCTTGTTCATCCATCTGATTCTGCAAATGTCTCTCCCGTTTCTGCAGCATCTCAAGCTGCGATCGTAATCCGAGGATAGCATTCTTTGGTGCATCTTTCCTCTTCTGGGCACTCTGCCCACCAAACCAACCCCACACTCCAGACATCATGTGCTGCGTACTGCTGGCCGGAGGGATTCTAAGTCGACCGACCGCCGAGCCCCGAGATATACTCCAGGCTTCTTCGAGAGGATTTCAGTGTTGGGAGTCTCGATCCAGATCTCTGAGTCGAGACTTGCTATCGGAGGGCTAGTTGATAGTGGGGCGTTCGGGTTCTTGGACAGAGAAAACTGGGATGGGTATCGAACAGCGTCGCGACTTATGGGTATCCGTAAAGGCGAATTGGAGGTGATCGAGGATATAAGGTTTCGTAAGGTGGAATTTCCCCAGAAGAAAGTGCAGTTGTTGCCTACGACTGGGAACGATCCTCGCTGGTCGTGCCTTTCCTTCCACAATGACGCGCCCGCTAGTCGTCTCGTTTGAGTCTAGCCTGCCTCGGTAGGTAAGTTCCAGGACGGTCACGTGCAACATTGACATCACTTGACCGGGAAGGAAGCCTTACTAGGTAAGTCCCTGATAACTTTGCTTGCAATGCTTTGGATCTTTGGTGCTTGATCTGACTTCTACATATGGCTGGAATACAGAATGGACCAATTCCAACGAGATTGATTTTACTTTCCGATCTCTCAAAATGCCCGCCAGGGGAAAAGATCCGTTTTCTGGGATGGTGAGTGAGGTTCCTCTTTGCCAGTGATACATATGGTTGAACGAGTATTGATTTAACCGGGCCTTGCAATGCTCTAAAAGCAAAGTTGCATCTATTTCTACTAAGGATACCATTCAAAGGACACGAAGACATTATCCAAGCATAATTGCCGAAAATCTCTCTCTACCCCTCTCCTGGAATCCATTTTCGGGCTCATTAATCATCTTGATCAACACATCTCTTGATCGGCACCTATACTGACGTTTAAAGCGTAACAAATTACTCTACAAAAACAGCCATCTTAACTCTGGAGCATAATCATCCACCCGGAAACAAACTTAAGGCACTGGTGGACATAACGCTCTTGGTCAACACTTTGAAATCGAGCGAAACACGTATTGGCGAATGGGTCAATGTCATAGGTTATACTCAAGTTCCACAGCAACGCCGAGCCAATTATACCAACTCTGACGAATTGCATGTCCAAGTGCAAGCCATCGTTTTGTGGCCATCCGGTCCACTGAAGCTTGATGGGTATGAGAGAAGTCTCGACCAGCAAAAAGCCGACCAAGATCAGGAGATCATCTGTAGGGCTAGATGATATCCGGTCCAAATCATGAATGATACCTGCTCTAGCAGCTATACAGCTACAAGGTGCGTTGGTATTTAGGGACAGGGGCTTTGGGCTCTGTTGTGATTGCATCAGTTATACTAATCAGTATCACTGTAGGATTGCTGTCACTTTTAGCCTTGGATAGTCTCACCTTGATGGTAACTTCAATCGTGTCCGACCTCTGTCGGTTACCCCGGGTGACACATATTAGTACTGCTATCCTCAAATTTAATAGACCGCGGTGGTAGAAAGGAAGGTTGGCGCACCTGCTTCACATTCAAAGCCTTGTCGCTTAACCCAAAGTGATGGGGACATTACGAATATTACGTGGATAATTTCATGGAGTACCTTTACAGCCGTTCCGATCGACTTGTATGCAACAGAGACCTCTTCCCTCAAACCTATCATTTGGGCATACACCAGATCTCGTTTCGGCAATGCAGCTATTCAGCTCAATTCAGAGGCTCTGGCGGGTATCTAATACCCTCGTTTATGAACCAAGGGCCGATTGTTGAAAAGGAAACGACACGAACGCCCGGCATGTCGCCAAGCAGATCGTATTACTTTTTCTTATCAATATGTTGTATCTGCCTAGATCGCCCAACGAAGACCGTCTGCCTTATTCCTCGGGTACCTATAAAAACCACAATGCCGAAAGTCTTCTTTTCGGGACTCGTGCCACACCTTTCAGACCTCGCCCACTCGGCTTTCTCCGTACGAAGTCAGATGCTTTTCAGCCGCAGGAACTGAATCTCGGGCGAGAATCATGCATTACGATGAAGCTGGGCTAGATCTTCTTGATTCCTTTCGCTGGTCACGAATAATAGTAAGAATACGTGCTAAAAGTGGGCCATTTCACAAAGTTGCGAATGGATTCAAGAATCGAATACTGTAGATTTTCAAACCAAAACAGGTATTCCCACGCTATGCAGTTCCCGGCAAGCACCCGGGTTTCTTTGTCCCCTATCACGCTGTTCCGTTCCTCCCGTTCTCAAGATAGCTAGCTGCCTATGCAATAACCAACGCAAAATATCCAATGCCCTTCATGTATCGGCAAGGCTGGTCATTCATGCTTCATCTCCTGGAGCTCTCTCCACGCCAGCTGTCGCCTGAGCGACGGCGTGACCCTTCACTCCTCTCTTCCGAGTGACGGCGGTGTCCTGGTGAGCCAGACTTTGAGCCTCGAGATACCACAACTGGTTGATGAAGTGGTCGTTTGAGTTGTTTATCCGACTCTTTCTTCGAACGAGCAGCAGCTTGTTTCTCCCACACTTCCTTGGACTTGCGACAGATATCGTCAATCTGCTCCTGTACACAAAGTCAATGTCTTTGTCATGTCTAGTGGACAGTCTCTTGGGCAGCCTGTACTCACATCTGTCAGACACTCTCCAGGAGTGGTGATGAGGAAGCCATCCTCGCCCTGTGGGTTTGATTATGAGTACAATGATCAAGGATAGTATGGATATTCAGTCTGGTACCTCTCGAGTATATGGCCTGACTGTAGACTCTGGTCCGAGATAATACTGAATCTCCTGGGTGATGACCTTCTTATTGATTTCGAGATTCGGTATCCAGTACCGATTTTTCTCGCCGGATGACATTATTTGTTCAGCGTTTTCGTAGCAGCGGACAGCACCAAGACATATGACCAAGACCCAAAGAATAAATGATCTGAATACTTTGTCGCTATGGAGATTCTGCCAGACATCGGATCTCTCGTGGAAACTTTCGTACAGGTTATATATTCCTTGGGCCTTGCCGCCGTGACGGCATACACACCGTCATAGGCTTTTATCTGTTGTCTTGTGTGCTGCGACACTGGAGCTACAAAGTTACTTATTTCTCGTATTGTATGGCCCGATTCGATGCACGTCTTCTCTTTTCTTGCCATGCAGCTGTGCAGGCGACGTATTTTGCGGCGGATGGAGAGAGGAGGGCTCGGGCTTGTCAGCCTCGACGGGGCGAGCTAACGAGCCTCTTTCATTGGGCAGCCTCGCTTGTTTTCACTGCACATACAGATTGAAATCGTTCACCAATAACAACAAAACCGCTCTGCGTTGAATCGGATATTTAGTTGCCCAGTTTAGGTACTCGGTATTTGGCTTCATTCGTCGTCACAATAAATACAGCGAAATCATCTGGAACAGGAACAGCAAAGGCGTATTGAAAACAAAACAAATTGAATAATAGAACTTCTGCATTTCAGTGCATCATTCGTGAAATAGCTGAGACATGGGCCCTTGGTATTTCTGGCTGCTTGTTGCTGTTGCAGCCCTATCAATTTTGCTCGCCTTGATTCACAAGATGTGATCACAGGGAAGACCCAGGCACTATAAGTCTAGAATTTGATAAAGAGGGCATGGTCCCCGGGCAAGAACTCCTTTCCAAGTTTATCATGGAGATCTACGTGGGATCGAGAAGCTGATCTTGCTCCTCTCCATGGATGTTGGTGGCGATTTCTTCACATCCGCGCCTCTAAAATGTCTAGGTAAGAACCCCGCATTCATCTAGAACCATCAGGTCTGTCCCTCGCCATTCATAGTCTTCGCCCTACAGTGCAGCTCACGGGGCTATCGGTGACATGCTCACCGCAACTTGAGACTTTCTTCTAGAACCATCACATCTACCATCTACTCTTTGCCACCGCCGAACACTTACCGGGTGTCTGGGCAGCACGGGAAGACGTCGATCATTATTCCAACGAAAGAACGTCCGTCACAGCCTATCAGCAAGGAAGCCTTCTTGCGTCTCCGAGTCTTGATGTTTCCCGACAAGGTTGACCCTCTTTCGAAAGCAACGCTCTGGAGTTGTTTCTGCAGCCTTATCTCTAACAGTGGGTCAGGAGGAGGCATATTCGTCCAGAGAGCGCGCCTATTCTCACATGATACTCTCATCTGAGCTGTATCATAGGGCAATTACTCAGGTATTGGTGTTGGATTTGACTTCCTTCAAGGCGTGACCGGGCGATGCCCAGGTCTGAGCAAACCCACTTTCGGTTTCTGGCCTAGTCAGGACAGACTCCTCATCATCCCGTGAACGTTTCAACAAAATCACTAAATGTGACTCGAAAATTCCGCTCCCCTTGGGAGATCCGTGAGGATCTTAGTCGACCGAACCAGAGGAGGCTGAGACGTAGTCTCCCAAAATCAGGACTTATACCCCCCTCCGTGAGATCCGGCCGCCTCACTCTTTCGAAACTTTGATATCAATTCCATATCTAGGCCTCATAGGTAGTGCAACACTGCGATATCAGACTATTGTAAGAAGAGGCGGCAAGGAATTCCCCCTATACCGCTCCCGTGCGCCTCTTCATTGCAGGAATCCTTTACGGCCATTTTCTCCTTTCAACAACGCAAGCCGAGCTACATAGAAAATATTCTTATCACGGGAGAAAATCGCACTTGCCCGCCTGCGGGGTGCTAGCTGCTGCCCTTCATTTTAACATGCGTGATGCTGGGTAGCTTCAAACGCAAGAGATCCAGGTTTCATCATTCTCGGAACTTGATGAAATTATGAAGTCGGCACTCAACAGCAGATACGAAAAAGGGGTTATATATATCACAGGTTACACAAAGTACATTTCCAGGACCTCTGAATTCTAATAACCCAGATTTCGAGGACCCGATCCCAACCAATGCTTAATTAATAGATTGGCGGATATTGGGGCTGCTGTTACTGCAAGAGAAGCTGGGGCCAAAAGAATGTCAGAACCAGTAGTTAGTGTATGTAGAATGACTCTTGTCAGTTTCGTGTATAGCTATCTATCTACCTTCATGAGTATAAAGACGGAGGTGTGTGTATCTTTAAACATATCGTAGCTTTTTTGTCTTTGATAATCTAGGGCTTTCAATTTTGCTTCAAGAGTCGAATGAAATAATGAATGAATGACCTTGTAGATTACCTACCTATCTCCTCATGTATTATATATTTAAGGTTATCTGCGATGTACGTACGATTAGTCAAAGAACCTTGCTACCACACCCCCGAGTAGTCGGCTCAATTGGTTTCTTTATTTAGGTATCATGGAACTACAACCAAGTGATTTGGAGGCTGATCTCGATGGTGCTTCAAAGTCTGGCTGGCTATTGGGTCGGTAGCAAGCAAGCAAGCAAGCAAGCAAGCAAGTCAGCCATACATGGACGATATATATATATATAGGACAACTCTGGGATTGTATTCCTAAGATCCTATAGCGATGCATACACAAACTTGCTTTCTAGGCAGTATATACCTGAGGTCGCGACAACGACCCCGCATGCAACATTGGATATCTGTAACGCCTTCCAAGCAAGTGCAGAAACCGCATCAAGCTATATATGCTGTCCCGCCATTTTGTATGCACCGATCCCCAAACTCCGTACTCCTGCAATTCGTCCTCCCCTTGCTTCCTCTCTTTTTTCCTTCCTTCCTTCATTCCTTCGTTGCTATCACGTCTTCACCTGGGGTGGACCGGAAGTTGATAGCCTTTTGAACTCCCGCATATCGTCAGCATCATCGTGTGGTCTCTTCTGTCCTGCGAGTTGCCCATTTTCGGTTATGGCCGCTACGGGTGTGCTGGCTCCATTGATGGTACTTGGAGTTGGTGCAGGCGAGGCCGATGACGGTGGTGCACTTGATCGGGGAGGCGCATTTGCAGGACTTCCAGAATTGGTCCTCCTTATACCAGGCGTCATCATCGGTGGCCGGGGGACTGAAGTGCTATTTGGTCGATTTTGACTTTGTCCTGTGAATGATGGCCTCATGACAGTTGGGCCTGACTTTTCCGGCCCAGTCGACTTGACAGACTGCTGAGTTGTATTGCCTTGTGGCTCATTGTGATTCGCTTGAGGGGTTTGCGCCGATCGCTGATCACTCGGTTGAGACTTCGCTGAACCTGTCTGGGGCGGATTTGGTTTTATGTTCGACTCGGGTATTTGACTGAGACTATTTCTTAGAATGGTGATGAGCATTTCCTCGTGAGTATTGCCCGGGACTGCGCTTTGATCCGTGATACCCAGTGTTCGATTGACTGCCGAGTTTACAATTGCCTCCGCATTGTTCGTCTTCTCTTTCAATGACTTAATGACGGTTGTCTTGAAAGTCTCTAAGAATCTAAGGACCTTCTCATTGGGGTGGGCCGGCTTAGGCGGAGGGTTCGATCGAGCTTGTTGAGATTGTTGCGGTTGTTGTGGTTGTTGTGGCTGCTGTGATTGTTGGGATTGTTGGGATTGTTGTGGTGGTGGTGGTTGTGGCTGTACTGGTTGTGGTTGTTGTAGTTGTTGTGGTGGTAGTGTTTGTTGCGGTGGTTGTGGTGGCACCGGATGCTGCTGGCTTTGCTGCTGATGAGGTGTTACAACAGGAGTGGCAATCTGGGTCGGAGCTCGGGGCTCAGTTGACGGCCTCTGCTCATTAGACTGTGACTGGGTTGTTGTCGCCGGGTTAGGTTTTGGCGCGTATGGAGAGCTATATGTACCGGTATTGGGTGCAGCTAATTGAGGAGGGACGGATGCAGGGTAAACTGGAGGTGGGTGTCCGTTAACAGGTGGATGGGAGGCAGGCGGAGGCGGCTGCCCATTCATCTGGTGTGGCGGGCCCATGTACTGAGGGGGTTGTCCCATATGCATATTTGGATGCATCATATGGTTCATCGGGTACCCGGGAGGTGGTCCCATCATGCCAGGACCATACGGATGGCCTTGCATCATATGCGGAGGATGGCCTGCCTGGAGTATCTGTTGGTGGTGCATATGCCCGGGAGGTAGCTGGGGAGGTGGTGAAGCTTTCTTTTTCTTTTCTTTCTCAATCGAGATACCGTCAACTATAGCCCACATCCAGCCTTTACCGTCCCGTTCAACCTTCCTGAATGCATGGTGCTGTGACAAGTTATGACGGACACTACTTTGCCATCCATTCGTGGTAGTTTTGAGGACAAAGAACGGGTATTTACGCATGATGGCCCGATATATCTGAGGTAGGGACATCTGGCCAGTCGGAGAATTTGAGAGAGCGTCGAAAATGAGTTGAACATAATTGGCCTGAGGCTTGGCGAGCTGCTCTGGAGTGAGATCTGCTTCATTGAAGGTCGGTGATGGTGAACGAGGTGGCTTTGGTGGCCTCTCTTTCCTTTCCTTTTTCTCTTTAGCAGGCTGATCTTCCCCGGAACCTTCTTGCTTGACATTTGGATCCTTGGGCTCCTTTGGTTTCCTCTTTGTATACTTTCTCTTTTCCTTTTGGATTGGAGGCGTATCCGGTCGTGGGTGCTTTCGTGGTCGGCCAACTTTGTTCTTTGTGGGAGCCGTCCCAGGAGGTTGTGGTACAGACTTCTGGGCCTTTTGCTGTCCCTGGTCCTGTGCCTGAGCCTGCGCCAGTGCTAGTGCTTCCTTCTTGGCCAGTTGCTGCTCGCGTTTGGACATGATACCGTTCTTTGGAGGCCGGCCTGGCCCACGTTTCTTCTCAGGTCTGGGGATAGGGTCGGGCAAGTTTGCTGTGTTTCCGCTTGTTTCTCTTTCTCGCTGATCGCTTACAACCTCTTCCATCCCGGATACATCACTGTTCTCAGGCACTTCATCTTCCCTATCCTCTTCCTCCTCATCATCTTCACCAGGATCTTCTCCCTGCTCCTCGTTTCTATTACCTTCCTCGTCTCCAGAGTCATCGCTGGTGTCAGCTAAGGCAACTCCATCTCGAGGTGCATCCTCAAAGTCAAAGCTCATTTCCTTGCCTCCTTCCGAATAACGTTCCGGGTATGTATTCTCATCATGCTCGGCCTTTTGCTCTGCACCCGTCTCACCAATTGCTACATCAGGGAGCACGAATCGTACGACGACACCTCCGATCTGTAACCGGCTTCCACTCTTTAGTGGAATGACATCGTTATGAAAACAGAATTCATCGTCCACAAATGCTCCATTTCGTCCAATGATATGGGCCTCGAAAAGAAGCTTGTTTGGATTGTACGCTATCTTGACATGTTTTCGCGAGATGGCCTTGTACCCACTTGCAGCTATAGCGGCCGGAGGATGTATTCCAACCAAAGGACAATCATGCGGAGAAGGGCGAAGTGATGCCGGATCGACAGGTACTGCCCCGTCTGTTTCTGGAGCCGATCTTCTAACCTGGGACTGAGCCTGGTACTCGACAAAACCATTTGGCTTGACCACAGAATTCCTCCTCGAATGATTTTGTGATGAAGAGCCTGTGGACTTAGATTTCTTGCTGGCCTTGCGACTTTTGCGCCTCCTCATCCGAGTCTCGGGGTCTGAATCGTCGCCTTCTCTTAAGATACCGCCACTCTCGCTGATCACAGATCTGGTGTACCTGCTTTCATCTCGTTTGATCTGCACGGGCGTATGAGGCTCATTACCTGCGGCCTGTTCCATGCGTTTCTCTTCTTGATCTCGGCGCATCGCTGCCCGCGCGGCAGCTAGATCACGCCCCAGTATGACCTGATGGGTGTTCATGTAGAACTCGCCATCTTCAAACTCAAGCTTCGCGTATGCTGAGATACGCGGCTCGTCAAGTTCATGAATATATGGAGAAGGATCTAGGCCTGGTGGATTGTCGACTGCTGAATTCATGGCCATCTGAAGCGCTAGCAAGCCCTCAGCTGGATCACGGGGGAATTGTAGACCATCCATAGAATCATAGATCCCCAGTGGTTGTTCGTTCAATAAAGGGTTGTTGAAGGCAGTCATATCCATTCCAGCCAGCTCAGACATGGTAACCGGCGGCAATCCGGCCTGAGCGTCTTGAATGCCGTCCGCGCCATCGAGCATGGTTACATCTTCTGTTCTATTCGGTGTTTGCTCAAATGTCTTCCCCTGCTCTGCATCTCCTGCAACACCTTGTATTTCCTTGTTCTCCTCGGGCGGCAACGTCTCGGAGAGCGTCTCTCGTTCCATCTTGCCACTCCCATGTTCGGTATCATCCGCGGCGGTGAGTTCGCGCTGATTAGGCGGGTTATCGTCGATCGCAGTCGTCGCTATCGCGGGGACGACCTCGGTCGTGGAGGCGTGCGGTGAAGTCATCGCTGTCGCTTTCGATAGTGACAGCTCCTTCACCGGCGGCAGGTCCTGTTGAGACAAAAAGGGGTGCGAACTCTCACTGACTTCAAAAGCGGGCGGATAGGGATTGCAGCAATCCGATGAGCATCTCACTGCTCGACTTTTTTGGTCCGAGCGCTAGACATCACGTGAGGAACATTATCTTTAGAGGTGGGGATCTTAGGTAAGGAACAGTAAGGGGAAGAAAGTTCTTTGGAGCTGCTCACCTTTGCAATTCTTGTCTCTCTGATGTTGCTTCTTTCTTGAAGAGGCAGAAAAAGAAAGAGCGAGAATGCTTTTACAGGAAGATACAGGAGGAAAACGATGTCACCAGAGGACGCCTTCTAAGCCAGGCTGAGAGTTTACAGTGTTGGATCCCAAGGTTGAATCTTCACGGCCAGATGGGCCCGACTCAAAGCTAATTCCTAGACTTCCCGACTCCCCGCTCGAGTTACTGGGCGGTTGTGTCAGCCTTCGATATTATTACTAGAAACCTTTGCATCAAATCATACGAGGGGCACTCTTGCTATATGGCCACTTCTACCCGCTGTACAACGCGCGCCAAAAGCAACTTTCAGAACAGAATAGGTCTGCAGAAATGCCCCTGCTTCATGTCTCAAGTCCTAATTGCCCTATTGTCGAGGTAGGTTTAAGGCTTTCTGGACCTCTTCCCTATTGGAAGGCTGCGCTTGACGTACTGGTTGTTACGTCACAGCATATGGACTACTTGGTGAAGTACCATGTTTCCAACCCCTCCCATCCCGTTTACTTCGTCGTTTCTCATCCCTTGTTTCTCTCTTTCCGTCATCCCAACATCTATTGTTCTTTGTTCCCGGGTCCTATTGTCACAAAAAGTGCCCAGCCTCCCGTTAAGCGTATTATACCCCCCCTTAAGATGTGTGGTGTACCCGTTCCAATCCCCTGGATCTGTATTCAATGCGGGACAGACCAGAATCCATGTCACTGCAAGATTGTGGGACCTACGTTTGGTTTTGTGTTGACCGTCGTCCTGGCTGTATGTTGAAAATGAGCTTCGGTTGCTGAATTGAAGCTGATTTGGATATGGTAGGTTGTCTGTTATCCAGCCTCCCTCTTTTGCGGATGCTGTGCGACGGAGAGAGGAAAGAAGTAAGTTTATTTATCTCTTCTATAATCAGCACGGTCACTGACGCTTCTCTAGAATGCTTGGTGCGCCAGTGGAATTAGGTGCGCGAGCTAATAATGCAATACCATTTTGACCTTCGCTGGACGAGAGGGAGTGGAAGAGGAGGAGCAGATATTATACATGGAATATCGACCTTTACCTGCGTTACGTCGATGCGGGGGCTGAAGATAAGGCGGAGATTGTGATGATAAAGGGCTGGGACAGGTATAAATACGGGATACGATTCCGATTGATATATTAAGGGGCTGCTCTGTGCTTCAACAGGAGATTCGCTTGAGAAATAATGCAATGGAAGGCGTAGCTATTACAAGATTCGCTCTCTGGCAATAACTCGGACAGGAATGTCAGTCTCTTTCAGAATTGTTCTCAGTCGCTCGAGGTCTAATTGGGGTTTCGTGCGCCCTTCCCCTTAATGACTGCTGTTCAAGGATACAAGGCATATAATGAACCTCAATACCGCAGCTACCAATCCAATGCTTAGTCGCGGACTATGACACTCTTGTCACTACAGGGCATTGACTGGAATGAATCGATTGCTAACAAGCAGATTTGATCATAATATTACATGCCATTCGATCACGTGGGATATAAAGTCACCGAGATTTAGGGGTTTTGTTTACCAAGGACATGAAGGAAAAGATACTGTATAGATTTGAAATGTCATTATGATTACCTTGGTCACATGGAATGGAAATCGACAATGTCTATTGCGTCTATTGTTGGGTAGTGTACATCTTCCCAAAGTGAATTCACTCGTGTCCCCATGTGCCCGATTATAATATCTCCCTCTAATCCTACTTCTTAACGTGAACAAAAACAAACCCAAGAGGACAATTAATATGATTCTTTGACTAGCAACACTCTCTTCTTTGGATGAGCCTTCATACATCTCCTATTCTACTTGGAAGGTCTTGTGGATCGAGAGCTGGGAAAGTCTGGTGAAGCCACAAGGCTGAACTTGATTTCGTCCCACAACAACCAGAGCAGTTGCCCACTCGACAAAATTTCATGAAGACACAAGGCTGATTTTTATTTTGTCTCAAGATAGCCAGAGTAATCACAATCACACATTTGTTTGCAAAAGAGCCTTACATCAACCATGGCTTCACAAGACGGTAATGACAGCAACTCAGCTGATACTCAGGATCCCTGGCCCATGTGTAAGGGAGCAGGCTGCCAACTTCTACCACCTCTCCACCCGACGAAGAAGAATCAGTATCCACTCAGTGATGGTTTGGATCTCGAGGACTTCAGTATCTGGCTTGATATTGAAGATGGAGAGGAGTCAAGGGTTAGCCCAATGCCCTCTAACAATCCGAATGACGGCGTCCCATTTGCTTCAGGTAATACACCCCCCCAAGCTCAAACTGCTCATGAAGGTTGACCTAACTTGAATGAATATAGCTATCGGCAATATCGAGAACAAAGACGACAATGATACAGCTCGAGTCCAGCAGGATACCGGTTTGATGCCAGTCACGATGCTTAACGAGACTGAGAGCAAGAACAACAACAAGACGGACCAGCGAGCATACAATTTGACAGCAGAGACTACAGTCGCGAATCCAAAAGGTCAATATTCTGTCAGTTCAGCTCAGCATGAAGAAAATCCGCGAAGCCAATGGCAACCTAATACCCCCCAACACGAGGAAATGTTTTCGTCGTTTGCGAGAGCGGTTTCTACACGACAAAGCTCTCTTGACCCAAGTAGATACACCCTCTCAAAAGATCGTGAGGTATCGAATATAAAAACCCCTGTCAAGGAAGGTGCCTTCTCCCATGGTGCCAAGTCTGGCGTCTTAGACCTTGATGCCCTAAAGCAAGCAGTTTTGAAGGGCGAATTTGATGAAATCATTGCGGCAAGGGAGACGAATGCAGAGGACTTGTTTGGTGGAAATAATCGTCGTTCCTTTGACAGCAAGGATGCCTTCCGCTTTGGCGACTTTCGCGATGGATTTCCACGAGAAGAGTCTCGAAGTTCTGATAATGGGCTCAGAAATCATTTAACTTCTGACCCGATGGACATTGACCACGAAGCTACAGTGAACCATACTAAAGAAATCAGAATGACTTCCAATAAGCCTCACAAAGTGCAGAGTCCATCCAGCTTTCAACATAGCTCACCCCCCTCGAACTCCAGCCCACAGAGCACTGAAGAGCTGATAGCGGCCGGTAGGCGCTATCTAGCCCAAAAGTATGGTACTCCAAGTCCACAGTCCCAAAACTCCTCGGAACCAGGATCGGCCAGCAGTTCTCAACTTACACCGGATATGATGAGATGGCTCGACAGAAATATGGCCAAACGTATGAGTGAGACAGAAGTGGAGGGGCCGAAGGCACCCGACTACGACCCATTTAGTGGCAATCTGACCGCTGAACAAGAAGAATTCGAAGCTAGGCGATGTCTTAAGGCTGCTAAGAGTATATTCGGACACGCTATATCTGGAAAACAATTCGAAGCTCAGAGCGAGACTTGGGATTGGGACGAGGAGGATTATATCCAACCATATGAGCCATATGAACACTTCAGCGAACTGTCCGATGAACTCATCATGGAAGAGATTGATAGGATGCCCGATACAATTATCGACACTCCGCGATCCGAGGACTGTATAACACAAGATGATGGTGCTAGCCTTGATATTATTATGGACAGTCAGCTTCCAGAAGACTGGACAGTGAAGGATGTTAACACCAATCCCAAAAGTGTCTATAACCAGCCATCTGAGGATTATATGATGGCAGACATCGGCTCTACTTCCGACATAAGTATTGATAATCATCGAGCGAAGAGAAGCAAGACTTTCGCAGGGGAAGATGCAATATTCGAACCAGCACTTCAACCAGCTCCCGTCGGAGAACCAGGTAGGAGTCTTACGAGATTCGTAATAACTCCTAAGGTCAATCGTACTGGTATTGACCTTGCTTGTTCCTCAAAATCCGAGGCCAGCTCTGTGACGGCCACGGAAAGTCCCCGAACGATAGGAGAGCTGGATAGCGACAACGAAGTATCATTCATTCGATCATCTCCACTTCAACCACAAAACAATGTACGCAAGAGAGTCACACGCCCTCTGAAGAGTACGTACGTTAAGTCTGGTACCAAAGATAATAAAACTACCAAAAAGATATTCGCAGTTGTCGAAAGCAAAAACGAATCTCTAGGAGGACAAAGTTTGTATTCTCCAACGCCAAGAAGCGATTTGAGTGGGGGAGAAGGTCCTAGACCACGGCCCATTCAGCCAATGCAGCCAATGCCAGCTGCAGGATATCCGACTTATGGGTATCAAGGATATGCTCCTAATATATCTGGTGCTTCTGGCTTTACAACAACCGCCGAAAATCCAGGAGTGTCATCAACCGTCGTACCACCGATGCAGCATAGCCGAGAACATGCCAATACTCCTGTCATGACCAGCCATGGTTCGTCGTGGGGCCAGATGAATCAAAATTTCTCCCCCGGAGCTCAGTATCCTCAACAATTTTCTGGAAACAACATGCCGGGTTTTGTAAGTCCTAACAACTATTTTGAAGGACGGAGTAACAGAGGAGGGCGCGGAGGACCAATGGGATTCCCAGGATATAATTACCAGGGAGGCCACAGCCGTTCTCCCCATTCCGTTGGTGGTATCTCCACACATTCTCCCCATAATCCTAACACAGGAAGCCCTTTGACGCCGACATCTCAGTTCTTTAACTCGATAAACAGCCCGCAATTCTCGCCTATTCAAGGCTATCAGAACCAAAGCCCATCCGCGCACAGATTGTACAGGAGAAAGTCATCTAGCAGAGCCGCGTTTCACGGCCATTTTCAGCTGCCCGGCAACCCTGCTCTACCACATACACAACCCCGCGCTAACTCACCCACGATCATAGACTGCACTCCTATTCAGCTCAATTTTCCCCCTTCAGCCTCCAAGACCGTCTCTCGAGAAAGGGCGGTGATCTCCTTCCAGGGACACGGGGAACGTGAACAGGCCCTAGCCTACCTCCAGAATGCGGCAAAATCGACACCTGAAGGTCAGCACATGATGTTTATGGAAGATTTCGATGCGAGTTCCAGGACGATTACCATTTCGGCACCGGCTGGTAGAATGGTTAGGGGATGGGTAAAGAAGTTTCTGCCTTATGCGGATGTGGAGATCTCGATGATCTAGGGTTTGGATGGGTTTTTGATACAATAGACGAGCAGTTTGCACTGTTTTGTAAATGGATCAATAGAGCATCATCGAAATTTGTGCGCAACTTTGGCAGTACAGGTACGAATAGAAATCAAGGAGAGAGAACATGGAGAGAGAACATGGAGAGAGAACATGGAGAGAGAACATGGAGAGAGAACATGGAGAGAGAACATGGCAGTTTATCATCCAGATTCGAGCCCGTCATCAAGACAGGTGTATCAATCAACGTCTTTGTAACTTTGCATCTCTGATATGACGTTGAGAGTGATGGTAGTCCTCACTGGAGGCAAATACTTCTGGTGATGTGGAAGCATCCGACAAAGTACAGCGGGTATAAATACGCTGCGTGCATTTTAGCACTAGATTATGGCTGATTAGGTAATATTTCATCGAGATGACCTCCCCTTCCTGTCGCGGACTGCACCTCGAAGACAGTGGTGGAAAACACTTTCTCTCTTTCCCACCAACGTTGAGTACCTTAGTCATTTAATTGTTTACTAAAGCTCTAACTGAATACACATTTTGCTGCAAAGAACAGTTTTCCTTTATTCGGAGTTCCGCATCCTCGAGTACAAGACGGACAGTATGCAGTTTAGAAGTTTGTATGCCTCCTACTTATCCTTGAATTCCTGAGAAAATATCTTTTGCCAAACATCCATCCATTTCTGTTGTTGCATTGTGAGAGGTTTCCCTGGATTCCTAAACGATCGCGTCAAGATATCTCGTAAACGGGTGCGCAGTATTTTGATAACAAGCATAGTTTTCCAATCAGAGACTGCGAATCGAGCCCGGTTTCCATCGAGTATGAAACCCCCCGCATACATCTAAAGTAAAGGTCAGCTCGTTTGCTTTTATTGAGGTAGAATTGAAGGCTTACATCGCAGCGAACATCGCCGCAAAGCAGAGCAATGGCAAATTCTTCGACCGCGGTAGTTTCGTGCGCATTATAGAACCTGCGACTTGTCAGCGATTGAAGATAAACCCTTCGAATCGACGTACTGTTTCGCCTGCATAATATGGTAGTATGAGAGCCACTTGAGTTCATGATGACCTTTGTTGACAGATGAAGGATGTATGCTAATGGATTGATTGTTGGCGCAGTTGCGAAATCCTTTCCCATCACGGATTAGAAGTTTTGGGTAGAAACTCCAGGCGATAACGGAAGTGTTTATGACATCGTTGTCACTGTTAATGTTCGCTCGCTGAGGAATCTCAAAGAACTGCCGACGTTTACTGGAAAATCGAGTCCTGGATAGTCAGCTGTATGTTCGCATACACGGAATAAATGCTCACCGATTCAAAGCTGTGCGTTCAACCTCTGTAAGGGGAAGGAACCCAGAATCCACTAGACAAACAACAAGCTGCCCCTTGAGGTCTTCGATGTTCGACAAAGTTTGCTGACTGAGAAAATTCTTTCTACAAAACTGGTATTCCGAGGCGCCAGTTATACAAACTCGTTTCCAAGCCAAGTAGGCGTTGTAAACAGTGAGGAGGTCCGAATCTCCTACATCTCATTAGCAACTCGCTTTCTTTCTGATGCATCGGAGTTGATACATACCTCGACGGAAGGCAAGCCTGACAGTATCCGCCTGCGCTCGTGCTCCAAACGGGGCAGAGAATGGTGACTTTGAAGACAGAATAGCAGCAATGGTAATGGCGGCATCCAAACACTTGAATATACTACCCAGTAGTATGAGTTTTCCCAAGAAGACATCCAGCGGTAATCTTGCAAGTTGAATACCCAGCGGGGTTAATTCTTCTCCAGGCGTCAAAGCTCTGACATCAATCAAAGCATCGATTGCCCGGCGGATATTTTTGGCCGACGGTGGATCCAAAGCTTGGCTTAGGGTCTCTTCAATCCCCCCAAGCTTACACATTTTGACGCGAATAGCTAAGTCTTGGAGCGACAACCTAAGAAATTCGGGGGTCTGTTGGTCGGCCATCTTGAACAAGAAACGTTAGTAAATTACAAAATTGCCCTTTCAGATTCTGGATTTTCAGAGAATAATTGAAATACTCCTATTTAAACTGAATGGGCTCGAAGGAAACTCACGAGTTCGTCATGTCTATACTTCGTAAAGAGGTGAAAACATAATCCTTCTTGCACTCTGCCAGCTCGACCTCTCCTTTGTTTAGCATTCGCTTTACTGATGAATGTTTCTAGGAGCCTAGATAACTGTCTTCTCTCATCAAACCTAATGGAAGGTTAGATAATCTCACAGAAATAGTAGAATAGAGACTGACCTCATCTCACGGTGTTTTCCAGTGTCAATGACACAGGTGACATCGGGTATTGTGATACCAGTCTCAGCTATGTTGGTGGCAAGGACGATCTTTCGAATACCGGGGGGTGGTACGAGAAAGGCAGCTTCTTGGTCCTCACTGGCAATAGTTGAGTGTAAGGGATAGATATACCAATTAGAGGAGAAATATGGATGCCCAGAAAGCATATCATTGAGCTGCCGGATTTCTCCGATTCCTGGCAAGAAGACAAGAATCGCCTTGCTATACATCATTAGGTTGTCATCCGAGGCAATTTTTGCAATGAGCTGTGTGATCAGCTCAAACTCAATGCGGTACTCATCAAGTTGTGATATGGTGGTTCGAGTTTTGTTGCTATAACCTCGCAGTTCTTTGGTGCCTTTAGCTTTGGTTGAGTCGCTGAGATCAGTCTCTGGTACGTCAAGATCATCGTCGAGATCAGTAAATTTCTCTTGAGGGCCACTGTCGAAAGCAGAATATCCAGTCAACTCAACAGCATCTTCTAGATATTTGACTTGAACAGGGAATGTGCGGCCAGGAACATTCAGGACTGGAGCCCCGTCTAGATACTTTGAAAAACGTTCAGCATCAACTGTCGCAGACATTAGAACCACCTTGAGGTCAGGTCTTCGCAGCATGAGCTTTTTGAGTACGATCAACAAGAAGTCGCTATCGATAGTCCGTTCGTGCACCTCATCCAGAACGATATGGGTAATATCTTTGAGATCGTTTGATCCCTCGAGCATACGCATAACAATCCCAGTGGTGGCATACACGAGTCTGGTTTCCTTTGCTGTATTCGACTCCAGCCGAATGGCATAACCAACTAGGGACCGAGATGTCCCAAGATCGTTCTTACGCTCACCCAGCTCTTCACTGACACGTCTTGCAAGGGAAATAGCCGAAATCCTTCGCGGCTCTGTGCAGTATATTTTGCAGGGTTTGCCTCTAGAAAGCTGGTGCTCTAAAATGAACGAAGGGACCTGTGTACTCTTGCCACTATGAAGTTCATTAGCCATGATGGAATTAATAATAGGGATCGAGGGTTGGCTACCATCCAGTTTCTCCACAGATTATGATCACCTGTTCCCGGTCAATGGCCGAAAGAACTTCTTCCTTAAATCCCCACATTGGGAGTTGCATGCGTGATTGCTAGAGAGTGTAAGCCAAATTCTAGCCAATTGGGTCGGGATTACTGACTAGCATCATTTGATAACTTGGGGAGCTACACTTATCTGCCCAGATCTTTTGGTATGCCTCCAGTGTGAGGGATGACCTAGCCGACTTCTCCTGACTCGATTCATCGTTATTGTCAGCGACGCGGGCAGAACCACGGTTTCTAAACGCCCCTTGGATTAAAACGCCATCTTCCAGTTCCTGGTCTCTTTTCTTGCGCACCATGTCACGAAAGGTACGAATGGCCTCTCTATCTATCTCGTCGGCTTTCTCTTTCTTTGTTTCTGCGAATTCGGTCCACAGATCTCGCCATGTTGCTGGTAAGCGCAGGAAGACCTTTTCCTCTCTCGAAGAAGAGCCAAAAATGAGAAACAGGGCCGTCGTAGCAATGTAAGCCTCCGATTGCTTGGCGTCTGGTGTAGAAATTGATACCATGGTAAATGTCTGAGTTTTTGGCGAGGTTACATAGTCAATGCCAGGAGGCAGGGAAGATGTTAGGGGATCCTGCACCTTGGTCCAAGTAATCCGAAGAGAATGGCGGTTGGAAAAACTTGTCTCAGATACAAGTGTATAGGATAGTTTCACAGATGAGTCTCTAATTAGCTGTCAGTATAGAGGAATGATAAGGGAGGCGAGAGGCAAAGTTGAGGGACTAACCTAGCTCGACAAGCTTCTTCCAGAACTCTGGTTGGATTTACCCCAGTCCATTTCCCAAAATCTCTAATAGTGACCTTGACTCCATTGCTGCCGTTGACTACAGTGCTGCTCTTCCCGGTAACAGGATCCACTTCTGTGACTGGTAGGCTTGCAAATAAGTCCGCCAGAGCAGCATCATCATCACTGCCAACTTCCTCGAGCAAAGCTGCACCCATTTTTGCTGCTTCCCGGCTTACCTCATCGTCTGAATCAACCAGGGTTTCTGACTCCTGCGAATCATTGCTGGTTTGGGCAGGTTCTGCGTTCCTGCGGACAGCTGCGTCTCTCTCAAGTTGGATACGTCGAGCCTCCCATTGTTGATCAGCTAGATACTTATCAAACAGGACGTCGTCTTCAATCTTTTTAATCTTCCGGAGGAGTTTGGCCGATTCTGGGTCTGGAGTCGGCTCCCTATCTTGCGATTTGGGGTTATGGTTACGATTTGAGCGTTTGGAGACTTTTCCCGAGCTTGATGGATCTAGATGAAATAACTTCGTTTTACTCTCCAGATACACTGGCAGAAGGTCATCTGGGTCAATATCGCTGTCGTAGTCCGACGAAGTGATCTTCTTGACTGGACCGAGTTTCTTATTAACCCGTGACATATTCTCTGCACTTGATGAACTAGACCCAATGTGTCGCGTATCTGATTCGATACGCGGAGTGCTTAGGCCAGATGTCAAAGGAGTATCAATGGGTGTATCTAATGTTGAAAATTAGTCAACAAACCAAGAGAGGAGCACGATATGTTCTCAAAGTCACTCACCGGTCTGAGACTTTGGAAACGACCCTTGCTTGCGATGCAAATTCTCATAATCGGGAAGTTCCTCCCTTGAGCATTCTCGTGCAAGCCAATCTAGAGCTTCCTCCATGCCCCAGATTGCATCCTTATTACTGGCCCCAATCTTATCTGATATGTCCAGTACATGCTGCAAAGCTAGGATAACTTTTGGTTCCAGAAATCCGGCACTGATCAGTGATTGCTGCAATGTCCAGAGTCGTATTGTGAGCTCCTCCTCAGAAGACTGTTTCAACGTAGTGGTAGAATCTGCGGCTTGGCCAACAAAGCGTCCCTCTTCCTTAATTAAATCCAAGATCTCCTCCATAAGTTCAGGTGGAAGCCATTTTCTGGTATTTAGATTTTCGGCCTGCCCTCTTAGGATGCGGTGGTCGGTCTCCAATCTAGTTTTCTGACGAAGTGCATCTCTTTTCGATTTCTGGGCATGCTTCTCGACTAGCACTTGGAGTTCGGAATCCTCAAGTTGCTTTTCAAACTCTTCAGGCGTTAAGGTCTTTGATGGGTTATCGGAGACTCCTTCCCCTGGTCCAACGGCTTGGTCACTTTCCCCTTGATGGGTTTGGGGGGCTCCAGGTAGTTCTTTGGTCGAGGTTGGCTCGGGCTCAGGGTCAGTAGCTTCAACTTTGGGTTTTGATGCAATAGAAGTAGTAGCAAAACCTCTCGCGGGGTTTGAAACCGGCTTCTTCTTCTTCTTGCCGCCGGCCATCTGGAATTTGGTGTTTGTGGGGGGAGGTTTTATGCAACGCGGGGCGCGTCAATGACGGTAGAATAAATATATTTACGAAAGTTGTCGGCTATTTCTCACCGAAGCTCGACCACAACGGACTTCAGAAAAAATCGCCCCCGTGAATCACCAGCACAAGACGTTGATTCAAACTGACAAGGCCGCTGCGGGCCATGACAATATCTCCAAACCAACAAGATGACTGAGGTGGAGGTTAATGGTACGAGCGGGGGGGATCTGGATTTCACCTTCACGAAGGCAGCATTGTCTTCCTCCTCCACGTCTTTGCGCCTCGGACACCTGCACACACTTGAAGAAAGACTCTCAAATAATGGTAAGTGGACCCCTCTCTATCTCGCCCTTGGATAATATTTAACGCTTCCCTGCACCTAGAAATCGGCCAAGACTCATTCCCTGCCTTACTTCGACTTTTTTTCAACACATACCCATACTACCACGATCGAAATTCACGGCGAGCTGTTCAACGATGCATACGGTTGATATTCAGTTCAGATGCTACTCCTGAAGCCTTGACAGGCTTTGTCAAAGCTGTTCATGCAGAAACATCCAAGCCAAACCTTGCTCCGAGCAATGCGTTTGTTCTCGTGGAATGGTGCAGCATTTTGCTCCAGACGATATCTGGCACAAGCCACTGGGAGAAATGGGGTCTTGAGACTATTCTCAGTAATGCACAAGCTCTCGAATTATGCCTTGGCGAATCTTCGCGGTCCAATGTCAAACATTCGGCACTGGTCGTCACTCGGCGCGGTTTACGCACAGTGTTCTCGAAAAGTGACACCCAACGAAAGAGGATTGAGGATGCTGTACAGAATCTTGCCTCAAAAAGTAGCCGACCTTCTGCTAATAATGCTATTATGCTTGGGGTGATCGCTGGTGTCTGCGCAAGGAAACCAGAGGCAAAGGAGATCTTGGCAGGCAGGAAGACTGAGTTCTATACTTTCTACAACAGAGAAATCATTGGATCGCGAACTCCTGTCCCTATACACATAGCTAATGGTCTGGAGGATTTTTTTGTGGCCTTTACATCGAAGGAAGATATCGAGAAGGAAGTCGTTCCATCACTCGAAAAGGCTCTTCTTAGAGCTCCTGAAATCGTCCTCAACGATCTTGTCTCACCACTATTCCATTCGCTATCCGATTCAGTAGATCTTTCTACTGTCTTACGGAAAAACCTCCTAAAACCTCTGCTATCTAATGTCAAATCTACGAATGCTGCGATACGCCATGGGGCGCTCAATGCTTTCAAAGCTGCTGTAGTCAAGTGTCACGAAGCGGATATTGTTGCGCAGATTGCGGAGGAGATTTTGAACCCATTGAAGTCTGGAAAGTTATCGTCGGCAGACCAGCGAATCTACCATGCTGAGATGCTTGCCATGCTACCTGTTTCTAAAACCACTGCTGCAATGCTATCTCCGACCCTCGCCGTTGTTGCGGGAAAGGAAACAAATGAGGCTGCCCTAGCAGCGGAGACAATAGCACTTCTCCACTACCTGGAATGGGGTGTCAAGAATGAAATGGACTTCGACAAACCCGTGATTGATGCATTTCTTAAAGGTATCTCTGAAAAGAAGGCTCCGTTTCGGAGGCTATGGACGCTTCGTCTTGGCCAACTTTTCTGGTCCACAGATGATCAGGGTATTCTGAAGTCGAGGTTTTCCAGTCTCGCGGAATCTTCTATGCCGGCCCTATTGGAGACATGGAATGAAGCCACAACAAATCCTCTTGCTGCATCACAATCTGGGCTTGTCACCGCCGCTTACGTTTTCACTGCCATTTCATATGCCAAACTTGTGCCGATATCGAGCTCTAAGATTGAAGCTGCATTGAAAAAGGCACAGGTGGCACAGCAGGCATTGACTATGGAGCCTAAGCCATCATTCCTGCTAAATCAACGTATTTATGGGAAGCTCACTGGAGATGATGATTTCAAGTGGTTCATTCGAGCTCTGTCTTACTTATTTCAGGACCTTGCTACTGTTGAGCCTGATTCAACAATTGCCATAGGCTGGTCCCAAGCTATGATCTTTTGCATATGCTCCTCAACCGTCAAGCCAGCACTCCGAATAGAGGCTATTCACGCCCTGTCAAGACTCTATGTTCAAAGTCCTACACATATTTCAAATATCATCGTGGCCGGGATCTGGCGGTGGAGGCGTTCTATCGAGACTGGTGAAAAGGATAGTGCTGCTAGTGCTGCCAAGAGCGATAATCAAAACCTCCGCCTTGTTGTCAAATCTATATGTCTACCACCAGCAGACATTTCCCGATTTGGTGGTGAGGTTAGTGAGCTGATACGTAAGGATCAGATGATATCGATGTTGGTTCTTGCACGACCCGAGCTCATACCGGGCGTGAACTGGATAGATCTATGTCTAAGAGTAGAGGTAGATCCTGGTGAACTTGCTAGAATCGCTGGAGAGTCACTAATTCAACAAATACTTGACTCCACAAGCTTTGATGAAAAGGTACTGAACCACAATCTATCTCAGCATTATCTTTCACTAACCCCAAATCAGGCTTCTCTGCAGCAATCTAGCGATGTCAAAACCGCCGCTTTCAATGCTGCGGCAGATCTCGTTTTCGTCGCACCCGATGTTATGGCATCTCGGATAGTCCAACTCCTGCAGCAGGACCTCGAGCCAGGTCAACTAGCCGATGTAGGCCCAACAGAGGCTGCCATATTCCGGACCCCAGATGGAACGGTATTTGTTGATGTATTGGCTTCCAAGTCTCAAAGCTATACCACCAACAAGAACGTCAAGGATTACGACACATTAAAATGGGAGGAAGAACTCAGGGCACAACTGGCACAGAAGAAAGGCCAGCAAAAGAAACTGACGCCGGAGGAGACTGCCAAGGTTAACGCCCAATTGAAGAAGGAAGCGGGCATTCGACTACAAATTCGGTACCTTGAGGCTAGGCTCATGCGCGGAATTGGTATCATAAAGAGTCTGGCGACCGGTCCTCCAACAGATGCTAGTCTTTGGATAGGCCCGGCAGTTAAGGCACTCCTGGATGTCATCAACGCTGGTGCAGGCCTCATAACTGGGAACGCAGCTTCGGATGCATATATCATATGCTCGGAAAGACTTGCCCCCCGTATTGGAACTCTCCGTCCATTTATTGGCATTGCAACCTTGAGGGCGTTGGACGTCCCGCATCTTCCAGAAGCTCTTCAAGAAGAACCTATTGGCGCACTGGTTACCAGAGTCTTATATCGTCTGCGGTTTTCCGGAGAACAACGCCCTTTCGACACTGTATCCCTGACATACATACTCCAATTAGTATTTCTGGTTCTTCGCAATGGTGGCTTTGGTGAAAAGGACGACGCCGAGGCTCAATTAGTCCTTGCATTAGAATTCCTTTCTTTCCACACAGATGCATGCTCTGACACTCTTGTGCCACGGCAGGAGGTTCTGGCTGCATTGATATCATCAATGCAGACTTACACCCAGCATTATAAAATCATCAAAGACTGCTTGGCGGATCTTTGCCGGTGCATAGCACCCAATATTACAGATCAAGAGATCGCCATTCTGGCCAAAGGCGCCATTGTGCCACAAGTTTCTGTCCGTACTTCCGTATTGCAGTCTATCAGCGGGGATATTGATATGAGCGAGCTCGACTTCTCAGAAGAGATATGGCTCGCATGCCACGATGATGTTGACGAGAATGTCGAGTTAGGTCGTGATATTTGGGAAGAAAGCGGTTTCGAGATATCGGCTGAATCTCCTTTCAGAATGCTACCTTATCTCAAGAGCAGTGACAAGCAGCTTCGAAGAGCCGCAGCCAGATCACTCGCCGAATCGGTCAAAATCCAGCCCTCAACGTTTGACGATGTACTAGAGCGCCTGCAGACTTCATATGAAGAATTGGCGAAACCTCGCGTACCTCAACTGGACGAATACGGCATGCCAAAGAAAATGGACCTTTCAGACCCATGGGAGGCAAGGAACGGCATTGCTCTGGCTTTCAAGCAACTGGCACCCGTATACAAGGAAAGCTTGCTGGATGAGTTTCTACATTTCCTCATTGAGCGAGGACCTCTTGGTGATCGGAATCCAAATGTCAGAGAAGAAATGGTGGAAGCTGCTACCGCTATTATCGCACTTCACGGTAAAAACAAAGTTGAAGACTTGATGAAGACCTTTGAGCATACGCTGGAAGCTCCTGACAAGGGCTCCGAATTCGCGGATCAAGTCAACGAAGCAGTCGTTATCATGTACGGCGCTCTGGCCCGTCACCTGAAAGCAGGAGATCCTCGTGTACCAAAGGTCGTTGGCAGATTGTTGGAAACCTTGAGTACTCCATCAGAGGCTGTGCAGTATGCTGTCGCAGAATGTTTACCACCCCTCGTCCATGCTTCAAGCGACAAGACATCTGACTACGTTCAACAAGTTCTGGAGAAACTTTTGAACTCTAAGAAATACGCAGCTCGACGTGGTGCGGCATATGGTCTTGCAGGCTTAGTACATGGTAAAGGCATTTCTGCACTTCGCGAGTACCGAATCATGTCGACTCTGAAAGGCGCTATAGAAAATAAGAAAGATGTCAACCACCGAGAGGGCGCTTTACTTGCTTATGAGCTTCTTTCAACGATCCTCGGACGCATCTTTGAACCTTACGTCATTCAAATTGTGCCTCAATTGCTCTCGAGCTTTGGTGACGCCAGCGCTGATGTCCGAGATGCCTGTCTGGCTGCTGCCAAGGCGTGCTTCGCGAGTCTGAGTTCATATGGAGTAAAACGAATTCTGCCTACTCTTCTGGAGGGACTTGATGACCAGCAGTGGCGAAGTAAAAAGGGAGCGTGCGACCTTCTTGGTGCCATGGCCTACCTTGATCCTCAACAGCTTGCTCAAAGCTTACCAGAGATTATCCCGCCTCTGACCGCCGTCCTCAACGACAGTCACAAGGAAGTTCGGCTTGCTGCCAATCGAAGCTTGAAGCGCTTCGGTGAAGTTATCAACAATCCAGAGATCAAAGGTCTCGTTGACGTGCTTCTTAAGGCTCTAAGTGACCCTACGAAGTATACGGATGATGCACTGGACTCTCTGATCAAGGTGTCTTTTGTCCATTACCTTGACGCGCCCTCGTTAGCTCTTGTAACACGCATTCTCGAGCGCGGATTGGGAGACCGCTCGGCTACGAAACGAAAGTCCGCCCAAGTCATTGGCAGTCTTGCACACTTGACAGAACGAAAAGACCTTGTTTCTCACTTGCCAATCCTCGTTGCCGGTCTCAAAGTTGCAATAGTCGATCCAGTCCCAACTACCCGTGCCACTGCCTCCAAAGCCCTAGGCTCTTTAATCGAGAAGTTAGGAGAAGATGCCCTACCAGACCTCATTCCAGGCTTAATGCAGACTTTGAAATCAGACACCGGAGCCGGAGATCGGCTCGGATCTGCCCAGGCTCTCAGTGAAGTGCTTGCGGGTCTTGGCACTAGTCGACTGGAGGAGACTCTGCCTACAATTCTGCAAAACGTTGCTTCGTCCAAACCCGCTGTGCGGGAGGGTTTCATGACGCTCTTCATATTCTTGCCAGTCTGCTTTGGCAACAGTTTTGCCAATTATCTCAGCAAGATCATTCCTCCGATCCTCTCCGGACTTGCAGACGATGTCGAGTCCATTCGTGATACATCGCTTCGAGCCGGACGACTGCTTGTCAAGAACTTTGCAACAAGAGCCATTGATTTGTTGCTTCCAGAGCTTGAGCGGGGTCTCGCTGATGACAATTATAGAATTCGTCTTAGCTCTGTCGAGCTGGTTGGTGATCTGTTATTCAACCTTACAGGTATCAGAGCAGATACCGAACAGGACGAAGCTGAGGATGGAGCTCAAGAGGCAGGGGCATCCTTGCTGGAGATACTTGGAGAAGAAAAGCGTAATAGAGTTCTATCTTCTCTATATATCTGTCGCTGCGATACGTCTGGACTAGTCCGTACCGCGGCAGTCACTGTTTGGAAAGCTTTGGTGGCCAGCCCAAGAACCCTGAAAGAATTAATTCCAACGCTTATTCAACTCATTATTCGACGACTTGCCAGTTCCAATATGGAACAGAAGGTCATCGCTGGTAATGCACTTGGCGAATTGATTCGGAAAGCTGGTGACGGCATTCTTTCGAGTTTGCTGCCGACTTTAGAGGAAGGCTTACAGACATCAACGGATACGGATGCAAAACAGGGAATCTGCATAGCGCTTCGAGAATTGATATCGTCTGCATCTCCTGATTCTCTGGAAGATCATGAAAAGACACTGATATCTGTTGTTCGGACTGCGCTAATTGATTCTGACGAAGATGTCCGCGAAGCCGCAGCAGAGGCATTCGACTCGCTGCAACAAATCATTGGCAAACGCGCCGTTGATCAAGTGCTCCCTCATCTTCTGAATCTGCTGCGGACAGAAGATGAAGCCGATAATGCACTTGCTGCGCTTTTGACACTGCTCACGGAGACGACACGATCGAACATCATTCTCCCGAACTTGATACCCACTCTTACCACCTCCCCGATTTCGTCCTTCAACGCAAAGGCTCTGGCCTCTCTCTCATCTGTCGCTGGCTCCGCCATGACACGACGCCTGCCAAGCATTTTAAATTCCTTGATGGACAATATTATCGCCTGCACGGATGATGAGCTGCGTGCCGACCTCGATGCATCCTTCAACACCGTCCTCCTTTCCATTGATGAATTTGATGGCCTGAACACAGCAATGAGTGTTCTCTTAGCACTCGTAAAACACGAGGATCACCGAAGAAGAGCAGCAACGGATTATCACCTCGCAAAATTCTTTGCCGTGGCGACTGTGGATTACTCCCGTTACAATCAAGACATCATTAGAGCACTTCTCATGTCTTTCGACGATAGAGACCCAGAAGTCGTCAAAGCATCTTGGACAGCCTTGAACGAGTTCACAAAGCGACTGAAGAAGGAAGAAATGGAGGCACTTGTCTTCTCCACTCGACAAGCCTTACAGCACGTTGGTGTGGCAGGCTCGAATCTACCTGGTTTCGGATTACCTAAGGGTATCAATGCCATTCTGCCAATATTTTTGCAAGGCCTTATGAATGGTACTTCAGAGCAGAGGACTCAGTCTGCTCTTGCGATATCCGACATTGTTGATAGGACAAGCGGAGACTCGCTGAAGCCATTTGTCACCCAGATCACTGGGCCACTTATCAGGGTTGTTTCTGAAAAGTCGGTCGATGTCAAGGCTGCCATCCTTTTGACGCTGAACAACCTCCTGGAAAAGATCCCAACATTCCTAAAGCCGTTCCTTCCACAATTACAACGGACTTTCGCCAAGTCCCTGGCTGATACTTCGAGCGAGGTTCTAAGAACTCGAGCTGCAAAGGCTCTGGGCACTTTAATTACATTGACGCCCCGTATCGATCCTTTGGTCGCCGAGCTGGTCACAGGATCAAGGACGTCAGATCTCGGTGTTAGGAATGCTATGCTAAAGGCATTGTATGAGGTCGTCAGCAAAGCCGGGGCTAACATGAGTGAGGCATCGCGAAGTGCTGTGCTTGGTTTAATCGCTGCAGATCCTGAGGATAACGATATTTCCATGGCCATCACAAATGCCCGGTTACTTGGTGCCCTCATCAAGAACGTCCCTCCGGAAGGCGCCTCTGGTCTCATCAAGACCCGAGTGCTAACAACGCACTTCACTCAGTCTTCAGTATTAGCCCTCAATGCTGTACTTGTGGAATCGCCTTCGTTATTGACCGAGGGTGCCTTTGCCGAGGACTTACCCGCAGTCATCTGTCAAGGACTGTCAAGCAAGAATGTAAGTATCATGTCTCTGTCTACACTGATTTATTGATCCTAATATCATATTATAGAACTTCATATCAGACAATTGCGTTCTCGCGGCAGGCAAATACCTTCTTTCGGAGACTGGAAGCAGTGATTTCGAAACGCTCAAGCCTCTGTTTGAATCTTTGGCGACTTTGATACAACCAGGAAATGCGGCCGATACCAGACGCTTGTCACTTGTCGTTGTACGTACTGTGAGCCGCCATCACGTGGAGCTCGTCCGACCTCACCTTCCGCTACTGGCGCTGCCTGTGTTTGCGAGCGTTCGAGATCCAGTCATTCCTGTGAAGTTGGCCGCAGAGGCCGCCTTCATGGCGCTCTTCAATGTTGTTGACGATGAGAGTAAGGTATTTGAGAAGTATATTGCTAGTCAAGAACTGCCAGCAAACCAAAAGAGAAGCATGCAGGATTATTTCAAACGGATTGCATTGAGACTTGCCAACACAGCAAGGGAGAGGAAAGAAGCTGAAGGCGGACAGGGTGGATTGGGATTATCAAATGATGAGGTTGAGGACGAACGGGAGATCTGGAGTGTTGGAAAGGTAGATCTTGGTGAAGCAGCTTACGACGAGTGATGAGGTATGGTCTTTTCGGTGGTGCTGTTTTAGGCGTATCAGCCATTAAAAGTTGTGCTGCATCGCATTACATGAGGATAGCATACGGTAGCTAGAAGCCACGTATCTAGGTAGGTAGGTAGATATAAACGGCTACGAGGCCGTGCCAAACGTTTTGATGGATTTCTGAACAGATCAGGCCAAACCTCCTATTCATGCTCGAGGGGCCCAACAACCCAACGCCACGGGTAAGTAAGCGATGGAAGTGACGTGAGGCAAAACACGTGGAATCTGTCTGAGAGAAATGGAAAATTCACTTCAACACTATATTTTCAACGTGGCTCTCCGACAAAGGGACCGAAGGGTTGAGTAGCTGCCTTATTTCATAACCAGGGAGCCATTGGACGATCTTCCAAAGTGAAGCCGTACTGTATTGCACTGTACTGGACTCAAGGAAGTTTCTTTTCATCGATTAGGGTTACTCGCTCGGTAAACCCTAGCTCGTTCGCCCTCCCACCAGAAATTTGATCTCGCTTAGTCATTGGAGTTAGCGCAAAGCAAGAATACCTCCACTTCGAGACTTCGAGATACACCGACGAGATCCTCCTATCGACAACCTTCGACGACCATCACCGACGACCTCGAGACCAGTCAAGATGTAAGCATACGACTATCCTGGATCCATTCAAACCACCGGATCGATTTGAATCCGCTGTCCGCCTTCGCTCTGCTCAACGCAAGATGTGTCTCAATTCTCGATCAAAAGCTGACTTTCTCTTCTCACGATAGGGTCAACCTCAGAACCCAGAAGCGCCTGGCGGCCTCCGTCGTAGGCTGCGGAAAGCGCAAGATCTGGCTTGACCCCAATGAGGTCAGCGAAATCTCCAACGCCAACTCCCGCCAAACCATCCGAAAGCTCGTCGCAGATGGCCTCATCATCCGCAAGCCTGTAACGATGCACTCTCGATCCCGTGCCCGGGAACTCACAGCTGCACGAAGAATTGGTAGACACCGTGGTTTCGGTAAGAGAAAGGGTACGGCTGATGCTCGTATGCCAAGGTACGCTATCCGGAGTCATAATGTTGAGCGTTACAATTCTAATCTCTTTCTACAGCCAAGTTGTCTGGATGCGCCGTCTCCGTGTCCTCCGCCGTCTTTTGGTCAAGTACCGTGCCAGCGGCAAGATCGACAAGCACCTTTACCACGAACTCTACCACCTGAGCAAGGGTAACACCTTCAAGCACAAGCGAGCATTGGTTGAGCACGTAAGTTTTTCTTGGGAGTTTCAGCAGATGCTGCAGACTGACACTGTTCACAGATCCACAAAGCCAAGGCTGAAAAGGCGCGTGAGAGGTCCCTGAAGGAGGAGATGGATGCCAAGCGTGCTAAGACCAAGGCCGCCCGCGAGAGAAAGCAGGAGAGAATCGTTGCCAAGAGAGCGGCTCAGCTCGGGGAGGAAGAGGAGACTGAGACAAAGTAAATGGTGCATTTGTGATGGTAGCATACGGAGTGTATCTGGCAAGGTCTACAATATTAGGCTGGTTGCTTTTCGATGTCACTGGGTTTCTGCATTATCCCGCAGGCAAATGGCATCACGATCTTTGAATCAATCTATCTTCTGTGCCATTGTGATGGAACAAATTGCGTGATTAATAAAGGGCCTACCAAAAGCTTCGCAGTAAAGTGTTTTAACAGTAAGAAACTGTTCATTCGTCATTCGTCATTCACGCCTCCGTCAATCCAGATTCTGCAATAAATAGTTCACAAATTCTTGTCTTTTCTACAGTATCTATAATTGATCGACAGTTGATGCGATAAGGATGTGTGGATCACTTTGTCAGATATGATGATGCAAGATCACAGAAGATTCTTTCAAACAGCGAAGATAACCCTGTGGTATGGTAGAGGATTTTTCACATCCGTACCATCCGTACGGTTGTTGGGAGTACAACGTATGCCCTCATCACAAGATGATAATCACAGTGGCCCCTACATAGAGGACATTGGAAGACAAATCGAAGTCGGTCACAGCAGCAAAGGTACGGTGACAAGGGGCAGTGGCAAGGGGCAGTGATCAAGAACAGAGTATTCAGAAGATTGTGAAATCAACTTGGAAACGGATCAGATATTTTCACATTGCCCCTCAATCGGTGGTTATGTGAGCTTGGGACATTTCAACATCGCCCGCCGGAAAGGCAGAGAGCTGTAGTTGTCGTAGTAGCTACTCGTCATCTCCGTTGTAGTTGTGTGAAGAAGAAAGAGAGCCGGACTTGGCGAGGTTATCGTGAATTTATAGGTATCTACGCACGTCCCCGCTACGCGATTCGGCGCTAGTGGATAATGTAGGCAGCGGGGGAACTCAATCCAAAAGTTTTGGCACAAACTGGATGCATTTGAGCTTCTCAACCTTTTGAGTCCAGAGGTACGTCCAATCGCTTCTATGGGAATTGCGAATAGGCATTGATGGCAATAGCTCAGAACGCAATGTCTCTCTTCAAGGGCGCGTCTCGGTCCATGATCAGAGCTGCTGGGCGCAGAGCAGCTCCAGTATCTATCGTCAGGCGAGCTGCATCTTCCAGGACTGCAGAAACTCAACACAAGGTGAGTCGCGGCCGAAGTCCATTCAATGTTTGCAGTGCTAATCAGATCCTCAATTGCAGTTACTCTCTACAGATCTTGAACACGCAGACCCAGCTGTCTTCCAAATTCTCCAGAATGTATGTTATTCGATTCCCAGAACCACGACCAGCATCCTAATATTCGGGCCTACAGGAAAAACGGAGACAAAAGCATTTCATCAACCTCATTCCGTCCGAAAATTTCACTTCCCAGGCTGTACTCGATGCTCTAGGAAGTGTTATGCAAAGTCTGCTTCCTCAGCAAAAGTGGGGTTGAGTCACAACTGACTTCTGCGCAGACAAATACTCCGAGGGATATCCAGGAGCAAGATATTATGGTGGAAACGAATTCATCGATGAATCTGAGAGATTATGTCAATCCCGAGCTTTGGAAACCTTTGGTTTGAAGGAATCAGAATGGGGCGTCAACGTACAGCGTATGCTTTTCAAATCCTCCCAGCTGCCAGATACTAAGATGCTACAGCTTTGTCCGGCTCTCCTGCCAACCTCTATGCGTATTCCGCACTCTTAAATCCTCATGACCGAATAATGGGCTTGGATCTCCCTCATGGTGGGCATCTTTCTCATGGATATCAAACACCTACAAAAAAGATATCCGCTATCTCCAAATACTTCGAGACTTTACCGTATCGTCTGGATGAGGAAACGGGCCTCATTGATTATGCCAAGTTGGAAGAGCTAGCTACTCTATATCGGCCAAAGATCATAGTTGCGGGTACTTCTGCATATAGCAGACTCATCGACTATGCACGAATGCGAGCAATTGCCGACAAGGTTGGCGCATATCTTTTGGCGGATATGGCACATATTTCTGGCCTTGTCGCTGCGAAAGTCGTCCCAACGCCTTTTGAGTTCGCGGATGTGGTCACCACCACTACACATAAGTCACTGCGTGGTCCTCGAGGCGCAATGATCTTTTTCAGAAGGGGTGTTCGAAGAGTCAACCCGAAGACCAAGGAAGAGGAGATGTGGAACCTTGAGGAACCGATCAACGCGTCGGTATTCCCTGGCCATCAAGGAGGACCCCATAATCACACAATCACTGCCCTCGCGGTTGCTCTCAAGCAGGCACAAAGCAGTGAATTCAGAGCCTACCAAGAGACAGTACTCCTGAATGCTAAGGCATTTGCAAAGCGTCTTGGTGATCCCAAAGATAAAGGTGGTCTTGGCTACACATTAGTATCGGGAGGAACTGATAACCACCTTGTCTTGGTTGATCTTAAACCCCAAGGTGTGGATGGTGCCAGAGTTGAGCGCGTATTGGAACTGGTGGGTGTTGCAAGCAACAAGAATACGGTGCCCGGCGATAAGTCGGCTCTGAAACCCGGTGGCTTGAGAATGGGGACGCCTGCTATGACGACTCGAGGTTTTCAGCCTGATGATTTCGTGAGGGTCGCAGATGTTGTAAACAGGGCGGTGACGATTACGCAGAGGTTGGATAAGGCTGCGAGGGCGGCAGCTGAGGCGAAGGGTAGAAAGAACCCCGGAAGTGTGAAAGCTTTCCTCGAATATCTTGGGAATGGGGATAATGAAACGGAGATTGTACAACTAAGATCCGAGGTTGAAGAATGGGTGGGGACATTTTCTTTGCCATGGGAGCCGAGTCCATAGGTATCTAATCCAGTAATTGATTTCGGTGCTTTCCACTCAATCTTGCACAACTGTACTTTTTCACTTTCCAATACGACCGTGATTTGTGAGTTGGATCATTATATGCTGCGCGGTAGACTAATTTCTCCATAATCACCATATACGTGGGACAGCGGTTGGAACAATGAGCGAATTCTATGTCGATTATAAAGATATCTGTCACATAACCCATAACCATACATCCTCAGTCCTCTAAAGTTTGGACGCCACCAATGTCCCACCATCCAAGGCAATTAATGCGCCGTTAACATAGCTACCCGCCTTGCTAGACAAGAACAAGCAAGCCCCGGCTATATCCTGAGGGCTTCCTATCCTCCCTAGAGGAATCCCGCTCACAATCACGTCCCCGAAATTCTTCAGGGTAGCAGCCATCATCTTGCTCTGGAAGGGCCCACACGCTAACGCATTGGACGTAATATTCCGTTTCCCAAGATGATTCGCCAGCACTCGACTCAACTGATGTAACCCCGCTTTGCTCGCACTATAACTGAACGTCTCGAGCTCAGGGACCCGTACACCATCCACAGAGCCGATATTGATGATGCGCGCAGGATCGCCGGGCGTGGCAGCGGCTTCAAGGAGAGGCGTCACGAGCTGCGTGATGGTGAAGACGCGGGTCAGGTTGAGAGTCAGCACTCGGGTCCATGCCGAGTCGGGGAACTCGGCGTAGGGAGCCCCCCAGTTCGAACCGGAATTGTTGACCAGGACGTGTAGCTTCGGCTCGAGTTTCTTGAGGGTGTCGACCATGCGCTGGCAATCTTCGACTTTGTAGAAGTCGGCGGGGATGGCGTGTGCGCTGCCTTTGCCTGCGTTGCGGAGGTTAGTCGTCCTTGCGTCGGGACTTGGTTTGAGGGGTTGGAGTGTGGGGTAAGGGGAAGAGGGTGTACCTAATGCGTTTAATTCTTCGCAGGCTTTCTCGCATGCCTTGACATCTCTCGACGATATGTATACTTTTGCTCCATTTGCAACAAAGCCTTCAGATATCGATCGACCGATACCCTTTGCACCGCCAGTAACCAAGACAACTTTGCCCTTGAGGCATGTTAGCTTATATGATTAGGACCAATGAGTTAGGCAGCTTTACCTTGACGTCAAAAAGAGTTGCAGCGTCCATTTTCAGTATTGGTCAAGCCACAACGGGTGTTGAAAGAGAATGCTATAAAAGATGTATAACATACGCGGAGTAAAGCTTCAAGAAGTCGGGGTAAGCTCCCGGTAAAGCTCCCGTGGGGTCGTCGTATCAAGCCGAGGCATGATTAGTGATGATGGCGTTCGCTTAAATATAGGTAGGTACAAGTACCTTATTGTCCCTATTCCTGGCTAAAGGGTTGACGGCATCTTATACCTAAGGTAAGTTCAAGCTGATGCATTATTCGGGAAAGGCACCTGGCTTCTCTCTTTCTCTGTCTTATTTACCGTTATCCTAATAATTCCTCTCTAGAATTGACCTGCGATGTCTGCTCCCAAAGATCAACCCACCGACGCTCGATCCAGGCTTCGCTCTCATTTTGAAGGAGCAGACCCCTCCACTCACGGCTCCAAATGGGACGACCTCTGGAAAGAAGGCTGGCTTCCCTGGGATAGGGGAACTCCCAATCCAGCACTTGTTGATTTACTTGCTGAGCGTCAAGATCTCTTCCCAGCTAAGCAAGGACGGAGAAAGGCTTTAGTCCCTGGGTGCGGGAAGGGATATGATGTCTTGCTATTGAGCTCATGGGGATATGACGCCTATGGCCTCGAGGTCTCAAAGAATGCCTTAGAAGTTGCAAAGCAGAACCAGAAGGAGGTGGATGGTAAGGGTGTTTATGAGACGAAGGAAGGTGTGCAGAAGGGAAAGGTCACGTGGTTGTCTGGAGACTTCTTCACGGACGAGTTCTTGAAAGACGTCGAGGGCGAGCCAACTTTCGATTTGATCTATGACTATACCGTACGTTTTCCCCTTCAATATATATACGGCTTTTAATAGGGTTCAGTTCTTGTCCGCGCTTCCACCTTCGATGAGGCCTGCGTGGTCGAAACGCTTCGTGGAGCTTCTTGCGCCGGAAGGACGAGTCGTATGCCTGGAATTCCCCACGTATAAGCCGCCTTCAACTGGTGGACCGCCGTGGGCCCTCCCGCCTAAGATATATATGGCTCACCTGCCTCGACCCGGTGAGAATCTACCATATGCCGAGGACGGCGAGCTCCTGGAATCAGAGCTGGGCCCACCGAGCAAACAAGGTCTCCAGCGTCTTGCGCACTTGAAGCCTAAGAGGACTCATCAAATTGGTTACAGCGATGATGGGAAGGTTACAGATTGGATCAGTGTATGGTCTCACCCAAGTAGCTAGTAACCTCATATCGAGATTGCCTCTGCCATCTCTCCCATCTCTTAAAGTGGTTTAAGGTGCTCTGCGAAGTGAATTGTAATGTTCCCCCAAACCAAATCCATGTCGATAATATGCCAGCCAGATCTTCTTCGGCTCTGACGGCCCATCTGATCCTGGCTCGATTGTTTGCGCGCCTCCATTCTGTAGAACACCAATCTCGACGTTGTATGTTTTCGCTATAGCGAGTAGTTCAAGGTGCCCTCCCCACTCAGCCGTATCCCTAATCTTATGCACGTAATGGTCCAGGGGCTCGTCCAACCAGGCCACAAAGTCATCCGCGTGTTGCTCAATATACCTCGCAGCTGCCTTTCTAACCAAAATATACCGCTGGTCCTCCCTGACTTCTGCACCCGATTCAGTATCGAGAGGTATGCCTGCTTGTGAAAGTTGATCCGCAACTGCAGAGAATAGGCAATGGCCATCTGGTCGAATAAGCTTCTCTGTCAAACCTCGCGCTTCGAATTCTTTTAACATCAGCTCCCTCTCCACGGCCTTTCGATCTGGCTGGTTTGCGGCCTCTTTCTTAGCGGCCTCCACAGCAGCTTCTTGTTCTGCTGCGCGGCGGGCAAGTCGCTCTTTCTGTCGGTTGCGTTTTCGAGGCTGGCCGTTTTCTGATGGTGTTGCTTCAATAGTAGTTTTCTCAAGCGACTCTGTGACATGGTCGACTCCATTAGGCATAGCTATTGCAGGATCTTCGTTCGAGGGTTCATCGAGCGCGGGTACACCATCCACCTCTTGCACAGGTTCTCCGTCAAGGCCGGCTCGTTCTTGCTCCTGCCTTTCCTTCAACTGTCGCTCCAGTTCTTCGCATTCGCTGTTCACTCCCTTTCTGGTCTTTTTTGTTGCGCCCTTTTTCTTCTGTGTTATGCGCGCCTGTAAATCCTTTTGCTCTTTGCGATGCCGAGCCTGCATTTCTTCGAGGGACTCCATGGCCCCAAGGGGTGAGCTTGCTAACGACTCTTTGCCGTGGGCTCCAGCTTCTTGTAGTGCAATATGGTCTGGTCAGTCGTTGCTGCTCAGGAAATGCGCTGTTCCTTCCTTTGAGTTTACGGATTTATTGATCGACTCTGGTCACACGAGGGGTCTATCTTTTCTCGAAATATTTTGGATTGGAGTTTGCTCGATTGACAAACACCATAGCGCGCATCGGTCCAGGTCGGGGTATTATTAGGCTCCAGCTAAATCGAGGCCACCTAGTAGCTATATCGAGGCCACTAACCGAAAGTAGGAATAATGCGATATTTTATAGCGTACACCTATTAGCATCGCGTTGCTATAGTAATTTGTATAGTAACGTATGCCGAGTTAATGTTACCTAGGAATGTAAACATTTAATTAAAACTATTTACCTATACTAAAAAATTAAAGCTATTCCTAACACTACCTATAACGCTCTACTACTACTCTCGTTCTTTACTACTATGTCTATCCCTACCTCTAAAGCCTACGGCCCCGCCCTCTTAGAAGTAACTTACACTAATCTTAATATTACCTTTACTACTGTTTAGGCACATGTAAAGGCTAACAGATACGCCTTCCGTAAATACAGTAAGAAGGCTAATAAAGCCGTCTATTACTGTAATCGTAATAGTAAATACGATCTAAGGGGCAAGAACCCTAACGCCGATCCTAGAAAACAGCGCCTATCTACTAGCTTAAAGAAGTGTAGGTATAAGATAGCTATAGAGCTTTGCCGTAATCACATATCTGGCTATTAGAGTCTTAAGGTACTTAAGGCTATACACAACTACGGCAGATCAGTAGATCCTATAGCCTATCCTACCTACAGGATTACTGTTCTAAAGCTAGAGGCCTGTACTATAGTTAGTACCCTTAGACGCTCTAGGTTAACTAGTGTGCAGATATAGACTACGCTCTATAACAAGGATCTAGAGGTGTTGATTATACTAAAGGATGTGTTAAATATCCTCTAAAAGAGTAGGCTTAAAGAGCTAGATAGTAGGACTCTAATACAGTAGCTTTTAGAGGTAGATCCCCTCTTCTCTATCCTACCTACTCTACTGACTTATATCCTATTATAAGAGCTTTAAAACAACAACTATAACCCTTAATATAATCCTCTCTCTAGTAATATCTGTCGACTGTTCCTTATCTACCCTTTTACGCTCTCCTTATAGAAGTAGTATCTAGATGTTCTACTACTTGATTACACATACAAAACTAACAGATTTAACATGCCGTTACTTAATATCTATAGGATTACTAGGAACAACATAGTATTACAAGTCGTAGTAGTGTTTATATCGAGTAAAAAGGAAGAGGATTATACCTAGGCTATACAACAACTTTAAGAGATTATGCTTAGTAACATGATCTAAGAGCTAAGTGCTATAGTAACTAATAGAGAGTTAGCTCTAATTAGATACTTAAGTACACGGTTCCCTTAATCTTACTACATCTTCTGTCGATAGCACGTTAATACTAATGTCTTAGCCAAAACTAAGAGGTTCTTTCTAGGCCCTATTAGACATAACGATAGTAGAGTAGTTCGCTATCCTGCCTTCTAGGAGTTCCTAAATACATAGAACACACTACTAGCCAGCCCTATAGAGGATGAGTATTATAGAATACTCTAAGAAATGCGTACTAAGTTCCCTAGAGAGGCTATAAGCTATTATAAAGGAACCTGGCTAATCTAGAAAGAGAATCTAGTAGCCTGTTATATTAACAGATCCTACTACTTTAGCGTTACTGTTACTAGTCTAATTAAGGGCTGTTACGCCGGCTTAAAGCGCTATTTACAAAGGGGGCATAAGGATCTAAGGAGGGTCTTTAACAAGCTAGAGTTGTTTTAGAAGGTGTAGTAAAGTAGTATCTAAACGACTATAGCGTAGTAGAAATTACGGCTAAAACACAGTACAAATATCCCTCTTTTTTCTACTATTGTTAAGTTAGTTTATAGCTACGCTCTACAGAAGATATAACAGGAATACGCTAAGCTACTACCTAAGGGGGGGCTACCCCTTAGATGCGCGTGCTCGATTTAACAGTCTATAGGACTACCCTGTTACTACAAGATATAGTAGAGGATAACAGAAAGGGGTGTGATCTTACCAGAAGATATACATCCTTACTAGTTCTTTACTAGGCTAGAGTCAAGTACCTTTCCTCGGTAGCCTATTCCGGCTCTACCGCTCTCTCTGTTAAACCCTGTAGCGATTAGAGGCAGGGGCCGGCTAAGGGGTGCTCTAGGAGGGACGCGTGTAGCGCCTTTAAATACGCGTCGGGATCCTTCTGCTTTTAAGCTACCTTTAAGTACAGCGCCTCCTACGTTTACTCGATCCGGTACATCGTCTAAGTAGCTCTATATAGTACTACCTATAGCTATAACTACTACTCTAGGTCTATAGAGGCTAGCGGATAGGTATATAGATCTGTATAAGCTAGGTACTCGGCTAGAAAGAATGTATATACGGGGTATAGTATCTGTTTATTAGACAGATTCTATAGTAGACTCTACTATAGCTACTACTAACGTGATAGAAGGGGACGTAACAGCGTTAGAGACAGGGGAAACTAAGGACGTTAAAGAAGAGGCGGAGTTTGAGTTTAATAACTAATCTAAGAATAGCTTTATTTTTAAGCCTTATAGAATTAAGAGATAATTGTTTGTTTACATCTTCTTTGCTTACGCTACTATACAAATCACTACTAGGGAGTGAGCGTAACAGATGCATAGCCGAAAACTTCCTAAAAAGGTTAAGGGCCTCGATTTAGCTACTAGGTGGCCTCGATTTAGCTGGAGCCTTATTATTCCCGCTTCTCCCCCCTCCGAGCCCTCCCCTTGTCCAGGCTTTTGCCAGGGCCTGTCAACGATCAAGCTTCAAACTTTCAATACAAGGTTGCGTGCCGATTTGCCGTGCAGGATCATGGCTTGTGTGATGCCAAACAGCCAAAGTTATTACAGCACAACGGCTCGCGCTGCTCTTCAGCAGAAGTGGGAGGGAAGAGGCTCCTCAATCGATTCGCTCGGCCAGACCTGGGGAACAAGTGGAGACCCAGGACGAGTGTCAGGAGCCAGAGATCTTAGCGTTACAGGGCTGCTTCCCGCAATTACTGTTCTTTAATGCTTGTTTGATACTGTAGCTGCTGATCAGCGAACCCGCCTACCTCATTGAGTACCTGGGTAGAGTGGGATCTCGTAAATCTTCTTCCTTTGAACGCCATACTTCTTTGTCGGTGCTTCTCCTTCTTTATAATAGTCTTTTTTCTTGTCCATCTAGCTTCCAAGTCTAGATATTCCACCTGTCTTGCTTTCTTCCCAAAATGATTACGGACAACTCTCGATATATCTAATTATTTCTCTATACCACCCCCGCTTTGCTCCCCGGTATCGCTCACCGCAACAAACCCCAAATTAGCAGAATGGTACCTGATCCAGAAAAGGCAGATCCAGAGGTCAGCCAAAATGTTCCTCAAGATTTGGATGGCCCAGTTCTGCATCCAGGAGTGTCAACAGTCGCGGACGATGAATCGAAGGAGGGGGCAGACGGTGCATCGAAGGATTCCAAATTCTCAGATGATTCAATAGAGCCAGTACCCATGCCAGAAGAGCATCTTCAACGTTCAAAATCAAAGTCATCCTCAGTCCGCACACTCGCTATAGTACCGCGACCACAGCGCAGGGGGTTGCTGGGAATACTATCTATAATCCCAGAGGTTGAACGGCCGTATGATTATGCGGATGGCACGAAATGGCTCATCACTTTCATAGTTGCACTGGCCGCCGCTGCGGCCCCTTTGGGCAGTGCCATCTTCTTTCGTGAGTATTTGATATTCGACTTAGTTAGAGTGGGGAATTAACTCCTCTTGCGTTAAAAACAAAATTACCTAGACCTAGGACGATCGGATGGCTAAGAATTATGGTATAGCTTCGCTTCCTCAAATTGCACGAGACTTCAATACTACAGCGACGATCACGAATCTGTCAGTGGCTATGTACATGCTTAGCATGTCCATCTTCCCTCTCTGGTGGTCATCCTTTTCCGAAACGCTAGGTAGACGGACTATCTATCTGGTCTCCTTCGCCTTGTTTACACTATGGAATATTGTAGCCGCTGTCTCCACCTCGATAGGCATGCTGATTGTTATGCGAATACTTGGGGGCGGAGCAGCTGCTTCTGTTCAAGCTGTAGGTGCAGGTACCATTGCCGACGTCTGGGAATCCAAGGAACGGGGTCGTGCCATGGGAATCTTCTATCTCGGCCCTCTACTTGGCCCCCTGTTGGCCCCAATCATCGGCGGTGCGCTGTCTCAAGCGTGGGGCTGGCGTAGCACTCAATGGTTTCAGGCTATATACGGAGGAGTATTGCTTGTTATATTAATCTTTTGTCTTCCCGAGACTCTTGCAAAACGGGTCTCTGTTGCTCAAACGCAACAGCTAGCAGAGGAAAAGACGGATGGTACACTCAACATGACCAGAACTACAACTCGACAATCCGTTCAGCAAAAGACCAAGAAAGCTACCGCCGTCTTCAAACGCTGTATCATTGACCCTCTGAGTGTCCTTGGCTATCTCCGCTTCCCAGCAGTTCTCACCACGGTTTTCCTCGCCAGCGTCACTTTCGGGTCCCTGTACATGCTCAACATATCAATTCAGAAGACCTTTGCCGAGCCGCCATATAACTTTAAGGTAATCATAGTTGGTCTTATGTATATTCCAAGCTCTCTTGGCTATGTTGTGGCATCTATCTTTGGCGGGAGATGGACAGATGTGATTATGCACCGGAAGGCACGTGCTGCTGGCCGCTATGATGAGTCTGGGAAGTTGATCCTTTTGCCTGAAGACAGAATGGGGGAGAATACCTTGTTGGCAGCCATAATATTTCCGGGTGCCCTGCTTTGGTATGGATGGGCATCGGACAAGGGAGTATTTTGGATTGTTCCATTGATAGCGAATTTCTTCTTCGGCTTAGGAAGCATGATAATTTTTGGGGCTGCAACCACCATGTAGGTATCCCCAGGGCAAAATATGCTCCAGTCCTTTGACGCCCGCTCTTCTGGAGCCAAGACGTTATATCTGGTGCTAACAATTTGGGTGCAGGCTCACGGAGTTCCTTTCCAAGCGCAGCAGTAGTGGAGTGGCGGTAAACAACTTCGTGCGGAATATCTTCAGTTGCGTAGCAGGCGTCGTCGCCCAACCCATCATCAACGCCATCGGTAACGGCTGGCTCTTCACGATCCTAAGCATCGTCGGTTGGATAACGGCCTTCTCGGTCGTGTGGGCAATGAGGACATTCGGACCTCGATGGCGGGCTGACATGACTGAGAAGCTGAAGCATTAATTAATCGTAGTAATGAACGGGTACCTTAGTTAGTTAATCGGTAATAATTGGATAATATCTCTAGTAGTGCATTGCCTGCTACCTACATTCTAAGGGCTTGATTAATAGGTAATGAATGAATGATATTAGACAGGTGTCGGATTTATTTCACTATGTTACTCGTTGAGGTGAAAGCTTTCTATATATAGGGGAAAAGACAATGAAATTGAAGTAGGTAGGTTGGTTCGTAGATTCCTTAATGTGAATAGGTATCTTTATACAACACACCTAGAGATCTATAAATAGAAAAGAAAGATGGAAGAAGAAATTTCATTGTCTGAAAGAAGGAGTTGGAAAGGGGGGAGCTAACAGGGAGCCATAGAAAAAAAGGGGGGGAGGGAAGGGGGATTATGCGCGAGTATAACCAACCACCCAGTTTCCAAAAATGATCCGCAGGACAAAGCAAAAATAAATCGCAGATGGGGGCTTTTAAGATTATGAAATCAGAGGTAAGTTAAGGTAGTTATATGATTTCCTGACTTGGTTTAAGTTCTTTGTCTTGATTTCTTGATTTTTGATATTATCTTGTCACATGAGGTATTATCCAAGCCTTTTCAGAATCAACAATTGTTCATGTTCATTATTCTCGCTCTCGCTCTTCTAAATGCTCAAAAAAAGATAGATGGCACACACACATCAAATCAAAGCTTCGCTCTCATCTCAGTCGCTTTATGTAGGTCCGCACCCTTCTCCTTAAAATACGACATGATCTTCTCCCTCGCGACGTCGACGACGTGCGGATCCTCGACGGTGGCGGGGACCTGAACGGGCTTGGCGAAGTCGGCGTGCACGGCGTTCTCGAGCAGCTCGCGCAGCACGCGGCGCAGCGTCTTGCCGGACCGCGTCTTGGGGATCATGCCTTTGCCTTGGATCATGCCGCCGAGGGACGCGATGGCGCCGATCTGCGTGCGTACGAGATGCTGTACTTCGGCGAAGAACTGGGAAGAGGGGATGGCGGAGGGCGGGTGGTTGGCGGTGGAGAGGGTGACGAAGGCGAAGGGGAGGTGGCCTTTGAGGGCTGTGTGGAGGGGGGAGGGAGGTTAGTCATTGGTCTGGTGAAGGCTGGAGATGGAGAAATTCCTCTGGGGACCCTTACCGTCAGGGATGCCTACTACGCAGCATTCTGCGATTTGCGGGTGGGAAGAAATGGCCTGCTCGATTGCGCCTGCGTAGATATTTGGTTAGTATAAGAGATAAAATGTATCTTTGGATGGAACTTACCAGTGCTGAATCTATGGGCAGCCACATTGATAATGTCGTCAGATCTGGACATGATGGAGATGTAGCCCTCCTCATCAATCATGCCTGAATCTCCAGTATCTATCCATCGGCCGCGGAATCTCTTCATATAACCGTTGTAGAATCTCTCCTCGTCATGCCACAGAGTTCGGAAGCCCGTGGGTGCCAATGGTATGGCTAGGACGATGTTACCCATGCTACCCCTCTTGACCTCGTTCCCCGAATCATCCACTACCCGCACATCGAAACCGGGCATAGCCTTTCCAGCACTTCCCGGCTTGATGGCCAGGGTCTTGGCCCCCCTGATTGTTGTCTTGCGGTCCTTTCCAGCATGAGGAACCAAGGCGATTCCAGATATAGGCGACCCAGATTCGGAAGACCACCAATTATCAATGACATTGGCCCCGTCTGCCGCATATTCCCTAAGGAGTTCTTGATACATGGTGACAATACTCGGCTCTGATCGTTCGCCGGCCAAGAAGAGTGCCCTGAGACTTTTTAGCCCCCCACGTGCACCGACCTGCTTAAACATTTTGTTGTCTGGATCATCCCGCCGGATTGCCCTCAGGGCTGTCGGCGCAGTAGACAATGTGTTGACCTTGTACTCTTCGATGATGCGCCAGAAGGTGCTTGCGTTTGGTGTACCTACAGGTTTTCCTTCGAACAGGACAGTCGCAGCCCCAGCCAGCAAAGGTGCATATACGATATATGAATGGCCAACCACCCATCCGATATCTGATGTACAGAACATAACGTCGCCTGGACCACGAATGCCAAAGAGATAGCTGATGGACAGATTAAGTCCAACTGCATGACCACCAGCCTCTCGTAAAACTCCCTTTGGCAATCCGGTGGTTCCTGAGGTGTAGATAATGTAGACTGGATCGCTGGACTTGACAGGTACGCAATCGGCTTTCAACCCTCTGGCAGTGGCGCTTTTGACCAGGCGCTGCCAGTTTCTTTCGCCATTCGCCTTATCGACAGCGTCCCAGCGCAACTGCTCGCGTTGCCAAATAATGGTCTTCTTTGGCTTGTGGGTTGACAGACTGATAGCTTCCGTAATGAAGGATTTGTATGGGATGGGGGGTTTTGAGCCGTCAATCCCACACGAAGCTGTGAGAATGGCAACTGGCTTTGAGGCCTCGATACGTTGGGCCAGGGAAACTGAAGCGAATCCGCCAAATACTACCGCATGTATAGCACCGAGTCGGGAGATGGCGAGCATAGCGATGAGAGCTGCGGGGATCATGGGCACTGGAGGAAAAGCGTCAGCATAATGCCCCACTGTAAGAGGCCTGACCTACTGTAAATGATCACCACATCTCCTTTCTTGACTCCCTCCTCCCTCAAAACGCCAGCAAATGTTTCCACCTCGCTCAACAGCTTCTTATATGTGTATCTCTCCTTTGTGTTTGTCACAGGGCTATCCCATATGATGGCATCCTGGTCTCCATGACCCGCCAAGACATGTCTGTCCACGCAGTTATAACATGTCGAGATTTCACCACCTGGGAACCATTCCCAGTGATCATGGGTAACCCCCGATTTCAATGATTTGGTGGTTCTTGAGAGTGCCTTGCTGGGCTTCTGGTGCCAGTGGAGGTGAGACGCCTGTTGCGTCCAGAACGATTCGGGGTCGGTGAGGGAATGATGCTGGACTTCGTCTTGAAGATGGGGAGCCATCTTGAGGTAGGTATGTTCTAAGGCGCTTGTGGGTGAGTGTGTGTATTGGTACACCTCTTGTGCCTCCCGGGAGGTATTACCACGGAAGCTCTCTCGTTCAAGTTATATGCCAATAGGGTTTCCGCGTTCAATAACCGTTTGTACCTCGGGTAAGTCACCCCGCACAGGATTGGAATGCCTAGCCAATGTAACGCTTAAGACGACGCTGCTCTCAATATGCAAGGCTGAACACAACAGTAGCGCAGAAGGGTATAGAAAGATCCGATGAAGAAAACCAATTCAGCCGGAATCTGGGCTTTAAATAGGATATGGACAGGATGATTGCATTAACCGTTTGGAAGCCGAATGATTCCATGAGAGCTTTGTTATTTGGCCTCTGGGGTTGGTGCAGACCAGTGACGATTGGAGGCCGCCCCCGCATTTCCTCGGTTGAAGCTCCACAGTCGACCCCAACCTCCAGTTCTCCGGATTATTCGTACCCGAACTCCGGCCGAAAGTTTCCTAGCCCCTTTTCGGACTTGTGGATCGGGATCCGGTGACATCGAGGCCGGGATTTCACCTCCGGACAAACCATTGTTGCTGCGTATGCCTGCGACGTAGTCCATCTATTAGCAATGTGAAACGTATATTAAGTTGCTGGTGATAGCGTTTTCGGGCCTCGTCGATATCCATCTGTTTCCTTCTCAGACCCCGCAAATGGTTTCGTACGGGAGGCTGCCGAACAGGCCTGGCGCCCCGGAGTGATCCCGGATTAAATATTTTGCGACCCGGTGACAGCGTTCTATCAGGGAAATCGGCTCTGATCGTTCACCGAATGACGTAAAGTCTGCTTCTCAGCGGCGACGAACGATTGAGGAGGTGTCCAGTATCTTCTTACCTTATCTATCTCGCTGTAAGGAAAAGCAATGATTTCATTCCACGGTATCTACCTTATCATCCAGACAGTGGCGGTGCCGTGAAATGGCCACATGAATAAGCTAAGCTCGATTGAAGTTAGTCAATAGCTAGAAATAAGGTAAGGTAAGGCACGACAGGTACCTGACCTTCCCGTAGGGCTGGGTAGACTACCTACCTCGCAGAGTGATCCTTTCCATTTAACAACCTCGTCCCTTATTCTTTTTCCCTTCTCGGCCCTCACTCTTGTGACTCTGCAAAGCCTCCGCTTTGTCATTCTGGATTGACTTCCTTTGAAGATGCGGGTCAGCATTATTGTGCATGCCAAAAGTCTGCTAGGAAAATACTGGAGAATGATGGATGATGGACTCCAACCCTCTCTGCTAAAGCCAAATAACAGAGAGAATCCCATGGAGAAGCTTCTAGACAGGGCATCGAATTCTACGAGCGCAGGGATTCGATGACCATGGAGGAAAGGACAAACAAGAGGGAGGACATGGATCTCATAAGGTCAACGGTAATAGTTCAGCAGAGCCAAGAACTCGGTCAACTGAAGAGTATATTCCAAGGGCTAGAAGGGAATGTCAAGGCATCAGCTGCTCGCATTGCACGACTTCTCATTGCTCAAAGTCTTCTATATGGAGTACGACGTTCTGATCAACCAGGTCATCACAACACGAGGACGGTAGCTACAGGACTGAAAAGGATTTTGAAACTTATCGGTACTTCTCTCGCAGACCGTCCGCAATGGGTTGCAGAACACTGCTCGAGCGATCTGTATTATCCAAGATGATTGGGGTCCGAGTAGTGGGGAACTACCATGGACTTCAAATCAGACAGCTAAGCCAACCCACAACTATCCAATCGCTATGCGGTTGGCAATGGTTTCAGAATGCCCTTGGCATACCAAGAATCGAGTCGACGCGTATACGTTTGGGCAGCGAGTCAACTTGCCTTTGACTCTGACGAAGAGGTATTCTCTAAACTCGAGTCCTGAGAGCTGTCGAGGCAGTCGGATCCGCTCATAGAATACCGTGGAGAAGAGATATTTCAAGGTCTAGTCTTTCAGCTTAGTGCTAATTTGGATTCTCTTCAGTCAGTATAATTATAGTATGGTGTCGCAAGCTTTTGCTCCGGTCCGAGACATGTAGCTCCCCAACTATTTTCCGATCGGCGGTTGTGATGTCTCGGAAACTACCATGAAGACTGGAAGGAATGGTATTGAAGCTGAGTAAGAGGTGAAGAAGAGTAGAAAGGGGATACGCGACTCTGCGAGACGGATTCGAATGGCGGGGGTTCAATATGCGGAGGGGTTGGAGAATCGAAAGGGGTCACGAGGCTCGCGCAGGAAGAACAACAACAACAACCTGAACTATCAGATGCTAGTAGCGACGACCACTGAGAGGCCAGGCCCCTCGTTATATCGGAAGGGATTTTGTTATTATTTATTGGGAGTGGCAATAACAAAGTGAAAAATCTATTGTTAGAACAGGCGGGTGAAAAGCGCCGAACGGACGGAAGAGCCGAGATCTCTAATTTCTGGCTCTCGCAGTAGTCGGGCGACCAGATTCATAGTAGTGGACGGTAGAGCAGCAGCTGGGAAATTGCATGAGATCCACTCGCCGGCCACATGGGGAAATTATCGACTCCACCGCCAAATCCCGATGTTCTTGCTAGTCGGGAGATCAACGGCCTTGCGAATCCCTTGCGAATCGAATCTACCTCCGTATGGACCCGTAGAAACCTGCTAGGCTGCTGGGGGAAGAGAGAAGAGTCCAGGCTGTCAGCATCGATCCTATTGAAGAGCATCCAGACTCCAGACTCCAGAGGGATAAGATCATGGATCATGGATCATGGATCATGGCGGTTAGATACTCTGAACAGAGTAGGGAATATGCCTGGTAAGGTTGCAGCTAGTGGTGGGATTACTGTTACGCTCGAGTCGCCTGAGCCGGTTTCCAAGTCCCAACTCTTGTATCGTTGCGCTGTACCGTGTCTTGCCTCGAGAGAAACATCTTCTGTCTGGTCGAAGGAAGGATCAGCAATGTGCCAAGGGAAGAAAATGCGTGGCGGGTGCGCCTTTCGAGTCCTGGGCGCGTGAGTCGCTGGTCATTCGCCCGAATGGCAGGATGAGGAGGGCATGACAGCTGCTTCTGGGGGTGTATACGGGCATTGGGATTATGGGGGAAGATGCTGACCCATGTCATATACGAGAAACGTTGCAGAGAGGGACGGGTAAGGTTCACTTATCGCTTCGTATCTTCATGCGCCGTCGATACGTATTATTCTGTACCGTGTCTATCCTCTATACGGAAACAAAGAAGCGTGGTCTAGGCCAAGGAATCACGAGAGGAGCGATAGGAGATACGGAGTAGATCCCTTGGATTGGAACTTGGCATCGAACGGCTGAGGTGTTTAATGAGGGACGGCAAGCCGCCTTGGAAACTGGATATTGGGTTGGAGGCCTTAGGCACTCACTCTGGTCCCCGCGCTCCTTCGCTGTCCCCCCCTCAGGTCCCTATGGCTCCGGGCAGTGCAGAGCTACATACAAAGACGCAGCGCAGCGGTGGTCATCAATGCGTAGGTAAAGGTTTAACTTCCCCTCCCCATCCCGATCAGCATGCGATTCATGCCGCATCGTAGCCCCGCCATCCAGCGCGGACGCAGAACTGCCCGACCGTCGCAGCCATACACGGGAGTCCAGTATCAATAAGTCCCCTGTACGGCGGACAATGCACCCTTAGACGCAGAGACCCCTTCTACGGAGCCCGCCGTCAATCTGCGGTCCTGCACCCTGTGGCCCCCCCCTCTCCGTACTATTGACAGGGCCGTGCCTCGTCCAATCGCCGCTTGCCCTCGCCTGCCTTCGCTTATTCCCCCCCTCTGGCCCTCTCTTGCCTTTCCTGGCCCCACCCCCGGTCACGCTAGTCCTAGTCGGGCCGTACCTGAGTAAGCTCCACGCTAAATCCTGCGTCCTCGTGTTGCCGCCGTATAAAGAACTTCTCGCCCCGTCCCATCTCCATCTTCTTCCTTCCTCACCCACACTCTCGTTCTGCCATCCCACGCCGACCGACTTTTTAGTCACTTACATTCGTTCATCACGAAAGTCAAATCAATCCAGATACCCCAGTCCTCTCTCACACGTTCAGTTACTTTAAAGTAATTAATACCAAACAACACCGTCAAGATGCAATTCAAGATCGCCTCCGTCCTCGCTCTTGCAGCCTCCGTCTCTGCCTTCAGCAATGTCACCTACACCACCGAGGTCGTCACTGCTTTGACCACCGTCTGCCCCGAGGCCACTCAGTTGACCTACAACGGCCAGACCTACACCATCACTGAGGTAAGAGACCTATAACGGGTTGGGGGTGCAAATGCGATCGCGCAACGCGATGGGTTGTGGCCGAGCCAATCTTCCTGTCACGTCGAGATCTCTTATCCGCCACATTTCCCTCGTGAAGTTGCAAGCTAACGTAACTAACAGTCCACCACTCTGACCATCACCAACTGCCCCTGCACCATCAGCAAGCCAGTCTACACCACCAGCTCAGTGTACTGCAACACCTGGTATTAACCCCGATGCGAGAACACTGTCTTAAGCTAATTGGTCACAGCGCTGTCCCAACCTCTGCCCCTGCTGCCCCTGTCTACGTTAACAGCACCACCCCCGCTGTTCCCGCTGCCCCATCCACCTCCGCCCCTGCTGGAACCATCAGCGCCACCGTCAAGCCCTCCCCCTCCGCCTCCGCCTCCATCGTCCCAGCTTCCGGTGCCAACAAGGTCGCCATGTCCGGTGCTGGCCTTGCTGGTCTCCTCGGTCTCGCTGCTTTCCTCCTCTAAGCGGATCACCTCCTGTCGCGAATCCGATAAGTCACGAACGTACGATTTCTCCCTTTGCAGTACTCGGTAATTCATGACGACGGAAAAGCGGTTGGGTAGTGAAGCGGGAGTGGGAGGTCTTTGGGGTTAATAATGGTGTTTTTGCATTGGTCTCTGGGGTCTTTAATTTGACGACATGGCCACGCTTGCAGCGTCGGATCCTTTTGTTATTGCTTGTGTGGTCTCGAGAGTGTCGGACAGGCACGAGGATTCTATTTCCCGCAGGTGTGTGGTCATTTCAGGTGTCTCGAGACATCAAGGTGTTCCTAATCATTTAATTTCTTCGCTTTGGCCGATCCTCCAGCTTTCGGGACGGGAGAAGACGCGCGAGCCTGGTCAATACAACACTTGTTCCACCTGAAACCGTTTGCTTCTTGCTTCCCTTGGATCTTCGCTTCACAGATGACAGGATTTCTACCTTAATGACTTTCTTACGCTGGGTGTGTTTATTGGGATTCGTCAAGACCACGGTGCATGCGCCTGTTCTATGTACAGTAGATATTGAAGACGGCAAGCATTGCTCGGGTCCCAAGTTTTGGCCCAGCACCCTTCTACCTAATAAGGCCTTGGTGGTTATTGAACGTGACAGGGTCGTCGTCCCTGATGTGTCTTGGGCGATACCCCAGATTCAGGGACCAAACTTCCACCTCCACTCCTCAAACCGTCAACAATGCAGCAAGAGATCATAGCCTTTGGCTCCTGGAGTAATTATCCCGGCCGTTTGAAGGTCTGCCTGGTGCTATTCTGCACTCCTGGGTATGTCGTGTGGCGAAGGACGGCTGGACCGTTGGCTAGCACAGCGCAATCGGGATAGCAAACACCTCACCCGAGTCCAGACTCCAAGTCCGCACACTGAGTGGTAGTTCGAACTCTTGTAAGCGCGTCGGATGTGAAAAGCTCAACAGCATGCCTGCAGTATAAAGTACATACATAGGGGTTGGGAAAGCTTGGAAAAGCTGGAGTCAGCACCACACAAGTCAAGCGGTCCTCACAACACACCACAACATCCAGAAGGTGAGGTGTCCCGTGTACCTGTGCCGCCCCTGAAAAAAGTGGGAAATGAGCAGGACGCTAGCCCAGGGCTTGGCCGGGCTCTAGTGCAGGGGTACCGCCCCCCGGCCCCAACGATATTCCTTGGGCCCGGGCAATATCTTACGACTCCCACCTTTCCCATCCGGGTAGTAATTTTAAATTACGAGACTTTATTTTTAGATTTTGGGGTTTTACGTGGATATTTACGTATTTTACGTAGCTTAGGTAAGGTAAGCTTATTTGATGGAATTAGGTGGAGGAGGAGGAGCGTCGTGCTTTTGTTTCTGGCCTTGCGCTCAGTCAGAGCTGGGATGATTGCAGTGTCTGCCTCTTGGGGTCTGGCCCTGATCTACCAAGTTGCAGGTAACATGCAGTGTCTAGACCCGTGACCTGCGTCACTAGGTACCCCAGATATCTGTACCTAGGGGTACGGATCATACACACACACTCTCTCTCAGAAAGCCCTACGACATCTCAACCAATCCTTGCGAATGATCATTCCATTCTCTCCCTCTCTTTTTTTCTTCCTCCCTTCTTCCTTCCTTCCCTTCTTCTTTCTCTCTTCCCTTCCCTTCCCTCCCCATCATCCAACCCCTCCCCCCCAATTCTCTCCCTCCCCTCATCTCAACCGTCCATCCATCTAGAAGCTTTCTACCGATCGATCGATACATAGAGAGGATTCAATTCTCTAATAAGACATGCATGTCATGTATGCTGGGTGCAGGCGGGCGTCCGTCAGACAGAATGAGCGACGGAGATCCGATGCATAGTTTGAGACGAGAGGGGCTTGCTTGCTTGCTTGCTTTGCTTGGGGATGAGGTGGGGAGGTGGGTTGGGGGGTTAGGGATTGGATAATGAGGGGATGAGGGGATGATGGGGGATGGTGGGGTTATATAAGGTAGGTGGGGCACACATTCAAAAAGTCCCAGTTGACGGGTTTCTATGATGGTTCTGGAAGATGGGGGTCAAGTTCTCCTCGAGCATTGGGGCACCACGAGGGAATTCAGGATTGGCGATTGCAAACGTGGGTCATATCCGAGATTCTAGGTTTGCTCTCTATTCATGATCGGGTTTCTATTTCTAACACTCATCACTGGCGGGGAAAATCCGCAGCCCGTGATGCTGTATGCCTCCCCATTCAGAGAACGACCTCGAATCACGCAGCAAACGAAGCTGGGTGTTTCCAAGAACTTGCTCCACCGTCCACCAACAAATCCTGCCCCGTGTACCATCCACTTGCCCGACTACACAAGAACAGCATCGCGCCCTTCAACTCGTCGGGGTATCCAATCCTCTTGAACAGCGTCTCCTTCTCAAACTGCGACACGAGCTCTGGCTGCTTAACCTGCAGACCACGCATCATATCCGTCATCATGTAGCCGGGCGAGAGCGAGTTGACCCGGATGCCATACTGGGCGAGTTCCATCGCTAACGGCTTCACGAGGCCACGCACTGCGGCCTTCGAGGCGGCGTAGCACGATATATTCTGCACCGTGGTCGAGATGTGCGTCGCGATGCTGCCGATGAACACGATGTTCCCGATGCTGGTATCGTGCCCGATGGGGGGGACACTGTCCATCTGCTTTCGTCGCCGGACCATGGAGTTCGCGCACGCCTGCGCTACTAGGAAGGAGCCTGTGAACTGTGGGTGTGTTAGGCCGGTTTCTCGGGAAAGGAACATCCATTCAAAGGGATCCTCACGTTCACGCCGAAGGTTCTTTCGATATTTGAATCGGAAGTGGTCAAAAATGGTTCATCCGTAACGACACCGGCTGCATTGACACTAGGAAACGATCAGTAACCCGCCCCAAGGCCCGGCTTCAAATTGGAGAGACATACTTGATGTGGATTGCTCCGAATTCCTTCTCAATTGTCTCAATTGCCTGGTTGACCGCCTGTCGGTTTGTGACGTCGACCTTTTGGTAGGAGACCTTCACATTGTGGTCGGTCCCGATCTTGTATAGAGCCTCTTCGGGTTGGATGACATCGAGGACTGCAATGTTGGCGCCGGCTTCACCCAAAATCTGGGCGAACGCGAGACCAAGGCCACGAGCTGCTCCTGTGAGGACGGCAGTCTGACCTTTCAACGAGAACTGGCTTGTTGTCAGAACGGGACCACATGAGAAGTATGCGAGGTGCGTACTTGATCCATTGAGAGAAATGTGTCGGTCACCAAGACTAGTTTACAAGAGAGGATGGAGATGGAGAGGAAGTAAGATAGGTGAGGATGCGAGGCGGCCCTCCGCAGTATTTCTCATCCATCCCCCACGTTATCCAGTGAAGAGGATCTATCCTTCGGAATGAGTGTATCGACTCCGATTCCTGACCCGGAGGCCCAGTTGCACCCACCCCACCCCCGCTTTTCTCTTATCTAGCGTTTATCAATTTAGACGTTCAGCCTTTTTGCAGAACCCCTGACATCAGGGTTCCCCCGCTGACGACCCCACCAAGGGTCAACAGCCTTTTTGTGTACTGTTCGCATCGTTGTAGAAAGATCAATTGTTCATTGTACAACATCTTTCATTCTCTGAATCTGATAGTATCACTCACTCTCATATTCACACTCTCATATCCAACATCATGTCGAACCAATTCGTCTGCCGCTGGGCATTTCTAAGCTGCTCCTCGATTGCGTCCGTCTTCCTCCCCGATATCATACTCCCACGGGATGCTTCAGAACCGATCAAGCACGAGATTGTTGCCGTCTCGACGACTGGCTCCGATGAGAGAGTCAAGAACTGGTTGGCAGAGCACAAGGTTTCCAATGCCGCATCTGTGAAGATCTACAACTCTTGGGAGGAGATGCTTAAGACCGGGGACTTCGACGTCGTATACATCTCGACACCACACCCACTTCATTACGAGCATATCCGTGTTGCGCTCAACAACAAGCGGAACGTTCTCGTTGAGAAGCCAGCCACCATGAACAGCAAGCAATACGAGGTTCTCTCCAAGCTCGCCAAGGAGAAGAATGTGGTGTTGATGGAGGCCATGTGGACGCGCTACCTCCCGGCGATGCAATACCTGCAAAAGGAGCTCCTGCCCAAGATCGGCCCCGTCAGACGCGTCTATGCTGAGTTCTCCTTCCCAATCTACTCCACGGATATGCCGGCTTCGTCGCGATTCCTGGACAAGAAAGCCGGCGCGGGTTCCCTGCTCGATATGGGAGTCTACGCCCTGACGTGGGTGGACGTTGCGCTCAACTCGCTGCCGGACGAGCACGCATCCACCAAGGTCATCCACGCCAACTCGATGCCCATCAGGGGCGTCGAGGGTAAAGTGGATGACATGAACACCGTCATCATCGCGAAGGAGAAGGCGGGCGAGCAGATGGCCGTGGCTATCGTCACCACCAGCATGACGATGCCCGGGTCGAACAAGCCGTCCTTCTACCACCGCTTCGAGGCGAAGAAGGCCGCGCCGTGCGTCCGGATCGAGGGGGAGAAGGCGTCGATCGCGGTCCCCTTCCCGCCGATCCGGCCACAGAAGTTTGAGGTGCAGTGGTACGGCCACGAGTTCCTGGACAGCGAGGGCCTGGAGGTGAACGAGGTCATTGAGAAGCCGGTTGAGCGCGGCTGGGGCATCTGGTACCAGGCGGACGTCATCGCGAAGAGAGTCGCGGCGAGACAGAAGGATGGCAATGCTACGGTGGGTGAGGTGATTGGGGAGGAAGAGAGTCTCCGTGTCTTGAGGTACATGGATGAGGCGAGGAAGATGAGTGGGATTGAGTACGATCCTAAATTGGAGGAGATATAGATTGTATTTGTTGATATGAAACCTACCCAATAGACTACTTTTCCATCGAGTGCTAAGAATCTCCCCTTTTTTCTCAGATGAGAACAATTGGCCCGCCTTCTTTCTTCATAACGACCCGTACCAGTCTCTTATCACATTTTTCAAGTCCTCGACCATACCACAAGTCACATTTCCTCCGTACCTCCAGCGCTCCGTCGGCTAACCTCCCTATCTAGAGTCTAGCACATATGTCGCCAACGGTCGGCCCCCTTACAGAATCTGATGGTTATACTTATAGCCGCTATAACCCCGTACGCTTGAGGAAGCGGCCTCCGCCTCCGCATCCCGCACCTCCACACCGCAATAAGAAACCCCTCCTCCGCAGCGCAAAACCAGCGAGCGGCAGCGGGATACGGACGTAGAAGATGTGGTTTAACCGTTTAAGCGTCGGGGGTGGACTGCTAAACGGTTAATCGGGTAAAATCCCCCCTCCAGTCTCCAGGTCTCCAGCCCTCTCCACGCTCCACAAAATCCCAAAATGCAACTAGGGCCCCTCCCCCATTCTCTCCCCCATTTTCTTCCCCCCAATTCGCTTCCCCAGATCGAGAAGTGTGCTCGCTATTCCTATGGTATGGCGCCAGTCAAGAAAAAACGCCATGGGGGAGGAGAAAGGTTGGCCAGTATCAGATGCTCGGTTGGCTGGTTGACTACCAGCTGCCCGGCAGATCGCTGCTCTGTTTAAGGAGAATGATCCCTCCCTCTGTTGTGCCCCAGGAAGTATAGATAAGATTTCTCTCTGCTCTCTGCTCTTCGCTCTTTTTCCTTCTTTCTTTCTTCATCCTTCGTTCAATTGACAAGCTCGAAAGAGATTTAATTGTCTCCCAGAAGGTATCTTCTCTTTTTCCCTCGTGCTCTTTGTACTACGCCTACGCCCAGTATGGCGATTCAGATATGGCGACACATTCCCGGGAAGGGACTTCTGCTGCTCCTGAACTTCTTCTCGGCTGTTGCGTTGATCTATGAAGGTTATAATCAGGGTGTCCTCGGGACCGTCAGTACAACTCCTGGATTCATCGATATGGCGAAAATCGGCTCCAATGGAAAGGTTACAGACAGCACCAAGCAAGGGTAAGTTGAGCAGATTGTTCTGTCGAGGAAAGATTGGTGCTGACTGCCTTGCGATAGTGGACTTGCAGCCGTCTACTATTTTGGTTCGATCTTTGGCTGCTTCACTGGCGGCTGGTTTGCCGACAAATTTGGTCGTAAGAGAGGCGTCTTCGTCGGCTCTACCCTATGTATCATAGGAGCCGCCTTGATGTGTGGCAGTCAGAACGCAAATATGTTCATTTGTGCTCGTGTCATTGCAGGTCTTGGGATTGGTTTCATTAACGTTATCATCCCTCCCTGGGTGTCTGAGTTATCCCAAGCTCATGACCGTGGTGCGAGCTTCTCACTCGTGTTCTCCGCCAACTGTAAGAGATTCCCCTGACGTATCCGAAATTGGGAAGATTGCTGACTCGTATTTAGACGGTGGTATTGCTATCGCCTACTGGGTTAACTTTGGCATTCGGAATACTCCCATCGAGTTCAGATGGCGGTTCCCCCTCGGCCTCATGGCCGTGTCAGTACAATCCGTTCTTTTACCAAAAGATCCCCGCTAAACTTTGAACAGGCCCGTACTCATCATTTTCGTCGTCATTACCTTCCTACCCGACTCTCCCAGATGGCTTATGGCAAATGGCCGGGAAGATGAAGCCGTCGAGGTTCTGTGCAAAGTCCGAGGCGATCTTGCTCCCAACGACCCGAAAGTAATGAATGAGGTGGCGCAGCTCAAAGCGGTTGTCGAAGCAGGATTCCACAAGCGAAACGACATTTGGAATATGGCTATCGGTCGCTATTCAGGCCGTCTGCATCTCGGTCGTCGTGTCTGGTTGGGGTTCTGGCTCCAGGAGATCCAGCAGTGGACTGGTATTTTGGCCATCGCTTCATGGGCTGGGACCTTGTTTTCTTTTGCAGGTTTCGATGCGTATAAGTCGGCGTGGTTGGCAGGTCTCGTCAACACCGTTGGTGTCATCGGTACAGTGTCTTCAGTAGGTACCCGTTGGATATAACTGCCGCCAACTGCAACTGACAAAGACTTTTAGTCCCTCGTCATCGATCGTCTTGGACGGGTTCGGAGTCTGTTGATCTCGTTCATTGCCCAGGGCATCTCTCTCTTCATGGTGGCCGCATTCATCCGAACTGCAGAGATTACATCCGACCCGGAACGGTCTAGGAGATTAGGTGTCGGCGCGGCATGCATGGTCTTCATCTTCCTGTTCCTCTTCACCCTGTTCAACATCATCCCCTGCTGGCTTTACGGGTCCGAGATCCAGCCGCAAGAGGTGCGCGCCCGCGGATACTCCTTCACGATCCTGGGCTGGGCTGTCGGCTGCGGCATGAACACCTTCGTCATCCCCATCATGCTGAACCGCCTCGGCTGGAAGACCTTCATCATCTTCGGCGTCTTCAACATCCTCGCCCTCCCCGTCATCTACTTCCTCTACCCCGAGGTGGCCGGCCGAAGCCTCGAGGAGATCAACCTGCTCTTCACATCCAACTCGCTCCTCGCCCAGAAGAACGTCGCTCGCTACCACCGTCTGATCGACGAGGCCGGCGGCAACGTCGCCGTCGCCGCGCGTCGTTTCTTAGATAGCGTCGATGCAGAGTACAACCAGTCCCTCGAAACCGGCGTCATCGTCGAGGAGGAAGAGGGGAAGACAGACTCCGGCCACGTGGAAGAGAAATCCGCTAGCTCGTTCGAAGCGAGTAATCTTCGTGCGGAAAGGTTGAAAAGATGAATGAATTATCATCACGGATTGCAGATGATGGATGATGGATGGATGCTAGATGATATTATAATTTAGCCAGGTTTCAGAACTTCGTGGAAAAGTTACTGGAAAACGGGAATAATCAATCTCCTTATACCCCATACATAGCATTGTAGTAGAAAAACCTACCTACAATCTAAAACCTTATATCAATACAGCTTGTCCTTATTAATCAGTGTTGGAACTACCTACCTACCTATACCTACAGGTAACTTCACACACATACACACACATAACACTCAAAAATCTCTTCATATATTTTCCTCTCATCTCATCTCATCTCATCTCATCTCCCTATCTCCCTATCTCTCTCTCTCTACATACATACATACATACCTAAGTACATACATAAAATTACACCATTAGCAATAACAATAGCAAATGGGGGGGTATTCCTCGCACAATAATACAACACAATACAAGATAAGATAAGAAGCGAAAAGAAAGAAAAAAGATAGGTTACCATACATACATAACATAACAACCAGAAAATTTTTCCCTTCTTGGGTATATATAGATATTTAGATGACAAATGAAACGTTTGTTGGGCGTTTGTTGGACAGGTGGGAGATATTCAAATGAATGAGAGAATGGCCACCTCTTAAATGTATGTTATACATATATACTCTTTGTCAAAAAAAAAACTCCGACTCCGAAAACAAAAATTACGAGATCGAGCTTCTCGCCGATTTCTTCGTATAGTAAAACGCCTGTTGACCGACCTTGTACCGTGCCTGCCTCCTTCCTATAGATATATATGTAACGCGCCTTTTTTTAACAAAGGGCAGAATTAGAAACCACGGAAGGGATCCTGGCCGTAGCTGCTGTCGAAATGGCCGTATTCTTCCTCGCCTGCCGTTCTGCTCCCGCCGTAGAAATCATCACTTGGTCTGGACGACCGGCCGGAGTAATAGCTATCGCGGTTTCGGCTTCTTCTTCTTCTGTGTTCTCTGCTTCGCCTCCTGTGGGTGCCGACTATGTCCATTTCATCCATCTCGTCTGGGAAATCATTGAAGCGTGACAGGGCCATTGGGGCGATAAACGCTTCCATCCTCATCGTTCCAACGGCGTCGAAGAAATTATTGACCACGGCTCCCGGACGACTCGAGGCTTCCGAGGTGCGGATTGATGAGGGCCCGCTAGCGCTTAGCCTATTGTATCCTGCAACAGAGCTTGAAGCCTGTGTTGATGCCTGCGTCTGATAGATGTCCGAGGATCCGTTAGTTCCAACACTTAGGCCGGCAATGCTGGAAGTCGTTGCATGACCACTACTACTACCTCCTACTCCTCCAACGGGGCCAGAGAAGCCACGGAAGGAAAGGGGCGGTGGGATTCGGGAGCCTGTATTGCTGCGTTTTCGCCCATGGCTGGGAGGTAGTCCTTGGTAACCTCGATCCGTGAACCGTGGCACAATAGGCGGGTCTGCTGCGCGTTCTGGTTGTGAGCTATAGAATGATTCGGCATCCGGGAGGCTCAGGTCGCCTTGTTGGGATGAATGCACGCTAGTGGGCCCTGAGCGGGCAGCCACTGTCTTGCCTTTGGCCACGCGGATGGAATCGCGGATGGGCTTCTTGCGGAAGTGACCATTTTGGCGGGGAACCTCGAAGTCGGGAACGTTAGGTTTGGGGATCGGGAGAGGGGCCGCAACGATCTCGGGAACGGCTTGGGAAGAGTGAGCAAGGAAGGAGAGGGCGTTGAGCCATATGTAATGCCGCTCAGGTGAGACGGCGGTAAATTTGAGCGCACGTGCTGGCGTTAGGATCAGGATTGATCGGTTAAAGATTGAAGGTGTCCCTTTGGGAGGTGGGTTATCGTCTTTGACATCTAGGACGGACTGGATGGTCACTGTTGAAGTTAGTATTGAAACGAATCCAAGGAGTAGAAAGAACTTACATTTTCGACCGCTCTTGCCTAGAAGGGCTGACTCGGATGTTGGCTGTTTGCTACTCCACATCACAGCTCGCTCATAAGGTGCAAGCCAGACCCAGCGTTTATGACGAACTCCATTCGCGTTTTCTCCATCAGCACCATTCGATTCTGGAACGCCGAATGATTTGCGTCTTCTGACATATTTGAACATCCATTCTCCAACCATGGTCTGTGCAATGGCATCGACAACACTTGTACCTTGGTTCGTACTCAGAACAGACCCACTGCCGGTGTTGGTGGTGTTGGCTGTCATCGCAGAGGGTTGTTTTCTGTGTGTCCTGTATCGACTGCTGGCATTATCTCTCATGTATCGTGGTGTTGTGATCTCATTGTTGGGCATTGGCGGTAGCTGCGGGCTCTCGGGAGCCTCTGTTGATGGTGACATCGGCGGCGGAGATCGACTTGAATGCCGACGGTAATTGCGACCACCTCTAGACAGAGCTGCAGCAGACCTGACCTTCCGAATACTGCCTGAACGATAAACGCCTCGACCCGCTCCTCGCCCCCAAGTCGGACTCCTGTTCCCATCGCTTGGAGCACTGGTGCTGGTTGGTACTTTCCTTGAACTAGCCCTAGTAGGGATGGGGAAGGGTGGCTCCTTCACAGAATCCTGTAGACTTGGGCTGCGAGACCGACCCTGATGGGCAGCTACACCACTCTGTATCAAGGCTGCTCGGCGCATCGTACCAGGCTTGGCTGTTGTTACCAGCGACAATGGCTTATCAAGCTGACGAACACCTGATCTCATAGAGGCTCTCGGTGGGATAGCGTATACCTCTGACGAGGCGTTTTCGCCATTCAAATCCTGATTGTCCATTTGCCGCATTGAACTCTTCCGATGATTAGGCTTGGAGACCTCGACAAGCTCTTTGCCCTCGGGGACAGATGCGGGCGCTGATGACATGCCTTTACTAGATCTATTTGCGGCTGATTGTGGTTTGGGTGCTGAAAGGGCTGTCCTGAAGTCATTGTCGCTCAGGTCTGCGTCGGCAAAGTCATCGGCATCATCTGAACTGCCATTATCGAAGCCTGCAAAAAGACTGCTGATACGATGGGGCCTCCTTATATATCCCGAGTCCTTCGCTAAAGGTCCGTCATCATTATTCCCTGGATAAGCATCCCGAGTCTCACCGGACGGGAATACGGGAGGTGACGAAGGGATCTCTTGCTCGAAACTTTGACGACTCTTGATACGTCGGGGATTTCGCGGTGGCAGATTGCCAGGAACTGGAGAGAAGCGCTTCGCCTCATCCTCAGCCGGCTCTGGAGACGAGGGATTGGAAGATATAGCTGATGGCTGAAGATGTGGTGGAAGTAGGTTGAGTCGCCTATCCACCCGAATTTCTTCTGTTTGAACTGATACCGACCTAGTCGGAACGGGTACCGGCATGGAGACCTGGCAGCCCGCATCTTTGAAATGTTGGGGAAGGAGGGGCTCATGAGGTGTATTTGGAACGGAAGTCGGGGGATGCAATTGGATAGATGGAATTGGAATGGGAGGTGGAGGTGGGGCTCGTTTGGCTGGTTGCGACTCGACATCTGTTTGTGTAGATATTGAGACCATTTCCTTTATCGGATCGTTTGACGGGGGAGCAGGGGGGGCTTCTATTGGTGATATAGGAGTTCTTGGAGGGCTGGGAGGGTCTTCTATGGTTTGAGATCCTGCAGAAACCATTGAGGAATGTGTAGGCGTCTCGATAGCCAATGTCGGACTCGCATGTACGCGTTTCCTTCGTTGGTTGGCCTCAATCTCCAACTCCCGAGCAGGAAGTTCAACTTCCGATGGTCTCTCCATCTTCTCGGGTGTAGACGCGACATTGCTCGACAAAGGCTCAGCCGCGGAAGGAGACTCGACGACAGGCAACGTCGGAGATGGGGGCGGAGAATATTGAATACCAGCGTCAACGTACTCCGCTTTGGTTGGTGCCACCGTCTCATCGTCTTCCAAAATGCCACCTTCGAGTCTGTCCAACACAACTTGATTGGCGAACAACCTTCCTCGTGCAACACTGCCAGGCCGCATGAGGCTTTCAATACTTTGATTTCGCTGATGGCTTCTAGACATCATACTCTCACGACTCTGGTTTCGCTTATGTTGCACAGAAAGCACGCTTTCGCGACCATCCACATCCGCCTGATCTTCATCTTCATCAAGACCCAATTCGTCCGCGAGACTGACACCGTTGGCCTTCGCTCCCCCGAAACCAATCGCTAATGCATTTGGCACCGAAAATCGAATACTGTTCGTCATGCTCATCGACCGTACACTGGCAGTATCACTGCCGTGGCCTTGGCCGGCGTCTCTTGACAACTCTTCGGCCTCACTCTCTCCCTGATGTTGACCATTTACGTGGCTGGCTTGATACGCAGCAACCTCATCAAGTACGGCTTTTAATCGACCCTCGACCACATGAATCCGTCGTTCGTATTTCCTTTTCTCTCCTTCCCAATTTTCCTTGTCTCCCGCCCAGAGCTTCTGAACACGATCTGCATCCTCTTCCTGGCTTCGAATCTTCTTCTGGGCGGTTTCCAACCGCTTCTTCATTTCCGCATTCGCATCAACAGTCTCATCAAGTTCCCTGGCGAGTTCGGAGAGGGCAGAAGAGGTACCTCCTTCCAATAAGGCCAATTGACGTTTCAGGGAACGAGTCTCTTTGGAAGTGGATACGGCGGTGGTTTCCAACTGCTCCTGTTCCCCTCGGGTCTTGTGCAGTTCGCTTTCCAGATTTTCGATCGTCCTTATTTTCTCCTCCTGATCTCGGCGCAGAGCCAATATTTCAGACACTAGATTGGCATGGAGGGTTGGAGTGAACCTTCGAGGATCGAGAATGGAGATGCTAATCGATACATCAGCATTAAATGTGCTGTCTGGCATTTCAGACCTACCTCTCATCATTCGCTACATCTTTCGAACCTCGGCGGGTTCTCTCCCCATGCAGGAGCGGAGGAGGAGACGAGGAAAGGCCTGGAGACCCAGAGCGTCTTCGAGCTCGAGAGGACCGTCGTGAGGACCGTCGTGAGCCACGTGAGGGAGCCCTATAAGGCGTGTCGCTTGGTGTTGGCAGGGAGGCCTGAGCAGCCGCAGCATACTCGTCCTCCGTCTCCCATGCGTTCATCGTGAGCGATTGAGGGTTTATCCTCGAAGCCCCGAAAGAATTGCGAGCGCCCTCTCACTAAACTTCTCCATCAAATTCCCAACATCAACAGCAATAGTAGCTCGACGGGTCCTGGATGATGGTTTCGCCGTGCTAACGCGTGTGCCTTTGCGTGACTTAGAGTAATAGAGATGGTCCTGGCAGATTCGTTCTAGCCTCGCTCCAGTCAGTTTTGAATGCTTTAACCACTGATGGATTTGTACTTTGGTTTGAGATGCCGCAGGCAAAATAGCGCTTTGGCATAAGTCAGTTGTATACCCTTAGAAGCCAGGGATGGCTTAATAGCGAGAGAATTGGGGTTAGCTGAAGAAAGCCTACCAGTAGAATGAACTCAAAAATCCGTTATACTTTCGAATGCAATAACTGATCAGACAAGTTGTACGAAATTGCTAACTGTGCAATCACACGAGATCAGCCTCCCTTGTTCCCCCTCGAGCAGGAGATTATCATATGAGCGGTGAAATATAGAAAGCATTGGCCTTCGTGATCCTTGCCATACCTTGAGACACCAACATATACTGTACTTAAGAGATTCTTCGAGACGGCTCCGTACACCAACGATTATCCCATATCAGACGTTCCTTTGGCCACTCTTTTTTGACCGGACTAGAAAGCTCGAACGCGTCTATTCCTCGTCACACTTGTCGGCGCGAAGTTCACGCAGCGCACCTTGTTCGAGCTCGAGGAATTGTATTCGGGCTTCTCGCGGACTCGATTTGAGATGGCTCAGATAGCGACCTGGCGAAATTGATCTGGAAAGAGTGGTTTGGAGATGTCGTTTCTTGCGAGCTGCTGTTCACGAAGCAGTTAGCCATCTGTTTCGGTTTCCCTCCGCGACTATGTGGAACTCCAATGCGTCCAGGTGTTGAGCTCCTGCCACCTGTGAAAGGCCTTAAGTAGTTCGAGGGACATGTAAAGAAGCGTCAAGGCTTACCAGAAAGCCAGCTTCGCAACGCGACCTGCAAGACCCTGATGCTAGAGAAGCTCGTCTACGGTTACCTCGAGACGGTTACCTCGAGAAGGGAGTAACGCATGCGGTGATCTGGGGCACAATGAAGACCAATTGATAGGAATAGTTGACGCAGCACCGACTTCCAAGACCAAGAGATGCGCAACAGAGAGGGAACGCGGTTAGCGGGAGGAGCATTGTACGAAGGACGGTACAGCAACGACGGGCCCGAGAGAAACAAGATGAGGCATGACGATCTCGAGCTCACGGTCCACGGGCGTTCCCATCGGAGGCATGGGGGTTCCATGGGGGGGCCTGAACCTGAACATTTTGTAGCCATGGGGCCGTTCCCTGTTGCAGTACCGCGCTGAGCTCCAGTTCTTTTGCCAGGAGGGGCCCTGTCACGCAGTAGAGCGACCTTGGCTACCTTTGCCTCTGTCGAGCCTAGGGACGACGCCCAGCGGAGGGTTCGGGACGTTCCCCGTCGAGGGCCAACCACCGTCCCCACCACCAACCACCGCCCAACCAGCGCTGCCCGCCAACGCGCACGCCGGCCAATGGCTGCGCGACGTTTTGCTCACGGCCTCCTTCTCAAGCCTTCTCACGCGTCTGCGGCGTCTCCTCTGGACCTCGGACGCTCGGGGTGGAGGGTTCTGAGTGGTCGAGTGCTTTTAAGTTTCTTACAACATGACAGCCACGTCTCGAAGACGCGGGATGAGCCCTTAGATCCGGGTTGCCAGTGGAATTGGCAACGCCCACGGATTGACGATTCATATGCTCGAGCCTCTCCAGGTTGGGGACTTGGGATTCGGGACTCCGTGGCGTGAGTTTGAGAGGGCCAGGCAATAACAATGGTATGATGGTATATTACGGAGTACTTGCTGTACTCCGTATTTGGGATTTGCAGATCATCGCTCTTCCCGGATCGCCTGCACAGGTGGCTCCAGAATTAAAAGCGACGACTGTCCTGTTGGAGGCATCGTGGTCTGTCCGGACCACAGCGATCTGGGATTCTGGGCACCGTCAGGCCGGAATCCCTGGCTCTTCCCACCTCCTCTTCCGGAATAGTTAGGGGCAAGAAATCCCTGCGCTTTCCAACGATTCTGGCAAATCCTGCAGGATGGGCCACTGACCCTGAGGATTAGAAAAACCTGGGGACTACCTTACTCCGTGCCCTTGTGAATAATTTGTGCATACGAGGTGTATACGAGGGACGGGGCACATATTATAGTAGAAAAGGAATTCTGTGATCACATACTCATATAGAGATACAATGAATGCCATTATACAATGAGTATCTGGAGCTTATCGAACTGCATGAGCGGGTGCATAAGGTGGTGTTTTGAGAGGCATTCTCCCAATTCAGTAGAAATCTTTTTGTGGTTAAATTAGGCCATAGCTAAATCTCCGCCAGACTTAGCTAAACGTCCGCCCTATTCCTAATCGGGAATAAGCGAGAGATTTACTCCGTACACCTATTGTACCTACGTTGCCATAGTAATTTGTATAGTAACGCAAGTCCCCTGAGTGATAGTAAACAATTCGCGATACACGAAAAATTGAAGCTATTCACAACACCACTACCTACCACTTACCACCACCACCCACCTCCCACCTCCTACCTCCCACATCACCATGTCGTACCAACACTGTGGCCCCGCTCCCCCAGAAGCTGTTTACACCGATGAAGACGTTGCGTATACTGCTATCCAGGCACACGCAAAGGCTAATGGGTACGCCTTCCTTCGGCGTGATAATAAGGGGGGTAGATTGAAGTTCAGCTGTGATCGCGCCGGCAAGTATAATCCTAAGGGTAAAAACCCTAATACCCACCTATCCAAACAGCGTCACTCTACTGGCTCAAAGAAGTGCGACTGTAAGATGGCTGTTGAGCTACGCCTTGATCAGATATCAGGGAACTAGAGTCTTACGGTACTTGAGGCTACACACAATCATGAAAGATCAGCAGATCCTACCGCCTATCCTGCCCACCGAATTGCTTCTCTGAGTACTGGTACCTATGCCTTAGTAGGTAGTCTAGCTAGATCTGGGCTATCTGCCTCCCAGATCCTTACCGCCGTCAAACAAGAGGATCCGGGAGCGTTACTCTCTACTAAAGACGTCTCTAATATCACACAGAAAGAGAGGATTGAGGTGCTAGGTGGAAAGACTTCAATACAGTGGCTTTTAGAGGCAGGATTACCCCCTTATCACTTGATTACTCTACTAACCTACCTGTTACTATAGGAGCTTCAAAACAACGGATACAACGCTCAATACTACCCTGAATCTGGCCCGTTACAGGCTCTGTTTTTCATCCATCCGACCTCCCTGGCACTGTGGAAGCAGAATCCTGATGTTCTACTACTCGATTGCACATACAAAACCAACAGATTCAACATGCCGTTGCTGAATATCTGTGCCATGACGGGCAACAACATAGTAGTGTAGGTAGGACTGGCGTTTTTGTCTGCAGAAAAGGAGCCGGATTACAACTGGGCTATTGATCAACTTCGCCGGGTTATGGTTGACAACATGATCCGCGAGCCAACTTGTATGGTAACTGATAGGGAACTGGCTTTGATCCGATGCCTTGGATCACGATTCCCTGAAACCCATCACCTCCTTTGCCGGTGGCACGTTAATATGAACGTATTAGCTAAAACCAAGGGGTTCTTTCCGGGGCCAATCAAGCATGCCGACGGCAGAGTTAAGCGACACCCAACCTTCGACGCATTCTTGAATTCATGGAATTCCTTACTGGCTAGTACTACAGAGGATGGCTACAACAAATTGCTAGCAGAAATGAGGTCCAAATACCCTGCTAAGGCTATGCGCTATATCGAGGCGACATGGCTTATATGGAAAGAGAACTTGGTGGCCTATTGGGTTAATCAGTACTACAACTTTGGAGTCACTGTTACTAGCCCAATAGAGGGTTGCCACGCTACTATGAAGGCCTACCTAACCCGTGGCCATGGGGATCTTAGGGGAGTGTTTAACAAATTGAAGCTATTCTGGGAGAGGCAATACGGAAACATTACAACGGTTACGGCGCAGCAGAAATTACGCCTAAAACACAGTACAAATATCCCTCTTTTTGCTGCTATCAAGAAATTCGTCTATGACTACGCGTTACAAAAGGTCCTGTTAGAGCTTAAACGACTACCTGCGAGTGGCCCGCCCCCTGACTCGCCTGCCTGTAGTTGCTCTATTCAGCACTGTCTCGGCCTTCCCTGTTACCACAAGATATGGGAAAGAAAGCGGTATGGTAGAGTGATCCTGCCGGAAGATATACATCCTCACTGGTACTATAATAGGCCAGAATCAAGTATCTTTCCTTAGCAAGCCATCGCTCTACTACTGCCGGTTCTCGATCCTGTTCCAATCAGAGGAAGGGGCCGCCTAAGGGGGGCTCTAGGTGGCGCTACACGTGTAGCACCGTCTAATACGCGTCGGGATCCTTCTGCCTTTGAGCTACCGTCAAGCTTAGCGCCGCCGGCCCTGAATCATCTAGCGCCGGTAGCCCTGAATCAGGCGCCGGTGACCCTGAATCAGCCTGACGTATCGGTAGGGCAGATCAATACAGTGCGTCCTGCGCCTGTATCAGCTGCCGGTAGGATAGCCCGGCTTGATGCGGGCCATATAGATCTGTATGAGCCAGGTACTCGGAGGGAGAGAATGTATATGCAGGGCATATCATCTGTGTATCAGACTGACTCTATGGTAGACTCTGCTGAGGCGGCTGCGGCGGCGATAGGGAGTGGTGTTACGGCGTTAGAGAGGGAGGTTATTGGCGGCGTTGAGGTATATACCTAGGATGCGGACTTTGAGTTAGACGATAGTTGGGAATAGCTTCATTTTTGTAGGCGTTACGGGGTTGTGGATGAATTGATTGTTTACACAGTGTCTACTTGCGCTACCATACAAACTACTACTGTAGCGTGGGTACAATAGATGCACACTCGGAATTATTCGGCAACTTTCCCGATTAGGAATAGGGCGGACGTTTAGCTAAGTCTAGAGGAGATTTAGCTATAGCCTTAAATTACAGTCCTCAGATTGGCTAGAAATAGCAAGACAGATCACAAAGGGACATCACGTGAATCACACAATTCCTAAGCCTAAGGTACCTTACCTGAGTATAAAAGCTGCCCATTATTAAGGTACACTGTAAATCTTTGTAATCTGCTAGATAGATACCTAGCCATGTCGACTTATACTGATGCCAGGTGCTGGTTCGCTCGCATAGCGCATGGAGCAATGCGATTGCTTACTTAAGTCTTAACCGCACGGGACTGCGTGTGATGGGGCCCTGGGGGTGTGATGCGAGGCCTCATGCTGCAGTAGCAGTTCCAAGTAACTTCTAATAAAGTAAAGTTGTCGTGGGCCCTGGCCTTTTCCTTGTGATACGGAGTGCGGTGCGATAGAAGAAGAAGAATAACAGCCTACCTAAGAGTCAGGTCCTGTCAGGAGAACCAATACATTCCAGAGAGAAAGTAAATGCGCGCACGCGCCCTTCGTGTGCTCATATATATTTCTTTTCCCTCGACCCTGTCCTCTTCTCACTCTGTCTCAGAACTCCAAAAGGAGCGCATCCTCGAGAAGGGCTTCGCTCTATCGGCATGCATGCATTTTGCCATTTCCTCAGGCGGGGCGTTATCTCGATCGCCAGCTATCTTCTCCCGGGACAGCGAAACGTGCCCGCATAGGACCATCATAGTCTCGCAGCATACATAAGTATACAGACTTGGTCCCACGGCCGAGTCATGCATTCTGTCTTTCGGATCACACTATCACCCTCACCGTGGCCGTGGTTTGATCTTCTCCAGGGCCCAGGCCCCCCCAACTGACAGCTGCCGGGGGGCCACTTAGTACTGATGTACTGATGTACATTGCTGTGCAGCACGCCGGTAAAGTGCATGCTCCGATCTCAGCAGACCTGTGGACGATTGCCGGCAGCACATCAACGCATACACGACGGACTCCGTACCCCTATCCCCATCTTGCATGTGGATTTTCTCCTGGGTCCTGAAGGCTGAGGCACAAGGCTTGAACAGTTGAGTTGAGGCGCCTGTGACCCGATCCCCAGCAGCCCCTATTCCCCAAGTTGTATCCGCCGAGATTACATCCCGCTCTAGGTGATGTGCTCCGGTGCTTTTCGACGACTACATGGAGTAGTGCACCCCTCGCTGTGATGACTGTGGTCTTATTAACAACAATTATTATCAAGCCCCGCATTCTACCTTTACCTACCTTCAAGAGAAGTCACAGAACTGAAGCTTTCAAAAACCTTGTGGATATTTACCTCCCGTGGCAACAACAGTAAATGCTTCGCACCGCGCTGAATCTTTTCTCCGAGATGTCGGAGAGGGTATTTCCGTAGCGCGAGTCTTATCTTCGAACCGGCCCGCCCTCCTCCGTAATTTCGGGCTCGCTAGCTCGAAACTATCTTGGATATCACAGCTGGCTGTACAACGTGATAGGTGATCAAAAAGACGTCGTTCAACCACCACGTTTCAGCGTGGCGAGATACTTGAATTCTGCGTACGCCACACGATTTGCCTTGGAATGTTCTACAACCCGTAGCTCGTTTTTCGCGTTAATCGGTCCAATAGTGGCAAGTTATTTTGTTAAATATTCAATCACGTGGTATCAAAATCCCTTGTTGATCGCCCCCTCCTTTCTAACTCATGTATGCACCACGCACAGCATTGCACTTTGCCGGTAGCCAGTGCAGCTTAACACGTGAAACTGACATTTACCAAGCTAATGTAGGTAGGTAGAGTGTGCGAATGCAGGGCGTTTACACCATTCACTTAAACCTCGTTCCAGAAGCTGGTGATGCCAACAAGCCACTGGATCCTGTGAACACCCAAAAGCCAAAGAATAAAATTAGCATTTGCCACCTCTTACCCCTATAACCCGTTAAGGGGTAAGCATTCCCATTTTCCTTCTGGTTGTCTCCTTTTCCTGTTCGGGTATTTTCGAAGACCTCCCTACTTCACTTGACAAGACACGTGTTCTCTACTCTTCCTTTACGCCTACTCTATTCATAGAGAGACAGAGTCATGGTCAGCTCTCCTTGTCAACCTGTGGTAGCAGTACTGGTATTAGGTGCCATGTAATCAAGCAAGATGCTATCTGCGCGATCCAGGTTCAACCCCGATGTTTGTAAGAGATTGTGGAATATTCTCTTCAACAGGTTCGAAATATGACAGCTCTTTCGCTGCACCTTAACAGGACATACAGAGGAAGATGAATTCATGAATTCATGAATGCTCAATTTGTAATCAGTTACCCAAGACGTGGTGGATAAATTCCTGTACTCTGTCCCTCAGTTGATGCCAAATCTCCGTGCAACCTCCACGAACCCGTCCTCTTCTTCTTTAACCCACATATCTACCCAATTTTTGGCGTCCTTGTACTCCTCCTGCTCAGGCTTCCAATCTTCCTCCCGCTCCCTCTCGACATAGATTGTTCTGAAACCACAAGCGCTCGCAGCCTTCAGATCACTCAGATGCGCTGCAACCATTGCAACGTCTGCAGGATCGAGTCCCATGGCCTTAGCCGCACCCTTGTAGACGCTGGGATGTGGTTTATACGCCTTGAAGTCCGCGGATGACTGCAGCTTTGTGAACGCGAGATCTCCATGCTTGTCCAAGTCTTTCAACAATGATGGATTACCGTTCGACAAGGTCGATGTGATGAACTTTGTGTTGAGTTTCTGGATGCCTTCCGACGAGTCAGACCAAGGGTCCAAAGAATGCCAGACCCGACTCAGATGGTGCACCTCTTCCTCTGTATACAGGCCCTCGAGTTTCCATTTCTTCAGCAGATCAATGAGACTAAGGTGGTGATGAGTATCAATGTCACGCCATTCGGTTTGTCCAGGGACAAATTCCTTCACGAATTTTTTATAGCTGTTTCGCCATTCTTGTGCAAATTGAGCCCAATCTTCATCCGTGAGTTTCGATAGCTGGGTCCAAACTTCTGGGGACAAGTCTCCTGAGCCCGAGGATGAAGATACCTTGGCAGCAGCACTGGAAATGAGCGTGTTGGTAACCGTCTTCCTCCAGTTAACTACAGTGCCAAAGACATCGAAGGTCAAGCCTTTCGGAGGCGCCTTTAGTATATCGTGTTTGGAAGAAGCCATGATAGCGATAAAATGGTTGATTTTGCAATGGGACCTCGTGGTGAGGGGACGGATACATACATCCAAATTCGCTCCACAGAACCCCTGCAAATCCCACTGCACCACCCCGAGGAACCGTTGCGTCATGCAAAAGCAAACCCCACAGAAAGCATCTCGAAGCGACCGCTGTGCTCCACGTCTATAGTTACGATCGCATTGATTGAATGCCATGATGACCCAAACTAGGTCCCGCGCACCATGAGGACGGCCCCGCGTCATCTCACCGGTCATGACCACTATGCTGGTCTCTTCGCGTTCCTGAATCCAACGACACGCCGTTCCCCTCTGCCTTCTCAGAGGCTCGACGGGCAATCGAGCGAGGAAGACTCGCAGAATTAGTGGGGAGCAGAGACAAACGGCGCAAAGGGAAGAGATTCGGGCGGAAGGCTTCCAGCGAAAATGGCGATCTCGCGATAATCGAAAGGGCGAGTCGGTCCCTCTCATTCCTACGATGCTTTACTGATATGCGGTACGACAGGTAGACATGCGATTGCTGAAACTCCTGAAGCCCATAAGAGTGTGCGTTACCTTATACCTCCTGCAACGAGTACCGTCAAGGAAGCATTGAAGGGCATACGACGCACGCTCACCACGTACCCAAACCGGGACGTTTCTTAGAGCCGGGATCTTCACGCTGGGTTCAGGGTATGGTGCATTAATGCCTACTTTGTTTGGCTGCCACTACAGGATCCTTCTACTGAATTCAACGGCGAGATACAAAATGCTGGTGGCATCACGGCTTTTATTGGAGCTACGATTTTCAAATTCGGGTCCGTACTGTTGATGATTGAAGCCGTCACCGAGAATAGGACAGATTACTTCAGTTGGGCTCTAAGGGAGACTCTAGGGGAGAGAGAGATAGTAGGGCTTAAACCAGCTAGTTGCGTGCATCATCATGGAAACAAGGGTAATCTTGTAGGAAGGGGAAAGCGTCAGAAGGTGAGCCTCAAAATCATGCCTTAAATTCGGTCAGTGTCGGGCAAAGGTGACCCAAGAGATTCTAATTCCTAAATCATTACGATTACCAGAGCTATTCCAGAGATTGAACTTGGATCCGCGAGGCTAAAGATCTACCCGCGGCCGCCACGAAGGTTCAATTACGAAATAGTTCTGGTAGTTGTGGAGAGATGCTATTTCCTTAGGTCGGGATCTGCCTGACACTTTTCTACCTTTCATATCTCCTTCACTTATCGGATATATTTGAGTGATTTTGGGTAGGCCTGGCGGAAGTCATAGAGGGCTTTCCCTCCTTTTGAGCTGTTTTTTTGGCTCCTCATACTCGTGACTGACAATTCCGCTCAGGGAAACCAACTCGTGATTCTTCCATAGCAGCCGAAGACCAGTCCAATTTGAAAACTTTACGCGGATGGGCCTGGTTTCCAAGCTGGTATGAGCTCAGAACGCACTACTTGAAAGAATTCGGCTTCCTTGCTTGTCTGGCCCAGATGATAGGCGCAACAGTTTTCTGGATCTCTGGCTTTACTGCTCTTCCTCGTATCTACAACCGACTTGCCACTGCAGCAGCTCAAAATGGAGCATACTGGTTTCCCCAAGTGGTCTGAGACGCGGGCTTCGTCATCTCAGGGCTTTTGTTCATCAGACTCAGCAGAAGTGGTATCTTCCAGCTCTCAAAGTTTTGGAATTGCATATTGGGGCTTGGAATCTAAGAGGGGTTTGACCCCATATTCGCCCATAACCTTGAAACTCTGGGGGTCGAATTTACACTCTGCGGCGCTCTTAGATTCGCTAGTGCTAACAGTGGAGCTGTCTATGAGGGGAGTCTGGGTATGTACTTCCGTATCTGCTGGATATTTACATCTAAGACACGCCCGAGTCATGTAAACTTTCCCTAGATATGTCTCTAGAGTCAAGTCCCAGCCAGTAGTTCTGGAGTACTTGAAGCATACCGGATCAGGTATGGACCCGGCTAACCTCCGCAAAAGCCACGTTCTGGGCGTCATGGTGTTTCTTGATCGGCAGTACTATACAGTGGTTTGGAAGCTTGGATAAGCATCCTGTAGAAATTGGAGACAGCGGTGCACAGGTTACGGATCCGCAAAGAAAGGTCTGGGTATCGGGTATCTGGTGCAGAGGATGTGCAAATCACCCCTATCTAGATATCAAAAGCAAAGGGGCCCCTACACTGGGTAGATATCAAGCCCTTTGGGAACGTGCGTTGGATAAGCAGTTGTCTCATGCCCAAAATGTCTTACACCTGCATCATCCCGTCCCGAGACCGAGTATCGATCATCAGCAGCGCCGGGTCCCAGCAACCACGAACGTCAGTCGGATTAGCATTGGACGGTTGGACCCTTATCCAGCGCCCTGGGCACTTTTCACTTTACTTCTTGTATCGCTATCGCCACGCGGCTCACCGCTCTGCATCCCGCTCTCAGCTTCCCCACTCGGCCCGCATTCTTGTCTCGCATGCAAACAGCCAGAGCGAGGCTTACTGTACACTTGAGTTCTCTCTCCCTGTCGCGAGCCGAGTATCGCAGCTATTTCATGAGTGAGTGGGAGGTAGATAGCTCGATCCTCCTTGTCTCTCTCTCTCTCTCTCTCGCCATCACTACAAGCCCACCACCACTAACAGAACCTAACCACACTTTCCCCTCTCCCTCTCTCCTATACCTACCTACCTACCTATCTCCTAATCCCTTCGCTGGGTACACACATACAGTACATACATATCTAGACGTTACATTTCTGTACCTCATATCTATTTATTTCCATGTGATGTACCTACATGCAAGCACGTACCTACCTACATCGTGCTGTCCCTGCCAGGTAACCCACCCGATGGCGCCCGCGGCCCGCCCGATCTTGCATCTCACGTGATCAACTAGCTCTGCGCGGTGAAAAAAAGTACAGGACGGGAACAGGGAGTGTGTGGGAGAAGGGACGCCGCTTTTTTGTTACATTTCTCTCGCTTTCCCTTGTTTTTCTTTTTCCTTTTTTTGGGGGGGAGATGTTTCAGGAACCGAACTGGGATGGGAGGAGGAGGGTTGGATTTAGGATTTGGGATTTGGGATTTGGGATTTGGGTATTGTATAGGAAGGTGAGGTAGGTTTAGGGTGGGTTTTGTGGTTTTGTGGTTATCGTAGAGTGGAGTGTTATGTATAGAGAGAGGGGCATACAGTAGAAGTAAGATATCAAGATACAGTACATTAAGTTCATTTCATTAGAGTAGCTTGTTTCTACTAAAAACACCTAATCCTTACCAAGAGAGATGCAAGCCCATTCATAAATCCTGTACCTTTAATAATACTCTCTAGCTTTTTATTATACACGTTTTTATATCTAATCTTCATCTCATCTCATCTATAGAGAGGTAGATGGATCATGTCGTTATTGTTATCTCTGTGCATCATATCATATCATTATCAGATCGTCACCATCTACTGGACATTCAGGTAAGGTACAGTAGAACACAACATTACATTACATTACATTACCTTACCTTAACATCCCGCCGCACCTATCCCATCCCATCCCATCCCATCCATCTATAATCTCCTACCTACTGTATCTATCTATATGTAACCCCCACGCAAAGAGACCCAAGAAACCATCAATCAAATCAAACAATCACCCCCCCTTCACGCCTCCTCCTCAATTCCCACATCTAGCCCGCGGGAACGGGAAGGTTTCTTTGTTTGATTGTTTGATACCGTGTTTCAAAACTTGGATGGATGGATGGGGAGCTTGATGGGGCAGGTATGTAATGTAATGTAATGTAATGTAGACCTCCTGTCACATCACATCACATCGCATCGCATGGCAGCGCATCGCATGGCATGGCATGGCATGGCAGCATATCACATAATCGCCATCCCGTGTTTCTTCCTTTTCTTCTCCGGATGGGATGAAACGAAACAAACATCTCAACTGTTAATTTTTTTTTCTTTTTTTTTTCTTTTTCTTTTTTTTCCATCTCCTATCATATCCAGTATCTATATATAGATTTGACATCTCTGTCTGTTTTCTTAACGTTACTTTACTTACCCAAGGTATGTGCTTGCTGTATGTACTTGTATGCCTTTTCCATACCTACCTAACCTACCTTACCTAGAATCTCTGAATCATATCCTCTACCCTATATCCTCTACAGTACCTACCTACCTATATCTATCTCTGCATGTAAATAACCAACCTACCCCTCAACCTCCAACCTCCAACCTCCAAAACCACCACTTCCACCGCCTTCTTCCCCTTCCCCTTCGCCTTCGTCTTTTGCCCTCGCCCTTGCTCTCTCCCCCTCACTCCATTAATCCATCCATCAAGTTTACGTGCTCCCACTCACTCACTCAGCAATTAATCACTGCCTCTTTCCCTCCCTCCTACCCAGCTAAACACTATTTTTCAAGCTCTCTTTGAAAAACACAACTTTCCTAATTCCTCCCTCCCCCCCCCCACCCCCACCCCGGGCGAGGGTTTTCAGTTCTTAATAAAACAAACCAAACCTGTCGACATATCTAGGTATCTACCAGCCTTGCAAAAAACCAAAAACCAAAAAAATATAATATATAAATAAAAAAATAAAAACACACCAACCTCAACCTCAACACCTCAAAAAAAAATCCCGAGTCCCTGACCTGTCCCTCCCTTCTGCCTCTTCTCTTGAAAGAAAGCCGGAAGCGCTGTGTTAATTGATTTGCTGAGTAAGGTAAGGTAAGGTAAGGTAAGTAAGAGGAAAAAAGCGAAAATGAGACGAAAAGCTCTACGCCGTAAGGTAGGTAAGGGGGAAGAAAAGAGGTGGGGGAGAGAGAGAGAGGGGGGGAGATGGGGAATGGTGAGATCGGAAAAAGGGGAAAGAAAAGGAAAAGGAGAGGGAGAGGGAGGATACAAGTATGCAATGTCTTGTTTGTGCGACTTGGGAATATTAAATTTTGGTGAATGTTTGGGGATTTTTTGGGGGAGGGTAGAGGCATATAGATGTAAATGTAATGTGCGATAACTGGGGTCGGGGTGGTAGTAATAAAAAAATCATAATCATCATAACCTAGCCTCATGATGTGCGCACTTCAGTCAAGGATCTGCGATGAACAAGTGAAGTTGATGTATGTACCTATCCCCAGGCACAATTTGTGAGCTCTGCAATGCATAAAGAGCCCGGAAATCCTCTCTCTCTGGTTTGATTCTTTGAATAACCTTTAACTCTCATCCTATCCTCATGCTAATAATAAGCCAAGCCTGCCCTCCTCATCATCATTTATCAAATATAGACTTGTAGAAGAGTAGTGTAAAAAAAAAAAATAACATCGAAACGTGAGATACATCCGAGGTGCGCCAGACACACCAATCCGTTTTGACGCGAACTTATATATCTTTCCTTGGGTGTGTCAGATAGAATTCGAAAGTCCCGTCATTTCATGATACGCCAGATACCTCCCTTTTGGTACTCCATTCGCCGAGTTGGGTTGAAATCCGAGCAACGCTGCAGGGGAAGAAGGAAGCGAAGTCGGATGCGACTTGATGCTGGTTGTGCGTGGGCAGGCAATGCAATCTTCAAGGCTTCTAGCCAAAGGAATGTCGTAAACGTCGTGAATGCTCGTGCTTCCTTAGCGCTTGACTTCTCAATGCTCAAAGCAGAGCGCGCGCCTTTGCCTCCTCATAACATGGTACAGCGGTTTTTATCCTTCCGCGAGCGGTATTTTCGGTCGTTATCTCGAATCATCATCCCGTCTCCAGATCCCATCCTTTGCCCCTTGCCATTTCCTGATGGCGCCCTCATGCTGTTCTGCATGCGTTGCCGACGCAACTGTCGGACCACGTCGTAGAAGGCCTTCTCCACGTTGATGCAATTCTTGGCTGAAGCCTCGACGAACTCACATCCCAATTCCCGCGCCAGCGCATGTCCCTCCTGTGTAGAAACCTCTCGCTCCGTGACCCTGTCGCTCTTGTTTCCCACGAGCATTATGGGAACGGGGGCAGACGGTGCTGCGGATGATAATGGGGACCCTGGATACGACGGTGAGGATGCCGATGACTCCTTGACCCGTTGGATCTGGTTGTGAAATCTGGTAATGCGGGTGAATGATGACCTCGACGAGATGCTGTAGACCAGTACAAAGCCTTCGCCGTCACGAATCCATTGGTCTCGCAGAGCGGTATATTCCTCCTGGCCGGCAGTATCAAGGACCTCCAGCATGCAAGACTGGCCGTCTATCACCACTTGCTTTCTGTACGAGTCTTCGATGGTGGGATCGTACTGGGGAACATTTAGCAGAGGACTACTAGGTGATGCAGGATGCCCGATCTACAACCGGCAGCAGAGGTTGCTTACAGTCTCAACGAAGTGTTGCAGAGTTAATTGTATGGTCAGTGCCGTCTTCCCAACGCCTCCATCCCCTAGTACCACCAGCTTGTACAGCACCATCTTGCCCGCCATGATGAAATATGTTGTGAGGGCGGATGCGGTCACGCAGAGATGGATGGGCGAGTGGAAACGAAAGCGCGAGGGGAGCAATTCGTCGGGGAAACACACTCTCTGTGCTGTCGGTGGAGAGCGTGGATCTGCGGGTGGAGATTCCTTTTGGTATGTAAGTCAAGAAGCTCGGACTTCCGCTTGTGGAGTTGTCGATAGGACGGTTCGCGATAAGTTAGGCAGTCTGGCCGCCAGAAGAGTGGACTCGGGGGGGAGGGGAGGGGGATGCAGGTCAGAGAACACCTTTTTTGGGGGGGGGTTTTGTTAAAGGGGAGATGGGATATGCGTGGAGAAAGCTCACGCCGAATAGCGGAGTGGGATGAATGCGCGACGAAAGGGCAGAGTGGTGAGAGGCGGCGAGGTGGGAGCTGGGAGGTGGGAGCTGGGAGCGTGGTAGTAAGTACTGTAGTCTGTCGTTCGGCTGTACTGTAGTAGGTACAGTAGTAGTCGTCGGTACAGTGGTAGACTGTAGTAGTGGTACTGGGCAGCTGGGCGACTACTCCTGAGTCCTGAGTCCTGAGTCCTGAGTCCTGAGTCCTGAGTCCTGAGTCCTGAGCTGCTCGGACCCTTTCCGTCGATAACTGTGATGCCGATCCGCGAGCTTAGCCTGGGCGGCAATAGTTGCTGGAGGTGGCGGTGGTGGTTGGAGGGGGAAGAAAAAGCTCGTTCGTGGTGGGGAAGGGTCTGGTGGGTGGGCGGGTTTCGTGTATCTAGCGTCCGAGGTGCGAGAAGGCGAGAAAGGAGGGAGGCAGGGCGGGAGGAGGAGATGAAGAGGGAGATGAGGATGAGGATGAAGAGGGAGATGGAGATGGAGATGGAGATGAAGAGGGAAGAGGGAGAGTGAAAGGGAGGGAGGAGAGTGGACCGGGAGGGAGGTGAAAAGAGAGAGATCGAGAGAGGATGGAAGTGGAAGAGGGAAAAGGTGAGGAGGGGCCAGGATGTGAGGGAGTGGCAGAGAGAGAGAGATATGTTGATGTTGTAGCGAAGAAGGGGTTTTTGTTCGACAGTGCTATTACACCAACATTACTACTACTACTACTACTACTACCACAGGATCATCATCTACCAGAGAACCCTTTTTTACAACACTGCACACATAATCTCTAATGATAATTCATTCCCCTTGTTCTGCTCTGCTCTGCTCTGCTCTGCCCGCCGCTGTCCTGCTGTAACCGTGCAACACCCGCAAAAGCAGCACCAGAAGCCGGAGCCGTGCGAGCTGCCAGTGGGGGGAGGATTTGCAGCCGGCGCGACGCCTGATAGGCCATCGGCTGGCAAACGATATTAGAACCTCCCACTTGGAGAGTCTAGAATACTCCAATCCCTCCGAGTGGGAAAAAAAGGGGCCAGGAGTAGGGAGGTAAAGGTACTGAAGCTGTGGATTGATTCTATACAGAGGGAGAGGCGGTCTCTCTATACCCTACATTGGTCTCATATACATATACATATACATTTCCCTCTCACGCAAGACTGCAAGTCTTTCCCCTTAGATCCTTTCTTTGTGCGTTATATACAGTACAGAGTCTACAGACAGATCATCCCGTGTTTCTCTGATCGTAATGGCGCAACATGTAAATCCGCTGACATAATCCACCCCTCGAAATCAACGGCTGGTTGAACTAAGCTCGATCAATCATCAACTGAGCTACCTTACCCGTGTGAACACGGCTGGAGAATTGGGCTTTCATCCCTTCACCAGGCACCCGTGCCGGGAGGACTAGAGATCGGGCTGCCTCGGGCTCCTGCGTCATGATTGATAAAGTCATCGATTGGGGATCCCCCTCTGCCGACGGCGAGAGCATTCTAACAAAGAACCTGGCTAGGACTGGGTGGCCCGGACGGGACGGTAGAATCACGTATCATTGAATTGCAATGTTTAATAATCCCATTGATATCATCGTCTATTGCACTGAGTAGAACAATTGCCAAGGAAATTCCGTCCAGATTAACAGAAGCCCTCCGCAGTTCCTCGGTATCTCCCGCTACGCCAGCATAATTTCTCGAGAAAGAATCTGAAAATGAACAAAATGAATCGGCCGAAGCCAGGTCGGCATGATGGTGCTGACGTTGGAGCAGCTATCGAACAAGGCCACTGGAAGATCATCATCCAGTGATATCAAACAAGATAGATGTTCATCATTCCTTTACTTCGTGCTCATCTCCAAATGGCGTCTCTCCTCTATCAATCGACGCTCCTTCGCCTCCTTGGGGTTTCTTGCTCGCCTTCTCGATGACCGCGCTGAGACTCACGTTGCTTTGGTGACGACTCAGGGCTGGATCACTGAAGGGGCCCTCCTCCATATTTGGCGTCTCATCGATAGTAGTCATGGGTTTTGAGGGGCCTGGAAGGCCGTTCTGAACCGGGGCGCGATTATCTGCTGCCCCTGTTTTCTGCGCTGGGCCGCCGGCAACTTTTATAACATGCGGTCTCATCTGAGTGGCCGCAGTCGCACTGTCCAGAGTAGACTTGACACTGAAGGCAGGGCTTGGAGGTCCATTTGCTCCGTATTTGCCGTAATCAACACTTGGGACAGGAGGCATTAGTTCGCTAGCACCGGCGCCGTTGGATCTGACACTGACGACAGCTGCCTTTCCTCGGATCACAGTCTGGGCAGGAACCGGAGAGACGACCGCATTCTTGCCATAAATAGTCGAAGCAACGCTGGTCCTGGCGTACGAAGTTCGATCGCTGATGCCAGAGTATGTGGAGTCTCGAAGATTGCCAGGCATGAAGAAGTGCTCATTCTCGTACCTTGGAGAGCTGGAAGCCGATGATAGTGCAATCGGGATCGGTGGAACGGGAGGTACGAGAAGGCCAGGTGTGGATGGCGCGGATCGGTTTGTGACACCTGGGATGTATGCGATCTGAATGATGTTGGAAGCGCGAGTAAGCACGGTAGAGGCGATAGAGCCGACCGTATGCGTTGAAGCCCGCGCATCTCGCCGTCTTGTGAAGTCCTTCTCGGCCCCAAGAGATCCGTCTGCATCGTTACCCCAATCTTCGGTTGCATACTGTTGCCTCTTTGTCTTGATACAGTATCTCCATACGAGATAAGTAACTATCGCGATACATGCAAGTCCTCCAACAACACCACCGACAATTGCTCCTACGTTTGGGCCAGAACTTGACGACTTTGGGGACGAGCTTATGGTCGATGGGGTAGCGGCATTGGCAACGCAAATGGTGTGTTGACATGTGTCGCATGATGGTGGGACCAGTGAACAGACCTCGTTCTCACTACAGACTGGACAAGAAGGTGCAGTAGGCGGGCATATGACACAATTTCGTCGGAAGAGGCTATGGTATGAGGCTAGAAAAACAATCAATCAGCAAGAGCAGTTCTTATATTGCGCAGGCTCGACGAACCTGCTCCATAGTACGCCATGTTGGCAGTGTTTTTGACGACCACGAATTTATCAAATCGTTTTCAAATCGACAATTAAGGCCAATGCGTGGGAGGTTCAAGAGGAATGTGGGCCTCGATATCGTATCGTCGTATACAAGATGCCGTTCTTCAAGACGAAGAGATCCAGCTCTAGAGACGGTACAGATTGGATTACGGAAGAAGTATCCCAGATACAATAACTTCCGTCGTCGTGATATAAGAAGCCGAGCGATAGAGAAGAGGAAGATTCGATGTAGTGTGCGCTGGGCAGTGATCGTGAAGAAAGGCGGGTCGTGAGGAAAGGCTGCGGTCGCAAGAAGGCGCCGGAAGGGATGGATGGGGGGGAGTAATTAACGAGTGTGGAAGAGAACAAGCTCTGCAGATATTTGGAGGGCGTCCGGACAGTATCGACTACATGGACATGGCCGGTGAGGCTTGATAGACCGGTGATGGATGACTTCCGTGGTGTTGCGCTGTCGATGAAAGGGCGATGATACTGTCGATGGTGGGTTGGGACTGGAACTTTGGAGGAGGGCGGATCAGCGACGACAGGTACAGTAAGGTGGAGGTGGATCACGGCGAATGCTACTGGATGGTGTTCCTGGCATTCTTGCAGGGAAGAGATGCGTCTCGATACGCCAGCCCCGGGAATGCGATAGAGAGGCTCCGTCGCGCTGTAAGCGGGCCAATGGAACTTGCCATCCGAGTGGAGGGGCTGGGACCCCGCCGTAGAGCTATAAATCTTCTGGCCCCGTTCTAGCCGGGCTATCTCGACGGGTAATTTCGACAAGTTTATGCAGCGCGAGCGAATCAGAACGCCCGTCACGGTCTTTGCCTTACGGTGCACGTTACGGATGCAGCAACTGCACGGAGTACTCCGTCAATGGCGGCGAGCCTCATTATTATTTATTATTTATTGTTCCACCCTTCGATTGAGAGAGGCCATTATTCAGAGGGGCCAAACCACTACTCCGAAAAGCCCATCACGGAATCGTGAGTGCCATTCTGCCTCGGCATTTTTGCCCATGGTGGTTTAGGAAGGCTGGGCTTCTTCACCGGAGGATACTTATCCACCCTCAGCATATAGCACTGTGCAGGTCTCCTTTGCCCCTTTCCCATCCATGACACGATATGGTTCATGAAGGATCCAAGAGACGAACGAAGGAGCAGTATGATACTTGATATCAGTGCTCCTCGCCCATCCTAAGCCAGTTCAATTGGAGGAAGCAGGAACACGGCCTTCGTACACTTCGAGAAGTGAAATAGGTAATAGGGAATGTCGTGGTGCAGGCAAGGAATGAACTCGAACATGTGTAATGCTCTGTGGAGTCCCGACACTAGTGCCCCCATTATATGAGGTGTCTATGCCTTCAACTGGAGCTGTCAATAGTGTTATCCATCAAGTCATAAAGTGTCTTTTTCAGGGCCTGTTCAAAGTCCCTACCGTAAACCCTCATCAGCCCTCGACTCCTCAACTCCTCGACTCCTCGACTCCTCGATCCCTCGACTCCCCTATTCCCCTACTCCCCAACTCCTCGACTCCTTACCTCCTCCCCGCTCTCCCCCCAGGGTTCCAAATTCCAATCCTCTCTCGACCATGATTATCACGTGCCCGCCCCTAAACGCGCACGCTCGGCAGTCGGGAGTCGGGAGTCGGGAGGGCCCAATGTCAGCGGAACGGCCGCTCGTATGAAGGCGCTTTTAATCCTGGGACTGACAGCTTTTTGCCCCGTAAAGATCCTATTTTTAGCTTGACCCTGACCCCGGCCGGCGGGACTCTTGGCGCCAGCCCAGCGAAGGCGGTGGGAAGTCGGGAACAAAGAAAACCGTTCTTCAGTCGACGCCGTTATTCGAGGGTTTGAGACCGACCGGTGAAGGGCTAGCTGGCCGTGTTTTTGCTGCTGCGAAGAGGGCATGGCATGTCTCTGTGTCTTGAAGGGCTTTGTCTGATTATTCTGTCCGGCGCAGAGTGTCCTCCGAGTGGTCCTCGTTTCACGAATCCTCGCTGAAACATACCAGACACGAGGACATGTCAACCCAGCCTCCAAGCCTCAGGCCTCCGCCGCTCTACTGGATGACGCCGCAGCCAAGTACAAGTCTCTGTTCGTAAAATCGCCACATCACGACTCCAACCCCCCCGAAGCTGAGTATTTTCTGCAGACGGGAGGCTGTAGTTTATATGTACAGTCGAAATAGCAGCTGAGATCGACTACACGGATCAGGGAGGCTGAGCACCCATTCGAGACCCCCCCCCGGTCGCCTAAGTACTTACACGAGGCTTTTCCCTCTTCTTCGTAAGTCAAGCCAAGCGAGACCCTCCCAAATCCCATCCCGGCCGCGATCAATTGTGAAAACTTCCTGGGCCCTTCCTGGATCCTGACGAAACCCCCTTCAACTCTTCCAAGACCAACCCTTTCTACATTCCTTCACTCGTTTCCCTCAACAGCCTTCGTTATTTTTTATTCCTTAATATTCTCCCCGGACCCTCCTTCTAAGAGCCAACTCCCGACGCCCCTTGTAGCCATTCTTGGCTTGGTACGCCCCCCCCTGACCCTTCACCATCCCTCGATCGAGCCGACGACGACGGCGTCAGCGTCACAACTTCAGCAGAAGAACTCCCAGCGTATTAACCGTCTCCAGACCGGTAGCCCTCCGTCACCATGGCTTACTCTGGAAATGGGGAGTACGATGAGCACAAACTCCAAGATCTCCCTCCCGGGAGCACAGTCAGTTCCGCAGTCCAACAATTGTTGGCCATCATCTAACTTTGCTATTCCAGTATCACCTACCTCCGCAGCACGACGAGGAGGATGGTGGAAATCTTCCCTTACTCCATCAAGCACCTCACCCAGGTCCCTTCGCGAGTCCCTACGACGATTCAAACCTTCGAGTTGCTACCCCTCCCGTGAGGCCAGTATCCGCCTACAGTCTCACAGAATCGTATGCTCCGGGTGCCACAACCACACCATTCAGCAGCAGCGAATATGGCAGCAGCTCGACGGCATACGGTCAACCAGAGACAGGTCCATATGCGCGGGTCGGCTCTCCCTACTCGAGGGCCGAGACTGATTCCACCGAAGCATGGCGCCAGCGACAGGTTCCTGGAGCTGGTGGTCTCAAGCGTTATGCCACAAGGAAGGTTAAATTGGTCCAGGGGAGCGTCTTGAGTGTCGACCATCCCGTTCCTAGCGCCATCAAGAATGCCATACAAAAAAAGTACAGGGATGATCTAGAGGGAGGCAGCGAGGAGTTTTCACACATGCGGTATACAGCTGCCACCTGCGATCCTGACGAGTTTACCCTAAAGAATGGCTACAATCTACGACCCGCGATGTACAATCGCCATACCGAACTTCTGATCGCCATTACCTACTACAATGAAGACAAGCAGTTGACGGCTCGTACGTTACACGGTGTGATGCAAAACATTCGCGACATTGTGAACCTCAAAAAATCCGATTTCTGGAACGTGGGCGGACCTGCCTGGCAAAAGATTGTGGTGTGTCTCATCTTTGATGGTATCGATCCCTGTGACAAGGATACTCTTGATCTTCTCGCAACAGTCGGAGTTTACCAAGACGGTGTCATGAAGAAAGATGTCGATGGCAAGGAGACTGTGGCCCATATTTTCGAATATACCACACAGTTGTCTGTGACCGCAAACCAACAATTGATTCGACCCTCGGATGACTCGGACAATACTCTCCCACCTGTACAAATGATGTTCTGCTTGAAGCAAAAGAACAGCAAGAAGATCAACTCCCATCGATGGCTCTTCAACGCGTTTGGTCGTATTCTAAACCCTGAGGTCTGCATTCTTCTCGATGCAGGTACGAAGCCTGGACCGAAATCTTTACTATCTCTCTGGGAGGGATTCTATAACGATAAGGACCTTGGAGGAGCATGTGGTGAAATCCATGCAATGTTGGGTAGGGGAGGTCGCAAACTTCTCAATCCCTTGGTGGCTGGTCAGAATTTTGAGTACAAGATCAGTAATATTCTTGACAAACCACTCGAGAGCTCTTTCGGATATGTCAGTGTCTTGCCCGGAGCATTCTCTGCCTACCGATTTAGAGCAATCATGGGTCGACCTTTGGAGCAGTACTTTCACGGCGATCATACCCTTTCCAAAGTGTTGGGGAAGAAAGGAATTGAAGGGATGAACATCTTCAAGAAGAACATGTTCTTGGCCGAGGACAGAATTCTCTGTTTCGAATTGGTTGCCAAAGCCGGGTCGAAATGGCATTTAACATACATCAAAGCCGCGAAAGGCGAGACTGATGTCCCTGAAGGAGCCCCTGAATTCATTGGACAGCGTAGAAGATGGCTCAACGGTTCATTTGCAGCAAGCATTTACTCCATCATGCACTTTGGCAGAATGTAAGTTTCTGAACCGGTTTAGATTGCCTTCCTTTATCTAACCAAAATCTCTACAGGTACAAGAGTAGCCACAACATTGTGCGGATGTTTTTCCTCCACATCCAACTGCTCTACAACATGTTCTCCGCTGTCATGTCTTGGTTCATGCTGGCATCTTACTGGCTGACCAGTACGGTTATCATGGACCTTGTAGGACAGCCTGTTGCGGCATCTGCTACAAGTGCGGCTCACCACGGCTGGCCTTTCGGTGACAAAGCGACTCCTATCATCAATACTATCCTTAAGTACCTCTATCTCGCATTCCTGATCACGCAGTTCATTCTCGCACTTGGAAACCGACCAAAAGGCTCAAGGATCACTTACATCCTATCGTTCATTGTCTTTGGTGTCATCAACCTCTACGTTATTGTTGATTCCATGTATCTGGCCGTCCGTGGTATCGCTGGTACGAGTATATCTACCGACAGTGCCGATGATTTTTTCAAGAGCTTCTTTGGTTCGTCCAATGGTTCTGGAGGCATCATCATTATTGCATTGCTCGCTACGTATGGTCTCTACTTCGTCGCCTCGTTCCTGTATCTCGACCCATGGCACATGTTCACTTCCTTCGGCCAGTATCTACTGCTCATGTCATCTTACATCAATGTTCTCATGGTGTATGCCTTCAGTAACTGGCACGATGTCTCCTGGGGTACTAAAGGATCTGACAAAGCCGATGCTCTTCCTTCTGCGCAAACAACAAAGGTTGACGGGAAGGCAGCTGTGATTGAGGAGATCGATAAACCACAGGAGGATATTGACAGTCAGTTCGAAGCTACAGTGAAGCGGGCGTTAAAGCCTTTCGTGCCTCCGGTGGAGGATGAGAAAAAGACGCTTGAGGATTCTTATAAATCCTTCAGGACGAAGCTTCTGATGTGCTGGGTCTTTTCGAATGCTATATTGGTAGTTATTATCACCAGCGATAGTGTTGATAGTTTTGGGTTCGGGGTAAGTAACTCATCTTTTTCATATTTATGTGCCTGCTGCTAATACATCCATACAGGACAAAGCATCCATCCGTACAGCCAGATTCTTCGAGGTTCTGCTATACGCAACTGCTGTCTTGTCCTGTGTTCGTTTCATTGGGTGTCTTTGGTTTTTGGGAAGATCTGGTATTATGTGTTGCTTCTCGAGACGTTGAGAAAATCCATTCCGAGTCGGCGGAATCATGATGGTTTGCTCAGTTGTGGGTTTGCTTGGGGTTAATCCAATCATCCAGCGAATGCTCTTTCCTTATAATATTAGATCCAGCCTTGGTAGGCTCTTGACATTCTCGCAAAATGGCGTTCTGAGTTCAGTAAAACGGTATACTTGTATTTCAACGTTGCATAGGAATCAGAATACCCTCTTGAATTTTCGGTATCACGTATTACATGAAGTATCTACGACCTCCCTTGAATCTTCGAGAGTCGTTCAAGTATGTGCAACTACATGTATAAAGTATATATACTCAAGAAATGCAATTACTCCCCTTGGACAAAGTGAACCAAAGGGGTTAGTAAGATACCTTCTCAGTCACTGGAGCAAAATCCCAAAATGTATATCGTATCAATATTCGTAAAAGTGTGGCTTGCCTGACAATCCGAGATCCTACAGAAACAAGCTTCTGCTCACTCGAGATTTCATCTTTGAATTTGAGCAAGAAAAGAAACATTAATTCTGTTATCAAGCCCGCACTTGCGTTGACTTGGAACGCGATTGATTTTTTTATGGAGCGCTCGAGAATGTGCCGTTGTTGTCAAGCTGTGCTTCATCTATAACTGATTTCGAGGCTATTATTACAGAACCGAGTTTCCGCCTTGCACCACCCCCGCCATCCGTCCCTCGACAACAAACGTCCTTCTCTCTCGAATACAACCCCGCTCCTGTCAAGATGTTGAAGATATGGTCTATGGTAAGCCTGATAACCCCGCTCCCGCATGTCACTCTGTCATTTTCATCCCACCTGATACTCCACGCGATGCTGAGTATGGCCCACAGAAGCAAAAGCAGCAGCAGGATGCAAACGCAGATGCTGCTGCGGGTACTAAGAAGAAGAAAGTGACGGCAGCGCAACTGCGCATCCAAAAAGGTATTTGCGCAGTGTTGCTCTCTCTTATCGGTCTGTTCTTCGCTGACCTCTTCTGCCTGCAGATCTCTCAGAGCTTGCGCTGCCGAGTACCATGAAGACCGACTTCCCTGACCCAGACGATACCCTCAACTTCACCCTCACCATCGAACCGGACGAGGGTATGTATAAAGGCGGACGGTTCCATTTCACATTCGCCATCCCCCAAAGTTTTCCTCACGAGGCGCCTAAAGTCAAATGCACACAAAAGATCTACCACCCGAACATCGATCTGGACGGAAACGTATGCCTGAACATTTTACGAGAGGATTGGAAACCGGTGTTGAACTTGCAGGCGGTTATTATTGGGCTGCAGGTACGGGAACAGCCCCCAAGTGCTACGAAGCTGGAAGTCACACTGACATCACATCTGCAGTTCCTCTTCCTCGAGCCAAACGCCTCCGATCCTCTCAACAAAGAGGCAGCGGAAGATCTACGGTCGAATAGAGAGGGGTTCAAACGGAACGTCCGTTCAGCAATGGGGGGTGGGTCAGTGAAGCACCAGACTTTCGAGAGGGTTTTGAAGACTTGAACGAAGAAGATAAGATCTATCTAGAGTTGAAGCAAGTTCATACGAGTATAAATGCATGATGAGGCGTTGACATGGGAGGATTTCAATGGAGTCAATGCGGTCTGGTCTCGTTACTTCAGGAAGAGCGTAGAATCCAAACCAGATCAGATCACCTATGTTTCTCCAGCCGTTGTCTCGTCGGGGTGAGGATTTCGCGAGACAACCGTATATTGAGTGAGCAAGCAATCACCCAACAATCAGGCTGTGTATGACCTTGACCTGCAGATCCGCCAATACACGATTCACACTTCAAGCTCACAAACTTCATCTGCATATCCCGTCTATAGAGTGATTCGTAAAATAGATCGTCTAACTGGGTCACGGCTCAGCTCGCCCTCGCTCTCGCTCTCCGAGGTGCCCAGCCTGAGGCTCAGGCTGAGGCCTCATTCGTTATCAACAAGCGAGGCGGACAGCGATCTCGGAAGCTGGGGAAAATTTCAGAAAGTTCGAAAGCTCGAGTCATCAATAAACAAACACAATCCATCTTCCTTTTCCTCTCTCCCAACCCACTCCACTCCATCCAAATCCATTCAAAATGGCCTCCCGCACATTCTCCAGAGCTCTCCGATCGCCATTGGCGAAGCAACTCCGCGCTCCTGCGCGCAGAACCTTTGTCTCTGCCATCAACGCCTCTTCCAGACCTACTGCCCGTGCTGTTGTAGCTTCAGCTCAACAGGTCAGAGGAGTCAAGACTATTGACTTCGCTGGCACCAAGGAGAAGGTTTACGGTACGGCCTGCATGATCCGCACACTTATGCTCTATGACTGACATTGTTTTCTATAGAGAGAGCCGACTGGCCTGCTGCGAAGCTCCAGGTATATGACACACTTAGCAACGGTTTCGGGGTAATCATTAACATTCAGCCTAGGAATACTTCAAGAATGACACAATGGCCATCATTGGATACGGATCCCAAGGCCACGCCCAATCCTTGAACATGCGTGACAACGGACTGAACGTCGTCGTCGGTGTGCGAAAGAACGGTCAATCGTGGAAGGACGCTCAACAAGATGGCTGGATCCCAGGCAAGAACCTCTTCGAGGTTGATGAGGCTATCTCCAGGGGTACCATCATCATGAACTTGCTCAGTGATGCTGCTCAGAGTGAGACCTGGCCAGCCATCAAGCCCCAGATCACCAAGGGAAAGGTATGTACAGCCAGAAACATCCTAGGAAGATCGCTAACAATAACAGACCCTCTACTTCTCCCACGGTTTCTCCCCAGTCTTCAAGGACCAAACCAAGGTTGATGTTCCATCTGATGTTGATGTCATCCTCGTTGCCCCCAAGGGATCTGGCCGAACCGTCCGAACCCTCTTCCGTGAGGGACGTGGTATCAACTCCTCCATTGCCGTTTACCAGGATGTGACCGGCAAGGCCAAGGAGAAGGCCGTTGCTCTTGGTGTCGGAGTTGGCAGCGGTTACCTCTACGAGACTACCTTCGAGAAGGAGGTGTACTCAGACTTGTACGGTGAGCGTGGTTGCTTGATGGGAGGTATCCACGGTATGTTCCTCGCCCAGTACGAGGTTCTCCGCGAGCAAGGCCACAGCCCCAGTGAGGCCTTCAACGAGACCGTTGAGGAGGCCACCCAGAGCTTGTACCCATTGATTGGTGCGAACGGTATGGACTGGATGTACGAGGCTTGCTCCACCACCGCTCGCCGTGGTGCCATTGACTGGAGCAGCCGCTTCAAGGATGCCTTGAAGCCTGTCTTCAACGACCTGTACGACTCCGTCAAGACCGGAAAGGAGACCCAGCGATCTCTCGACTTCAACTCCCAACCCGACTACAGAGAGAAGTACGAGGCTGAGATGCAAGAGATCCGTGACTTGGAGATCTGGAGGGCAGGAAAGGCCGTTCGGTAAGTCAAGATCAGGCGCTCCTTGTTACGATGGTGCTAATATCTGTTTCTAGTTCTCTCCGTCCCGAGAACCAGTAAGCTGTTCGATAGAGCGTTGGGGTGTTATTTCTGATTCTGGAGTGAAAACCTGGGGAACTGTAATATACTCTCCAAATTGGAATCTGCGGTATGCGGAATTGCTAAAAGTTATGATTACCTCTTGAACGTTTATTACATCTTTCTTTTCCTCGAAAATAATCATCGCGCCTTGTCTTTCTTCTAGCACGTGCTCTGAACTGTGGGGCATCTTCCGGAATCGGCAGTCATTCCACCGAAGTGTTTACTCCAACAAAACCACATTGAAACATATTCACGACCTCCGGGTTATTTCTCCCTCCACCACCTTGTTTTCTTCCAGCCCCAATACGCTATAGTCGCCGCTCCTCCACCTCCTCATCAAGCATCGAGAATGGCCGATCCCGCAAAATGCCCGCCTCTAACCCGCGCCTCGGTCGTCGCCGCGCACTCCTTAGTGAAGCCATACATCCATTACACGCCGGTCCTCACAAACACAACGCTCACAACCCTAGCCTCCACTCCGCAGTCTGTCTCCGCGTTAGAAGGCACGCCGTGGGCAGGTCAAGAGCCCGCAAAGCCCAAGATTAGGTTATGGTTCAAGTGCGAGAATCTGCAAAAGGTGGGGGCGTTTAAGGTGCGGGGAGCTTTCCACGCCCTTACAAGATTAGTAGCAGAAGAGGGCTGGGAAGAGCAGGGCGGGAGGGAGAGGGGCGTTGTTACGCATAGTTCTGGTTTGTATTCCCGCCTCATTATCTCCTGATGGCCTCTTTGGGACTCTTCCCAAAGAAACCAACCCATTACTGCTGTGAGAGAGCAACCTTTTGCTGATTGAGGACCGTACAATGGGACAGGAAACCACGCACAAGCCCTCGCCCTCGCCGCGCGCACCATGGGCATCCCCGCGACGATCGTAATGCCGCGAATCTCCACGCCCTCCAAAATCGCAGCGACCCAGTCATACGGTGCGCGCGTCGTCTTCAGCGGCTCCACCTCTACGGAGAGAGAAGCGGTAGTGGCAGATGTGATCAAAGAGACGGGCGCGCGGCTGGTGCCACCGTATGATCACCCGGACATTATCTTAGGACAGGGCACGCTGGGCTTAGAGATGCAGACACAGGTTGAGGAGATGATTGCGTCAGGTCAGGGGCAGGCGGGGGAGAAGACGAAGAAAGGGAAGGGATTAGATGCCATCATTGCGCCGTGCGGCGGCGGCGGTATGCTCTCCGGCACAGCCTTGAGTTGCGAAGGCACCGGCATCTCAGTCTTCGGCGCCGAGCCCGAATTCCAAGGCGCTGACGATTGCAAACGCGGCCTCGCAGCCGGGAAGCGCATCGAGAGCGTCTCCACGCTCACCATCGCCGACGGGTTGCGGACGCCCGTCGGCGCCTACCCCTGGACGATCATCCACGACCGGAAACTGGTCCGGGCCATGTACAGCGTGACGGAGGAGCAGATCAAGGCGGCGCTGCGGCTGGTCCTCGAGCGGATGAAGATGGTGGTGGAGCCGAGCTCGGTGGTGGGCCTGGCGACCGCCCTGTACAATGAGGATTTCCGCCGGCTGGTGGAACAGGAAGGCGGGGAGCAGGGCTGGGATCTGGGGATTGTGTTTAGTGGCGGGAATATCAGTATCGAGGCGTTGGGCAAGATGTTTGAACCTGCTGAGAAGAAGGCATAGCCGCATAGATATGAGCTAGGAAGAAGATAAGGTGGGGAAAAGATGGGAAAGGTGGATGTGAGATTGCTGCTGAAATCGGCTCTGTTTGGATCATGTGCTGATGATCGTTTACCTTATACCCGGATATCTGCACAATCTGACTGATGAGTGAGTGGTATATGGGTTGAGGAAAAGATCCAAGTAGATCAGGGGCGGGGGTGGATAGGACAAGAACTGCGCGGAAACTGAAATACAAGATACCAATTATTACCCAGACCTATCAAGAAAGACCGTGCTGGGGAATGTGGCTCGCTCAGCCTTTCAGCAATGATTAGTTTCTTGTGCTCTGGAATTGAGGCTCTGACTGATGAACACGGCTTCACTGTTTAAATTGACACACAATAACGCAAATGGCAACAGAATCTATATATGTGTATTGAGTATTTAAAAGTTCCTAACTCGTCCTATTTCATCTATCAATCATAAATCCATATCCATAAAGCAGCACTACTTCTTCTTGATGATCCAACAAACATTCGCAACCCTTCTTCTTACCACTTAATGCTTAATTCCCAGCTGCTTCTCAATCTGGATAAACTCCACCGCCATATCATGGATACTCTCCTCCAGCGAGCGGAACTTGATGCCGAGCTCGGTCCGGATCTTGGTGGTATCGACATCGTACGTGTCGGGGAGGGGCTCGTTCGGGTTGCCCTCGGGCGTCAGGTGTCTCCGCTCGGGGAAGTCCTTGCGCAGGACGTTGCAGATCTGCTGGAAGGTGTAGCGGCCCGCGGTGCACAGGTAGCGCTGGCCGGCGGAGGCCGGGTTCTCGTAGGCGCGCACATGGGCCTCGCCGACGTCGCGGACGTCGACCCAGAGGTAGAAGGAGGTCGCGGGCACCTCCTTCTGGCTGCCGTCCATGAGGTGGTAGATCTCGGCGGCCGACGTGTTCAGCTTGCTGAGGTCGGACACGGTGTGGGCCGTGGGGCCGTACACCATGGGCGGGCAGATGGTGGTGATGTTGAAGTTGGGGTTGTGCTCGGCGACGTAGTCGAAGGCCGCTTTCTCGGCCAGCTTCTTGGAGGCGCAGTAGGCGACGGGGCCTGGGGCGTCCTTCTTCGCAGCCTCCTCGTAGGAGATGGGGTTCCAGTCCTTCTCGGTGTAGGTGTGGCCTGGTCGCAGACCCTTGTTCAGGTCGAGGATCGAGGCGAAGGAGGAGGTGATGACAACGCGCTTCACGTTGGGGTTGTGCTTCTGGATCGATTTCAGGACTTCGGTGGTGCCCCTGACGGCGGGTTGGAGGAGATCGCGCTCGTTGTCCTCGACTGAGAGGACGAAGGGAGAGGCAGTGTGGATGACCTAGACAAGGAGATTAGCCCCTGATATTGAAGTACTCGAGGTATTCGAGGACAACTTACCCCGTCGACGCCCTTGACAGCCTCGTCATGACCTCCGGGAAGCGCAACATCCTTGACAATTGCAAAAGACAGTTGGTCAAGGTACTTGCTGTGAGACTTCTTCACGTTCTCGGCAGTCGCTTCACTGCGGACAGTGGTCCTGACATTGTAACCGCGCTCAAGGAAGGCATTGAGGACATGAGCGGCAACGAAACCCGATCCTCCGGTGATCAGGACAGTCTTTCCTTTTCCCGACATAGTAGCTGAATGGTTTGGGGGGTTAGATACGAAGCAGGAAATCGGAGAGATGTGAAAATGACGGTAAGATGCCAGACAAGGAGACTAGGAGAAAGGCACTTGACTCTAGAACGGGAGAAGGCCGGTTGACCATATATATACCTCCCTCTTTGGATGATACATCATCATATTAGGTTGTCACTCTGTGAAGATTAACTTAGTTAACGCCGTCCCCTCCACTCTAGCAGATTCGGAGTTTACGACATGACGAAAGAGCGTGGCAAGCGTTATGCTTCTAAATGGAACCCGCGTACCGAAGAAGTGGAACCTCATCGGCCCCTTCGGTTGCGCGGGAGGGTATCACATGACCTGGGCTGGTTAGCAATCCGCTTTAGGACAATGGAACATGTAACTAACAGTATTATATAATGTCGTCGTGCATTACAAACCATCTCGAATCCATTGAATCTAGGTATACGCGGATCCAGACGTCTATGTTGTCTTCAGCCCTTTCGGAAAATAATAAGCGAGGAAGCCAGGTGGGTGTCCCTAGCCCGGCTCGGCTCACACCAATGGTTGCTTTATCGCCGATGAGATGCACAAAAACATTTCATTATCTCCAACGGCAGAAGTCTTTCCATGGATGCCCGTGGAAGATGATCATCGGAGTCTTTGATCACTCGTCTGCTATCTCCGATATCTCCTTCCTACCCAAACCTTCCCAGGTGTCCTCGAGCAACTGGTCTCCTGAGATGGGCGGCTGCATCGAGTGGTCGAAGCTATGAAAGTTTCTTACGCTCGACCTGCAACCAAACGTGAGCAGGCGTTTGTTGTTTGCTTGTTTGTTTCAGCATGTGTGTCTCTTTCACTCATTCTTTCCTTCTTTCCTTCTTTCCTTCTCTCTTTCTTTGCCTTTCTCTTCTTCCCCTTTCTTTCGGAGGTTGCGGCGGTGAGAATCTCACATTTCTTACCATGCTTTTTCCAAGCCGTGTGAGACCTCCTTCCCAAGATGGCTGAACACGCCACGATGGATGTCTTCGCCACCATGGACGAGGAAACCGCAGCTCTGATCATCCAGCTGCAGATCGAAGACAGCCAGGAGCTTTCCGCCATCTCTGAGGGCAAAGGCAAAGGAAAGGAGGGGGATGTATCGGACGCCGAGCTTGCATTAGGTCTGTATAACGAGGATCTGCGACAGAGAGCTTCAATCATCCAAGACCGGCAGATGACCAAGAGTATTGCTCGTGCTTGCCAGACAGATGGAAATGCGCTCGCAGCCTCCCTGGCGGAAGAGCAGACCGCTGCAACCGATCGTGGAGCTGCTGGCAGACTTGGCGGAGTGACAGCACCAGCCCCTGTTGAGCCGTGGACCATCACTTCGGAGGAACTGGACGAAGAATTGCTGGCAAAGCTGTCCGCTCTTTACGTTGAATCCGCTACTGAAGAATCGGGTCTCGAGATCGCAGAGGCTGAAAGTTTGTCAGACGGCGAGCATGACAACCCAGAATCTTCGGAGTGGGCTGCTACGAGAACACCATCAAAGACTCTTCATCGGCGTTGTGTTGCTTGTCGAGAGCACGTGAAGTACTACGATATCGCCCGTGTTCCTTGCGGCCACGAGTACTGTAGAGACTGTCTTCGAGACCTGTTCCAGGCCTCAATGACAGATGATTCTCTATTTCCTCCCAAATGCTGTCGCCAACCACTTGTCTCGGGCGGCGTGCGTATCTTCTTGACCCCCGAACTCGTCAAGGAATATGAACGGAAGAAAATCGAATACGATACTCCGAACCGAACATACTGTTCTAATCCCGTCTGCTCGTCCTTCATCAAGTTGGGAGACATCGCCAATGAGCTGGCTACTTGTACGGAGTGCGGTACGATCACTTGCACCATGTGCAAAGCAGTTCAACATACCGGGGACTGCCCGGCTGATACTGCATTGCAGCAAGTTCTCGAGGCAGCAGAAGAGAATGGCTGGCAACGCTGCTATTCATGCCGCCGCTTAGTAGAGCTAGACGTTGGCTGCCACCACATGACGTTCGTGCACCTCTCCCCTCTGACCAGTCCTCACTAAAACCCCCTAGATGCCCTTGCGGCGCGCAGTTCTGCTACGCCTGCGGCCTAAGCTGGAAAACCTGTCCATGCCCCCAGTGGAGCGAAGAGCGCCTTTTCGCGCGCGCAACCCAGGTCGTGGCACGTCGACCCGCCCATGCGAATCCGCAGGCGCAGTTCGCCACAGCAGTGCAGAATCTCCGGGACAGACACGATTGCAACCATCTTCTTTGGCTGTACGTGCGTGGTCGGCACCAGTGCGAGGAGTGCCGTCAGACGTTGCCGACGTACATCTTTGAATGTCGACAGTGCAATATCCAGGCTTGCAACAGGTGTAGACGGAATAGGTTATGATGGAGCGTAGGTAGGAGTTAGTTTGTTAGGACGGCGCAATCTTAGAGAAAGGCAGGCATTTAGTTGGTATGCTAGATGAATAGCAAACTACCCCTTATCTGCAGTTCGGGAAGCATTCATATTTATCAGCTATTATGAAAATAACCCTAAAGTTGATTTAAGGGGGAGGTTCTTCTTTCTTAAAGGCGTTTTTTTCTTCTTCCCCTCCTTCAGTTCTCCTTCTTCAGTTCTCCTTCTTCAGTTCTCCTTCTTCAGTTCTCCTTCTTCAGTTCTCCTTCTTCAGTTCTCCTTCTTCAGTTCTCCCTCCCCTCCTACCCTCCTACTTACCCTCCTACTTGTTCTTCTCGACCCAAATCCAATTCTTCAAATCCTCGCCAATCTATCCTTCCTATATAAAAAACCAACCCAAACATCCATACCCCTCTTCCTTCCTTCCTGCTTTTATATCTCCACATGAATCATTAACCAGATCTCATATTTAATACAATCATATCTCATCTTACTTATCTCTAGGACCACCCAGTACTACCAACCCCCCCCCCCCCAACCAAACCCAACCAAAAAAAATAAAAATAAAAAACAAAAAACAAAAAGAACATATAACGTATTATGAAAATCGTTTTTCAATTCAATTCCATATCAATCATGCTAATATCAATCAATCTAATATCAATCAATCCGACATCATCATTCTAATATCAATCAATCTAATATCATCAATCTAATATCATCAATCCCTAAAAAGCAGAAGAAAAGGATCACTGAATTACCAGCCGCTAAAATAACTACATCATCATCAACTAACAAAAGCTAACCCATCGTCCCAAGAGAGACAGAGACGCCTGGCTCGAAGACCAATTCAGAAACCAAGATTTACAGAAAACACCAAACCAAACCGCCCAGGAATCATTCATCATATGTACTTCTTTTTTTCTTTTCCTCTCTCTCTCTTTATTTCTTGACTCGTTCTTTTTGATCTACTCGCCTCTTCCCCGGTGGTTCCCCATCTTCTCAATAGAGCTCATGATCCCACTACGATATCCCAATCCGCTTCCTGGCCTCGTGCCCTGGGAGCTGCCACTTCGGCTCCGTTCGTGTGCACTCCCCGCCGGTGCACCGAATCCTCCCCTCCCGATGCGGCTCTCTCCGGGAGCAATGCTGGAGATGTTGGTGGGTGCACGCAGACCTGAAGCTCGGGAGATGCTGCCTCGCAGGTTCTCGATTGTGTTGGGTTGGCTGCTCTGCGGTCCAGGGGCTTTACTTGGCTGGGTTGCGGTTGCCGGAGCCGAGTTCATCTCGGCGAGCATGTCATCGAACGCAGCTACCAGCGGGATCATCTCGTCGACTGCCTGCACAAGCTTTCCTTTCTCAACTCTTTCGCTGTCGAGGAGTTCGCGCAGTTCGTCATTGTCCCTCTTTACGCTCTTTACAATCTCCGAAAGACCCTCCAGCTCCGCCTCGAGTTCTTTTGTCCTGGCATCTCTCGCAGCTTGCTTCTCTAATTCTTCCGTGACTTCCAAGGGGTTCTTGGGCTCAACTTTGGTCATCGTCGTGTCTCGCCCAAGCTTCAATTCCTCATTTTCTTTGGTAAGTTCTTCAACCCGCTCTTCCAACTCCTTGACCTTCTTATCCCACCGGCGCTCGTAGCTTTTCTTCAGGGCTGCCACTTTGGTTTCGTGCTTGTCTTTGTACAAGGAATGCAGCTCTCTTGAGACCTTCTCGACCGCTAGTTCAACTGTTCTGCCTCCACAGCTACATTCTCCTCCTGGCTTGTTCTCGACAGCCTCTGGAGTTGGCGAGATCTTGCCGGAACGCATGGCGGCCATCTTGCTTTCGGCCTCTTGGGCCATCATCTCCGCCGCCTCTCTTCTCCTCTCGCTCTCCTCCAATCTTCCCTCGAGATTATCTCGCTCCCGTTCACCGTGTAAGATCTCTTCCTTTACATTTCGAAGGACCGACTCCATTTCTTTGCCCCTCTTTTCCCAACCCTCCCTCTCTGCAGCGAGCTGTTCCTTCAGATCTCTCTCCTCTCGCAACTGCTCCATACATTCACCAACCCTCTTCTCTGCATCGCCAACCGCGGTCTTGAGTGACTGTACCTCGGCTTCTTTTCCACTCAGAGAAGCTTTCAGACTACTTATCTCGGATAAGAAGCTCGATTTCAAACTCTCAAGCTCTCTTGGAGTGATAGTTGGCAGGCTCCGAGGTGTTGGAGCCGGAGGGATATCAAAGTCCAGAAGATTCGACATATGTCGATTTACGGAGGGAGTGATAGAGCCGAATAAATCTGGCGTCGTTGAGCTCTTCGTAGGAGAAAGTCTGGCTTGCTTTGCGGGAGATAGATAGCGACCAGAAAATCCGGAGATCTGTTCAGTAAAATCGAGGATAAGGTTAGTGGTATTTCCATCGTCCTTGTTCTGGTCGTATTTGTTGCCTCGAGGGGTTGGAGAAGGAGAATGATTCATTGTTCTTCGAGAAGTAGCTGGAGTGCTCATTTGAGTCCGTCGTGGACTAGGGGTCATTCCGGCAGGTTTGGTAGGACTGTGTCCAATCTTTGCAAACATGGTCATGTCCGGTACAGCTGAGAACGTGCTGAATGTGCTGACCATTGTGTCGTCCATATTGGGGGCCTCGTCAGAACCAGCGCGACCAATGCTGGTCAGGGTATCATTCGCCTCGTCATCAAAGTCTTCGTGAAGTTCGCTGTCCTCATCCTCCAATATCTCAATAGCTTTCGTAAGACCCTCGTTGTCGCGCAGAGCATCCTCGAGGCTCATTTTCCTCTCCACAACAACTGGGCGTTTCTCGGGCGAGATAGAAGGCCTGACGGGAAACCTCTTCTCCGGCGACGACAGCTTCCGTGGGCTTCGCGATGGCTCTGAGGACTTCTGTGGTGATGCGGACTTGGGCTCAGGCGAGCTGCGTATCTTCAATGGCTTCAATGGCGAGGTTTGCTCGCGCTCGACAGAGCTTTGCGCGGCAGGTCGGGGCGTTTTGCTCGGGGAGATGTTTTCGCTATTGCTCAGATTTGTAACATCTGCAGCAAATGGAGAGCTTGGGGGGCCGTCGCTATCGGTGTCTGTTATTGCCTGTGTGGTGAAGCTGGTAACCTCGTAGTCCATATGGCGTGCGGACGAGTAGGGGGTCACAAATGGTGTGGAGGAAGGTGTCGCAGAGTTGAGAGCTGCAGCTGCAGCGTCGGTCAATGGCGAAACCATTGGGGGCAACAACTATCTCTGTGATCCAAGTTGCGTATAAAAGTTCGTAGAGAGCAGTGTCGAGTGTGTAGATGTCTTCAGAAGAGCGGGCAGGAAGAAGGTATTTACTTTTAGCCAAATCAAGCTTAGCGCAACCCAGATCAAAACAAACGAAAATTTACTTCGACGTCACATCAAATCTCGAGAACTGAGGTCTCTGTGTAATATTTTTTGAGAGGTTATGGTTCCTGAGACATTTCTAGAATCATGTACTCATGCGTCTTACGCAATGTATCCATCCAGGCCCAAATGCACCAATGCTTCCCAGCCCAAACTCCAAATCCGCAGCCATCCATCCGTTTTTTCCTTCCAATCCAAACATATTATTTATGCATTGACTGAGATGACTTGCTTATAAGACATCAAAACAGCTCCGAGAATGATCAGTGCCCGTGACAAAAAGGCTACCCTGCACCAGATCCTGATTTGCTGGTTTTCTTGAACATGTCGTACACGCTCTGCTGCCCCTTTGCTGCGACTTTGAGATTTGCAAAAGGGGTTTCTTGCAGTCTCTTACCAGCCTTCAGGCTTTCGAGGACCCTACCAAAATGTGAGCATAATAGCTTCCAGAATAGAGAGGGGATAATTACCACTCCACGCCGACGTACTTCACTCCACAACCCCCTATCCTCTTGATTTCTTTCTCGAGCTTACCTCCTGCTAACCCACCGCCGGCTCCTACACCGGGCCCAGAAGGTTTTCCCAAGATCACATGCGTGACCTGCCTCCTTCCTAGGTGAATCGACAATTTCGCACCGTTCTCGGCGAGGAGTTGCTTCAGTTTGTGATCCGAGACCAACGGGTGAGTGCTGCCATTGATATAGATCACCAGCCCATCAAAAATGCCCTTCCGTCGATTTTGTTTCTCCTCTTCTTTCAACTTATCCTCCCTCTTTCTCTCCTGCATCAACTTCTCCTCGTTACTCAATGGCACTGTCCACAAGCATTAGTAGGTACGCCAATCATTGGAGCCTTCAGACATACGGGGTCTTCGCTTCCCAACCAGCATGTCGGCCACGCTGAGCTCGGCCCTCGCCCTGACATCTTTCGGGATCAGCGCCTTTGCCTTCTCATCCCAGTCTTCAGACCCAGCGCCCACCGCATCCGAGATGCGTTTCCCCCCCGTGCCGCCACTCTGGAACTGGTGCGATAGCTTCATGGATCGGGATTGTCGCCATCCTGCGGAGGCGGCGATCTTGTTCTCGGCCCTCTGATGCCCCGTCGAAGACGAATTCCATGCATCGAAGTAATTCGAGAATTTGGGCTGCGCCGCTGCGGGGACGGCTGTTTTTGGAGGCGCCATCGTGGTCTTGCAGTCGAAATGAGCTGGCTAACTGGTGAATATCATCCTGTAGAGTTTCTGGGAGCACTCAACCCCTCGCCTTGGAATCCTGCGTTGCTTGAGACGTTTGCGAGGGAGGAGACGCGCTTTTCGTGGTGGGGCAGCGATGCATGACGTGTGGTTGATGCGGGAACGACAGGAAGTCACGTGAACCACTTCTCCTGGGCCCATTGGAAGGCTCGTGAAGCCCGAAAAGGAGAAAAAGAACAATGTGGGATTCGGGCACAGCATGTCACCGGAATCATGGAACTTCATAACAGCTGCCCGCCCGGGATCAGGCGGAGAGGGTGTACGGCGCACACTCCATGAGCTCGATGTTCCGTATGGCGGGCACAGCAGTCCAGGACCTGAGCCTGACCAGCCAGACGGCAGCAGAGAACGATGCATGCCTTGATCACCATGATGATCATGATCCGGTCCCATTGGCTCCAGGAAGTCCAGAACCTTCAAACTCATTTCCTAGCTATTCTGTCCGTGACTGTTGCACACTTTATCTCTATTCTATTATTATTATCATCAGAGAGAGAAGAGTACGTGCCGAAGAAAAAAGTGGTGGGCGTATAATGCACGCACCCGTCTTGCAGACTTCTTGCAGGACGCCGGCCCGCTGCACCATCGTTGTCAGATCTGCTCCCGTCGAGGGCCATTTTCGCGGGACTCAACGCAGGTATGTCGTGCGTTGAGATAATTAAGGTAATCCATCCTGATGCGTGGGCATACAGGACGGTCGGTCGTGGGGGAAGCAGCAGAGCCCCCTTCTTCTACGCACGATGATGCTCTGCTGCAAGGAGGCGGGCGCACCACTCACTCACTCTCTGCCACTGGGCACTGCCATTCATTCATTATTACCTTATTATTGCCACTGCCAACCCCCCATCCCCATCGGCAACCGAGAGGGGCTCACTCAATAAGCACATGAACGACGGCCGGGCTCACAGGCAAAGGCAAAGGCACAAGCAAGTAAGCAAGGAAGCACGGGCACATGAAAGCACATGAAGGATCACCCCGATACACCAGGGGCGACGAGATGAGCCTCTACGGATGTTGTACATAGGTATACATCTTTGGCTTTCGAAGTCGTTGCCGCTGCTGCAATGCCCCGTCTCTCTTTCGACGCGGCTTCGGCATCCTGTGGGAGATACGAGTGTTGCACGGGTTCGTCGAGTGTGCCCTGCTGGAATGGAGGTGGCTGGAGAGGAGGGCCCCATGTGATGATCACGAGAACGGCTGCTGCTGATACAAGGCCCGCCCAGCACGGGAGCATCCGTACCGTACCCAGCATAACTTTACCTTAAGGTACGGAGTACATACATAAGGTATGTCCCAGATAGAGTGTCTCTGGTGCATGTCACTGAGGAGGGCGGTTAGAAACTCGATCTATAGTGAATCAAGTGATCCTTCGGGAAGGCGGGACATCAGATAGATTATCTCTCGACCCCGCTTACAGTAAGTAACAAACATGGGATATAGATGCATCCTACGGTACTACGGAATAGGTAGTTGTAAGCTGAAGCCGTTCCTCAAGGCCGTGTCTATTATTACATCCAACGTAGACACTTGCTGGGGTTCTCTCCCCTGGGCCTTAGCTCATTCTCTGACTATCTTTCGTGCTGTTGCTTTCCTCTTCGACATGCCTATCCATTGCTCCGCTCTAAACGAAGGCTCCATCTTGGTCCAGCCCGTCTCCACGAGAGGGAAGCTTCGGCCTAGGTAACTATTATCAAGCACCAAGGTCTAACCCTCGGCGCTCCTGTCAATTGGGCATTGATGATTTGAATCGAGTCCAGTAGGAATCCCGTCAGATAAGCCAAGCATTGGAGTAGCATGCTCTAAGGCAAACTACAAAAGCAAGTAACACAGCAATGACGACTGGGTGCCCTAGTTTGAGGTCATCCATCCCGTTCGTTATCAGATAGGTAGGTAGGTAGCTCTTTCCGTAGGCTGCCCCTCTTCATGACTTTGATCTTCCCCTCTTGTCAGCTTCTTCGGGATCTCGTGAGTCGTGGATGACCGGAGGAGGGGTTTGCTGTTGGCAGTTGCGGGAAAGGCGGTGTGCGGACGCTAACCGCAGACCAAGGTCCCCCTCACACGGTCTGACAGTCAGCCTACCCTGGCCCCTCTTGCAACGACGGGGTGGAAGGCCGGGCGGGAGAGACAGATAGATTAAAGTGATGGCGACGCCTTCTTGCGCCCAAACGGCTTCCGGGCTGGATGACATCGGCCAGCCGCGCTGGGCTCTTTGGAATAATTTGTACGGAGTCGCTTCTCCGGCACCGACGCTCAGGAGCCAGATGTCGTGCGTTGACCCCCTCGAGCTCCTCATTGGCCGACGACCGCCACGGAGTCATGCTAGTCCCAGCTCGTACAGTGTCTATACGGGCGTATTCCAACGGACAGCGCAGGGTAGGACGGGACGGTTTCCGCGCGTGCAGCTCTTCGATTCCCATCTCTGATCCGCCCTACGAATTGCATATTCGCGAGGTCCCACGTCGAACGTTACAATTCGGGCACCGCAATCCGTCGGTACTCGTACAGCGTCCACAGTACTGTCTGTAGTCGTACTGGAGTCGTACTGCAGTCGTACTGCCCGGGTGCAATGGTAATCCTCCGCTCGCCCTCTGGTTCGCTCGGCTCGGATCAAGTCATCTGCGAGGCTACGATTGTTGTGTTTGCGAGCCTGCCGTCCGTCTCTCCCTGCTCTCGAGTGTGAGGGGTTGGCGGGGCCGCTGCACCGCGTATAAATCCTTGGCAGTGGGCACAGATAGGATAAAAGCGAGAGGGACGTCGTAACGGAACGTTGTAGCTTGCACGTAGCTCGATCCTAGACGCCAGAGATGGAGGGGTGCGTTGGATCCTGGGTGGTGTGCTGGAGTGGATGATCCGGCGAGGAGTCGTAGGCTGAATAGCCCTCGACGACGTGGTGCTCGATGATTGGGGTAACCGTAACAGAAGCCTCTGAAATGTGGCTGATCGCCCTTTAGCCGTGAGAGCTTCCTGACAAGTTGATATGATAGGACGAGTCGCCCCCATTTGCCTTCATTTCCACCGCTCGCTCGTGATACCATGACTTGGTTCTCCTCCGTAGATGCCATTGTACCCCGTCTCCGCTCCCATGCTCGTCACCGTACAGTGTACACTGTCCAGAGGGAGACGGTCCCGTACCCAGGCAACGCCTCGGATCCATATCCCCCCGCCACTGAATCCACACCCTGCCCTGGCGTGAAACGACGCCAACAGCCCATGTCCCAGCCATCTTCCTTCTGAGCCCGGGCCGGCAATCGATTGGACATGTTTGAGCTGCGAGTAGCCGCTCTGCATATGCAATGCGAGTGCTCTGGCGCACAGCAGGAGCCATGGTCTTCAAGGAGCTGCAGGGACCGGTGCCGGGAAGTGGAGACGAGGGATGGGATCACGGATCCAGGTCAGAAAACAAAGTGCCTTGGCAGGGAAACGCTTCTTCGATCGACGTGGAGGGCGGTGAGGCCTCTCTGGCATACGTGGGTCGCGTATTGCCAATGGATTTTCTTCCACGGAGGAGGAGTAAGACAAATCTTGCAAGTTGCGATCTGAATTTTCCGGATGACATTTCTTATTCAGGAAACGAAGTGGGGTACGTTGGGTACGTTTCAACGAGTATTATTTCCGGTGTTTGTGCGATTCCCTCCACGCTTCCACTTCTATGTTGGAAGAGTAATCGATTGATTCATGGCGTCTCGGGGAGCCGCGTTGGAAGCAGCCATGTCGTGCCTCCATTGCGTCCGCCTCCCCGCCCCTCGTACGGTGGCAGGTCACGGGATCTCCATCCAGAACCTCGTCCCTTTGCCTTTTGCTGTCTAGGTTGATATGGATCGAGGGGTTCCAAGAGCATATGGTAGCATGCGATCGATGTACTTACAGGTACAAACACATGCGTGAAATGAAGCGCCTTAAACGAAGTCCGAACTAGAGGACTTTATAGACTGATTGTCTGCACTTCTTTCCCTTACCGTTGTAGAAGAGAGCTTTATTTTTGTTTGGCTCTTTTGAAATCTCAAAAGATCCAACACGGAATATCAAAGGTCAGACAGGAACAAGACATGAGGCTCATCGGAATCTGCCTGCTCTGGCCCGCGGCAGCTCGCAAAGCAGCTCGTACAGCTCTGCATCACACAAACTAACTCCCGTGACTTCTGTTTGTCTCAGACTTCTCAGACCACAGAATGCTTCCAGCGTAAGTAATGCGGTGCGAGGTTATCGTTGCTGCCCCTTGCGTTGTCGAGGTGCTGAAGGTTTCGATGTCCTCGATCTCGCAGCCTTGTGCTTGGAGCGTCACATCCTGACATCACGCACCTGCCTTCTGACGCCACATATATGGGGTCCTCATCGATTTCTGTGCACCGATCAATCATCCTGATAATCAATGAAGCTCTCTCCCAGGATGTGAACGGCTGGGATGTGGATGAAAGTAGCCGTATCTAGGGGTGAAATCCATGGTTTGGGTCGCTCAATCGCTGGAAGTGTGGCTTATAATTTCTTGTATTATCATCTCCCCTCAGCCAGTGTCCTTCGTCCACGAATTACTGGAGGGAAGAACACCAAGAGTTCGCCTCGTCACAAGCTCTCAGCTCCGCGAGATCATGAGCAGGTTGTGAGACAAAGGCAAACTTGAAGCAACCAGCCCGAGGTCGCGAACAGGAGTCGCCATCGATGATCACCTGAGTGAGGCTATAGCGAATCCAGCTTATTACTCTAAGCCTCGACATCAACATTGATCGATCGATCGAGATCTCATCAAACTTGTCTCAACCGTGATGCCCTCTGTTCACCTAAGCGTCTCGCTGATGAGAGGAATACCGTTGTGTGCTTTTACCCTGGCCATCGCACCCTGGCTTGTACATGTCGGTACAGCAAAGGGTGGCGAGGGACAACCTACAACTACTACAACAAGTTACTACATTACTAAACACTACAGTTTGCAACTATCTGCTATGGACTCACTCCGTATGATTTTCTGAATCAAGAGGAAGACAGCCCCTTTACAGTTCCCGGTCCTCGGGACCATCTCGATTCTTGAGAGCCAAGTGTCTCGTCTCAATCCTTCATTACATGTGTATACGATACGTTTGTACAACAGTACGTACTGTAGTAACGGACCCTGCATTATTCGTGCATTATTATTTGAATTTCATCTTGCATCTGCCGACGCCTTGGTGTTCCAAGCCTTGGAAGTTGAGGCGTAAGCCATCTGTGCATCGTCCGCACGGAGTATGTGATCAAAAAACTCAAAAAGGCAGGTAGGGAGTAGTGAGGACGGAGTGGATATCCGAGTACTGAGCAAAGCGGCCGGGAGTGGGAATAGCGTCGAAGCTTTCTTGAATCCAATCCTAAGAAACGGGATCCCGCGAAGGCCCCTTGATGCCTGTCGTTGGCGGCTGAGCTTCAGAGTCAGGAGTCAGGAGACTTCGGTCTCATTGTAGGTGATTTATTTGATAATAATTGATAATTGATATTATTGCATGTTTGAAATTTGTATTTGAACTCTATTTTATTTTTGGCTTATTTTTATTGGTTTTTTTTGCTTTTGACTCTCGAGTGTTTGGGGCAACTGGCTACGCAGCTATCTCATTGGATTGATGGCGAGGAGGTGACAGACGGGTCTGATACTCCGTGGATCGCGACGCTACTCCATAGATACAAGGTACCGAGTAATTGAAAGGGGCCCGCTAATGATATGGTCCGGAGGAGAGCGATTCTATGAATAGTGACTTGCCCGGAAGCCATAGTAAAGCCGAAGTGACAAGTCGTCCACGGATCTCCTAGTGGGCACGTCTCCAGACATCTAAGGCCCAAGGGGGGAACGAGAGAGTAGTATCAGGAGGAGGAAAAAGGGGGCTTCCGAAAGGGGCTCCTTAACCCCTTTATACCGCAAGGAGTACCATGTTATACAAGAAAGTATCAACGAGCTGTCAGCCCGTCAGCCCGTCAGCCTGCCGGCCTGCGTTTCTACACCTCTCTCTAGACCTTGACCTTGACCGGCAGTCAGATCGCAGGATTCCTGCTGCCGCAGCTGGGCCCGCTGCACTCCGGACTTTTGCCAGCAGAAGCTTCGTCCATCGTGCATATCCGCGTACCCAGCCAGCACTACGGCAGGGAGAGCCTAGGTGCCTTAGGAGGGCCATGGGCAAAACGATCAGTCGGAGAATATTCTGGGCGGGCGTGTGCTCTGTGCTCTGTGCTCTGGGCGGCGGCGCGCTTGGCCTCGAGAGGGATGATGGCGGCGATGGGGGGGATCGGGATCATGGGTTGAAGGTCGCGCGGCGAGCCCAGCTTGCCTGGCCCTTCTGCAGCTCTACTACTCTAGGTACCTTAGGCTCTGGCTGCACTCTGCGCTGCGCGGTGCACGGGATCTCCTTGCGCGCATCGCATCGCATCGCATCGTCATGGTCGATGATCTCCAATGCAAACGCCGGCGCGGGCTGGAGTGCCCCGGATTCCAATATTCTAAGAATACAAAAAGACGTGCAGCACGGGCTGGCCTACTGTATGTATAACGTATGTACGGCACGTCTCCTGTGCGACTACTGATGTAGCATGGACCGCCGTGCAAGGAATGGCAAGGAATGGCGCATCTCCCGGGCGGGCCATCCATCAGAGGCAAGCTGTCAGCGGCAGCGCCTCGCATCGCATTATTGGCCATCCAGCACGCCGGCGCTCCCCCAGCCCTCAGCGACAGGACGGCCCACATACAGCTGCATCCGTTGCAGTCCTACACTGCCGTCCGTGGACCGCCCAGTGCCGGGGAATCCAGGCCAGAGAGCAGCAGCAAAAAGCAAAAAGGGACCTGCGCAGCTGCGATGCCTCGTCGTCGAGGGCGACCAGAAGGGGAGAGCACGGAGGTACTCCCTTCACGAACACACTTCGAAGGGGGCACGACGAAGATCTTCGTTCGCACCGTGACGACTCCACTCTCCAACAAGATTTCATGGGTTTCATCATTCCATGGCCCTCGCCCGCCCAGCGTCAGGCCGAAAAGGGGCCCAGATCCGCGCGGGCTGGAACCTCTGCCCTTCGCCGCCTTCCATTCTTCCACAAGATCACCACGCCTCACCACGAGTCGTGCTGGCTCCGGCCTCTATCTAGGCTCTGGCTGATAAGCTGGCCATTGGCGCGCGGAAGAGCCCTCGCCATCATTATTCTCGGGGCGACTAACTGTATCTATTGTTTACACAGTATCTATCACAGTATCTATCAGATTATTCTCTCCCTCTTCATCTCTCTCCTGCGCCGGCGACCACGACTATTCTTCCGGGCTCCGATCGACGAGACGCCAACGTTTCGAGTAGGGTCAGTGTCCGTGTAATCGTGTGATATTTGATCATCGTGTTCTACAGGGCGGGATCCGGTACGCAGGGCGAAGAAGGAAAGCGGTTTTCTATTTGTTGGATGGACACAGTAAGCTTCCAGACTGGATGGGAGTGGAGAAGGCATCTTGGCAGGTGTGGGCAGGGCACTACTGACTAGAAAGGAGAAGAGGACGGGGAGGAAGAGGAGTCGTCCCTCGCAAGTGCGTAGACCGGCCTGATGGAATTCTTCTTCGCGGAGTCGAATAATCCGGGCCTTGCAAGATCCAGCAGCGACGTGAGGACGTTGTCTGACAGCTTAAGTGAAGTGTTTAAGATCGCATACAGGAGATGTACCTTAGAGGATAGAGTAGAGTAGAGTAGTATAGAGAGGATATAAAATGATCCCAAATGCTGCACGTCTCTGCACCACTACTCATCGCTCTCCTACCAAGATCCAAACCAGTGGCTACCACTCTCTTCGCACATCTATCTACATACGATACACTTCCATCCCACGATCTCCATCCAACTCCCGACGAAGAAGACGAGGCCGAGAGGAGCGGGCCGAGAGGCGCAGGGAGGAGGACCATCCCACGACACGGAGTCGTAGCACAACTCAGCGGCCATCGACCAGTCAGCGTTTGGCGCGGAGGAGGGCTCGCACTTCCATAATTATTATTATATTAGGGCCTACCTAAATCTACGTCGGTTTCGCCTAAACTTACGTACCTATACCTAATCTAGTATAGAGTACAAATTTACTCCGTACACCTATTATACTCGAGTTGCTATAGTAATTTGTATGGTAAGGCAAGTCCCCTTAGTAATAGTATACAATTCGCGATACAAAAATTGATGCTATTCACAACACCACGTCTCTGTGATCCTGCAACTACTTTCTACCACTACTACCACTATCTGGCCACCAGACAGATTCTATAGTAGACTCTACTATAGCGGCTGCGGCAGTGATAGGGAGTTACGGCGTTAAAGAGGGAGGTTATCGGCGGCTTGAGGTATATATACTTAGGATGTAGAGTTTGAGATAGACGAGAGTTGGGAATAGCTTCATTTTTGTACCTAGGTAGGCGCTGTAGAGTTGCTGATTAATTGATTGTGTACATCCTGTTTACTTGCGCTACCATACAAATTACTACTGTAGCGTAGGTACAATAGATGCACACTCAGAATTATTCGGCGATTACTAGATTAGGTGTAGGTACGTAAGTTTAGGCGAAACCGACGTAGATTTAGGTAGGCCCTTATATTATTATTGTTATTTTTTATTATTATTCCCAGCCCGCCAACCCGCCAGCCCGCCATCCAGGGTTGATCCAGCCGTCCAGCCACCTTTCGCGACCTGCCAGTTGTAGCCCTCTCTGGCCATCGCCTAGAGACGGTGGGCGGGCACTGAGCACTACCAGGCACTGGACACACTGGCACTGGCACTGGCACCAGCACTGGCACCAACACCAACTGGGTCCACGACTCCACGGAGGCAGGAATTGGCGCGAGCGCCCGGCTTTGCCAAAGCTGCTGGGGGGGACGAAGAAACGAGTGGGCCCGCCGACCCTACCCTGACCCTGAAGGGGCCTGAGCTGGCCTCCAAGCTACGGAGGAGGAGATTCAGTGCTAAGCTGGGCCGGCCGCACTGGTGCTGGTGTCGAAGGGTGGATCGTCGTCGACGGTGGAGGAGGCCCAGGATAGGACGCTGTACGGGACGGAGTCGCCAGTCCCAGTCCAGTCCCATCGCAAGTCCCAGTCCCTCCCACACTCCCACACTCTGCCACGGGCCCACGCCGCCGGGGGTGGGAAGGGTATCGAAGATCAAGTATCCGAAGCGCGCTCTCTGCTCTGCTCTACTCTAGTAGACTCTGCTCTGCTCTGCTCTCCTCCCCCTCGCAACTCTCTCTCCTCCTTTCCAACGAGCGACGAGCCACGAGCTACGGCGGAATACATACATATCCTACATATCCTACATACATACTACATACATCATCCCACGCAGCAGGAACCAGCGTCTGAGAGAAGAGAAGATTGTGGCAGGCTGGCAAACCCTTAAACTTCCTAGCGGCCCTGTTCTGCGTTGCTCAACACCAGCGTTCGTTCCTATTATTACCACCATATTTTGCTACCACCACCTCCCACCCACCCACTTACATACCTTACCCACCTCCGACTCGTCTAAAGCTCACTAGCTCTCCGTCCTTCCTCCTCGTCACTCCTCTCGTCACTCCTCCACCTCCCTCTCCTCCTCCTCCACCACCTTCATTCTACTTGCTGCATACCTTCACCCAACCTCCTCTTCCCGCCGCCTTCCACCCCCCCCCCCCTCCCACCCCCCACCTCCTCTCCCGGCCTCTTCTTTTTCCTTTCTTCTCTCTTCCTCCGGGGTGCTGGAAAATCAGGTACGCTACTCCGCCAATGCTCCCATCTGCTGCTTTCTGCTGGTACTTGCAGCGCTGACCCTATCGTACCTGCATTAGACGTGGAAGAAGGATTCCTTCAATTCTCCAAACGAGTCAGGACCTTCATACATCCTTCGGGAACCTCCTGCTCTCTTGTATCCTCCCTCTTCTCACTACTCAACCTTTACCCCCCGGCACCGATCCTCAATCGCCGGCGACGAATCCCTTCACGACCATCACGACTTTTCTACGACCTTTCGCGCATCCTTGAATCGAAGCTGCGGATCAGATCCTTCAGAAGCGTTCTTTTTCAGCACAAGCATTGTTGCAGATTCGCGTAACGAGCTACAATCCTGTCGTGGAGCTGCAATCGCATCCCAGTTGCATTGACGGACTTCAATCCTGCCTCAAGTGCCCTCCGCCTCCACCCCCTCCCTCTTAACGACCTTCTACGAGCCACACGCCCTGCTGCTGCTTCTTTTCGAGTCTTTGAAGTTTTTTAACGACATCATTCTGCGGCTTATGAATTCTGTCCCGTCACGACCAATAAACGATCATCATTCGCGCTCGTTGTAAACAGCATCACACAAGCTCTTGAACATTTCGAGAAGACGCATTGCCTGTCTCCTCTCCAAAATATTTGTTTCTTCCTGCAAGCGAATTTGCGAGCGGTGTCTGTTGCTATCATCAGATCTTGGCCTGCCCGAGATCTCTACCACTCAACCACACTTCCCTTCACCTTTAGACCTGTCGCAAAGTGACTCCTGCAGTCCTTTGCCAAAACACCCACGAAAATCCTCGCTGGGTGTATTACCTACTTGTCCGCTCCGGACTTGACCTCTCAAACCGAAAAGCTGGATCTCCCATCGATCTCGCAAGTGCAAACCCGGGGACCTTCGGACGTACCATATTACAATCATCACGCCGCTCAGCGACCGCTGTATGTGAATGATAGGCTGCCCTCACTGCCTTTGCCACAGCCGCAACAGGCATATTCGTCCGGTACCTCGTCGCCCCGGGTTGGTTCTCTTAGCTCATTGGGATCCTCTTCGATCCTGAACAGCTCGCATTCGTCTTACACAACTGGAAGCTCGACGAACGGGCCCAAGACTCCTTCACCAACGCTCCCGGCCAACACCGGCCTCCCGGTGTCCTTGTCGCAAACGCCATACAGCAACGCCTCCACGCCTGGCAATAACTATTCTTACAGTCAAGATCCATACCCTAACATGAACCACCCCCCTCAAGATATGTACTACTCTCAGCACATCTCGGCTGGACAGCCTCCACCACCGCAAACGGTCACGTCAGGCGGCATGGGCCACTATCCCCAGCAGCACCAACAGCCGCCACTTCTCCAACCCGGGCCGGCGCAGTACTCCCCCGCGCCCGCAGCTTACAATCAATATGGTGGTTATACAAATGGTCTGACCTCCCCCCAGTCTGCAGGCCATCAAGTTCCGGGTTCAATGGGTGGGCCAGGGAATGTATTGCCGCTGCCAGCGATGGCCGCGGGCCAACCTGGTATGGCTGGACAAGGCTACGGCCCTCAAGGGTTTGACACAACAGGGCAGATCGCTCCCCCGGGCATGAAGCCAAGGGTGACTGCGACCCTATGGGAGGATGAAGGGAGTTTGTGTTTTCAAGTCGAGGCAAAAGGAGTTTGCGTGGCTAGACGAGAAGGTACGTAGGATGCGTGTGTTAAGTTGACTATCACGCTCATCGAATTGGCAGATAATCACATGATCAACGGCACCAAACTTCTGAACGTCGCGGGAATGACCCGAGGCCGAAGAGACGGAATTCTCAAGAGCGAGAAGATGAGACATGTGGTCAAGATAGGACCAATGCATTTGAAAGGCGTCTGGTGAGTATGGGAGGTTTCATAGCGGCTGCGGTGCTGACCATTATCAGGATACCATTTGAGCGCGCGCTGGACTTTGCGAACAAGGAGAAGATCACCGAATTATTGTATCCTTTATTTGTTCACAACATCGGCGCCCTTCTCTACCACCCCACAAACCAAACTCGCACGAATGCCGTGATGGCTGCTGCGGAGAGGAGAAAGCAGGAGCAAAATCAGATGCGCACACAACCGCCTGGCCTGCCTTCTCTGCACCAACACCATCATCATTCTATGAACCCCTCAGGTGGGCATCTGCCAGGACCGCACAACTCTCTCGTCCCCCATCCGAGCGTTGGTCGCCCAGGTCTCGACCGCGCGCATACGTTCCCCACGCCTCCCACTAGCGCGTCAAGTGTGATGGGTAATATGGGAAGTTCAGATGGAAGTTTTCAATGGGGTCCTCAAGGGACAATGGGTAGCGTTCAAGGTACAAATCCCCTGTCTATTGACACGGGTTTAAGCAACGCACGCTCAATGCCTACAACTCCAGCAACGACCCCTCCGGGGACCTCGATCCAAAGCATGCAGCAATATCAACAGAGCTCGCAGCCCTATGATTCTTCACGGCAGATGTACTCCGCGGCACCTACCCAGCAAAATTCATACTCTCAGTCTGCGCCCAGCCAACAGAACATGGCGCCCTACTCGCAACCGAATTCGTACATCAAGAACGAGATGGGCCCGCCATCAGCGAGAGCGCCTGGCTCAGAACCTGAACATCATGATGGCAAGGACGCGAATGGGATCCTCCATCACAACCAGGGAAACGGGCAGGTGAATCACAGTCAAGAGGATGAAGGGAATCATGAGCATGACCCAGAGTACACCCACGACAGCTCCACGAGTTACAACACCAGTCGCCAATCATATACCTACAACAACGGCACCACGGTCGGATCATTATCGGGCGAGCATGCCCACTTGTCACCCGAGATGACTGGCTCCCCCGGCCACACAGCCTCGGGACGGGCAACTCCACGAACAGCATCCGCACCACAGCCGTACTACGGCCAGCAAGGTGGCTACAGCACTCCCCCGCGAGTCCAGCCACCGTCGAGTAATTTGTATAACGTAATGAGCAGTGAGCGTGGGACTGCGAACGGAAGTGCGGGTGGTGATGTATATTCTTCGGATATATCCAATGGCTACCCCTCACAACAAACTGTGATGAATGGGGCTCCCACGGGTAACAAACGTGGCCGGGACGACGACGATGACGGCCGCCCTCCCAGCCAGGGTCCAGGTGGTGTAGCGGATGTTGACGGTTTGAAGAGACGGAAGACGATCCGCGAGGGATCAGTATCTGGGCCGACTTATGAACCATCGCTGAATCGAGCTCGATCTACCATCATACAACGACGCCGATAATCCTCAGATACCCGAGCCGGATCTCATGCATTCCAACCTCCTTACCCTGGGCTACGCCTACAACCATATTTGCGAACTCCAATCACCACACTCCTTGAAAGATTTCTTTCGATCTTCACGATTGTCTTTGTATTGGCGGAAATCCCCCCCTTTAGCATATTATTCTGCTTCAGATAACGACGGCTTACGACTTGATTCGAGATGGCTAAATCAGCCATTTACACGGATGATGATTTTACGCTTTGCACGGAGGGGGATAATCTGCGCGCACGATTTCAAAGATAACGCATGCAAGCGGCGAGTTGCAAAACGCCTGTAATGATCCTCGGGCGCGGCGGGACAGTGCAGACAACCTGTCCCGTCGAAATTCCTTTGTGTTGAAACTTATGACGATTTACGACCTTTCATTGCTTACTGCGACTGGTTCTTTTATGTAGCTCATGAACGACTTTACGAGAGAATCAAAAGCTAGCTGTGTTGCATATCATAAAAGGATTATACCAGAGTTTCTGTGTGACTTCGAGTGATGCTTCAATATCATTGGATGAAAGTGAACTTCAGAGACTTGTGGTATCAGGTGAGCAAGAACGTTGACCAGCTCTGCAATCACGTTATCACGCATTGAACTCCTCCAATCCCTCTCCGTCGCATATCACATCTCCTTTCCGAACTCAGCCTCGTCCTCATCCTCCCTCGCCACCGGGGAAGAGTCGTCGCACCCTGAACGCCCCTGTCTTCCCATCCCTCTTCCCATCCGTCACCCAAAATGTCAGAATCCCGTCCGTCAATATTTTCCCCTTCGCCACTCGGTCATATTTCCTCTTTCGTGTAGAAGATAAGAAAAAAATGACGAGAGAGAGGAGAGCTACTAGCTAGCTGACGCCAAAAGAAAGCGAAAAAAAACGAGGTTGCACGGGGAAGCTTACGCCGGCGCACGACGCTGACTCGCAGCCGTGCCTGCGCGAGGCTGACTCGTGAGCCTGGTTTTCTCTACTGTACCGCAAGTACCTCCTCCTCCGTATAACCGACAGGGATTCTTTGACGGGGATATGGATAGGATATGGGGGGGTTGAAGAAGGATCGGTTCGGAAACCAAGGGGATCGGCGCGCGGGGGCGGGAGTCTCATTTTTTTTCAGACTCGGTTAGTGGGGGGATCGGACGACTTTTTGTGATATATACTTTTTTTATATTTTATATTCTTATTTCTTATTTCTTGGAAGGGGAAAAAAAGAAAAGAAAAAGAAAAGGTTACCTTAGTGGAACAAGGTAGGCAGGTTTCGATTATGCAGTACCTACCTACCTAGTACTGTAAACATCTACCTAGATCTGAAAAAAAATCATGATCGTCGATATTGATCTGACCGCAAGCCAAAGAAACCTAGAGCCTCTCTTACCTACCTTACAAGGATTTTCCTTCCTTTGGATAATAATAGGGGAGGAAGAGAGAGAGAGAGCTTGGAGCCTTTTCGATAGCTTGGGATAGATAGATCCGCGAGGAATATGATCGTAGTGTTTGAGATGAGATGAGATCTCTGGTGCTTGGACCTCGTCTTGAGAATCTCTCAGGGGAATCTCAGATTCTCAGATTGATTCTCAGGGGGGAGAGTCGTGGGTGATCGGGTTCTGATGTTTATGTTGTGTTATGTTATGTAGGTATGGATATTGCAGGAACACGTAACTACTGTAATGTAATGTAATGTACGGTACCTACATTCTCTGCATATATTGTGCGTTTTCCTTCTTACAGATGAACTTGTTGTGCGCTGGTGCCCCTTGCATAGCATAGCATAGCATAGCATAGGGAGGAAGGAAGGAGTTCGTCTTTGAGAGAGAGAGAGAGATTGGTTTTCTCAGCGTCAGTCAGTCAGTCACGTCCTCTCCTTGATCTATCTCCCTCGAGAATGCGTTCATGAATGATTGCGTTGTTCCATAGTAAATAATTTCTCCACTCTGCTTTCTCTTCTCTATCTAGGTATCTATTATCCTCTTACTTACCCGTTAGATAGACAGGAAATAGGTATCGTCCTTTTTTCTTCTTTTACCACCGACTAAACTAATTCTTCCTTCCTTCCCTCCTATGACCCCCGAATTTCTCTAACTATAGATAGAGATGCTGGTGAAATACCTAGGATTGATACCTTACCATGCAATCGTCGAAAGTTATCGCACCATCCCCGTCCATATCCATCCTCGCCTGCAACCCAGGGTTTCTCCTCTCCCATCTTGTCCAAGATATGACTAGATCCTGAATCAAAACTCGTTGGCTCCAGCTGGAAACAAAATAACTGGGGAATATACGGGATTAGGAAAAAAAGCGTTGGGAGCCAGGATAATGGTACCGACTGGTCTGTGAAAGGCTATACCAAAAGATGATTGCTGCGGTATAGATAGATAGATAGGAATGGATGGATGGGCGGATAGGCACCATGCTAGAAGGGCCATGATACAAGATTCGCGCGTTGCTTGGGTCGCTGATCCGTATATGGCCATCACTTTAGAACCCAGCTGTAAATACAAGTGAAATCAGAGTCTAGGATGGCCGTACTGAATTCTCGGAAGCTTTCCTGTCATAGTCTGACATTGAATGTTTGGGAATTTTTTCAACGTTTGACATGTGTCAGGTACGTTGGTACGACATGTGAAAAGAAAAAGAAATAAAAAAGCCCCGAGGTACCTACCTTAGTCTAGGACACGCTGTAACTTCTCCAGTACTAACCAGGTACAAGTTCAGGTCCCTTTCTTAAGCTTAAGCATGAAGCAGCGCGGTGCTCTAGCTTCTCATGACCGCTGGGACGGATCAGAAACCGCGTCTCATGGGCGGTATCTAGAAGACGTCACTCTTTTTTGACTCTCGGAGAAATTTATTTGGGTTATGATGGGAATGAATGACGTTACTAGTGTACCACCAGAAAACAAATAGGGGAAGAGGTAACTGTTGAAGAGATGTTGAGAAGGCTGAGAGACATGCTTTTGAATGTTGTACTGACACTGAATCAAAAGTCTTGAGAGCATGGGGTTTTGGGTTTGTTGAGAAGTTTTGTTGTAGTTAGAGTTGTCTTGGGTTTTAAATTCTCCGAGGTTTTGACACAAGGTACTTCAACAACAAAAGATGTTGCTAGCAGACTTACTTACCAGTGTAACCTTGCAATTGGGAAGCTTGAACGTTCTGAGAATTACGTGTCACGGTAGGGAAACGGGACTCACACGGGCAGGCTCTCGAATTTATAGCGCTAATCTTTCATGCTTGAACCGTTTCTGGCCCTCCCCTTCCCCATAGTGAGCCGTGATGTGCCCGCCGCCACGGATCTTGTACTTGTAGATCATCAGGCCTTCCAAGCCTACGGGACCGCGCGCATGGATCTTGTTCGTGCTGATACCGACTTCGGTGCCGAAGCCGTAGCGCATGCCGTCCGCCATCCGGGTCGACGTGTTCCAGAAAACCCCGGCCGAGTCTACGCTGGCCATGAATTGCTCGGCGAGAGGAGCCGAGGAGGTCAGGATCGCGTCCGTGTGGTGCGAACCGTGGACATTGATATGTGAGATGGCCTCGGAGATGTTGGCCACGGTCTTGATGGCTAGCACTAGAGACAGGTGCTCGGTATCATAATCGCTGTCCGCTGCATCCTGAAGGGTAGCCGCTGAGTGTGCGTCGAGCTTGGACGTGAGCGCTTTCTTGCTTGCTGCATCACAGCGGAGTGAGACCCCTTTCTCAAGGAGAGCTTCTGCTACTGGTGGAAGGACGGTCTCTAGAGCGGCTTGCTCAACCAGAAGCGTCTCGACACTGTTGCAAGCTGCAGGGTATGAGGTCTTGGAGTCAACCACGACCTTAACTGCCATGTCTGGATCGGCTGTGTGCTCGAGGTATATCGAGCAGAGACCATCCGCGTGACCAAGAACTGGAATCTTCGTGGAAGACTTAACGAATCTAACGAGCTCATTTGAACCTCTTGGGATGACAAGATCAATGTATTGATCAAGTGCTAAAAGTTGGGGAATGACGTCTCGTGTGGTGACGAGTTGAATTGCTGAGTTCGGGACATCCGTTGCTTCCAAAGCTTCTGAAATAACTTTGGAAATTGCCACGAAGGACTCAGTAGACTCCTTTCCACCTACAATCCGGTCAGAAGACAGTCTACCTATAATCATGGATACTTATCCTCACCCTTCAGGATGGCTGCATTGCCAGACTTGATGGCAAGAGAAGCAATATTTGCAATGACTTCTGGGCGAGCTTCGAAAATGATCAAGAGAACTCCAATCGGACAAGAGACTCGTTCTAAATCAAGCCCGTCATCAAGTCTTGTACGTAGAGTAACTTTGCCCACTTGGATGTTTTGTTAGTGAAAAGACTGTTAAATAGAGCCGGAATGCCCTACCTGGATCTTCCAGGTCACGAACATCTAGGATCCCTTTCAACATATCCTCCCATTTTCCTTTCTTGCCGAGATCCAGCCGTGAGACGATGCTGGAACTTAGCTCTCCATTCTCAGCGGCCTTCCTTGCCTGGACAAGATCGCGAGCATTGGCTGCTAATATCTCATCCTTAGACTCAGACAGAGCCTTATGAATTGCAGTCAAAGCATTATCCCGGGAAGACGCAGGAAGCGTTGCCAATATATGTGAAGCAGACTTTGCTGCCGAAGCAGCATCTACAGGAAGAGCGTTCGTAAGAGACATTGAAGATATTTTTGTCGAGGCTGTTCTGCCCCTCGTGACTCAGAAAGAAAGCGAGGGCGTGCATCTAAACCAATGAGGGCGATTTGATAACCGAACGCCAACTTGCCGACCCCAGAATTTCGACGTCTTGTGAAGGGCGAGGCAGTCTCCAGAGCAGCCTCACCTGTTCACTAAGGAATTCCACTCCATACCGAGGCGTCTTTGATATCAACCAATCTCAGGCTACTTTAGATCTTCGTGCTTGGTGTCTACTACCTCCTGGTCAAGCTACAGTCCCCGTATTTATTCTGGGAACAAGCTCGGTCGATTGGACAGCTTCGCGGGCTGACCAACAGAGCTCACGAGCCCTCCAAAGAGACAGACATCGAGCCGCCAACATGTCAGTACTCGGGCAGAGCATGGATGACTTACTCCCAAAGCTTCTCGCCTTCCCCCCGCATCCGCCGCCTCAAACCCCGCTCTCTGATTTCCAATACGATGAAGGCATCAGGAACCAGATTAGTACCGTCGGAAAGATCCCAGAAAAGAACCTATTGCCGCAAACGTCTGGCGGTGAGAATGCTTTGGATGTGAGTTTCTACATACATATGTCTGTTGATAGAGGTTGCTAATGAGTTTACAAAGGTAATCAACCCAGCCATAAATACCGTCCCGTACATATACATCCTACTCGCGCATATCAACGCAGCACAAAAGGGAAACAAAGGCGTAAACTGGGATACACTCTGGGCCAAAATTGCGAACTTTCTGGAGACGTTCGATGGCAGGCAGATCAGATATCTTGGCAAGGAATTTACCCAAATTATTGAAACCGCAGTAACACTTGCACGTTCGAATAATCAGGTGTGCCTACTATCGCCGGCGGAGAAAGGGAACCCGCTAACATGTTGCAGTCTATCCTTGCTATAGGACCCATCCGAACTGCTCTCCTCCGATTAGATCCATCTGGCTCAATACTGACCTCTACACACCTGCACCTAGTGGAGCTGGCCCTGGAGGCCCGAGATTATGAGACAGTTCTTCCTGTTATTGACAAATTTATCTACCATTTTCCAGGAGCGACAAACCAGCCAAGGCCAAAATTCCTTTGCGAACTTGGTCTCTCACCTACCGCCTACATAACACCCGAGTCTAAGCTCACTGCGAAACTGAATCACCAGGATGTCTTGGAGTATTTCATGTACAGTGGGATGGTCTATATTGGACTCAGGAAATGGGAAAGCGCCCTAGAGTGCCTGGAAAATGCAATCACCTATCCCGCTAAAGACGTTAGCAAGATTATGGTCGAAGCTTACAAAAAATGGATACTTGTCGGTCTCCTATTAGAAGGCAAACCTCTCAATCTTCCAAAATCAACAAGCAGTTCTGTAGCAAAGAGCTACCATGTCGTCGCCAAACCATACGAGACTGTGGCTCAAATATTCGAGACGGGTACAGCATCAAGACTCAAGGCAGAAGTTGAAGCCGGTCAAAAGATCTGGCAAGGTGATTGCAATATGGGACTGATGCTCAGTGTCCTTTCTGCATATCAAAAGTTCCAGATCCGTAACCTCGCCGATATCTACAGCAAGATATCGATTCCCGAGGTCAACAATCTCACCATGAGTGCTGAAACGGGCGGCAAATTACAATCACCCGCGCTCGCAGAGCAGTTGGTGCAAAGCATGATTTCGGAAGGCTCGTTGAATGCCACTTTAAGTCATCCTCCTAACGGGCCTGCTATCCTCACGTTTGGGCTCGGTGCTCCTATCATGACAGAAGATCAGATGCAAAAAGAGTTACAGGCTTCGAAGCAGCGCATCCAGTTCCTAACACAAGAGATCAAGACGACGGATCGCCTGCTGACCTACGACAAGGAGTATGTCAAATACATGCAGAAGCTGAAGAAGAATGCCAAGAACGGCGTCACAGACCAAGGTATCTCGGGCCCGGACATGGACTGGAATCCTATTGAGGACGAGGATATCATGGCGGGGGTGTTTTGAGAAGTTTCTAGAGCTGGGGGCGAAACCTTGATGACGAATGACACATGGCTGTTTCACCATACATGATGAACGTATTACGATAAGCTCGCTCTGATACCAGCGTGATACTCGCGCTGACGAGGGCACGGCGTACTACGTGGTGTTGGCTTGCATTAGGAGACCGGCGTCGAGGACATTTGTTGTTCCACGACTAATAGACAGAGTCAAACAATCACAATCTTAAGAATATTGACAAAATTAATTCATTTGCTCATACTGTGCCATTGAATGCAAGCCACAACGCCTAGCTCATCCGATATGAGAACCACTTCTAACATGACCCATTGACATTCCTCATCCCATAATTTCCAGCGTAAGAGGTGACTAGCCTTACACAATGATGTAAGGTGTCACCAGATGCTTCAATACAAATTTCTTCCCCGTTGATTCTCGTGACCAGCCTCGCTCAGGATAGATGAACTCAATCAATGTTATAGCCTTTGATGAGCTCTGCGAGCCGGTGGGCCTCTGCTGTGTAGTTGATAGGAGATGCAGACATCACTTGATAACGGATTCTGAAAATAAAGTCAGTCTGATGCTCAAAATAACTTCAAAGGCTGACATACTTTTGTTGATCCTGGAAAGTTTCCATTTTGGCCCTGCATCTGAAGTTCAGAGTTTTGCAACCAGCTGCCTCAAATGCCCTCTCCTTAGCAGCCTCGTCGTTCTCCCTGAGCTCCATCAATTGATCCGCACTCATGCCCATGACAATGCGTCCAACGTCATCGAAACAACTCAGCCACAGCTGGCCAGTATGATCACTGACGTTTAGCGACAAGATATATCGGTATTGTGGACGCGGGTGATTGACGTTACACTTCTCGCAGCGCCATGTTCCATCGCCCATGTCCGTGACCTTCTTGTTGCAGCCCTCATTCAAACAGGCAGCATATGCGAAATTCTCATTCCTGATGTAGATGATAGTGCCCTTTACAGAGAAGTAGTCAGGGTTCTCGTTGTTTCCTAGGCTATCGTCTCGCACCTGAGCAATGGTCACGGTTGTATCAGGCCGGCCACTAGCGGCTCCTACACCAGCCATGTTGGAATGCGACATGTACGAGCCGGTTCGTCCATCTGAATCATACCACCCCTTAAGCTTGTGAGCTTCTGGGATGTCTGGATCAATCATCATAGAGCCAGACGAAAGCAAGCTTAGACTTCTACCACCAAAATCGGAGACTTTGGCACCCTTGAATGCAACTATCGACTCAGGATTGGCGTCAAAAGTTGTTGCAGTCTTACCCCAGATCGTCATCTTGACGGAGTATCCGCTCTCGTCGACCAGCGTCAAGTCACGCTTATCGTATGGCTTTTGTGTAGACTTGGATGTGATTTGGCTAACCTCGCCAACTTCTTTGAGGACGGCAATGATATCTATCGTAGAGTCCTTCTCGATGGTTTGGAGATCACTGACGGTTGTGAAATTGTACCGAACCTGGGGTACGTTATCTGCATCTTCTGCCTTCTCAACTACAGTATCGCGCTCGAACGTAAGCTCATAGTCGTTCGGCAAATTGCTAAATTGCTTCTTTGCCAGCTGGACTCGACAGGGAGCTGAAATGTAGTAGACGGACCCTTCCTGGAAGAGATCGTAAAATGCATCACACTGCTCATTGAATCCTGTTGCCTTTATTTCTCCACTTTCATCCAGAAGGTTGACGCTGAATAGCTTTCCTTCGCTATTTGCTTTGTGCCACGTTCTGATCTCGGATTTGTTGGTGACTCGTGCTTTGATGGTCCACTTGTGTGCATAAGGTGATAGACCTTCGATTGGGTATATGTTGGCATGCGATGAAGAACTCGCCGGTGCAGCGCGCGATGGGAGGACACGATCTTGTGCGGGAGGTTGCTGTGGTCTGTTTCCGTAAAAGCCATTTCCAGCAATAGTGGTGTTCACAGGTTTGACGTCTTCCTCTTCCTTGACTGTCAGGGCAACGGGTTCACCGATCTTTTCAAGCTCGCCCAGGCTTTCAATAACTTCGAGGTCCAAGATAATCAGGATTCTAGTGCGATCAGCATAAGTCCACCCAGAGCTGGCAGGAACCGACAAACCTCTTGCCCTTGACAGCGTTCGCTTGATATGACTTGAGCCTTACGATAGACCCTTTCTTCAGCTTCCCCTCGTGAACGACGTGATTTGCTTCTATAGACCTGTCAAACAAGGGCACAGGAGACCGTCTATCTGGGGTACCTACGAGTGGCAAGCATGCTTTGAACAAAGTTCTGCACGTCACTCAGAACAATCCGATAGCGTTCAGGATTTCCCTCGCCTTGAGAACCAAGAGCCTTTATCTGGACACACTGGCATATTGGCACCGGAAATTCTCTCTGGAGCCTCTCAGGATCATTGAAGATGGCACTGCGTTTCCGTTAGCAGATAACGCAATATGCGGGAATTTTGGACCTACTTGAGAGCACCTTCAGTAATATGGCTCCGTGCTGTCTGTATGTCTACCATTTTGAACGATGCGTTGTTTCGTAGAGTTTGGAAGGGGGGGCAAAATGGGTTGGTGTTGACAAGACGCGGTCTTCACGAGTTGACGCGAAAGCGTGTAAAGCGATTTTAGCGAGAAGAGGACCCCGCAAGTAGCTCCAGGCACACCTCCCTTGCTGACCTCGGCGTTTACCTCAAGCCACCAACTTCATGCCACATCTACGGTAACTCCACAAAATACGAGTCGATCATGGCGGAACCTGAAGTTGCAACAAAGGCTCCTGAGAGCGATGCTACAGCGGCAAGTACAGTTGCTGGAGATACACCAGTCCAAACCGGTGCAGGCCTTGGCGTACGTAGAAGGCCCCTCACAGGATGCCTAGCATTACTGACTTCTTCAAGGAGCATTGTGTGACTGATAGACCGACCCGTCAGTATAAATCCGAGCTTGATGGATATGAGGCATTCAGTGAAGACGGCGTATGCTGACGCGATTCAGCTCTTGGAAGTGGGCCTTCTGGAGAGTTGACGCAACTGGGAGGCATCGATTGCTATGTCTCGAAGCCCAAAGACTATCCTCACTCGCCATCGAAGCTCCTCCTATTTCTTAGTAGCGCCACTGGCCTTCACTCGGTGAACAACCAAATTCAAGCCGACAAATATGCTAAGGAGGGGTTTCTAGTTGTCTTGCCAGACATGTTCTCGAATGATCCTCTCCCTGGCTCCGTGACATATAAAGAAGAGAAAGATTTATCTATCATTGAACAAATTAAGATGCGCGCGGCTGATTTTACAAAATCCTTCTTAATCGATATGTGGTTAGCACGACAGACACCAGAGAAGGTCCTTCCCATCATTCATAAGGTTATCGAAGCTGTGAAAGATGACTTTGCGGATGCCGTTGCAAATGGTGGGGGGATATACTCTGTGGGCTACTGTTTTGGGGGAAGAATGACTCTGCTTCTTGCCGGGGAGAAGTCTGACACCGTTGGGCGGCGTCAGCCAGTAAAGGATGAAGAAGCTGGTACGGTTAAGAAAGGACCCTATATTAAGACGGGTGCAATTGCCCACGCAACTTTAGTTGCAAAGGAGGACTTTGAAGGAACTAAATCGCCACTGGCTTTTGTCTGCGTGGAGAACGACCAGCTTTTCGATGATGAGGTCAAGGAATATGGCGAGAACTACCTGAAGGAGAACAACATCGAGAATGAATTCAAGACGTACTCAGGAGTTCCACATGGGTTTGGTGTGGTTGGAGAGTATGAAGATGAGAATATTAAGCAGGCTCAAGTACAAGCGTTTGATCAGATGTTGGCGTGGCTGAAATCGCATTGAATAATGATTCCCCTTAGGCGTTAAGCATCACCTTACTTATATATCACGGTTTACGGAGTATTAATGAATGATTTTCGAGGCCAAGAAGAATATCTGTGCCCTAGAACAAACTCCTAGGTATTCGATTTCTTCCCAAGAACTGGGAGACAGGCTATCAATCATCGAATATGCATCAATTATAAGTTCAGTATTTCCAGATGATCTAAACCTGAGGTCTGCGTTATTCATATACTTCGTTCTAAGAGATTGTACAGATAATCTTCCCCTTTGTAGCATTCGTCTCCATCAGCTGATGGGCTTCAACGACCTTCTCCCAAGGCATCACCTTCTCCACATACACCTTGAAAGTCCCATCTTGGAACTGTGGCATGTATTCCTCCAATTTATCCCTCAGTCTGCCCTGGTAGTCCGGGTCTCGACTTCTCAGACTGGAGCCCTCATATCTTAGCCTCTTCCTTATAAAAGCACCAATGTCGACACCAGCTGGTAATTTGGTTCCACTCATAAAGCCCAGGTTCACAATATGGCCGTCCCTGGCCGCAACGTCCAAGTTTCCCTGGAAGTAACTTTGTCCAACAAAGTCGATTACAAGGTCCACACCTTGACCATTCGTAGCCTTCAAAATCTCTTTCGCCCAGTCTTGAGTCTTGTAGTTGAACCCAGCCGTGGCCCCAAGCTCCTTGACACAGAAATCGATCTTCTCTTGGCTCCCCGCCGTGACATAGATTGCGCTCGCTCCAGCAGCTTTCGAGAGTTGGATCCCGGCGATCGAGACACTGGATGCGCCTGCATGCCAAAGGATACTCTTCCCCTTCGTGAACTCGCCAACGGGATACATTGCTTGTGTGGCCGTGATCCATACCTCAGGAATACCAGCAGCCTCCTCCCAGCTTAGATGCTCTGGCTTGTGCAGCAGCATATGTGTACTAACAGCAATGTATTCGGCATACGCACCACCATATGCTAGTCCGAATACCGCATCGCCTATCTTGAAGCCCTCCTTAACACCATCGCCCAAGCTTTCAATATGACCGCTGAATTCCACGCCTAGGATCTTGCCGCCCTGTGGTGGGACCGGGTACATCCCTTCTCTCTGTAATAAGTCCATTCGGTTTAGTCCAAAAGCTTTGATTTTAACGACCGCTTGACCGGTCCCAGCCGTGGGTTTGGGGATCGCATCTGAGATGAAGAGGGAGGTTGCGGGGCCGGTGCCGCCCTTGATATCTGGCGATAGAGTTAGTATTTACTTGAAAAGGTTATAATGAGTAGACATTGGAACAGAGTCATCTGAATTGCCCAGAGAAAGCGAGTAACTGAGGAGACGTTAAACGACCCAGCCAAGATGATTGGTATCTATAATACAATGTCTTCTGTCTCACGCTTCATGGACGGGCGGAAATGGAGTAAGGGGGGTTTTACCGACTGCGCGCATTTTCTCGCCCATGATTAATGACTGTATTGAGAAACAGACTTAGAGTGAATACGTGGGACTGGGAGTTGAAAAGAGAAAAAAGTCTCGTCGATGGATGTTCTGTTCCTGGCGGGGTTCTGATGACGGAAGCGGGGCTGTATTAAGGCTTACAAACTACGGAGTAATGATGTACGGCCATTAAGTCGGCATGTGGCTTTGCAGCAGAATAGGTAGGTACTTTTATTAGAAGCGACTTGCTGACAACTCTTCAAGTCCTCTCTGCCCTCTGGATATTATAATATCGATACCTTGACTTACCTTAGCATCAGAATGCTTATTCTTCCCCCTCCGACTGTACCTCTATGCAGCCCCTGAGTCACGTGATAATAGCCCAATGCCCCCTCTTCCGGGCAATTGCTCCAACTACATGGGTTCAGCGACGAAAAAAAGGAAAGGCTCGAGTTGATTTGAGATCGGACTCAAAAACCAGAGGAATATGATTCACTTGCGAGCCGTGTATCAACAGTTTCCAAGCCCAACAGTGAAGTAACACAGGGGCATGGACATCGTCTCGCACATAATCAATGACTTGGGAACGGACGATGAAGAATATGTTGACGCAGGACAAATGCTGCCTTGGATCACCGACAACCATGCATCTCTTGGTTATCGATCGAGACTGGCACAGTGGGGTGTGCTGAATGTGCTGGTTCGAAAGCAATAGATCCTTGGAAACAGCCCCTTCGTCTCTGTAAATATGCTTTCATCGATACAATCGATTTGGTATCCTGCTAAGTCTTCTTCCTTTCACGGACGCCGCCAGATATACTCGATTCGTCCGAAGTTTTTCTCGCCGATACTGCGACATATCTGCAGAACTGCCTCCCTCGATAACCCTCGACTCCAGCCACAGTGTTCACGAACCAAGCTTCAAGGCCCAAGAACTTGATGATCAAATATGGAATATAGGCAAGGACAAAGAACAACCGTAGCATAGGCGTGACATTGGCCGTGAGATCTTTGACCACTACATCCATGAAACCAGCCTCTACCAACATCTTTTGTAGGACGCCCTTATCAAACCGTGCATGGGAGGGCATAGATGCATATTCATTGATTTTCTTCATCGATTCCTTCAGATAATTGGGTGCAGAGTTGAGGTTGCTATGGTCATATTCGTAGAGAGCCATGGTCCCTCCAGGCTTGAGCACACGGTAGAATTCTGCCAATGCTGCTTCGGGGTCTGTCGCGTGGACAAACGTCTCCATTGTATACGCGCCGTCAAATATCTCGTCTGCGAAGCCTTCTAGGTGATGATAATCCATTTTTCGGACGGTGATAGCGTTCTCAAGACCAGCCGCCTTTATGTTCCGCCGAGCCCTTTGGATGTGCCGTTCGACAACATCAATGCCTTGCATGAGCAGTCCCCTTTGAGCCAAGTGGATGGCCACATGTCCAACTCCACAACCAGCGTCCAGCACTTGCGCACCTTTCTCTAGGCCGAGTGTATCAAAGAGGTGGTCCTCCATTGCTCTAAGCGCCCCACTGATAGGAAAGGGCCAATACGTGCCCGCATTATAATACCCAAAATGTCTGGTACCCCCTAACACAAGGCGATAGCCAATTCTCGATTCGAGGGACGCATAGTAGCTCTGAAGAGATCGATTTGGGTTTATGAGGGGTTCTTGGTCGGAAGAAGCCATTCTGATAACGACAGGAGTTGTTGAATAAGGTGCGCCTATGTGTGTTGATGCTTGACCGAAAAGAGTACGCCTCGTGTGATTATCTGGTTATCGTGTGCTTGAAAGAGCTCGAAGCTCAGACGAGTCGCAACTTCGACACGTCACTTGATTAAGGTAATCATAGACACAGGGTGTTGAGAGCCGTAAACAATTCGAATTTGAAAAAGCAACAACGTGAAACTCAAAAGAATAACTGGAAAGGACCAACCTCATTATGTGCTCTCCATATGCTGTCTGTGTGCCTACCTAGGCTCCACGGTTTCAGGGGCAACAACGAAGCGCTGGCGCTTAAGTAGGGCGGGCGGTCTAATCACAAGGACTTGAACCACATGCTTCACTGTTCAGACGCAAATCCATGCAAATCTCGTGCTTCTAGACTGGAAACTGGAATGGCTTACACTGTATCCCCCAAGGCGCTCTTTTCCACATCATATCACCGTGCTATGGTATTCATTCAGCACCTTAGCCACAGGCGAAGTACATCAAGCCTCTCAGGACATAAGACTCGGCAAATAACGACGTCATATATACCTATCCCTACCTATGCGCAGAGCAGAGTAGCACATTTCCGGCCTGTGCTATCAGGAAAGATCGAGATTATGGCTATGTCTTTTGGAAGCATCTGCGTTTCTCCTTGTGTGGTTCGTCGAGGGAAATCTCCATGGTATTTGATTGTTTGCACCAAAACGAAAGTCTCAGAGAGACACGGGTTTCGGGGTGAAGGCAAGACGATAGTCATTTATTTATTTAGGCAGCATTAATAAAGTCAAAGCTTTAATACTTGCGGATCGTTATTAGTGGGCAGAAAGACAGAAAGAGGTCTCTTAAGGTCAGCAGCGGCTAAAGACATCGAAATGAGACACGATTCTTTCCTTCTAGAAATGTAGTAAGCATCCCTTCATTGGAAGGCTTCCAGTTCTCTGCCAAATCTACAAGCCTTTTCATGACCATGACATGACACCCACAACGCCCGCAAATGCACCCAAGCAATCTCCTTCCTTACATCTGTTGTTGTTGTTGCTGTTGTCTAGCCTGCCTCTCAACCTCATACGTGAAATCGAAATATCCCTTGTCGAACTGGTGTACTCGAACATAACCATCCTCACCTCCACTAGCATACCCCTTCCCAGTCGGGTCGACTGCAACCGTGTTCAAGGGACCAAAGTGACCTCTGACTCTTCCAATTTCTTCCTCGAAAATCTTGTGGTAAAACCTGGCTTCAAACTTTCCTTGTCTCGTGGATGTAGTGGTAACGTCCATGGCTGCTTGTCCACCACCAAGGATAACGAAGTCTTTCTTGGGTGTGATGGACGCGCTGTTCAAAGGGGTATCGGCTACGTAGGTCTTCATGACTTCGAGGTCACGGGTGTTGATAAGCTACACGACGGAAGTTAGAGAATTTCATGTGAACAGATTTCGCGCAAGTACTAACCTTAGCAGTCTTGTCTTTGGAAGCGGTGATGAAGTATGTCCGGTCGGGGGCCCACTGAAGGTCCGTGATGTCAAGGTCGTGAACTTTGACATTATCGAGTTGCTCTCCCGTCTATATTTCTGTCAGTATTGCCCCGGGCGTGAAGAGAGATATGTCGTACCTTAGCGTCGTACTGTGACACGGTTCCGTCTTCGTGACCTGCGATGATGTACTTCGACAGATAACTCCATCCAGCAACTATGGCTTTGCTCTCCTCGCAGGTAATCGTCATGACCTTCTCGTTCGATTGTTCGGCCTCGACATCTAAGTTGATATCCAGGACAACGATCGTACCCAAGAAACCCATGCGCATTTCGGTAACGGCCAACAGTTTTGATCCATCTTCGTTGAACTCGACCCTCTTCACCGCCGTGTTGAAATCCCAGACCTTCAAGCACTTTCCCGTCTTGATATCCCATAATCTGACTGTGTTGTCGGCGGCACCACTTGCGATCATTGTGCTTGTCGGGTCAACATCAACTGTCCAGATGGCTCCCTGGTGGCCATGGTATGTACCCAGTCTCTCTCCGTTGTGTGAGAACCATGCGCAGATGTGTTGATCCTTGGCGGTGGAGAAGATGATATCGCCATCTCTGTTATATCTGGAGAAGGGTCAGTGTTGGATTTGGATTCTCGCTCGAAGGTGATCCTGCGCACTTGATCTGGGTCAAAGCCCGCTCCTGGAGGGGTCGTTAGAACTGCATGACGAAGAGACTCTCGGGCGTCAGAACTTACATGTCCCTGCAACAAGGTTGGCCTCATGTTGGCGATTCTATATCCTCGAATATGTGATGGTGTCGCGCGGCGGGGTACTGGTTGTTCGATGTAAGTGGAGGCACGATCTCAAAAAGTTCGCGTTGCCTCGACTGAGAATCGTAAAAGAGTGTGTGGTGGTGCGAGCCAATCACCGCTCGCCAGCCACTCCCCGCGCTAAGCCGTTACGGAGGCCGGATTTCCTGGTAGAAATCGAGATGCCGGTTTTTTTTTCCCGCCTGCTCAAGGCACAACAAAGAACAGGAATAGACAAATTAATTAGACGATGATAGATCTTCCCTTCCCGCCTTTGAGTCATATAGCCATAGCCCTCTCTTGTGCGGTACAGTCATCATTCTCTGAGGCCTTCTTTCTTTACAGCGGCGTGACCATTCAACAGGCGCGCCCAATTAATTGACTTGTCTTGTTCAACTCCCATTCCACAGCTACAACAAACAGGTAGGGCTCTACTTGGAGCAAAACCCCTGCAATGATCAGGCGAGCGCCCTCTCTCCGATCTGCCCAACCTCACAGATCCCACCCTCGTCCAAAAGCAATAATCACATTGCCTCGGCCGTTGCATGCCCGGACAGCCTTGATCTCGTCGTCTCCAATAAGTGGCTCCGCCTGGCCGGGACTGGCTGCCAGGCAAACCGTTAGACCGCGGGGTCAGAATCTGCCTTCCGGTCGATCGCCTCTCTTGACCCTCCCCTCAATTGTAGCTCCACGCCCCTCTCTCGCCGCCCAGGACGTTTCCCAGACAAGGCTATTCTCGACTACTCCTCTCGCAATGACGGCTACCAAAATTGATGGCACGGCCATTGCAAAGAGAATTCGTGAGAGGCTTCATGCTGAAATCGAGAATACCCAGAAGACCAACCCAAGATTCAAGCCCTCCCTGAAGATCATCCAAGGTAACATCCACGTCCTTTTGATACTTGACCGCAATTACTGACTTTTCTTTTATAGTTGGTGACCGATCGGACTCAAGTACGTCAATTACATTGAACCTCTGTTAGCCTTGGCTTACCAGTGTCAGCAACTTATGTGCGCATGAAATTGAAGGCTGCCCAAGAGGTCTGCATGCCGTCTTCCACTCGTATACCGCCTTGCTAACTATGTGCCAGGCAAGCATTGATTGCGAACTTATACAATTTCCCGAGTCCGTCAGCGAACTCGAACTTATCGATCAAATCACCCGCCTCAACAATGACCCTGCAGTCCATGGAATTCTTGTCCAATTACCCGTCCCTAAACACATCTCCGAATATGCAGTAACATCAGCTGTGGCAGACGAGAAGGATGTCGATGGATTCGGTGCAAACAACATTGGGGAGCTTGCAAAGCGTGGTGGCCACCCACTCTTCACACCCTGTACCCCAAAGGGTGTAATGGTTCTGCTCGAGGAGAGTGGGGTAGATCTCAAGGGCAAGAATGCTGTAGTCCTTGGGCGTAGTGACATCGTTGGAAGTCCAGTCAGCTACCTCCTGAAAAATGCCGATGCTACGGTGACCGTGTGCCATTCGCATACCACAGGGCTTGAGGATATTATCAAGCGAGCGGACGTGCTGGTCTCTGCAATTGGAAAGGCAAACTTTGTCAAGGGCGAGTGGTTGAAACCTGGTGCAGTCGTGATTGATGTTGGCACTAACTTTGTGCCCGACGAGACAAAGAAGTCAGGTCAGAGACTCGTCGGAGATGTCGATTTTGCATCAGCCTCCGAGGTAGCCTCACAAATTACGCCAGTTCCAGGTGGGGTTGGCCCGATGACAGTTGCTATGCTACTACAAAACGTGGTAGATTCAGCAACGATGTATTTTGAGCGACAGAAAGCGAGAGCCATCTCGCCTTTAGCTCTGAAACTTCAGGATCCCGTGCCTTCAGATATTGATATCTCTCGTGCCCAACACCCAAAGCAAATCACTCGTATTGCCAAGGAGGTCGGTATCGCTGCTCACGAGCTTGAGCCTTACGGTGCATACAAGGCGAAGGTAGACCTAGGCCTTCTCAAGCGTCTTGAGCATCGTCGTAATGGCCGCTATGTTGTCGTCACAGGTATCACACCTACCCCACTTGGTGAAGGCAAGTCTACCACCACTATGGGTATCACACAAGCCCTCGGCGCTCACCTGAACCGCATTGCATTTGCCAACGTCCGTCAACCCAGTCAAGGTCCAACATTTGGAATCAAGGGAGGTGCTGCAGGAGGCGGCTACAGTCAAGTCATTCCTATGGATGAATTCAATCTTCACCTTACAGGAGACATTCATGCCATCACTGCTGCCAATAACCTTCTCGCTGCTGCAATCGAGACGAGAATGTTCCACGAAAATACACAAAAGGACGCAGCCCTTTACAAGCGTCTCGTCCCGGCCAAGAAGGGAAAACGAGAATTCCAACCGATCATGTTCCGCCGGTTGAAGAAACTTGGTATCACGAAGACAAATCCCGATGACTTGACTGAGGATGAGATTCGTCGCTTTGCGCGACTGGACATTGACCCTTCCACTATCACGTGGAGACGGGTGCTTGATGTCAATGATCGTCACTTGAGAGGTGTCACTGTTGGTACTGCTGCGACTGAGAAGGGGCAGACCAGAGAGACTGGATTTGATATCTCTGTAGCCAGCGAGTGCATGGCTATTCTTGCTCTCAGTAATGATCTTAACGATATGAGAGAGCGCCTGGGAAGAATGGTTATTGCGTCTTCGCGAAGTGGAGAGCCTGTCACCTGTGATGATATTGGTGCAGGTGGCGCACTTACAGCTTTGATGAAGGATGCTATTAAACCCAATCTCATGCAGACCCTGGAAGGTACCCCGGTGTTCGTCCACGCTGGACCATTCGCAAACATCAGTATCGGTGCAAGCTCCGTTATTGCAGATAAGCTTGCCCTGAAGCTTGCTGGTACAGAACCTGATGAGAACCACAACGAAAAGACGGGCTTTGTCATCACCGAAGCCGGTTTTGACTTTACTATGGGAGGGGAGCGCTTCTTCAACATCAAATGTCGCTCAGCTGGTCTTGTTCCAGACGTCGTCGTCATTGTGGCCACGGTTCGAGCATTGAAGGTGCACGGTGGCGGGCCTTCGATTTCTCCTGGAGCTCCACTTGACAAAGTCTATCGTGAAGAGAACATTGACATTCTTCGGAAAGGCTGCGTCAATCTTAAGAAGCACATTGCGAATGCCAAACAATATGGAATTCCGGTTGTGGTTGCTATCAACAAGTTCGAGACAGATACCGAGGCTGAGATCCAAGTCATCAGAGAGGAGTCTATCTCTGCTGGTGCTGAAGATGCCATTCCAGCGAACCACTGGGCTGAGGGTGGAAAAGGTGCAGTTGATCTCGCTAAGGGTGTTATTGCTGCAAGCGAGAAGGAGAAGGACTTCAAGCTCCTGTACGGCCTGGAGGGCGATGTGCAGACACGCATCGAGACAATCGGAAAGGAAATGTATGGGGCTGCGAAGGTTGAATTCAGCGAGGTTGCACAAAAGAAGGTGGACACTTATACAAAGCAAGGCTTTGGACATCTGCCTATCTGCATTGCTAAGACTCAGTACTCGTTGTCTCACGACCCCGAGCTCAAGGGTGCGCCAACTGGTTTCACCGTGCCTATCAGAGATGTGCGCCTAGCAGCTGGTGCTGGCTATCTGTAAGTGTTCGTTGTCTACATGCTCCGACTAATCGCTAACGTTCAACAGCTATGCCCTGGCTGCGGACATACAAACGATTCCAGGCTTGCCCACAGCTCCTGGATATCTGAATGTTGACGTCGACACCGAAACTGGTGAGATCGATGGCCTCTTCTAGATTTGGTAAAATATCATTTCTATCGTCTTTCATCCTATACGGGCTTGGTTTTCAGCGATCCTTCATCTTCAACAGCACTTGATAGGGAAAAGCAGCACATTCAACGTGCCGGTATGCATCTTTCAACAATGGCGTTGCAGACAATTGGCAAGAGTCAAAAAGAAATGTAGAGATATCCACCATGATCAACCCATGGTTATATAATGGAGTCAAGTTTACGCGTTGATGCATCAGATTCTAACTTTCCATGGTAAACTTCCTTTGGAGCTTATGAGGTCCTTGATGCATTCGAAATATGTATGTCCCTCAGTAATCTTCTCATTTCAGCACAGCTCTCTCATCTCAAGATTGCGAAATTCGGTTCCATGTCTTCCGCCAGCTGTTCTCTTTAGCCATCAACCTCCACCATACCAGTAAAGTCCATGAAACTGTCGCTATGTCTTCTCCCCTTTGCCCTCCCTTCCTTCCCGCCCAAGGTCATGCCTGCCATTCCCTCCTCCCATCTTATCTCTGTACCACGCTCTACCCCCGTCACCCTCCGCTTCCTCAGTTTCTATCACCCCTGCGTCCTGTTCTTCCTCTTCCCCTTCATTCTCATTCCCCTCATCCTCTCTCCTCATGCGCCATCACCCAAGATTTGCACCCCCCCCCCGCCGTCACCTCGACCTGGGTAGTCGAGAGCATAGTATCCACGGGTTAAATCTGGGCCACCAGATCGAAGCTGTCCAAGCTGTCCACATCCGAGTTATTATCTAAGAAAGCTTGGGGACGGAGGGGCACTGGTAGCACTTCGCGCACTTCTTATCTGGAAGCACAAATTTCTTGACGGCCCTTCCGGTAATTTTATTGACGCCTAGAGTAATATAAGGATGGCCAAACCCAAGCATCAAATTTCTCTGGCTCTAATAACCAAGTGAGGAGAAAGAGAATAGGGGGTTGCTCGCTTAATTCCCCGTTTCCTGTTTGCCACATCAAAGAGAATAAATCACCATTTTTGAACATGACCTGTAAAATCGAAACGTAAATACTTTGGAAGTATAAAGAAAAAATTGTTCGGGAATCAAAGACTCCTTAACTGTAGTAACTCTTTTCCTGCTTTGTTGACTACCTAGCTAACGCAGATCGCATGGGGCTTGCTGGGAAATTTTTGCTCGTGGGCACCACTCAGAAAATAGCGAAAAATAAAAAATAGAGACAAAAAGATTGTGTTCTATAATCAAGGTGTTCCTTGATTCGCAGATGTTGCGGCTTCTGTGGATCGAACACAGTGCCTCCAGATTAAACTGTCTGAAGTTGACTTCAGTCTGGCGCTCTCCCAAGTGAGCTAAAGCCGCTTGGTGTTTGTTGTAATAATTTTGATTATTGATCACTTTGTTACACGAAATGCGGGGATGCCTCATTCTGGGAAATTGGTCAAGTGCCAGCCTTCTTCCCCAGATGACGTTAAAACCCCTAATTAAAGCACATTCATTTCGCGCATCAACACATAAAGGGTCCGGTCAGTCCAAGTGCATTTCCTATCCATCATGTGCTTCGGTGCTGCCCGCCCGGTTGCGTACCGACGCCTACCCAGGACCATCCATCTTTGCCGACATAACTTTTCAACACAGAAGACAAAGGCGCCGCCTTATAAATCCTCTCCCTTTCGAACGGCTACGATTTGTTTAGCCATTGGTATCTCCGTGGGATATGTGCTCCAGAAATACCCCGCTAGAAATAACCAAACTCCATCTCACACCGACTTCTACGATGGCTCACTGGAATGGAAAGGCAAGGCATGCAAAAAGCTCACTCTTGATGAGGCGGGAGCCTGGCTGCGTAAGGAAGAGAGCTCTCGTAAAGGTCCAGTAGGCAGTGGGGTTCAAAGCTGGTATAGCGTTCGATGCCCTAGTAATTCTCCATGTGAGGACAATCTAGTCTCCTCCCAGCGTCTTGTTTCTACTGGTCAAGACAAGCCGTGGATATTCTGGGGTGTTTTTGATGGACATAAGTAAGCTTCCTCTAATACCCCATCCGATCGAAGTTCACGGAGTCTCAAATCAACGAGTTACCGTATGGCATCAAACGTGACCTCAAATCTAACACTGGAAATATAGTGGTTGGGCTATGTCCACAACTCTACGGGAAGTTCTAGTCCCATATGTGGTCCGCAACCTGTCCCAATTGTACCAATCATTCAGTAACAGCAGTCCAACATCTGCAGCCATAGATGAAGCTATCATTTCGTCATTCAAACTTCTTGATGACGAGATCATTGCCGATGGCATGGCGGCGCTCAAAGATGCTAAATCGACAGCTGAAGTCATTTCCCGCCTCGCTCCAGGGTATGCAGGGTCATGTGCAGACCATGAGACACTCTGTGGACTTGTTGGGCTGCAGCCACCTCTAGCTCGACAGGGCAGGGATGATGTTACGGTTCAGGTTGTTTTCTTTGACGGTTGTGCCTAGTAGAGAGGGCCTGCTTTCTCGCTTTGAGAAATCAAGAAAAGCAAGTCTCAGGTCACGTCAATACCTTCAAGTCTCTCACTTGGAGAGTATGGACATGTTAATGGAACAAGCTCTGCAGATACTAGTATTCCATATTTTCAGTATACGCTCCATAACGAAATATGGTATCAGCAATGCATACGAGCCTTCTGACCATATGGCGTCACGGATACTATCCAATATTTATTTGAAAATATATTCAACACAAAATCTACATCTATTTATCTATAAATATCCATCCATTCATTGTGCATATCCGAGAAGTCTTCCATCTACCAACCAAATTGCTCACAATATAACTCTAAACTTGGACCATCGGGTCTTATGCATTGAGCGACCGTTTTCCTGGTAACCTCCATCAGACTATCAGGTCCACAGGCCGCTACTGCTATTCGATCGTGTGTATCTGCCTTATCCACCGTTTCCCTAATAACCGCGGCAATATCTGGACGGCCGGGCTTCATGAAAATTGAAGGTGTGGAGTGTGAAGCTTTTTCTGGGTGCTTCTCGATGTCGCCTTCGTCAGAATCTGTCGCTGAAACGGGTAATGCGGTCTCGTTGAGCGAGAGAGAATCCCTTTTTGTATCGGGGAGAGGTAATGATATGGGAGTGTTTAATGAAGATGGAGAGGAATGCCGTGTGTAGTGAAGGCGTAGGGTCACTATGGGCGTGGAATTTAGTATCTCAAGCTCATTGGCATACCACTGGATGGTCTCTGATTTATATTAGCACATATATTAATATATAAGAGATAGGAAATTAGAGCCAATCTTACCTTGTTCTTTAACAACCCATATGATTTCAACAGTAGTGGATCCCGAATCCCCCAGCTTGCGGACCAGATCTACTGCCACTCCCAAGGAGAAACTAGCCCCGCTGCCCCCTGCAATGAAAAGTACCTTGGTGACGCCGGTCATATGAAAGGCTGCGCCATAAGGACCATCAATTGAAGCTCTGAGAGATCGACCTGGGTTTTTAAGAGCGAATTCGTGGAGATCGCGGGTAAAACCATCACGGGCCGCGATAACAAACTCAAGAGGGGAGCTAGACACGACAGTAAACGGGTGAGTCTCAGCCATGCGAATTCCAGGTATCCAGAGGAAGCAATGAGATCCAGGAACTGCGAAGCGTGATGATTTGCGAAGTACGATGCGTGTACCACCATGTGGAAGTGGGGTTATCGTAGCAGTGTTTCCCAAACCGAACAGAGAGATCTTCAGGAATCTTAAGATGCGGTCCGCAACCCATATTGATGCTGTGAAGATGATTATAACGAGTGTCCTCGTTGATATAAGTGGACGGTGCATCCCAACGGTGATCAAAATAAGTATATACATCACTATGTGAATGATGTAGAAGACCTCATATCTGAGTTTTCGTAGGAGAAGGGCTGTTGCGAGAATAATGAGCATGGCCCACCCAGCGACGATACCCATCACCTGATTACGCTCAGTAAGCTGTTTAAGACTGTGGGTTTGGTGCCAGGCTTGAATATAGACCACGGCATGTATCAAGGTGTAGGTTACGGTTGCATAGCCGATAACTTGATGAAGTATATTCAGACGTTCGTACGAATAGCCTGCCAGGAATGCCAAAGGTGTGTTCTTCAATGAGAGGAAGGTAACAAGAGCGATATTCGAAGCAGCGATCCTAAGTAAATCAAACTTAGTTCAAGGCAATGTGCTTGTGCGGAAATACTTTACCATCCTAATCGCTTTGCCCAGTTATTCAGTGAAGACCAGTCGATATTGACGAATGTAACCGTTATGCTGGTTGCGAGATATCCCAGAAAAACAAGAGCATGGCCGACGGAAGTGAAGCCAGGTACCTTGCGCAACAAAAGGCGCCTGGCACGCCTATTCCAGTTGTTGATGAGTGTTATCCAAGACAATGAGAGGAGTAATACCTTGAAATTCCAACAGACACTCTCAGAAAGCTGGTGCTGCTGCCCCTTCTCAGCTGGTAACGTTTGAACAAGAATCTGGCCCAGTGGAAAAAAATAAACATGACCATCATGCCAGCCATTCCGGCAGCAAAGAATCTGGCGGCGTTCTCATTGTTTCTCTGTCGTAGAGCTTTTGCCTTGGCCGCAGCGGCAGCTGCAGCCTTTACCATCTTCGAGAATGCAAAGGGTGGCAGCAAATGGCTTCATATAAAGAGAACTAAAGGCAAAGAAACTAGGGTATCACAGGATAAATGGAGAAAGATTGAGGACGTGATCTGACGAGAAACTACTTGATTCCAGCAGGGGATCAAGGCAAGACTTTATGTCAAAACTTCAAAACCAAGTAGCTCTGGCTCAATGCCAGTCGACTCACCTGAAAACATCGGCCTCCCATGTGGCGCCCCATCTATCTGTGCTAAGGCTACATGGGGAAGAATAAGCCATCTTAGTTCTGGGGGCCGGATGTATCTCCACGAAAGCAGGCCGACCTATACATCTAGTTTGCCGAGGGGGTGATTAAAAATGGCGCTAGAGATCAGATAAGATCCTTGATCGCGTGCCGTGGATTTTAATCAGTGCGGATCTGATTATGCATGATTTTTATCTGATCGAATGATTGCCGGGCTAGCCCCGTATAGCCACCCCTCTATGGCTTGACGATATGTGGATATGCCCCAAGTAAAACTCTTCCAACTTCCTTCTACCTAGTTCCCTTCGGTCCGATGTCGCATAAAATGAGAGGTCAACGTTTGAGAGAAGATCTAGAGCCTATCATGATAGAAGAATGACATCGCCCTACTTATTCATGGCTACAGACGACAGTAGTAATCCTGGTTGGACAAGATGTGAATTGAGTATGCCTCCAAGGAATGGACATCCGACTTTGGTCTGCGAGCGGAGTACTCGGATCTCTGTACCTGGCCGAAAGATTCGAGCTTCGAAAGCAGTTACCATAGAGTAGTTTCATGCTCGCAAACATGTGCGGGAGGTAGTGGGATGTGACACGAGCCAAGGGGTAGGTGATGTGGATCACTGCGTCTTGTCAAAGTTATCAGATCTTTAAAGAATCAAGCTTTCTCCGCCCCAGTTCCTTCTAGCAAGGGTATCCTTTCAAATTATTTATACAAAATGGCCCGTAGACGCAAGAGTGGTGGTGTACAGTAGGTATTAGAATAAATCCCGCTCGGGTCTAGAAGCACTTTCTGATTCTGCCGCCTGATCAACCAGAGGAGCTCTCTTTTTGCCCTGATTTCTCCTCAAGAACGCATTGCAAAGAATGCCGGCCGCTACGCTGACATTCAAACTGTCCACATTGTGGCTTTGGCCACTCCCTCGTATCGAAAGGTCAACGTCGGCTTTGCTTCTCAAATTCATGCGAAGACCCTCCCCCTCTCCGCCAAGCATCAGAATGCACGGATCTTCAGACAGTGGATCTTCCAGGTCATCAGCGAATACCGCCGGGGTCACATTTCGCTCCTTGGATCTAGAAGGTGGCACTGCGGCAAAAATTTTCCACCCGGCCAATTTTGAGTTAGCAACGAACCCTGCTGGCTTGTTGACCGAGAACAAGGTCACATTCTCAGAAGCCCCTGCAGATGCTTTGAGGACAACGGGAGTGAAAGATGCGCTGTTCCGAACCGAAATGGCAACTGCAGTTACTCCAAGGAATGAAGCTGTTCGGATGATGCCGCCCAGATTTCCGGGATCCTCAATGCTATCTAGAAGGAGAACGAAAGGCTTTCGCCCTGAAGAATTTCTGGGAAGCTTGATGAAATCGGAAGTCCCGTTGACTGCGGCATCCTCGCGTGATTGATGTTCCACATCGACTTTGAATCCACTCTCCCCATCTTGTTCCGCGAGTTCTCCTAAGCTCATTACAGGTAGTCTTGGTAAAGGAGATGCCTCAAGGACATAGCCATTGTGTGGCCTCCCTCCACTCATCTTGTCCATGAGCCGTAACCAGTCGCCCCCAACACGTGCGACTTCAATTCCTTTCCTTCGTGCCAACCGCTCCAGGCGGGCAGGGTCAACACTGTCCCTATTTTCCCCTGTGTAGATATAGAGTTTGTAAAGTTTCCGTCGAGGGTCTCTCTGAGAATTCAATGCTGCCTCTACCACAGAAGTTCCATACAGAAACTCGGATGCAGGTGTAGTATATGGTATGGATAGGGGTATCCGTTTGGCATGAGCTGGCGAGACTTTTGGCCCACTCGATGAAATATCATCATCATGTCTTCTTGACGCAGGATACCGATGTTCAGAATTCGACGCCCGGTCTCGTGTTCTTGATTCATATGACGGCTTAGTGGCAGATAACGAGGGGTATCTATCCTTTGAATTCGCGTGTCGATCTTGGCTTCCCCTTCCAAAGCCCTTCTCTCGCGGAGCTGGTCCCTCGTCGGAGGCAGTATTCTTGAATGAGCTCTGCTTGCCATCACCATAGCTGTGATTACGGGAAGACGATCGTGCGGCATGTGATGGTTTTCGAGATTTGTCCTCCTCGCCTTTGATCACTTTCTTGCCCCTCCGGATCCTGAGCGAATTCCCTTCTCTTTCTCCTTTCGCAGACTTCTGTGGAGAGTCGCCTCGCCGTCCATCACGCGTTATCTGTTGTTGAGAGATATGCGGTGGATCTGCGCTTCGCCGATTAAGACCAGTTGATGGTCCATTGTCCGAGGCCCCAGTTCGACTTTTCTCCTGTCCCCTGAAACCAACACCTTTCGAACGACGTAGACCGCGATTGATGCCAGAGTTCACAGAGGCTGCTCTAAAGGCGTAGAGGGTAGGATACAGAGGAGGCAAAGCAGCAAGTCTTGTGCTCGATTTGAGACCACTCCTCGATAGGATGAAGTTGCTCATTGCATTTGTTGATCAGGTTGGAGGTTGTAGACGAAAATTTCCCCGAGAGAGCAGGGAGAAGCGGCCGCTTTGTACCGACCCCCAAACCGCGAGTCAAACTCTAGAGTAGTTTTTTCGCTGTGGAAGTCAACTATACAATGCTGATAATACCTATTACGAGCATGTAGTTTCCTCGGTATAAATAAAGTTCCAGTCATCTGGGGTAATGGTTGAAAAAGCTCTTTACGTCTTTGAAGAGGCAGTGTCTATCAAATATGTAGGTGGGTCTATCACAGAAAATTGTCGCGTCTCTATCGGCGCGTTAAGTGAGTGGTTCACGTAACCTTGTTTAACACGAATTCCTACGTTCTTTCTGCAGGTCTTCCACGAAATGGGCAATGTCAATTTGAAATTAACCAAAATGATTTAGTAACTCCACACGGACAGGTAACACCTCTGCCAACAGCCTGTCCTGCATATCTGCCAAAATACGCGCCTTTGCTGGCTGACCTGCGTAACATACCATACCACATGGAACATTGCATGGCTTGGTAAGTTACTTCTGGTTCAAGATCAGGCACGACACTTTAAGAATACTTTGGACGCAACCTAATAGAGTTTACAGACCAATATCTTGAGACCCACAGGGCCCATAGGCAACGCAGTCAACAACAATATTAAGATGGCCTCAAATGATCATGTCTCGGACTCAGAGACCTCAGAGGTGGATCTGCTCCGCCCGCCAAGTCGAGATGATAGCGACAGAGAGCCATCTCTACCAGAGTCCGATCTACACCACGGACTTCAAGAGCTACCTCATGAGTCAATGGATGAACATAATAAAAAGGCGAGATCTGTCACCGCAGAGGATAAAATCGCAGTGATGGTACCAGCACCTTCAAGGCCATGGGAATATGAACCTTATCGTGGAGATACAACGGTGGATACTGTATTGGAGGAGTTCAAGAAGCCAGGAGGGGAGATATGGTACAAAATTGAGTATGAAGATGGAAGGAAAGAAGATGTGAGTATGCTGTACCTGAGTTCCTTTTCTCAACCTATCATTTGTGTTTTGCGTCTAAAGACAATATGTATTCGAGCCTGTCTTCTCTATTGCCCTGGTTTGGCAATGAAAGACACCAGACATCTCACAACTTGAACTGCCAAGTGAGCAGTCCGCAACCTTTTACCAATCCTTTGCCAGTGCAAGGTCCTAAAAACTTTTTAAGGTAACGACAGATCAAAGGCCCCTCTTTCCACATTCAGAGGCTATTGCTTTGAAAGTGGCAGAGATTAATTCGCTTCATATTGGCCTTGAGACCAGAGTCACCACAGAGCGTGAAACGCCCGGATTGCGATAAGTCCACGTTTGCTGCGCACACCAGGCTAGGCTCTGTAACAAACTGATATCACTTAGAACACAATTTCTAAGTCGCTCACTTTTAAGTAGACGACTTAGCTTTCAGTTCACTATTGGTTAGGTGTTCATGTCAAACATGCGTTAACCAAGATTGATATACACTTGTTTCTATCCCTATCCGGCTTTCCCGGGAGCAGAGGTCTCCCAGAGCCATCCGTCCTATCTATCTTATTCGCGTATGTAGCTCAGTGCATACGTATTCCTCCTCACCTCTTTTGTCTTGTTCCTGTCCCTCGTCTGACCTTGCGCCCCTATCCATGGCTTCCTTGAATCTCATTCTCATTGCGAAAAGTTCATTTTGCAGCAACTAATATAGAATATAGGTATCCTTTAACGATCTTCTCAAACTCCGAAACGGTGCAAACGCTTTGGACTTTTACAACAACGAGGACCTTGATACTGAGCCTTCAGATTCTATGGCAGACTATCAATTTGGTCGCTCCAGCAGAGAGCCTGCCACGTTTTCTTCCGGCAGCAAGCGTACTCGAACAGAGACAAAAAACAATGGTTTCGTTGATATCGCGAAGCTCCAGCTTGACTCTGATGAGGATGATCTTTCTACAGAACAGACTATAATAAAGAAGCGACGTCTTGTACAGGGTCGAATCTCATTCGTATCTAGTAGCAGCAGCCGCCAAAATAGTCGAGCTGGCAGCAGACTCGGCAACAAACCATCTCCACGCTACGTACATGGCGAGGAGAGTTCCGAGTCGGATTCGGAATCCCCGAGGGATCGTGGAGTTCGCTCCACTCGCGAAACGCGGTCAAATGCTCGCACTTCTGGACGTATAACCCGTTCCTCGGATCCCAAATCCACTATCAGACCAAAGATCAATGATACTGATGACGACGATGCTGATGAACTAGCCGGCGAAGTTCAATTTGAGAGCGAAGATTCGGACATTGTCTACGTCCAACGTGGAGAGAAGAAACGATCAGCTAAGGCTCATCGAGAAAGATCACAATCGAAAGGTCACAGAGGCCGACCACGCCGAAATATAAGCCCCCGTTCCTCAACAACTCCAGAGCGACCCGAGCCAACTCGCCGGTCTGGGCGTGAAAGAACAATTAAGAATATGAAGGAGCGAGATATGGATGAGGAAATTTATGCCGATGAGGTCTCAGTGAACACTGTATCCAAGGTCATTAGTATCCGGGAAGTTTTCCAACCGATTCCAAAGCAATCACGGTTCCGATTCTTTCACAGCAAGGATTGTGATGTCTGTGGTGGGACTGAAAATAACTCTAACAAAGGGGTTAGTCCGTTGATTTACTGTCAGGGTTGTTCTAGCTCGATCCACAAGGTGTGTCTTGGCTATCGTAGTGGTCGAGAGCACCTGGTCACCAAGATCGGCCACGAGAACTTTGTTATGCAATGCCGACGCTGTATTGGTATCGCATCAAAGAAGGACAGCTCAGCCCCGCGTTTAAATGCTTGTTCAGACTGCAATGAAGCAGGAGCAGCGTGCAACCCATTTTCTTCGAGGAAGACTGCAAAGCAGGAAGAGAAGCTGAGGGAGGAAAATGATGGACAAGACCCGATTACGGAAGTTCCTAGCGAACTCATTAATAACGATGAGAATGTGCTTTTCCGATGCAAGACATGTCAACGGGCCTGGCATTTTGAGCACTTACCACCCCTGTTCGATACTTCTAAGACTCCCGAAGATGTGGATAAACTGCGAGACGAGCGTTTCGAAGAATATACTCCAAAATGGCAGTGCAAAGAGTGTTGCGAGGTTCCGGCAAAGGTTCAGACCTTAGTTGCTTGGAGGCCCTCAGATCGCGACTCCTACGCTGATGGCCAAACTGCGGACATGTTCCGCGAGGACGAGAAAGAATACCTGATCAAGTGGGAAAATAAATCGTACTTCAATTGCTCTTGGATGCCAGGTGCTTGGGTCTGGGGTGTGACGGCTACTGTCATGCGCAAGGCATTCTTTCGCCGAGATGAGGGAGCCAATATGCTTCCAAAATTTACCACGGAAGAAGCCATCCCAGAGGAATATTTGCGGATGGAGATTGTTTTTGATGTTAGATATAACGACGATTACAGTCCCCGTTCCGAAGCATCTGATAAAGCTCATATCAACGATGTCGATGAAGTCTTAGCCAAGTTCCAGGGTCTTGGCTACGACGAAGCAGTTTGGGAAGAGCCTCCTTCACCCGATGAACCTGAGCGCTGGAGTGATTTCGTTGCGGCATACAATGAATATCTTGCCGGAAAGTACTTCAAACATCAACCTTACTCTGTCATGAAGGAACGCATCGACAAATTTCGTGCAGCGAACTTCGAGAAGAAGATCGAACTGAAGAAACAACCCTCATCCCTTACTGGCGGTGAAATAATGCCATATCAGATGGAGGGTCTTAATTGGTTACTCTACAACTTTCATCAGAAGAAGAACGTTATTTTAGCAGATGAGATGGGACTTGGTAAAACGATTCAGATCGTTTCCCTGCTCGCCTCGTTAGTGAAAGACAACCCTCAGGTATGTTTCGACGAAAACCTTATTGCCATCTCTGACGCAATTAGTGCTGGCCGTTTCTTATCGTTACGCCCAATTCTACTTGCCCAAATTGGCGTCGGGAGATCAAGAAGTGGTGTCCAACGATCCGTGTTGTTGCCTATTATGGTGGTAAACGTGCTCGCGACATGGCGATGGAATACGAACTCTTCCCAAATCGATGTTCTGACATGAGGGCCCATGTTGTGGTCACTTCGTACGAAGCGCCTGTGGATGACCATAGCAGATCCTTCTTCAAGCGCATCAAATGGGCAGGTATGATTGTGGACGAAGGACAACGTTTGAAAAACGACGAGAACCTTCTATACGTTGCACTGAAGGCTCTGAGAACTCCATTCCAGGTTCTCCTCACTGGTAAGTCAGTCATCTCACCTAGGCATGAAGGTACTAATATGAATGTAAAGGAACGCCTCTGCAAAATAACAAGAGAGAGCTATTCAACCTCCTCCAGTTTCTTGACCCATCTATGAATGCTGCTAAACTGGATGAAAAGTACGCTGAACTAACCAAGGAGAATCTACCTGAGCTTCATGACCTTATCCGTCCATTTTTCTTGCGGTACGTCTTACGTGGGGTTAATTTTATAATCTTTTACTGATAGAAAGCAGACGGACAAAACTCCAAGTCTTGAAGTTCCTACCACCCATGGCACAGGTTATCCTTCCTGTTACAATGAGTGTTGTTCAGAAGAAGCTATACAAGTCAATATTGGCCAAGAATCCCGAGCTTATTCGATCAATATTTGGTCAAAGCAAGACCGTACTACGTCCAGCCGAGCGAGGAAACTTGAACAACATGTTAATGCAGCTCCGAAAGTGTCTCTGCCACCCTTTTCTATATAGCTCGGCTATCGAAGAAAGGTCTGTTACGGAAAAGGCTTTATTTCGTAATCTCGTTGATGCCTCTTCCAAATTTCAGCTTCTGGAAATTATGCTTCCGAAACTGCGAGAACGTGGGCACCGAGTTCTACTCTTCAGCCAGTTTTTGAATCAACTTGACCTGGTTGAAGACTTCCTCGTTGGTCTTGACCTTCCTTTTCAGAGACTTGATGGTACAATCAGCTCTTTGGAAAAACAGAGACGCATTGATGCATTCAATGCACCAGACTCCGATCTATTTGCGTTCCTCCTCTCTACTCGTGCTGGAGGTGTTGGCATAAACCTCGCAACTGCTGATACTGTCATTATAATGGATCCTGACTTCAATCCCCACCAAGATATACAGGCCCTTTCACGTGCCCATCGTATTGGACAGAAGAACAAGGTCCTTGTCTTTCAGCTAATGACCAAGGACAGCGCTGAGGAGAAGATAGTCCAAATTGGACGCAAGAAGATGGCTCTTGACCAAGCCCTTATCGAGAGTATGGGTGCCGAAGACGATGCTGGGGTCGATCTGGAGTCTATCCTTAAGCATGGCGCAGAAGCGCTCTTTAATGACGATGATCGAAACGATATACACTATGACTCCTCCTCTGTGGATAAGCTTTTGGATAGAACCCAAGTCGAAAATACCGAGACAGATGAAGAAAAGACTGCGGAATCACAGTTCTCTTTTGCTCGTGTATGGGCTAATGACAAGGGTACTCTCACTACAGATATTGGAGATGCAGACACCGACGATTCCTCTTCTGCTCCAAACTTCTCGGTATGGGAAAAGATTCTTAAGCAACGAGAGGCAGATGCCGCGCGCGAGGCTGCCCAGAACATGCAGACCTTCGGCCGCGGGAAGCGTACGAGACGGGTTAGTCAATCTTCTCTCATTTCCGTGATGCATTACTGACAACAACTTGCAAGGCTGTCGATTACCAGCGAGGCAGTATGGCTCTCGACGATGAAGTGGGCGGGTCTCCACAAGTTTCTCGAAGCAAACGACGTCAACATGCATCAGGCAGTGATACAGATTTTGCAGCCGCGGGAGAATCTGACGGAGATGACTATTCTGAGGCTGAAGGGTCAGTTGATCCGCGGGAACTACAGCAAAAAGAGCGCTCTGGAAAAGGTATGAATGTGAAGAACAATGTTCAATCTCGTCAACCCCCCCAAAAGCAAGTGAAAAACGTGGTAAAACAGAAAGCTTCTGTTACTAAAAAAAGACGACGAAGTCAAGCCAGCTCTACCGTGGAACAACGTCGCTCTGCTTCCAAGAAAACCAACCAGTCAGGTCATTCTTCCAAGAGGCAGCAGACCTCAGGACCGAAGCCAACTGGTTTAGTTAAACCACAAGCAACTCCAGTGAAGGTTGCGGGTAGTTCCTTGAAGAAGCCTAATAGCTCTGGCAAGAAACCACGAATTCCTCCAAAGAATGTAAATGTCTCTGGAAAAAGGGTGGATGTAGAGTCAGCTACAAATCCGCCTCGCATGCAGAAGCCATCCAAGAAGCAAGAAAACGTTGTCAAGAAGCAGGTACTCCCTGCAGCAACCAGTGGTTCCTTGACGAAGAAGGCAGATGGAACCGGCAAGACACAAGCGGTCTCTGCCGCTGGTCCTTCTACTGGGTCAAAGGTGTCCCAAAGCTCTATCAACGCTCATGAATCTGACACAAAGCTTGTCCAACACAAAGCTAATAGATTACATTCACAGAATACCAGCCAAACTCTGAAACTACCCGAATCCTCCCGCCTTCAGTCCAGCAACACCCAGCAGCCCCTCCAAGTACCCGAATCCTCCCACCATCCATCCAGCAACACCCGCCAGGCCCTCCAAATACCCGAATCCTCCCACCATCTGTCCAGCAACACCCAGCAGCCCCTCCAAGTACCCGAATCCTCCCACCTTCAGCCCAGCAATACCCACCAAGCTTGTATCAACCCCCCAATGCAGGAAAGCACAGCGCACAGCCAAATCAAGGACTGTTAGATTCCCACCAGCCTATCCCATCCAGCCAGCTCAACATCAGAACTGGAAATTCGTCACCCGGAGAACAGACTAAGAGTCCATTTCAACAAGCTCCCAGGAATTCCAGAATCGTCTCATCAACCCAAGAGCCGCAAGTTGAGAAAAGACAATCGAATGGATACGGATATGGCCGTCCTGAAGGGCATCAAGAATCTCCCAGGAGCAGAAGCCAATACTGCCAAGCCTGCAAGTCTGTCCATGTCCCGGGGAAATGTACACTCAAGCTAGCTGGTGGCCCCGAATATTGCGGCCTTTGTGGAATTGCACATTTCGGAGTCTCTCGCACCTGTCCTAATCTCGCCTCGGAAATTCAGATTCGTCTTATGCTTGATGCTTTGAAGAAGAGTACAGAGCCTCAGGAACAGATCGATGCTGCACGTGCGGTTCTCACCAAAGAGCTTGCTAAAAGGCGACAACGACAACGGGGAAAGCATGGGAAGAGCGCATAAGCTGAGACGTCTTCACCTCTTCTTTCGTACATATGGGTTTGATTTTAATTCATGGGTTACTTTTCCGTTTATCAGGGGCGTTGGGAAGATTCATGACTACCAAATGGTTATTGGCATCTTTTCCTGTCACATCGTATGGCGATGGGAATGGTATGGGCATAGATGATGGCATTATTCCATGGCTGGCAATGGTTATATCAATAGATTACGTTTCATTTTGCGTTCAGATGCAGCAATCAAATTAAAAGTTCACCTCTTAAACATCTCCCGAACCCTTGACTTTCCCACCAACCAACCGCTCAGCCGACAAGCATAAATCAATAAATAAGAGTTGCCATTACCTCACTTGCAGCTCTTCTTTATCTAGGGTCGACAGAAGAAAAAGAAACTTCGCACCGCGAAAAGAAAAAAAAATACTTGCTTTATCAGTGGATTTTTTAAACTTCATTCTATTATTCATGCTAGAACCCTTTCTTCGGGCTTCGAGGTTGCGGCAAGTATTATAGACAAACGACGACGAAGTGTGAGAGATAGATAGCAGCAAGCAGCCCCATCCATAGGCACATCGAGTGGTTGGTTCAAGACGAAATTGCCCGCGTAGTATGCCATGTTTACATTACTGTATCTACAAACTCCACTACCTATAGAAGTCAGATATTTGAGAGACACCGACAGTGACACATATTAGTTTGAATAAGGAAGGATAAGATAATCCTGATGGCCAAGAAGGGCGGCCCATCGTTGAAAAAGTGTCATTAATCTGCTTTGCTTGCGAGGCCGCAGCCAGTCGCTCCCTAATATCTCAAAACGCCGTTCGCAATGTTCTTACAATACACGGATGCAAATAATCAATCATCTAGACGCACAAACGAGGCTTCATTCCTTAGAGTTCCCTTCACCGCCTCGAGTATCTGATCTCGGGGCTGAGCTGCTCACGCTGCCACTCCTACTACCAGAGACGGAGCTTTCCTCGGCACTCCGCTCAAGAAATCCGGACCAGAGATCCGCCAACGTCTCCTTGTTGTTGGATGATGGCTCGGTAAAGAAGTCACTTGACAGTGTTGGCGTGCTTGGAGCACGGAGAAATGGTGAGGTGGGTAATCGTAAACTATTGTTTGATGTACCTGGTCTTGCGAGACCTGCTTGCTCTTTCTGCTCGTCTGTCCAGTTAAGAAGCGCTGCTATTAACTGTAGGACCTGGAATTTTTTGGGATCAGAACGGTCGAGAGCTAAGAAGTGTAGGAAATGGTTCGTGACAATTTGCCTAAAGAGATTAGTGGCATACCAAAATATAGGAAGTAGCAGAAAATACCTGTCAACGTTATCTTCTGGCTTGGCCTTCTTGAGAAATCTCAGGGCCTTGGTCAGGTGGTCGTTTAGAACAATGGCTTCATGTCTTAATTTCCCAATCAAGAGATTCTTCTCTCTCACCTCCCTCTCGAACGGTGCTAGACGATCAAGTTCCGTTTGCAAAGCTCCCTTAGAAGCATCCGCTTCAGCTGCCCGAGTATCTGACTCCTGAACCAACTTCTTCAGAGATTGAAGCTGCTCTTCGTAAGTCTCCACCATCTCTCGAAGCTCCCGTTTCCGTGCTTCTTGCACTTCCTGCAGGGCCCTCTGGAGACCACCTAATGCTTGTGATTGAGTATCCCTCTCAGCTACTGCAGCTTCGTAGGCTTCCTTCTGGGAAGAGAACTGTTCTTCCAGATCGGCTATCTTCTCCACCAAGCCCTCTCGCATCCTCTTCTCTTCCATGGCCAATACCTCCCAGTCTCCCATGGCATCCCTAGCCGCATCAGCTTCATCCCTGAACTGCCTAGCCTGTTGAAGCAAGTCATCCCGCTCATGAACCCAGTTTTGTTGGGAGAGATTGTACCGATTCCGAAGACTTGATAATTCCTTGGAAGACTCGTTTAATTCTTCTTTTGATTGCTTAACTTCTTCCTCTAGGCCTTGTATTTGTTTTTGAAGGGCTTCATTCAGAGTCTCGAGTTCATCAATCCGATCCTTGGTCTCCGATAGTTCTTCTTTGTCCGCTTTTAAGCGTTCACCTAAGCTCGCTTTGATAGTGTTTACACGGTCCAGGAGATGCTGGTATTGTGTCTCGGCTTGTTCAGTCGCAGACTGACTTTCTTCTAGCTCTGCCCGGACTGTTGATATCTCTTCTTCATGTTGGCTCTTGACGGTCGCAACTTCTTTCATGTGATTTTCTTGGATCGTTGCCAATTCTTGTGAATGCTGATTCTTGATTGTGGAGATTTCGTCATTGTGTCTTCCCTGGATGTCTTCCAGAGATTTTCGTAATTGCTCGACCTCTGCCCGAAGTGCTTCCCGCTCTTGCGACATTGCCTCAAAACGACTACTGGCATCGACAGTTCCTGGGGCTTTGTTTTCTACACTATCATCTGATCTGTCCGTATCTTGCTCTCTCAATTGATTAGTTGTGGAATGTCGCGAACTTGGCTCGATAGCATCACCATTTGTCGTCTCGTCGTAATTGTGTCCGTTCGCCTGTGATTTCGTTGTCTCTGGAAAATGAGCGTCCTTTGGAGTGCTCTAAAGATTAAGTCAGAGACTCTCTCTTTTGATCTCTTGGCAATTGAACAGGTGTCATTCGTACCACAACAGATTCTGAATCCTCCCCATCGTGTCCACCTTCTTTGTTTTCTACGGGTGAATCCAGCACTTCCTGGGCTGTGACAGTATCGCCATTGCCCTTCCCCTTTGCGCTCTTCTTCTTCTTGTTGTTCTTCTTCTTGGGAGCTACAGGAAGATGTCAGTGTTTGTCTAGGTGAATTGAGTTTCCCAGGGCGGATTAAAGTAGAAACAACGGACCTGTTGACGCAGTCTGAGAGGGATCTGGAGGGGCGACTGCCGACATCTTTAATTACGTGGAGGTAATACAGTGATGCGCACAGTTATCCTCGAGTCGTCTCTCGTGGTTGACAGATTTGGTTACTCGTAATGGCTTTCGCTTGGCATCTCTAGCGTGATTCGTGGTATGTACCTGCCGAGGTACGGGGGTGTGGGGGTAGTGAATGGGTAATGGTGAGATGGTTGTTCAATTGGCCAACTCTCAGGTAGGTGAGGAAGGGCAATACACAAAGACTACCAAGTAATACGAACATGGCAACGAGTGATGCTGTTTCCGACGTCCATTTCACAGGCGCACATATTATGGCCGTTGTCTTAATGTGAATTACCAACGGGGAGGATCTTCGTTGCACACATCTCCATCGCCAAACAGCTACAAAGCTTGTGCAGTAGGGATAGCTATACAATACTTCACCATGGTTTAAAACAATCTCGCACATTCCTATCGCATGATTCCCAGAATCTAATCTACTCATTGAAGAGACATGTACGCACTAAGCGAACCCATTGAGTCCATAGAGCTTTCACTCGGACAGTCGACAGGATTATAAAAGGCGTAAGATCACTCTGAGGTGCTCGAAAATATGATAAGGCTATTTCAGACCAAGGACAGTAAGTCCATGGCACATTGAATCAATGGATTCAATGACAACCAGAACAAGGGTATATAGAGACCTGTAAGACTGAAGAAGAAAAGAGAAAGCCGAGACGAAAGTTTTCAGGAGCTTTTGAGGGGATGCGCTAGACGGTATTATGTAAGCAGGGACCCCACCTTTATGTTATCACGTGTGGCGCGACATCTTCGCGACGGCTTCCGGGGACTCGAACCGTTATTAATCTCCTCCATCGATGAACACAATCTAATGTTAGATGCCACCTGGGCAGTTTTAAGGAACCATTTCTTCTCCGGCATATCCCTTAGGATGATTCTGTTTCACTTCCAATCATTGAGTTCGCATTCCACGAATTGACTTCTCTGACATTAAATTCAAGAACTCATCATGGCATCGCGTTATACTGTTCCCGCCTCTGTGCCCCAGGCGGCTCAAACCGGCGCAGGCGCCGTATACATGGCACAGACTTCAGGCATTAAGCGTGAGAGGTCTCCCGATCGCACGATTAGTCAGTGCGCCAAGAAACAGAAGGTCGCCTCTCAGGATGAAACTCAAGAGGAGAGGTGGGAGGAAGAACGATATGAGAGCTGGGACGAAGATCAATTGGATCAATATGACAACGATGGGGAAGAACGATATGAGAGCTGGGAGAAATATAAATATGATAACGAGGGGGAAGAAGAATATGAGAGCTGGGAGGAAGAACGGTATGAGCGCGAGGAGGAGGAACAGGATGAGGTTGGTGTTCTCTACTCCATCTTTTAGGAAATATACTCCGTGACCTATTATTGATAATGCTTTCTATTTCATCAGCAAGAAGCCGAAGCTGACTTTTTCCAGGTAGCCGCCCAACTGGCGCAGGCCGCGCTCGCTGGTATTGGACCCGATCAGAAGAAAAGTCGTGGTACCGCAAAGACGAAAGGCAAAGAGCCCGAGGAGAAGCGCTGTCGCAGATATCGATCCAAACCTCCTATCACGTACTTGGACAGACTTGATCGCGCCATGACGCAGCGCATGTTCTTGATTGACAGGAACAGAAGACTCAGTGCGGATGGCACACACGAAGTGGAAACCTTTGATATTGCTGGATCTACGGGAAACGTATACAAAGTAACTATCAGCAAAGCGCCCAGCTGTACGTGTCCTGATGCTTACAAGGGTAACCAATGCAAGCATATCATCTACGTACGTACCCTACTCATCCAATTTATGTCCAGGACTCTCGATTACTAATATCACCCACTGCAGGTCATGGTCCATATTCTCAAAGTCCGGGAAGAGTTGAGTTACCAGCTCGGGCTCCTCAGCACCGAGCTTGCTGAGATATTTGCTAATGCGCCTGTGCCTCCGCAATCTGCCGACACGGGTGGAAACCGCAAGCCGATTGAAGGCGATTGTCCAGTCTGCATGATGGAATTCGATCCGAGCGACAAGACCGAGGAGATCATCTGGTGCAAAGGAGCATGTGGCAACAACATTCATCGTCATTGTTTTGAACAGTGGGCTAAGACTAAGCTGGGGGAAGCCAGGTGTGTTTACTGCCGTGCGCCTTGGAAAGGTGATGAAGAGAGTATCAAGAGGATTGCCAAGGCTGGCCGCGTCAATCATGAGGGCTACGTCAATGTTGGTGGGGAGCTCGGCCTTCCAACGGAGAGAGACACGAGTACCTATTTCCCGCGATGGGTGCGACGGGCGTTAAGAGATAACGAAGACCCGTGGTACTACTAGACCAGGATTCATGCCCGGGCTTCCATATCGACTGGGAATGTTCGGCCGTCTAGAGCAAGACATGAAGAAGTCGTAGTAAATTACTTGGCGGACATAAGGCTTCGAACTGAGAGCAAGCTCTGAGAACCAGATCGCTTTGCTTGATCAGCTGGTCATGGGGGAAAATCCGCCGGAAGGAACCTCGATATAACAGATCTGGGCTAGAAATGCATAGGGATTTTTTGGTGTTGCTGGAGTAAGGACGATATACCATTTTGCTTTCAAGTCATGTTTTCGGTCATGCAATATAATGTAGGAATCCCGTCCTTCAAAGATTGCCCCCCCAACATATAATATCAATATGAATTATTACCAGAATCAGTCTATTGTCATACGGTCTTGTTCTGAGATCTCATCGACGACAGCCAACTTCATATTAGAGATTGCTATAACACCGCTCTCTGAATTCAGCATGTCTCATGAATGAAAGAAGTCGAGGGTTTTTTTCAGGATGGGTTGGTTAGAAAAAGAGCGTCGTTGATGGGTAGGATTAAAGAGTGGATCTTGGACATCGGGGAAATGCGTCAATCCCAGGACCAATGATGGGGTTGAAGTCGCTGCTGCTTGTGTTTATCAAGTTTTCCCAATGATAATCTTTAAAATCAGCCGTTTACCTATGTAGCTTGAATTTCTTTGCTGGTACCTAGACTTCAATTATAATTCCATCCCTGTCGTTCCTGGTTATTGACTTTTATCATTGTTCTATCAAAGTCTCAATTCGAGATTCAGTGATAAACAGAAGGTGATTTCCAACTTAGATACCATGAACGGATTCTATCGAAGACTGGAAAGAAAAGCGGACGGAGCGTGGGAAGGAGTAGAGGTAAGCAATTCCAGATACTGAAAAGTGATCCGGAGATATTCGCCCCCGCAGGGGGGGGAGGCGTGTTGGGGGGAAAGAAGGGGGGGG